GACTACGCCCTCCCCTGAGGAGGATGGATGCCTGTCGTGGACGGACGGGTGCCATGCAATCTGGAACCAGTCAATCTGCTTCCTGGAGCCAGTCTCAGCATCTCAGCACTTACAATCGTACTTGTACTCCAGGCCAACGAAGCATGCAGACAGTCTTCAGCTGCCCCGTCACAGATGACACCTCGGTAGGCACCAAGCGCGACACAGACAGCTCATATTCGCGTTGCTTTGGGCTGTCCCAGGAGCAATGCGAGCATATGCAACGTGAAATTGCGTTGCTTTGCAGCTTGGATCCAGGGTTTTGCTGTACTTGACGCGATTCACCAATCACGTCACCTGCTGACGCGACTGCATTTGCCCAGCAAAGTGTAATTGCGCGATGTGACGTCGTGGCCGAAATGTTTGGCGACGTCCTCATTTCTCGGAGCAACTTGGCTGGTGTGATTCCAAGGCCATCTCGCTCCACGAGTTGCTCATCACCCGAGTCCATTGGATTCTCCCTCGAGATGTCTTGTCTCAACAGATGTTCGTGGTTTCCTGCGGCAGCGGGCACGCTAGCTGACCGGGGATTCTGGAATGCGCTCCCTTGCATCAGCAGAGGCAGATTCGACTTGGATCGCCTGCCAGGTTGAGCCCAGCAGTTGCCATTATCCGCCTCAGCCTTCTCGGGAGGCCAGGATATGCGCCACGATGCCTAGTGCATGCAAGAAATGAGGTCCTTGTGCCGTGGCATACTTGCTCTTTGCACGATTCCAGCCCACGCGCCGCGAGAATGGCGGGATGTGCAGGTGGGGTCCCGTAAACACACCAGGGTCGCCCCTGGCTGGTGGGACAAATGGTGTGCACCTTTGCGAGCCCAGCGTCGTACAGGTGAACCCCGGTTATGCGGACCTCACATAAGCGGATTCCCTCGCTTCTGCGGATGAACTGGCTGTTTCCTTTCAAAACACATGCGATTCCGCTAATCCCTCGCGTTCATCGATTACGCACAAAGCGAGGCCATCGCCACCACCTAAATCCGCTAATCCGAGTGAAATAGGGGCGCGTTTGGACCGCGTTTTGACCCCCCGAAATGGCACCCCGCGCCACCGCACCCTCCAACTTGAAGCCGTCGCGGCGACGCATTTCGACTGCGCAGAAGCTAGCCCTTCGCGAACGACGACGTCTCCGTCCGACAGACTCCCATATCGAGCTACAGCAATGGTTCCTGAAGCAGTACGACCAGCCTATCTCGACATCCTCCATTACCGACATCCTCGGCAGCCGTTTCGCGTACCTAAGCGAGCCACTACAGCAGCCACGCGCCCTCGACTTGACGCGGGTCAATAATAACCCTCACCGCGACCTCGAAGGCGCCTTATATATGTGGTGCCAGCAAGCTGAAAGCTCAATTACTATCACGGGCGAAGTCATTAAGGCAAAAGCACGGCAATTCTGGGCGCAAATGCCTCAATACAAGGACCAAAAGCCGCCGCAGTTCTCGAACGGCTGGCTCTATCGTTTCCAAAGCCGACACGATATAAAACTACGCGTACAGCATGGAGAGCTAGGCAGTGTCAATATCGTCAATACTGAGAAGGAGATGGCCTCAATCCGACAGATCCTCTCGAAGTATTCCCATGATGACATTTACAATTGCGACGAAACAGGTCTTTACTGGAAGATGATTCCGGATCGCTCTCTTTCGACGCGCAGCCTTCCAGGCCGCAAAAAGGAGAAGGCCCGGATCTCAGCCCATCTCCGCTGTAATTGGTCAGGTACTGACCGTTTACCAATATGGTTCATTGGCAAGGCAAAAAGGCCTCGCGCCTTCACCGCTGCGGGGGTCGATATCCGCCATATGAACCTAGAATGGACTCACAATAGGAAGGCCTGGATGACAGGGACTATATTTGAGCAATGGCTACGTTGGTTCGACCGCCAAATGGCTGGTAAAAGCGTCATTTTGCTGATGGATAACTTCTCTGCTCATGAAGCCGGATATGAAGCTATTCTGACAAGTGCGACCCCCCTACAAAACACCGCTATCATATGGCTGCCACCCAATACTACAAGCAAAACACAGCCTCTTGATCAGGGAATCATTGCAGCCTGGAAATCTCACTGGCGACGGTACTGGGTACGCTATATGCTGTCGGAATATGACGCCGGTAGAGACCCTCTTAGTACAATGAACGTACTAAAGGCTCTGCGATGGGGCATCCAAGCCTGGGAGCTAGATGTGACTCCTGAAACTATCACGAAGTGCTTCAAGAAAGGCCTCATGGAGGCCCCTAGAGACCCCCAGCAGGCCACACTTGAGGCAGCAATTGCTGCTACTCATGAAGAAGCCGTTCGCGAGATTACGTACGGCTTGCAGAGGCTTCAGGCTAATCATCACGTCAAGGAGGTGATGAACATCCATAACTTCCTGAACCCGGCTGACGAGAATCTGACTGAAGAATCCGACGACCTTGACCAGCAGATTCTCGACCAGTTTACCCCGGCAGGCAATAGCGACGACGACGACGACGACGACGATAATGCTGAGCTTGAAATTGAGCCACGAATCACCATAGTTGAGGCCCTAGAGGCCCTCCGCCGACTGCGCCTTTACCAGGAGCAATCAGGTGGTGATACTGGCCTCATTTCTTACCTCAATAAGCAGGAAAGGGTACTTACGAACTCATCAATTGAAGCCTTACAGCAGAGAGATATCCGCATGTACTTTCAGTAGAATACAGAGCCTGGATAGGCGTGAAATACCTCAAGAATGACCTCCCCTCAATACTGCGGATAATTGAACGGAATGTCTCCTTTATTCCGCATAACCGGGGTTCACCTGTACTATGCTCTGGCTATTTTGGGGCTTTGTGCGGGCGAGGGCTTTTCTGCTGGTTGGCGTCCGGGACTAGGTATCAACACACCCAGACAGAGGTGTCTCTCACGCCGAAACATGCCATGTGATGGTACTGTCCATTGGTGCTCTGTATGCACTCCGGCGCTGCTGGTGTCAGACGAGATGTGATCTGTGTCTCTCGATGGAGTCGCCTGCCGGGATCAATGCTGTCAGCCGCGGATGTATCCGTGGTCCTGATGCCAAGGTCCTCGAGCATCCCATGTTGACGGGTGAGCCGTGGATCTGACTCATTCCTGGCCCAGCGTTTCTCTGCTCCGGTCCTCATCCCTTCGAGGTAGCGCTCGTATGGCACCAACTGCTGCCAACTGCTGTGCACAGCTCCAACACGCACAAGAGTGCCGGGGCAGGGCAAGGTTGCAATGCTGCTTGACGCGTCGACGGAAGACCGCTCGGCCGGGCTGCGGGATGGTCGGTCGGGTGTGTGGGTGGGAAACTTTGAGGAGGGAGTATGTGTCCAACGGCTGCGCGACGGTTGCGACCTTGAGCTTGCCTGGATGTGGGGTCGCAGTGGCTCAATTTGGCAGTGCAGGTCGCAGACTGGACTGGGGTGGGCGCTCCAACGGTGGGAATCCCCCTCTTTCCCGCAATCCTCCTCCCTGCGTCTGGACCAGCACAATGGAGGACCGCCGCGAGCATGGATACTACCGTCAGCAGAGATGCCACGTTTGGTCTGGAGCACTGACGACGACGACTCTGCCAATGCGCCTTTGGTCGTCCCCAGAGGTCTGGAAGCTGGATTCGGGGCTCGCAAGCCTGCCCTCCCCAGGTCGTGGGGCGAGAATTACGGCGCACGGCGGTGCGAGGCAGCGCCGTTCAGTCACACAACGACGCCTAGCTCGACGCCGCCCCAGAGGCTAGCCTCGACTGTCGTGCCCCCGGGGCACAGGCCCGGCCGGCCCACTTGCCTGCTCTCCCTCCAGCTCCCTGTCGTCGCCTGACGCCAACGCCCACGCCAACGAGCCGGCAGAGTGGCCTGCCTGCTCGAGCGTCAGCCCAGTGTCTTGGCCCGGCCCCGCTACGGCGGCCAGGGGCACCTTGGCTCGATGGCCGGGAGCCCCCTGCGTGGGCCGGGGCGATGGATGGGGAAGATGGCGAGGATGGTCAGACACCCCGGGCGCGCCCGGCGAGGCGAGCTGCTGTCTCCAGCTCGCTGGCATGGGTCCGGCTGCTTCGCATGGGCCTGCTCGCCATGGCATCCCAGAGGAGCAGCAGCGAGCATGAATGACACTGCAGCCGAGATGCCATTCCGGGACAACGGTGCTCGATCGGCTCGCCTCAATTTACTTTTTGTTGTGCTGTGCTGTGCCTCGTGGGACGCGACGTGCGTCCCTGCCCCAGATTCTGCACGGCACTCATCACATTGCGTCCTGTGTTTATTCCTGGCCACCTGCTTCTCTTCCTTTTTCCTACCCTCCATCCTCGACTCGAAACATTACAGATTTTCCGCACCGGCTACAGCTTCAGAAACACTTTGCTCTTCGACGGCCTGCTTGCGCCGGCTCACAGACTCGCGGATGGGCCCCGGACTGCTGCACACGATCCTCCTGGCACGCCCCCTTCATTAGCTGTTGGATGCCCGCTCTGGCCCCGGCCCCTCCCACGCCCGCCGGCTAGTCGCTCGACCGTCTCAAGTCCAACGCCCACACACGCCTCTGGCCAACCTTCTGCGCCGGCCTTCAGTCGCCGAGCCACTACGGTGCCACCGGCCCTGTGTTCGTCATAAACGGGCGGCTCCTCGCTCCTGTGCATGACGAGACCCTTTGAGAGGAGACCTTACTCTTCTCTCTCCTTCAGGTCGCTTCTGTCTTTTCTCCTACGTCCCGCAGCTGGCTACAGCCTTCTCACTCTCCTTCTTGAAACAACTTGATGTTGTCTGTTCACGTCCTTTTCAACTGAACCTCTTGGTGAGTGGTTCGGTGCCGGCAAAGTACGCTTCTTAGTAGACCGCGCACGCTGACGTTCGCCTGTAGCCGTCTGCCTTGTTCCTCCTGCGCGCCTGGTCGCTTCGCAGAGATTGGCACTACATTTTTATTTTGTTTTATTGCCTGTTCGATTTCGCAATTAACGCACAATACACGGACAATCGTGACATATATTCACAATGGCTGGCGGTGCTGAGTTGGTCGGCTCCCTTGCAGGAGCCTTGACCAGGGCCCATATCGAAACGAACAAGTCAACTTACTCACTGCGCGAGCGACCGCCGCATTTGGATGCCCTCGCCATCGACAGCCAAAGGGTGCCTCTCAAGCAGGATCGACTCAACAAAAGAGAATCCAAGCTGAGCCTGCGGAACATTTTTGGACGACAAAAGACGAAGCGAGACGTCATCATCCCGGAACAAGGTCCTCCGCGACTCGAATCACCCACCTCGCCAGGCTCCAGCTCATTTATGTCAGATGCTCATCCCTGGTCTTATGCCCCGGACTCTTCTATGTCTACTCTGATGCTGCAGCATTCGTCAAACTCCTTGGACCACACCGGCTCGTCGCCTTTACCTTCTGCCCACAGCACCCCCGGCGAGTTTACTGGCGACTACCGAGCCAACAAGCGTGCATCTATGGCGGAGCCCATTCAAGGACACGCCAGTGTTGCGTCCATGCCCTGGCCGCCGCCGCCTCTCTGTGAGGCATACCAGCAGGCTGTCAAGCGTGCCATGATGTCCATGTGCACGGCGCCGATCGAGACCTTGCAACGCATCAGCTCAACGGCAGCAGACGGTCTTATAGGCCGCAAAGCCTCCGATGCCAGCGACTTGAACAAGCGGTCCGAGCACAGGAGGAGACTGAATCGGAACACCATGGCGCGGAATCCTATCGAATTTGCGAGCAAGATTTACGTGTTAACGACTTCAAGCTGGCTGTTTCAGTACGCTGCCGATGGCGATAACGACCGGCCTCCCGAGAGAGCATTGCGCATCACGAAGGACTCGGCGGCGTTTGCTAGTGACTTGATTCCTGGTCGGCATTGGGTTATCCAGGTACTGTCTGTGGCGGACACGGCCATTTCAGCAAACATCGACAACAAGGGCCGCAAGACAAGGCTCAAGGGAGTCGATAAGCGACAGGTGTCAAACTTCCTACTTGTCTGTGAAACTCCAGAGGACATGGAGTCCTGGCTATCGGTACTCCGACACGAAATCGAGATCTTGGGTGGTCGGAAGAAGGCATCGGAGACTGGCGTTGCGGACGACACTGGCCGCCAGCGTGAGGAGGCTAGGTACTCCCAGATCATTCGCGAAGACTTCTCATGGAACCAGGAGAATGCCCTCAGCATGGACAAGTTGGAGCGGACACCAGAGCTTCTGCAGGATGACGGATCAACCACAGCCAGCCTCGACTCCTCGGACGGCAACAACTTGGAGAGCCCGCGCGACAGCAGCGGAAACCGCTTTTCCGTCGCCTCCATGGAACTACGGGCATTTGGGACACCGCCAAACTCCTCGCCGGCCTGCTCGCCGACGCGTCCCAACTTCTCAAGTTATCACGACAGCTGCGAGATGGAGCATCTGCCAAACATGGCCAAGTCCATCCATGGCGCACCTGAGATACGTACGCGTCCAAATGCCGCAGCCATCTTGACTCGGCGCCAGTCGAGGCAAGCAGTGAATGGCGACTTGGATATCTACACGGTCAGTGGCCGCAGACAGTCCGTAGAGTCCACGAGGCGAGACAGCGCAGAGCATGAATACGTCTCTGCTCCTCAGAGCATTCCCAACTTCAGCATACCCCAAGCCGTCAGCCGGCGTTTCTCGTCTATCCAACCGCCAGCCATCACCATCAGCCAATCGACACCACCATCACCACCCCAGGCCGAGCCGGCCGGGCAGGACCTGCTCCGACCGACTCGAAGAGCTCCACCAACCGCGCTGCCACTGTCAAGACCCCTCTCCGTGGTTGTTGATCTCCCCTCTCCAATTTCTCCACGTCTCTCCCCTGGGCCCTCCAGGCAGCACACACAAGGCCAGGAGCGGCTTCCCGGACTTGATGCTCAGTTGCAAGCGCCAGGCGCACTTGCCAGCATTGGCGCAACTCGGAGATTCGTAAGCTTGTCGAACCTTCGCCATCCACAGAAGTCTACAACAGAGGTCGTGCCGGAAGGTCCGGCGTCCCGCCCTGACCCAGTGCGAGCCATGGAGCGAGCTCAAGGACTGTCCCCAACTATTGGATATTTTGGTTCCCCCACGGCCTTTGTGCCACGAAGCTCGATGGCAGTTGAGTTTAGCCATCCTGCTAACTACAGGCACTCTATGCTGGGCGAGCCTGTCTCTCTCGATGCCACACTTCAGGCACGGCCCTCCACTGCTGCCGCTGGTGCTGGGCCCGCAACAACCAGTTTCCTGTGGGAAGCGAGATCCTCGAGCCTGACACCTAGGACTCTGGCGACACAGAGGAGCATGCCATCGCTGGGGGACATGCCTCCTCCAGCTCCTCCGCCCACCTGCGCGCTGCCCCCTATCCCGCCGAGGTACGCGCCTCCGACGTGTGCACTACCTCCTATCCCGACCTCTGCGTCGGCGAAACGCAGATCAAGAATGCACACTGCCGCTACTCCTCAGACAGCGACAGCTTGAGCTCAAAGGATTATAACACGGTACTGTTAGGTACCGGAGCCACACATGACGACATGTGATGGCTATTCGATCATTTGGCGAGGAAGAGGCCCCTGGCCCAGGAGCCTCCCTCTTTTTCTTACATTTACCTCTTTTTATATGACAAAACAAGGGAGTACGGCAGGCAGGGCGGGTGGGCATTTTTGGGTGATCTGGTGTTTTCAAGTGGCGCTCAGGACTTTGCTTGAACCTTGGATTATAGATATACCACCATTCGCGGGACCACTTGCAGGGTTCACCAAGACGCCCAGAAACGTTCAGTTTCTATGGGCACGTTACCATGGTCCAATCCTGGACGGTTTCCTTTTTCTCGATTCTAAACATAGATTCCTCGCGTGAACGGCCTTCAGAGGCTACTTTGCTGCAGACCGCTAGGCGAGCAGTATATGAAAAATATAAAGCTTTGTTGCCCCCCAAGATGAGTTGTTACTGGTGCAACTGCTGAGTCACTGGGAGGCACTGGGGGCGAAGGCAAGTCAGGCCAGGCCAGGCGGATGCAGCCCCACTCAGGAACAAACACGGCAGCCAGCCACTAAGAGAGCAGTGGCACACCTTTCTGGGCCGCCCACTCGAAAATTCAAAAATCCCTTCTTGGCAGAAAGTGACCGCCTGCCTGCGTGTGCCCAGCTAGCCCACCACGCACCTGCCTGTGGCCGCCTGGAGAGCGACTGCCCCGCGGAGCCCAGCTGTGAGCCAGAAATAACGGATTCTGCGGTACACTGCCTGCTTCCAGCACTGCACGACCACTTCCCCCCCACCCATCACAACGACAAAGACGACGACGCCGACGAGCATCACGCACCCGTCGCATTTCCATCTTCCCGGCTGCTTTCGAGGACAGTCGACGACAAGACCCAAAAACACGCCAGATTGCACCGCCAGGGCCACCCGGCCGACTTGCAAACACACACTCACAAACACACACACGCAACCGCAATCATGGCGACGAAGCCGAGAGACTGGGCCGACGACGACGAGGGCGACGAGGTCGTGCAGGAGCTGCCCCCTCCCCAGACCATCCAGAACAAGGACGGCACCAAGACCACCATCACATATGCCCTCAACGAGCAGGGCCAAAAAGTAAAGACCACCCGCCGCATCCGCCTCGTCACACACCGCGAAGTTGTCAACCCCCGCGTCGCCGAGCGCAAGACATGGTCCAAGTTTGGCCTCTCCGAGAAGGATGGCGCCGGCCCCCAGCCCGACACAACCTCGGTCGGCGAGAACATCATCCTCAAGCTCAGCACCAACTGGAAGAAGGACACCAAGGACGAGGCCAAGGACGCCAACGCCAACGCCATGAAGGAGAAGCTCAAGGACAAGACCGTCAAGTGCCGTATCTGTAACGGCGAGCATTTCACCGCCCGCTGTCCCTACAAGGACACCATGGCCCCCGTCGGCGCCGAGGGCTCTGCCGACCCCGCCGCCGGCATGCCCGACGACGGCGCGTTCAACGGCGGTGCGGCTGGCAAGAAGGGCAGCTACGTGCCCCCCGCGCTGCGCGGCGGGCCGGGCGGCGCTGTGGGCGAGAAGATGGGCGGCGCGGGCGGCAAGTTTGGCGAGCGGGACGACTTTGCCACCCTGCGCGTCACCAACGTGTCCGAGATGGCCGAGGAGAACGAGCTGCGCGACATGTTCGAGCGCTTCGGCCGCGTCACCCGCGTGTTCCTTGCCAAGGACCGCGACACCGGCATGGCCAAGGGCTTTGCATTCATCAGCTTCGCCGACAGGACGGACGCCGTCAAGGCGTGCAACAAGATGGACGGTTATGGTTTCAAGCACTTGATTCTCAGGGTAGAGTTTGCCAAGAAGGCCGCCACGTAAGGAGGCTTTTAGTGGGTTCTTTGAGGAATAGAAAAAAGGGTATTCAACGGTTCGACGATTTTTTTCGATACTGCCATCTTATGCAGTCTGTTTTGTGTGTTTGTCATGCACATCCGGGGAAATCATACCTCGCTGACGTAAAGACGGGAGAATCCGATAACTGGGTTTGGGCGGAGGCGGGAATGAATTTGAAAAAAGATGTTCATAAAACGATGATCCAGACCTCTCTTCGTCGCGCAGGTCGAGTGAAAAATGCTCAAGTTGCTAATGGACGACGATGTCATGCTCGCAACGAGAGCGAAGCATTCTCAACTCAGCCCCCCTAAATGCCCAGATACCCCAGACTGTGCATATATCTTCTCTCTCACAAGTGTGCCGGTCCCTTTTTTATTGCACCGAAAGCCGGGGCTAGATGTCCCTTGAAAGCATACCTCCCCAAGGTCTTGATTCCTGCTTACTTGTTGTCGTGGTTAATCCTGCTTGTTTACTTCATGGTTTGGTAATAAGTTGTTGCTCTTAGTATTGCTATTGTCAATCTTTTTTTTCTTTTTTTTCTTTTGTTAACCCCCTTAGTAATGGGGGGTTTTCGCAGTAATTATCTCCTCCTACTACCCTGGCGGCGTCTGACACGCTTTTTTGACATGTAGGTCAATAACAACAACAACGACAACTCTGAAAGGGATCTACCGAGTTGTAGGTGAGATATGTGTAGAGACAGACCCTGGCTTGTAAATGGTACGGAGAGTGTCATACAAAAGAGAATTTCTTAGGAGCCGTAACGCATATACAGTTTTCTCGTTTTGCGGTCGGTCATAAGGGACTCTTGTTCTCTTACTGTGAAGGTTGATGGGCTTACACCATCAGTGAGACGAGTTTCAAGGAACGCTTGCGAGACATTGTTAGTCCTCGAAGAAGCGGTTAGAATATGAATCCAATGACTTTTTGGGGCTAATATAAGATATATTCATGCGACTAATGGTTTCTATTTGCAGACCAATCATTCCAATTATCCACACTTGTCATGAAACAAGATGACGCCAAAATCTGGCTGTCTAGTGAAGGTGTACAAGATTAACGAGCGCACAGTGATGGCGCTGTGCCGGCCACTCACTAGCTCACACTGTATCTCCAACAACATCACACCCGTCAAATCAGGACCGCTGCCACTACGGCGACGACAAATGCAAAGAATGTCGCGCTCGATGCGACCGCTGACCTGCCTTGTCCGCCGACGAGTGTGGGAACGGTTGCCGGAGCGGACGTAGAGGCGGTGGTGCTCGGGGTGGTGGCAGAGGAGCTGCTGCCTCCGGCACCAATGCTGCTGCCCCCAGTACTGACGCTGCCGCCGCCGGTGCCACCACCCTGGCTTGGAGTAGCAGCTGCCGAGCTAGGGTACGTGGTTGTGACGGACGGAGTCACGGTCTCGGACGACTCGATCACAATCTGCGAGCTAGGAATGCCTCCGGGACTGCCGCCAGAGTCGGGGACGGACGAGGTCGCTGGTGGAGCCTGGGAGCTGCCTTGGCCGGCAGAGGACTGTGCTGCAGAGCTCGAAGGGGCGATGCTAGAGCTAGACGGCGTGGGCTCGGATGAAGCTGCTGACGACGAAGACGAGGAGGAGCCGGCACCACCGACGGCACCGCACGTCAGGTTGTATAGCGGAGTTGTGGTAAGAGTACTGCCGATGATGCCAAAGCTTGGGTTGGGTGTTGCTGGGGCAGCGTCCTGGAGCGTGTACCACCAGACATTACTGGACTGGAAGAGAGGGCATCCAACTTCCTGCCAATATGTCTCGGCGTTCTCCAGAGACGGCACGGCTTGACCGACCGTCTTACCGCTGACGGGGTAGCCCGTCTCAGTGACCCAGACGGGCTTACCACCAACCGCGCCAGTGGTGGCCGCCAAAGCCTCGTCGAAAAGAGCCTTGTTGTTGCCAATGGCATTGGCATTCTCCTGCTGGAAGTACGGGTACGCATCCTGACCGATCCAGTCACAGGCGTTGACGACGGCCTGGTTGGAGCCGTTGACCCAAGCGGTCCAGGTGTCAACCTGTAGGTGACGCCATGTTAGTATCCCTTTCCTTTGTGATGAGTTCTGCCCAGCACATAGGAAGAGGGCAACACGAGAAAGGATTCTATGGGACTTACATGTCCAATCTTGGCACCCGAGAGTGCAGTGCCAGCAATCGCATCTCGGACCTGGTTGATGTAGTTGACAATCACATCCGGGTTGGCGCCCACAAATGAGCCCGCAGCAATGCCCTGGGGCGAATTGCGGTACAAGTCCTCGCTGCCGACGGAGATGCCGTCCACGGCGTTGGCGAAGGCGCTGCCGTACTGCTGGATGGCAGCTTTCAGGGCGAGAATCTCGTTGGCAAAAACAGTCTCGCCGCCCGATGCCCACAGACCGAGGAGTAGTGTGGTGCCCGTGTTTAGGGCTGCGGGAATGGCCGAGATGGGATCGCTTGTTGTTCCAGCTTGCTGTGAGACGGGCGCAAAGCCCCCCAAGGTCAGCCACTTGATGATGATGTCATTGTTTTTTCATGGACGTGAGATGACTTACAATCATGGTGTACAGACGAGCACTGGTGAAGCCGCTGGTGCCATCGAGGCCGGCTGCAGTTCTGAATTCCGCCTCGAAATCCGATTCAGTCTTGGCGGCGCCAGTGGTAAAGGTGCTGCCGTAGTTGAAGCCCTTGATGGCGGCGGCCGTGGAGGCCAGAGCCAGCAAGCTGGCAGACGCGGTTGCCGTCCTCATGTTGATGTGGTGTGGCTGCTCAGGTCACGATATAATTGTAGTATCCCAAGCACAAGAAAGACCGAGTTCCAAGAGAGAGAGAGAGAGAGATAGCAAGACAAGAAGAGCGAGAAGTGGTCACAGCTCAAGTCAGCGAGTGGACGAAGAACATGAGGAGAAGAAGTTTGCTTTGCGCAGACTAGTAGCAGAAGCAGAAGTCATAAATAGGGCAGAGAGACCAAGTCTCGCTGAGCAGACATTTTCCCCAGCTGTTGGTCTGCTGGGCTGGCAAGCAAGACAGGGCGAAAAGCTTAAACAGCCGTGAACGGCAGGAACAGCCCAGGAACAGGCGCGGGAAAAAAGCATGCGGCTCGATCGGGAAGCGCAACGGGTGGTGTGCGTCAAGTGGTGCGGGTACGAGGCTCCAGGGAGGCAACGCCACCTCCGCTCATGCAGCGTCATCGCGAGCTGCCCGTCCGTCTCTTAGCGGTGGCGGGCCTTGGTTCCTGGGCGAGTGTGGTGTGTTGCTTGCGTGTAAGCGTCGCTGGAATGCTGGCCACGGAGACGAGGCAAGGCGTGCGTGGGTGGCTGCATCCCTCATGTCACCATGTCACGGGACAGCCCACTCTTCCAAGGTTGGCTGTCTGATCGCCCTCGTTGCTGTGGCAAGGACTACCTTACTGATGGGAGACGGCACAGGTGATGAATTCAACAAACCCCCAAATCTGCGAAACAGACAAGAACAAAGTGTACCGCAGTAACAGCAGACAAATCCTCGTCTCCACCCCACCCACATATGACCACGCCGTTGGAAGCCTCCTGGGTGCGGCTTGCGTGGCGCCTTATTACTGCTGCCACTGCCCTCTGCCCATCGGCCCGGGCTCTCCCCTCTTCTGCCTGCATCCGGCCTGCTGGGAAGTCGAAGTGGTGTACTGTGCCTCTCTGTACCTTTGCTCGCTGATACATCTACTCAGAAAACGAGATGCGGTCCAAGATGCACAACATGCGACCTACAATGTACTGGTTTGCGCAAGTTCTTATCCCCAGCCATGCGTATTTACGCTAAGTAGTGTAAGCAAGCATCACCAAGCTTTAGTATGCGGGCAGAACCCACACAGCAAGCACATCCATGACACCCTGCATGACCGGGATCACTGGAGCTTGGCCGTGCATGTAGTGTCATGGGGGACGAATCGGGGAAGCAGCACTCGCCTGCAACCATGATTTCTCGTGTTTGGCCCACCCTACCTACCCCAAGGGGAGGAGAGGAGCTGGCCCGGCAAGGCCAAAAAGAGAAAGGGCCAGTATTTGTTAGCACTTGTTGATTCTGCAATAGGAACGGTCTGTACCCCGCCAGCAATGTGGCCATGGCTGCTGTGCCTCAAATCCAGCTGCTGGTCTGACGTCTCGGCGCGCAACCAAACCCCTCGCACTTTGCCTTCAAAAGTCCTCAAAAGCGCCAGAACGAGCCACTGAGAATCTGCGTGGTCCGAGAGAAGCTCGGGTGACACAAAATACTACTATGCTTCTTTGACCCGCTACCATAACAAGGTGTGCCAAAGCACTAAACATGGTTTGCGTACCTGCATGCCTAGGTTTCTACACAAGTAGACACAGTAGACTTGAGGGATGTCCTTCAAGGCCTGGTCACGGCCATGGCACAATTGTCTTTTTTTCAAAACACCCCGGCAGTCAAGTTTTGCCGCTGTTGATTCAAGAGTTGCATTCGCGACAGCCCCATTCCTGCCAGCTATGGTGCTCCTATCCCCTACACAAACCCCGAATGCCTCGTATTCCGACAAGTTTTCTTCGGTCACGGTCATCCTTTTTGTCTTTCTTCTCTTTTCGGAAATTCTGCACACCTCCTGCATCCTGTTAGCATGGCCTTGCTCATAATATTCACGTGACGTCCGGACAACCAATCGCCAACGTACCTCGTCCGATGTAGCGCTCAGCGGCCCCTGTCTCTGCGCGCTCCGGTGCTGCGTCTATCAGCGGCCCTCCGTCACGACCATCTGACCCCGACGACTTGACAGGCTCAAGTGGTGCCGTGGCATTGTAGGACGTCGGGTCGTAGGTTTCGGGGTCCGAAAGACCTCGCTGGGTACGGGTGTGGGGAATATCTTCAGACTCGGAAGACGCATCTTTGGATCGCCGCTTGTCGTACGCATGTAGTGGGTCTGATCGCCTCCGCGTTGGTAGGCTAGATCTCAGCTCGAGAAGCTCGGTTTGCAAAGCATTGTTTCTCTTCGCGAACTCGACGAGGCGCTCCCTGAACAGTTCTTGCTGGGCTCGGGCTCCAGCAATCGCCGCCTTAAGCTTTGGCCGCAAGTCCTCGATCTGAGGCTCGGAACCCTTCTTGAGAGTATCCTGTAAGCGCGTGTTCAAAGCTGATATTTCCGCCTGATGCCGTTGCTGGTTCTGTCGCAACTCTTGCTCCAGCGCAGCGACTTTCATACGCGAAGCCTCTGCGCGGCCGTCTGCCTCCTCCGCACTTGTCAGCGCCGCTTGACGTTCAGCTTCGCGTGCTTGGAAATTGCGCTCAGCCTCCGTCAACCTCTCCACTTCCTTGCGTAGCCTCTCCAACTCGGCAACATGAAGCTCAACCGACTGCATGTTCTGCTTCAAACCCAGCTCTCTGACCTCGGCATCGCACAAGAGCTGCACAAGCTTTGCGTGCTCGCTCTTCGCCGCGTCGAGCTCCGAGACTAGGCTTTTCTCCCGGGCCGTCCACTTCTTCTGCTCTTCGCGAAGGGCTCTCAGCTTCGTCGTCAGGTCGGCCTCCCACTTTTTGGACATGGTACGTGACTTCTCTGCCTCTTTCTTGACTTGAATCTCGGTGCTTTTCGCCTCAGCAAGTCGCTGTTTCAAATGTCGGTTTGTAATCATCAGGTTCTGTGCCTCGGCCTCTGTCGTTGCCTCACGGAGCTGCCGCCGGCGAAGCTCCCCCATATGTGTCAAGTGCTGCTGTTTCATGAATCTCTCAAAAGTAAGATCGTTCTGGAGCAGCAGAATTTGACGGTACAGATGACCAGTCGAGCTCTCGCGGCATCCTTTCTGGTCAGTGGCAGTCCCAGCAGGAGCAGCACCAGGGTTGAGGTGGCTGTGCAAACGCTCTGAAATCGATTCATGCTGGCTAAGTGCCAGAGAAGGCACACTGTCATTGTTCAGACTTTGGTGTAGTCCAGATTTGATGGCCTTATTGGAGTTGATCATATCTTGCAGACGGGTCTGCGAGCCCGAGGTTGTCAATTGCCGCGGCAGAGTTTCAAGCCCATCACTAGACGTTGCCATGGCTGAAGAATCCTTGACTGAGTGATGGCTGGCCTGCGACGACTTGCGAGCGATCGGCGGCAAAGCGTCCGCTTCGGCATTACTTTCTATATCAGGAGACACCGCGGGTTTCAGGCTTTCGGCCTGCGTGCTACTGGACACCGACGTCCGCTGTGGAGAAAGACCGCCAAGGAGAGTGGCTTCAGGCTCGTCGCCGACGTCGACGGCTCCAACCCCAGGTGCTTCCACTGTAAAATTGGGTGCAATAATTTCCGGTTGCCATTCGGGTGCAACATAGAGTGCCATGCAGTCCGCAACGACCTCGGCAGGCTCGCTTTTGATCCATCTCCCAAAGTCCGTCTTCTCAGATTCGATGGTGAGTGTATAGAAATTCTCGTGCAGCAAATGACACTGCCTGAACGGCTCAGTGGCGTGCCTGATCTCTGTAGGCTGCACCTCTACATCGTCGGCTTCTGGTACATCAGCGTGCCGGAGATATCTCTGCGGCTTGCGGATGTAGTCGGTGAAGTTGATAGGGTAGAGCCCGTATAAAATTGTGTAGAAGCTCATGAGATGCTGAATAGAGGTGACGTCAAGATTCGACGAGAAGCCGCATTTGTCCCATGTTGAGGAGCTCGGCGAGATGCGTGGATCTTGTGTCGAGTCGGCTGATGTGGCTTCGTGAGAGAGCTGGCGGTCCCAGAACAGCAGGCGCGCATAAATGTTGAACAGAGTAGGCAAGTATGGGACCAGGGAGCTCGGGATATGAGGCAATACCATGGTCAGGACGCCGAGCGCCAGTGAAATGATGGTGGACGAGGTGTCCTGCTGCAAGCAAGTAAGGAGGTTGCCAAAAAGAGGCGTTTGCAGAATCGTGTACAGATGCGGAGGCTGACTTTTGACAAAGTCAGCGACCAACAACAAGATTCGTGCCCTGCATGTCATGCGAACAAAGTACTTGTCCATGACTATCATCAAGTCCTAGCCCGTCTGTTAGCAAAGCTCTGAGATCACGCATGACACAACCCAGAGATTCCCGTACCTTTGGTCGCTTACGACCATACTGCAGCAGCGTCTCGCGTATATGCCTCTCTTTGAAGCTCTGGCTCGCCTCGTCAGAGCGTCCGGCACACTTACATTCCTCAAGCCAGATGCACAACAGCTTCTCCGCCATGGCCATGGGGACCCCGCCCACTGGACCTGCTCCCTTGTGCTCGTCCTCGGCCGTCAATATTTCCAGCACCAGGGCCTGCGACTCGCTTGCGAGGTCCTTCTCTTGTGTTAAGTGGTCGAGAATAGGCATGAGCAGATCGGTCCACTTTAGAACTTTGTCCGGCTGACTGATCAACGGGCGCAGACGTCGCAACACAGCCATGAACGGAGCATATCGCGGGGGGTTATTGGCGACCGCATTATGGAATATGGAGAGGAGTTCCTCGTTGACCTTGTCGGCGATCGACTCTTCGAACTTGTCCTCATGTTTGCGCACGTATCCTTCGATGATATCTGCGAGATCGTCGGAGAGCGGGAGGGTGCCGGTTGGGACGTACGCCTGAACAGCCTTTGTAAGATCCTTAAACTGACTGGCTATTGTCAGCGAGGCACCGAGGAGATTGGTGGAGCGGCGTCCGGTCGATTTCAACACTCACGGAAGGGACGACATCTTGAGGCATCAGCGAAGACCGCGAGGTTGTGCGGCGGTCGCAGGTTAGCAGTAGTGGCTCGGCCCCCTCGCAGACCTCCTCAGACGGGGTGTTACAGTGTGACAGGCCTCATGAGAGCTCGAAGGAGCCTGTGCGGTCAACTGTGTGTTTGGGCATTGCGAACATATCGTTTTGAAGCTTGGCAAATGAAAATGGGAGCGGAATGGAATGCGACAACGTCAGCGCAGATGATGGGTCTTGACGATAAGATAATGCACGTGGCGGCTCTAGCTCCACCACGTCAGGCTTGGGCTGGTACCTGGGCTGGTTGAGTGCTAGGGGTGCGAGCTTGCGATGACCAGAACTAGACACAATTTTCTCGTTGGACAACCCAATAACACAACAATTGTTTAACTCTATATTCTTATCATTCTTATTAGGGCATGGGCTCGGTAGCAATCCCGGCATTGTACGACATGCTGAGGCGAAACAATCGAGCGGCACGACTGGAACCGTGTGAAGAGAAGAAGCACTACTGTACCCACTTTGCAGCTGGAGAGGGCCGTGGTGACACGACATCCAGAGATGCGCCTGTAGCAACAGCCCACCATCGAATCACCCTGACCCGCGACTTGAGAGCGATGCGGGCACAGTAAAGTGGATGGTGTCAGGGTTGGCACAAGGAATTGCACATGGAACAATCGACAATGTGCCTTTAGGATTATGTGATGAATCAGTCGCTGCTGGCCGTGAAGGAATACCGCCTGCAGGCATCGACTACTTGTAGCTTCAGCGAGGAGGCGTGCGCTAATAGCGGGGGTGGCAGGCCCGGAAGACAAAGGGGAGGGGCCGCGCAGCGAGCCGGCAGGTCATGCCCTGGGACTGCAGGTGAGGTCCGCTGTGGCCGGGGCGAGCTGCCTGGTGACGCGATTCAAGGTGGGATGATCGACTTTTGACGCATGCTCGTCCGTGGGTCACATGTTGGTCTTCCGACCATCATCCTGCTGCAGATCTCCACTGCTGGACGGAGCCAATTGCCCCGCGCAAACTACTGTTCCGCAAACGTGCTGGCGGAGAATTGAGCCTGCTTGGGAGCGAGCACGTTGCGGGACGGTCGCCGAGCAGCAGAGGACTTGACCGTGCTGTATCCGTGCTGTGCCCAAGGGACGTTGCAGCGGAGGTGGGAGAAAGAGGCGCTGGTCGTGTGAGGAGGTTTGGGTTTGAGCAGTGGTCCGGCTGCATCCCCCTCTCCAAGTGGGGCCTACCCGATGCAAAGTCTGGGGAAGGCCAGGGCAGGCGTGCTCAGAACCTGGGGGTGGGGCCTGCAGCCCAGCTACAAACAGCCCACCTCCCACGCGCGGCTTCCAAGGGTAGGTAGGTCCACGGCGAGCAGCATGGCATGGGTCGACTTGCTGTCAGTGACGACCGCGGGTCACAGCAGCTGTCAGTGCTCGGTCTCGTTGGGATCGGAAGGCAAAGGGTTCAAAGGCAAATGGCACTCACGGGCGTTTCACCCGAGCGGACGAATGGTCAGGAAGGGGGCACAGCTGGAGGCGGGGTCCGCGCAGAGGAGCAGCAGAGCAGATCTTTCATGCTGCACTGTATGGGTGCAAGGAGCGAGCACTCACTTCCTATTCTGTCTGCAGTGGTAGCTCTTGTGGTGCCTCTTGAGCAGGAAACGATAGCTCAGAGGGCCAGGCGAGGGGTCGGAGCTGCTGCCTCTGCCTTGTGAGGCAATGTCTCGCACCGTCCCGCCGGGGCACTACGCAAGTCAGGTCAGGTCCCGTCTTGGTCCATCCCCGCCTTCTCCTCCCACCTCTCCAAATCCTCGTCAACTATGAAAAGGTCCTGGACCCCTCTCTGACTCGGCGCTCGCACTTCCGTCTTCTCTCCTCCCTCTCCTCCTCCTCCATTGCCTTCCCACTCATCTACATACCAGCCATCCTGTACACATCCGCCCATCTACTGCCGTCGCGCGAGCCACAAGAACTCTAGGCTCTAGCACCTGTCCATAACCTCTCCCCATCGTCCATAAGAGCACCAATTGAGCACTTACCCTCTGGTCCTCTGTATACCCCATATCCACCACACAGCCATCACAACCCATACACCACGTCCGACCATGGCAACCAAGAACTCCCAAGAGGACCCTGTTGAGGTTCTCTTTGTCCTCCAGCCTCAGTTCGATCTCCTCGACTTTGCTGGAGTCCAGGAGGTCTTGTACACGGCTCGCCACAACAAAGATGACGAGAGTATGTATACAGAACCCCCATCTTTTACAATTGCTGCTCGCCTTCGACCAGGCTGCTTCGTTCTAGCGCTGACGCGGCCGCTTGTGGCTACCAGACACGCGTGCCTTTGAGTGCACCATTGCCAGTGCTGAGCCCAAGATCATTTCCGAGCAGGGTGTGATCATCAACTCCCAGATTACCTACAAGGAGGCCTACGACCACCTCAATGACTTTGACGTCATGGTCATCGTCGGCGGCGATTCCGAGAATGTTCTCAACAAGAAGCTCGAGCCAATGGGTCTCATTGGCGCCTACTCTGAGCTACAGAAGCAGGATTCCCAGCGAGAGCGTACTCTGCTCTCTGTGTGCACCGGATCCCTCTTCCTGGCCGAAAAGGGTATCCTCTCGGGTCTTTCAGCCACCTGCCACCCCGACTTCATGACCAAGTTCGAGTTCCTCTGCAGCCACTCGGCTGTTCGCGACGGCGTCGAGAGAACCGACGTCATCGAGGACTCTCGCTACGTTGTCAACAACCTCCGCTTCGACATTGGCGACGAGGACGAAAACCCCTACATCCGTCGCAAGTCCGACGCCGGCGCTGGTCGCCGTCCCTCCAACGCTCGGTGAGTCATTCCGCCTCCAAAAGAATTTCTCAAAGTATGCGGCGAGCTTCAGTTGACTGACAAGATTCACCGTGCAGCAAGGGAAGTATCTCCTTCAAGAGCTCCAGCCAACGTCGTGAGTCCATGACCCGCCGCGCCGCGATGCGCCTCGGTGGTCTTCGGGTCATCACGGCGGGGGGAGTAACTGCTGGCCTGGATGCAGCTCTGTACCTGGTCAGCATTCTCGTGGACGATGAGGCCGCCAAGGAGGTGGCCCACGTCATCCAGCACGAGTGGGTGAAGGGAACCGTCGTCGATGGACTTGACGTCTAGACGGTCCCGTGTATTATTGAGGGTAGATCATTCGTCGCGCGGATAGATCTAGACCATGTCGAATACCTCTGTACTATTGGCCAGCGAGCCACACAAGCATGAAGAGCCTCTGATGAAACGAGGCACACACCACAGCTGAATCTGTGCGTTTCATATGACAGTCCAATCCAAATCAGTAAAATTGTCAAAACCCAACCGAGAGAGGTCCACGAAGTCCCTGAAAGCATAGATGTCAAGTGTCAGCGGAGCGTTCAAAAACCAGCTAGCATTAAAGTGGGACACTGACAGCTCCAGGCCTGGGGTTTTTGGACAGGCACGACCCACACTTGCATACAGTGCCCATGTCCGGTCTTTGTTCATGCTTGCACGGTTTCCACCGTTCTAGGCCCACCCTACGAGCAGGTTTGATTGGCTGGACAAATTTCACCATTCAAATCGAACCGTTCACTCTAGCAGGTGACAGGTCGGCGTCGAAACATTGAACAAACAAGCATACATCGCGACACTTGTACTTCACGCCTGACCGTTCGGAGCACAACGGAACTCCTAAGCAGTCAATATGGTGATCGGCGAAAGGATGTTCAAGCTGGGCAGCAAGCAGGTCTTTCTGTAAGTCCCCCTGCGGCCCGCAACAGTGCATGCCGATACCACGACACATTGCACCCGCTACGCAGCGCTCGATCTCGAAAATGCACGATGCTGCCGCGCCGCTGCCAGCCCGCCCACCAGGCCAGCCAACCGGCCAGCGCTCTCCTCGAGTGATACGTTCCTTGCTGACTAGCCGCCCGGTCGTTCGTCCATTTTCTTTAGGCCCTCGCATCTCGTCACAATGCTCCGCCCGAAGCCCACCACCCCGCCGACGCTGGCGACCTTCCGTGTGCCCTTGACCTTCAACAAGCTCGACATGCGCGACTACCTGCTGCACGCATACAAGGTCGAGACGGCAGGGATCCGGTCCCTGGTGGCGCAGCAGCCCATAGACAAGCCCAAGCCGAACGAGAAGCCCCGGCGGGTGCGGCGGCCGCGGTCGATAAAGCTCATGATTGTCGAGCTGGTGAAGCCGTTTGTGTGGCCGGCGGAGGCCCGCGACGCGTCGGCGTGGAAGCAGCCGGAGATCATGGAGCAGGCGCTCAAGAAGCAGGACGCGCTGATGAAGAAGATGGAGGAGACACAGAAGACTGGCAAGATGTTGCTGCGGGATGAGCAGGAGAAGAGCCGTGACGACAGGCAGCTGCGCGAGCAGGCGAAGGCGCTGTTGGAACAGGGCGGCTGGGATAACCAGAGGACGTTGGATCCCAAGTTCGCCGCGAGCGGGAAGAAATAAGGGGTGTTGTGCGACGATAGAAGGTGTCGTGGCTGGTTCAGAGATTTGGGGAGGGAAACAGGACGAGGGGTCAGAGTCGAGCTGCGAGATGTTAGTGCTCCGCCGACAAGATGGCGACACGGAGGCCACAAGGATCCCAATCGCGACCGGGTGTTCGGCCGTTCGGGCATGTCTTTCATGCAGGATGCGTCAAACACGGATCCTCAGAGCCACAAGCATAACTCGACCACCCTCCGCGGCTCTGATCGCACAGGCATGGACGGGTGCGAAAAGTCGCTCTTGTTCTCGATGGGCAGCAGAAGAGGATGACCGCGGGAGGACGAAAACTCTGGAACGAACTCTTGTATAATACAACTGCATGAGTTGACCTGGCAAGGTCTGGCTTCATATTTTGCGGCGAGAGGCCCCCAATCGGCCGCATAACTGTAGATCTATACGCTTTTATGATATGACAGAACATGGTAGCAAGATGAGGGCGCTTGTTCATCGACTCTCTTCATTTCGTGATAGGTCTGTTACGCCTCAGGTATATTATACCAGCCGGAAGCAGCCCGAGATAAAGTCTCAACAGTCCATCTTCAGCCTATGCTCAGCCCTTCTGCACTCGATCCATCTTCTACTTCCACCCAGTGCTCTCCCTTTTGGAATAGGAGAGGCTCATTGCCCCAAGCCCACCAACCAGCCGTGAGATGTCTAGCAAACACTTCGAGACCGAGGTAATCTGGCGGCAACAAGTCTTGCAGAAGCCCGCGAAGATTGGGCTTCCGGGAGTGCAGATCCGGGACAGCGAGGATGACTTTCGTCTGGACGGACCTTTGTTTCCGGGGCCGATCCTGACCAATATTACTGCTACTACCACCAAGAAGAGAGCCACCGGGATTGGGATTTCGAGGTCTCGCGAGAAGCAGGCGCTCCCACGGCTTCCGCCACTGCGAGTGCATGTTGAAGACCGGCTGCCCGGTGCTGGTGACCTTCAGCCATATCCACTCCCCGACGAGCTCGACACCCCATTGCGAGAAGACGCCGCCGGCTCCGACCAGCAGATCGTACACGGCGGGCTTGTTGGTGATCCAGACCGCCACGAGGCCGCCCGCGGCAAGTCTCGAGGCCACAGGCACCGCAGTGATCAGCTGTCGTGCTTCTGCCATGTTGCTGACGGTCGCGTAGTTGGTGCCGCTCTTCTTGCGCCGCGCGGACCGGCTTGGCCACGGCGGATCGAGCAGGACGAGGTCGAACTTTACAGACGCGGTCTTCATCAGAAGCTCGTCTCGGGTGTCTTGGATTGTGCCCGTGATATGATGAGACGCCTCTGGAACAAAGATTGAAGGCCATGGACCCCGGCTTTGCGCGGAGGTGTCAAGTTCACGCTTTCCTAGATGCAGATTGTGGTCTGCCCGAGCAGCCGCCTCTTTGTTCGCCACAGAGACTGCCCGAGGCAGACACCACTGGCCACCATTGTGACACGTCCGTACATTTTCGAGAGCGGCCAGGGCGATTTCCAAAGTCATCAACTCCGCGATGGTTGCCGATGCAGAATGGGCATTACTGCTGGCCCCGGGAATGCCCTCTCTAGGGGCCTTGGGTTCTGGCAGTGTCCATGGTAGAGCCTGCGGCTCTGATGATAGTAGCCGCCTGTGCGGGACGGGCTGTCTCAGGGCCACTTGGGCCTCTTCAATCGATCTCGGGATATCCACTAGCACGACAGAGCGGTCTGGAGTTGCGCACAGAATGGACCTTGGCTCCGCCTCCTCCTCCTGCGGCTGCTGCTTTCTCGTGGCAATGCCGTCAGCATGCGTGCTGACAGGAGAGACAGCTGCTGTCAAGGCATCCCGCGCAATCGAGCTCATGCCCGCCGATATCGAGTGAGGAGAGGACTGGCATGTGCCACATGCCAAGCTCAAAGGGGTGGCCCTGCTCTATCGGGATGTCGGCCAGAAACCACGAGCCGAACCCGAGTAGATACGCAGAGGAAGCGAGGAGGTGTCTTGGTAGGTTACTCAGTTCGTGGCAGGCAGGGATGTGCAGGCCACGCACGTCATAGGGAGGGCTCGGGTGGTCCCCAGCTGCTGCACTCGGCCACCACACGGCCACCTGCAAATGACAGTAATTTTGTGGTGGGTGTTCCCAAGCACTAACTAGCCGGTACCGAGAATCCGGTACGGCCCCTGTGTCGTGTCCAGGCTAGGTACAATGGCAGCCTGACAGACACTCTTGTAGGAAATGGCTCTAGTGCTGCTGGCCTCAGGTATCAATGCGAATTGGCCCTGTTGCATCCCGTCGGCCCGCGACTTTTGTGTCGTAGAGAACCACCTCCAGCGGGGGGTTCAATTGTATTGTGGGAGGGCAGGCAGGCAGCTGGTGGAGGTGGGGTCTGCTCTCCTCAGCATGGATTGTTGCAGGGGAGGTCGCAATTGTGCAGGAGTCGACCACGGGAATGCCAGGACTAGAGCAAGATAAACCTGGAAGCTGTCAGCACCCAGATTCGGGAGCCACCTTGTCGATTTCATCTCGCAAGAGCAACCGCAGCATCAAACGGGAATGCAGGTTGCTTGGCCAGGCCCGAAGTGTACTGTACGTTGATGGCCACGACCTGTCAAAACACTAGCGCAGTGTCCCGATCAACAGGCGCGCGCCTGGCTGCTGTCAGTGCACGCCCTGAGGAATGCCGTCCAGCGAGCAATTGCTGGGAGGCAGCCCGGCGCTTGAGACACGAGGAGGATAGTCTGAGCTGGGCCAATGAGGGGAGGCACAGGGGTGGCCCTGTGCGAGGCACCAGCCGCGATCAGCCTCTGATGTCAGGACATCTGCACCTCGACATTGCGCTGTTCCAGGTTTCGGCCTGGAGCGCCCAGGCAGGCCAATCAATCCCTTGCCAGCACTGCTCGATGGCCCCCACAATGGCCCTTAGCGCCAACCAGGGGCGCTCCCGCTTGTGGACAGGGCCCATGATGAAACAGGACAGTGTCGTCGACCCTGTCGCCGCCATCTTGACTGCCACCCAAGCGTGAACCCTTTTCCCCCATGGCTGCTGCTCGCACCGGCACGCACGCCTCTTGATTCTTGACCTCCCTAACCTGTCTCTTCATGTTTTCTTGTGCACTTTAGCGAAAACATCTTTTCCGCATAGCATATGCCCGAGCGCCTCGTCGCGGATCCCAAGGCCGACCTCCCGCTTGGACGTTTCACACAAAGGCCGTCTCTTCGTCGTACTGACACACTTGTGACTCGTCACAGCCGCAAACACTCGCACACAGAACGATCCTCCGGCAACTGACTGGATCTGCACACATATATGATTGCGCCTCTCACTGGCCCCCACGCCCGTCGTCGGCATACATAACGCCATACCTCTTCCTGGTGAGGGGTTGACCTGAAAACGACAATCGCACTCGGAGTTCATCGCGGCCGTTCCACGACAAACGATATTGCGAGGACGCGTCGAAACCGCCCACCATGAGTGACGTCGGGTCGCCGGCCGCCCGCGACAAAAGCCGGGGTCAGAGCTTGGTCTCCTTCGTCACCGCCCTGAGTGCTTCGTTGATCGTCTTTGGAGTCCAGCTTGGTGTGTTCCTGCTCCTCAGAACAAAACTAGCAAGAATTTTGTAAGGCAATTCCCATCCCCAAGTGAGGCTTCAGTCTCTTTCGAGCACGAACTGACCCCGATGTCCACATGGCAGCAAGCCAAAGACGTACCTCGTTCCAGAGCGCGAGCGAACAGATCCGCCTCCACAAAGCCCATGGGGCATGCTGAGCACCCTGCTTCGCTTCAAAGATCGCGAAATCATCAAGAAGTGTGGACTAGACTCGTACTTTTTCCTCCGATACCTGCAGACGCTGCTCGTGATCTTTATACCAATCGCTGTGGTGGTCATTCCCATCCTGGTTCCGATCAACTATGTGGGCGGACTGAGCAACGATTTCGACGTCAGCAATGACACGGACACCCCAGTTCAGAGCGAGATCACGGGTCTCGACACTCTGGCGTGGGGAAATATCGATCCCGACAAATTGAACCGCTACTGGGCGCACCTTATCCTCGCGCTTGGAGTCATCATCTGGGTCTGCGCTGTGTTCTTCTTCGAGTTGAGAGTCTACATCAAGGTTCGGCAGGACTGGTTGACCACTGCTGAGCATCGCCTCCGAGCATCAGCAACAACGGTACTTGTCAATGGCATCCCCGACAAGTGGCTTAGCGAGTCGGCTCTACGCGGACTATTCGACGTCTTTCCGGGCGGAATCCGCAACATCTGGCTCACGCGGGACTTCAATCCACTCCTCGACAAGATCAAGCAGCGCGACAAGATCCACAAACAGCTCGAAGCCGCACAGTCAGACTTGATTCGAGAGACGAAGCGGAAATACTTGAAGAAGCGAGAGAAGGACGAGAAAGCAGCGCGGAAAGCATCGAAGGCAAGGAACCTTACCAAAGAAGAGAAGGCTGAAAGACAGAAGAAAGAAGATGCTGCCGCGCAGATGCAAGCCGAAGTTGGTCAAGGTGTTAGTAGCGGAGACAAACATGAGGTTGCGCATACCTTGGACGAAGCGGTACACGATCAGCAAGATGCGGAACAACATGACGGCGGACCATCGCACAAAGATGACAACGAAAACATTCTCGCCTCCGGCATCTCCAAGTTGAGCAAGGGCTTTGGAATGGGAGCAAACTTCATCTCAAAGACTGGCCACGGAATAGCGGGTTCTGGAAAGCAGTTTGGCGAGCGTCTCGATGGTACTGTCGAGACAACAAATGGCTTCACCCAGATTGGCGGCGCACCACGTACGCAGTCGCGCCCCGCGACTCGAGGCTCGGACGTCCGCGAAACACAACTCTCAGCTGAGAAGGACTTCGCAAGATCGTCTTACGAGAAATCTCCTGTATCCACGCGCGCCCCTGTGATGGGCTCCGCCGACACACAGCCTCGCCATCGCCCAAGTGCTTCAATTGCTTCGCAGGATCAGGATGCCATGCTCAACAAGGACAGCATCGAGATGCAGATGTTCAACAACACCACGCGGAAGGCCACCAATCTTGACAACATGTACGTCAATGAAGATGCGCGGTGGTACCAGTTCTGGAAACCACCATCTGGAGGCTTCGCATCCCCCATTCCCCAGGGCTACGAGGACACAGATTTTGGCCGGAAGAAGCAGAAGACATTCTGGCAGAAGCTGAAAGCCATTTTGCCCTTCTCGGGCGTTGAAATCGAGCCCATTGAGTACGAGCCCGCATACACAGAAGAGGCCAAGGAGGCAATGGAGAAGGAAGAGAAAGCAGAGTGGGAGAGATGGGTTAAGAAGTCATCTCGCCCTACTCATCGCCTTGCCTACGCGGACTGGATGTTCGCGATTCCATTTGTGAACAAAAAGGTGGACACCATCTACTGGTGCCGCGCCGAGCTCGCTCGCCTCAACGTCGAGATCGAAGCCGATCAGCAACACCCTGAAAGGTATCCACTCATGAAGTCCGCCTTCATTCAATTCAATCACCAAGTCGCCGCGCACATGGCCTGTCAGAGTGTGATCCACCACGTGCCAAAGCATATGGCCCCACGCGTGGTCGAGATTTCTCCAAATGACGTTCTCTGGGACAACATGGCCATCCCATGGTGGTCCGAATGGATTCGGACCCTCGGCGTCGTTGGCGTCGTGTTTGGCATGATCATTTTCTGGGCGCCCGCCATCGCATTTACGTCAACGCTCTCTCAAGTCGACTCACTTATCAAGGCCTTGCCATTTTTGAGGTTTCTTGAAACCAACGACGTTTTGCAGTACGTGGCACAGGCCTTGGCTGGTGTCTTGCCAGCTGTGTTGCTCGCACTGCTGCTCTGGCTCGTTCCGATCATCATGGACTTCCTGGCAAACCTTAAGGGGGCTAAGACAGGATCCCAAAAGTCGGAGATTGTGCAGCAGTTCTACTTTGCTTTCTTGTTCGCGCAGGTGTTCTTGGTCGTGTCGATCGGTGCCACACTCACTCGATTCTTGGCCGACATCGCCGAGAACCCGGCGGATATTCCCAACCAGCTTGCTAGCAGTGTACCGGGGGTTGCCAACTACTTCTTTTCTTACATGATTCTCCAAGCCCTTTCTGTCAGCTCCGGTACACTGCTGCAGATTGGTGCCTTGGTCGGCTGGTACATTATTGCCAGGATCATGGCCAACACTGCGCGTGAGAAGTGGAGGACGCAGACGCAGCTACCCAACGTTAAATGGGGCTCTTACTTCCCCGTCTACACCAACTTTGCCTGCATCGCTCTGGTTTACTGCATCATCGCTCCGATCATCTCCATATTCGCCATCATTACCTTCAGCCTGCTTTGGATCGCCAATCGCTACACCATGCTCTATGTCAACCGCTTCACGCTTGACACTGGTGGTGTGCTGTATCCTCGAGCGATCAACCAGACGTTCACAGGGCTGTATTTCATGGAGATCTGTCTGATTGGTTTATTCTTCCTTGTGAGGGACGATGATAACAAGGCCGTGTGCTCGGTGCAGGCGATCATCATGATCGTTGCGACCATCCTGACTGTCTTGTATCAGATTCTGCTCAACATGTCCTTTGGGCCAATGTTCAGATATCTGCCCATGACCATCGAGGACGAGGCGGTAATCCGCGATCAGGTCTTTCAGCGCGCCCAAGATCGTCGTTTCGGTCTTGTCCGCGATGAAGAGGATGAGCATACCGACAAAGAGAGCGGCCTGCTGGCGGGGCACTCGGACGGCGCACGGGGTTCATCTGACGAGAACTCCGGCGTTGGTCGGCGTCGCTCGAACAAGCGCGTTGGCTTCAAACCAGTCAAGATGGTAGTCGGCGCGGGAAAGACTTTGACACAGAAGACCTATGGCCGAGCCGAGGAGCGCATGCAGACTGCCAGCAAGGTGCGGGACGCCAAGAGGAACAAAGACCTGGAGGCCCAGAGGGCCATAGGTGACGCTCTCTATGGCGGGTTCCATGACGAAATCGAAGATCTGACACCCGAGGAGCGTGACACCCTGGTCAGGCGTGCGTTCACGCACTCTGCGCTGCGAGCCGTGCGCCCGACGGTCTGGATCCCACGTGACGACATTGGCGTCAGCGATGATGAGATCCGGCGCACAAACCAATTCAGCGAGCATATCTGGATCTCTAACGAGGGCACGGCCTTGGACAGCAAGGCTCGGATCGTGTACGGACGGGCCCCGCCAGACTTTTCCGAGGTCGACATTATGGTTTTGTAATCGTACTTTGTCCTTTCACCAGCAGAGAGCAGTTAGACGTCGCAGCCAACAGACCCTCCCTGAGCGACCTAGATCAGACATAAAGGCATGACCTAGATAGAATAGTTCTTTCACCTTCATCCACACTTAATCATCATAACATACCAGTTTTTTCGTACGTCTTGACGTTACTTATGATGTGATTGTGTTGATATAGACAGCTTGGTGTACAGAGATTGGTAGTCTTATCCATTGTACAAGTATAGTACAGAATACCCTTCGCTTCCCAGGGGTTTCTTTCAGTCCTTCTCGATGACTGTTCAGTTTGCTTGATGATCTCGAGCAGCCAAGATCTGGCCTCCCTCATCGACATATACGACCTCTTCTTCTATTGCTGTAAGAATGCCTGTCCACGACTCTTTTTGTCTCGCTTTTCCAGCTCTAGACTTTAGTCGTTGTCAATCCAGCATCTCCTCACGATAGCACTATACACCCGAGCCAGGAGTTGCCGTGGGTTTCTATTTTGTTTCTTCCTTGTCCACTTTTGTTGTCATTTCTGCTCTCTCTCTCTCTCTTTTCCCACCAGCCCCGAGCTGGCTTCAAGCAACGACTTCAATGCCTATAGACTTGGCCTGGAAGATGATGGACCTGCACAGGCCCTCGAGCGAGAGCCCCGACAGCCGGAGCTCGGACTGCTTGATCTTTGCAATCTCGTAGACGTGCTTGAGGGATACCGTGCCGACGACCTCGTGACCGGGTTTGCTGGCGCCCTTGCGCTTGCCCTTGACCATGGGCAGGCCGGCCGCGTTGCGCAGCAGCCACGACGTCTGGGGGGTGCGGATGTCAAAGTGGAACGAGCGGTCGGCGCGGACGGTGACGCGGACGGGCATCGGCGTGCCGACGGTCATGTGTGCTGTGCGGGCGTTGAATTCCTACATTCACGGGGGTCGCCGCGGTGTTGGTTAGTCGTTCTGCTTGTTGGACTCTGGTCCTGATGTCGAGAGCGCATCCGTCAAGCGAGGCGGCTGGTTGCGGCAACAGCCTGTCTGCCTAACTGCCCCTGCTGGCGCGCGCGGCGAAGAGGCCATATGTTGTCGTACCTTGCAGAAGTCCATCGACTTGACACCTTTACTGCCCAGGGCGGGACCGACGGGCGGGCTGGGACTCGCCTGGCCGGCGCCGACGATGAGCTTGACGATCTGGTCCGCCAAGGCACCCTTCCCTTTCGACATGGTGGGCGATTGCTCGGAAAGTCGCTCCTAATCTGATGTATTCGGGCAGGAGAGTTATCTGCGGAGGCGACCGGGGTAGCGGTCGAAATCGTGGCGTCCTTCTCGTAGTGCAACGCAGTGGCAGGTCCGAAGTTTTTGGCGTGAGGGTCGTCGGCGTATGTGCTGAGAATGAGATCTGCTTGCTGCTGTGCTCTGTTGTTGTCGTCGTCGTCGTCGTCGTCGTGATCGCGGGCCTTTCAGAGATAAAAAGATGGGGCTTTGGCAATTTGAGGTTCTCACGCTGCGCGCGCCGTTCCGACAGTCTGACAATCGGTGAGTTTCAGTGGATACTGTGATATGGGCCCCACATTTCGTCCTTTTCTTGCTGGGAAGCACTGCTGGGGCAGGCGCTGCGAGTCCTGTACTGACATCAACTTCTCGTGCACGCCTGCAGCAAGACGATGACGCCTGGACCGCAATAACCTGTCCTCGTTTTCGCCCGTACTGCGTATTCGAAGAGTAGCGGGAAGCACCAAGGCGTTTTGGGGCGATGGTATATAGCCAAATCGCAGCACAGCATCATCCAGAAGCTCTCATGCCTTGGAAGCGGTGCACCCATCCTCACATGCCGGCATGTATCTATCGCACTGCTGCAGGTGGCCACTGCAAGCCCAGCGCTGATAGAGGGTCCCCCCACCAACACCCGGCAGGCACCCCTCCACTGCCACTGTGCCTCGAAGCCCGTCACGCGCAAAGGCTTGACCTGCATGGCATTTCCCAGCTCAGGGACTCTCGGCGGCGGTAGAATTATTACGTCGTCCCTCACTAGCTGCCCGCTAGCCTCGCCCGACCGTCACCACGGTCCCTATCGTGATCACCGCCCCTCTTCATTACCATTACCAAACGTCCCTCTTCTCCCCTCTCCCCTACCGCTGGTTTACTCCGTTCTTTTCTGCCAGGAAAGACCCAACTCCGTTGCTCGATATTCACCCTCGATAATTCCGCAGCTTCCGGTCTCGCCGGACAACCCTGCCCACCATGTTCGCCTGGGCAAAGAAGACGTATGTCCACACTTCCAAGACCACAAGCCACAAGGGGGCGTGCACTTTCATGCCTCGCGATAACCCGCGCTCCCTGCAAGACCCTCGATACGTGCCTGGCCAGCAAGACTGACATTGCACGTACTCTCTGCAGGCTCGCCGATGCTGTCGGTACCGAGGAACCCATCTATGGGCCCTCCGCGATCCAGTCCGTCGCCGAAGAGGCCAAGACAACCCCTTACACCGAGCTTACCAGAGACGACATGAAGTGGATCGTCATGAACTCAACCTCTGTTGAGACCATGAGTTTCTACCTGATGTCCGACAGCGGCCACCTCGCCCTTGCCCAGGTCATCTATAGTAATGTGGCGTGAGTAGCAAGTCGGCCGCAAATTGAGCTTGTCATACACAAGGCTGACCATACATGGCACCGCAGCGGCATCCGCACCACGGTCCAGTTCAACACAAAGGTCTTCTACCCCGACGGATCAAAGCCGCACCTCTGGTCCTCGACTCCCCTCTCGGAGCACGAGTTCAGCGAGGACAAGACCGCCTTCTACGCCAAGGACTGCGCCGTCGAGCTTTCCGAGGATGGCAAGAGCTACAGCATCAAGTCGATGAACGACCAAAAGGCAATCGTCAACCTGAAGGTCACGCAGTCCGCGCCCGGCTTTGTCGTCGGAAAGAAGGGATTCAGCTACTTTGGCACCGACCCGGCGAATCCGTGGGGCTCCATCAGACACGCCTTCTGGCCCAGATGTGTGGCAGAGGGCACCATTCTGACTCAGGACGGTCCGATTGACTTCAAGGGCAAGGCTTTCCTCTCGTTTGCGATCCAGGGCATGAAGCCACACCACGCCGCCGCCCGCTGGAACTTTGTCGACTTCCAGGGCCCTACACATTCTGCCATCCTCATGGAGTACACCACACCACCGTCGTACGGCTCGACCTCCGTCCCTGTGGGCGGTGTAGCCAAGGACGGCGAGATCATCCTGGGCGGCGCCTCATGCTCAATAACACACACCAAGACCCTGCTCGACGAGGAGACTGGCTGGGCTGAGCCTGCCGAGTCCAAGTATGTCTGGACTGGCACGACCAAGGACGGGAAGCCTGTGGAGGTTGTCATGGAGGTTGTGCTGGAGAAGAGGCAAGACCGTGTCGACATTATGGACGAGGTCCCGGGTTTCGTCAAGAAGATTGTCGCCGGCGCTGTCGGCACAAAGCCGTACATCTTCCAGTACATTCCCGTGCAGAAGGCTGCGACGTTGAAGCTGAAGGTCGACGACCAGGAGGTCACTGAGGAGGGCCAGCTGTTTGTGGAGGCGACCTTCATCTCGGGCATGGAGGGATCTAGCTAGAGGCGCAAATCCAGGAGATGAGGAGGGCTGCTTGAGCACTGTGTGGCGCGTTGAGAACAAGATGAGGCAGACGGCGGGAGGCGACTCTCTTTGGTAACTTCCCTAAGACCATAAGCATACGCTTCGTACAGTAGATTTCAAACACGGCTGCGTTTCCGTCTACACCAAGCTCCCGTTCCCTAAGGTACGCTTACTGACGCGAAACTGGCTGGCTTGCATGAACACCTCCGTTTGCCCACGCGACTGCAGGCGGCAAGCAAGCAGCCGCCTTTCAGAGCGCTGGACTGCGCAAGTGGGGCACGCAGTTGCAGCTCTTGGGCCTGGGGGGCCTTGCCTAACTTCTAGCGCCCGCCAGGGTTACCGTACTTACCACTCCACTTCAACCTGGACCACTATTCAGACCTAGTAGGAACACGGCGCGTCAGGCGGCTAGTCCTCCAATCCAGCAACGACAACGACCGCCAGCCGCTATACAAGGCCCAAGGCTTGCGTTGCGCGAGATCTTGTGGCCTGTCGGGCAAACTATCCACCAGGTCGCCGTTCCCAGGCGTGTGCCTGGACTCTTCACAGGCAGACCAGCACGTGCAAGGTCGGGGTCTTGTTGACCGGAGCAACGAGGCGCATTCAGCAACAAGCCTACAACACAGCCCCCGCCTCCACCAGACACCAACCAACAACAACCCAAGTATAACCTGCACGTCGTTCACATCAACAACGCTTTGCAATTGTCTGCGCAACCAGATCAACAAGATCTCTATACCGCCACGGGCAATATTGTTTCCCCCGCCCCTCTGTCTCCGTCTTCACTTGCAACCGGGAAATTGAATAGCTCGGTCTTGGTGGTCACACGATGCCGGGCAAGGGTGTCGCGACGTCCGTGGGCAGCAGCAGCCGTTTTGGCTATGGCGGCAAGGGGAAAGGAGCGAGAGGACTCGGAGGAAAGGAGGTGAGTTGTTTTGTGTCTGGTCACCATGTTGTTCCAATATTCTTGGGAGGACCTGAATAATAAGCTCACGTTGCTATCACGACTTGCTTTCTTGGCCGCGAGGTGGCTTCTATCACCTTTGTTTGGATGAAGTCGATGTGAGGGTCGCGTGTCAACATGAACTAGCTTGCTGACGCAAAACCATAGGGCGCCAAACGGCATCGGTGAGTACGAGGCAGAGAGACAGATCTAGCAGGGAATGGGCTCTAACCGAGGGTCTACCCCCGCGCAGCAAGGTCCTCCGGGACAGCATTCGGGGCATCAGTAAGTCGCTTGTCCGACGTTACATCATGCCGCGGGCTTATCGCGGTAGTTGCGGCGCTTTACAAGTTGTGGAATGAGAACGCTGACGCCCGATCCCTCTTGATAGCGAAGCCTGACATCCGGTGAGTCGTTTGCCGCATCAGCATATTTGAATGCGCACGACCTTAGAGTGGAACCGCCGCCCATCGACGGGGACCTCGCAGACCACATTGAAACCATACTAATTGCGGCAATTCCTCTTATCAAAGACGGCTCGCGCGGCGCGGTGGTGTCAAGAGAATTTCCGGAATGATTTACGACGAAACTCGTGTGGCTCTCAAGGACTACCTCAGGACGGTACGGCTCCAACCTCATGCCTTTTACACTGACTCTCGCATGCCCACTATCTGTGACGCTTTTCATCGTCTTCAGGCAACACTGCCTCTGTTGGGAGGTTCCTGAGCTGACAGTGGCAAATCACATAGGTTCTTCAGGACTGCATTGTGTGCATAGAGCACCGATCGGCCAAGACGGTCACGATTGGCGATGTTAGTCTCTCTGTAACCAGCAACATCCTCGTCCTTTTGAGTCCCTCTTGCCTCTCCCGTTCTCTCGCCATTAACACGCTTTGTCAAATAGGTTTTGTTTGCACTCAAGCGCCAAGGCCGTCCTATATACGGCTTCGACAATGAGACAGGCCGCCACTGAAGCTCAGAAAGTCAAGGAAGATCCTAAGCACGATTTCATATCGCGCCCCTGTTTTGAAGAAACCGTGGAGCGTCGTCGATCTCTGAACTCGCAAGCTGTCTTGTAAGGAAAGAAAGACGACAACCCTTGTTGTGAGCCGATGCGATAGTATTCACGGCTATCCATAACTTTTCGACTTACCAAGGTCACCCACCCATCCATGAATGGTGCGCCTAGCTATCAGACAGGCATGCCTGTCTCTGAACTAGGGTCTTCTGTCCATATCAGCACAACAAGTCGGGCCAGATCAGCAGTGTTCGATAAATAATCACCACTTGATACCCCCATGATGAACGGAAACTACCTACTCGCAATCGAGGCAAGAAGGCACACAAATTACGGGCAGTTCTCGCCAGCCATCGAGGAAAGAAAGCTTTAGCGACTTCTCCACATCAGAACTGCTCACTCCACGGCGACGACGGTTGCCTTGCGACACCATCTCACACTTAGCGCTGTTTTGACAACTCTCTATCTAAATGGTCATACTTTGGAAGGGTGTGAAAAACTGGGAATAGTGCATCGCAGCAGGACGATTCAACCCAGCTATGCACAGCCGTTCACTCGGTCCGCCTGTCTTCTTCTCTGAAATTACGTTTCCCGTTCAGACCTTCTCTTTTTTTTGTCGTTTTTTACCGAGCCATTGCGCATTTGTTTTCGCCTTCATCGTCTCCTAATGTGGGTAACTTCTATGGTCTCAAGATTCCAGGGTAGTTACGCATGAGAGAGCAATCCGGCATGATATTGAGCAAGCGAGTGCGCTTGTGAGAGCACAGACGAATGTCAAGACAAATAAATAGATTTCAAAAAAACGGCATGACGGTATGCAGGCGAGGTCGTGAAGAAAGTACTGTGCTCTTTCGGGCAATTCACTTCGACACTGTGTTCATCACATCATTTCTTGTAGCACATGCATGGATCGCTACCGAGAGAATGTCAGTGACACAGCCGTAGCCTGCAGCCACTGGGGTTTTGCATGGCTCCGATAGCACAAGATGGACTCTAATAGTATATAAGTTGGTGGATATTATTTGAACGTGCCTGAAAAGACTGAGATTGAACTGGACTGGCTAGGACCGGGTATCATGTTTGAAGCGACAGGGTATATCAAAGAGAAAAGGAGTCCGAGAAAGAATAAACAGCAGAGAACGCCGCGACCGAGACGACAAACCCCAAACCCTCTTCCCCTTCTTTCCTGTTTCCCACGACTGACTTCTACGCCATTTGTGGAAGTCCATTAAAAGTAAAATAATGATAAACAAACAATTCGGTATGTTGGCAATTTAGTCCAGGGGGGCCCCCAAATCCAATCAAGAAGTGAAGTGAAGTGAAGTGGTAGACTTCCTTGTCGAAAGTAAGAGTTTGTTGTGTTTGTGTTGCACGTCTCGTTGCTGCGTGTGTGCGTGTCGCGGACACGCAGACAAGCATACGCACAGACAGACAGGTGGAGTTTGTTCATGACCCAAGCTTCAAGCTTCTGAGGCGGAGGCGGAGGGCAAAAACCATTCGTGCATTCACAACTTCCTGCGGCGCTTGTTCTCCTCCCAGCCCTTGAGCACCTCGTCGAGGGCCCGCGTGGCCTTCTGCTCGGTCCGGCGGACGTGTCCGCAGAAGATCTCGGGCAGGTCCATTGTCGCGCTGTTGGCGTGCTGGCTGGCGAAGCCCACGGCGGCGTCCTTTCCGCAGCGCTCGCGGGTAACGCGGACGGCCTCGTGAAGCAGATCCGACCCGACGCCTTGGTTGCGGTACTTGGTCTTGATCGTCCACGCGCGGATCACGCCCTTGCCCGTGTAGAAACCGCTGCCATTGCCTCCGACCCTGCGGAGCTGTGTCGAGTTGTTGCGGGCGCGGTGGTGGCGTTTTGTAAAGCCGGTGCTGTTGCTGCTGTTACTGCTAATGCTGCTGTAACTGCTCGTCGTCGTGTGCGAGTTGGCACCGGTGCTCATGCCGCCAAGGCTGCTGCTGATGCTGCTGTTTGACGCGGAGCGGCTGTGGCTGCTGAATGAGCCCGAGGGCGAGGGTGATGCGGACGCAAAGGTTGGAACTTCGAGGCGTAACACCAGAGCGCCGATGAGCTCCGACCGAAACCGCACGCCAATCATCGTGTCTTCCTCGCCGTAGTTGCTGTTCTCGTCGCCACTGCCGCTGCTGCCATCTGCGGCTCCGGATGAGACGAGGAGCCACGACCATCGCAAGCCAGCGGCGAGCCGCGCATAGTGCGAGGTCAGGAAGCGGATGCCGAGAAGATAGGCTGTGACGACGCTCGAGTGCAGCACGAGACTGGTGGCGAGGTCGCAGTGGCGCGAAAACTGCTGCGTCGCTGCGAGGCATGCAGTGAGACTGGCTAGAAGGCAAGGGTGCAGGGCCAGGTAGCGGTAGGCAGACTGGCGCTGCTGCGCGATGGAATCTGCCACGAGGTCGAGGGCATCGGCCTTGTCGTCGTGGGCATCGAGGATGCCGATGGAGAGGGGCGGGAGGTCGTCCGGGACAACGGGCAGGTCGCTCATGGCGGCCCTCCGCCTGCCAGCGGCAGCGGCACCGGTGACCCCGCGGTTGACCTTTGCGAACGGCACCGGCGACGGCGGTGTCCAGCCATGGGACGCGGTCGGCTCCAGATACGGGGATGACGCGGCCGAGGGGACAGCTACGAGGTTGGCGCGGAGAAATGTAAAGAACGCTGCATTGGTGGTTCGTGTGTTAGTCCAACAGTGTTGCGTGGTGCTGCCAGGATATGCTTCGACTAAGAGCACCCGTGGCTGCCGACACACAGGCACTAGCCTGCACAGCACAGACGGGAAGAGTGGGAGCACTGGGTATGTGTGCGGGTTGTATGCCGCGGGCCAGCCATCGGAGATCCAAGTGGGACGAGAAGCGATCCGAATCGTCACGACTCAGCCGTGTCTTGCTGAGACAGGGCGTCTCGTCATACCTTCCGATCGTGACGAGGAAGGTCGAGCCGGGATGCCGTCGTGTGCGTGTGTATGTTGCGTGTTCAAGGAAACGGGATGGCACGGCACCATGCGATTGTGCACCAGTGGTCCAGTTCCAGTCTGATACCATGGAACGCGGGGCAACGAAGGAAAAGTCGCAATGTCACTTACCAGTGCTTGTCCTCAAGCCGGGAACAATGTTGAGCTTATCAATAAAAGCGTCGTGCCCATAGGCGCTCAGGTCGAGCTCGCGCGGGACGAGCTCCGTGGGGGCCATAATACGCGTGGTGGTAGCCATCGTGTATCACAGCCAAGAAGATGCGTGGAAGCTGCTTGAGATTTGAGTAGAGGAGACACAGGGTGGAAAAGGCCTCGCAGACGACGGTTATGCCGAGATTTTCTCGCACCCTGCTGCCTGTTGTTGAGATTATTTACTTTCTTCTCTTCGTTTTCTTCCCCTTCTTGTCTCGGCTCGGCTGTCCTTGGCAACGGGAGGTCGTATCGTTGCACTGAGAAAGCTTTGACGGTGGTGAGCAGGGTCCCCCGGCGAACTCGTCAGTCCAGGGTGCCCAGCTGAAAGCGGTGATGATGAGCCACAGTAAATAATATCGGGGCTGGCGGGTCAAGATGATCCCCTGTGAAGTTGGAAGAGTTGGAAGAGGACCGCAGGTTGAAAATGAAGGCAAAAAAGCACCCGACAAGTGACGAGGCGCGTCGAGTATCCTTATCTTGCGTCGAGCTTCTTGTTGAGACCAGCTCGGGTTGTGGGTGGTGGGGGGCCCGGAGCTGTATTAGTGTAGAGGAAGGACAGCCAGTGGTTGTCCCGGTGGTGTGCTGCTGCAGCTCGCCAGTCAAAAGCCTTCGTAAGTGCGTGGGCCCGCGTTCTAAAGATGAAACATCGAAACAGACCAGAAGGGCAAGAGTCTGCTTGGAGGGTCCGAAGAGAACAGAACGGAAAGGGAGGACGATCAACAAGGAGAGGAGAGGGTCGGGTATGCGCTGAGGGGTGGGATGTGCGTCTGGCAAGACTCTGCACGATGCTGGGACACGATCGACATATGACGCCCAAGTAAGAGTATTGCAGGAGCAGAACAGGCGAGGTTTCTTGTCTACGTCGACGACGGCAAGGCAAGTGGCAGCAGAATGTGAGCCACGGGCGAGCGGGCGTGCGACGGCGAAAGGGGTAACCAGATTATAAGTATCTGGGCCATCAACACCTGGGGATCTGTATGGCAAGGCCGCAATCTGAGACGCTGGCGATAAGTCGACGCACCCTCGCGCTCGACGACGCACTCCATGCAGGCGCCCAGACGCCAGAAGGGGGCAGGCCCCCTGGCCTCCCCGCCAAGGCGAGCACGCCAAAGGAGCCAAGACTTTGGTCTTGAGCACTTGTCCAAGATGCTGGACGGTGTGGATATCGTCGTGGGCCAACAAGCGAATGGGAGGCGGCTCAAATCTGCTCATGGCCGGGCCGTGGCTTGGGTCGCGTGAGGCTCGCCGGCAGCGCTGGACGAGACGCTCCCTTGTTGCGAAATGTGTGGCTCGACTAGTGGCATCACGATGGCTCGCGGGTGGCTCGTGGATTGGCCTGCTGGTTGTTGGTTGTTGGCAGCGAGCCCACCCCGTGGCACTATTGCGAGCTAGCACCCCTCGTGGGGTGAGTCTGGGCCTCGATGGCGTTGCGCGTTCTTCCGAGATGGCCTGCGGTTCTCCCTGTGTTCCTTGAGCTTTTTTTTTTCTCTGATTGCAGCAGAACCTGCGCTGGTCTGATCAGTAAGGCGGGCGTTGCAGTCGGGTGCTTGGCACCACGGCCGCCGCGGGACGGTCGAGAGCTAATTGACCTACACTGTAGGTCAACGAGGACGTCGGGGTGGTCGTCCCATCCCCGCCAGGCGTGGGTTTCAGGGTCCCTGTCTGGTCTTGGGGCTCCGCTCCCCACCAACAGCAACAGCAACAGCGACCCAGCATGGCGGGCGGGGTGCGTGCCTTCCAAGGTTGTCTCGGCCGGCCACAATGACATTGTCCGCCCAGGCAGAGCACTGCTTGCCACTGTTTGGCGCTCTCACGGACCGACCACGTCTCCCCTCCGACTCTTGACAATGGCTCGCGTCCCTGTGAAGACGTAGACCAGCTGTGCTCGGCCTATTGCTGTCCTCGCCGCCGCGCCGCCTCCGCGCGTTGGCTGACGGAAGCATGCACGTTCTGAAACACGGAGCCCGCTGAGGAGAAGGCGATCCGCGACGCCTGGCCGCCCGTTCCCCAGCCTGCACCCCAACGCCTCCAGATGCGCGTATCATGGCAGGCAGGCTCTGTTTGAAACATCCATGCCACGGTAAAAGCTTACGTCTGTCTGTCCTGTCTTATCTGGTCCGTGCCAGTCCGTGCCAGTCCAGACCTCACACGTCCAAGCCTTCGTGGCTCGGTCCCTTCCGTGCCTTATTCAAGAAACGACCCTCCGCACTCCAGCTGGATAAATGCCAAATAAGAGAAGGGCCTCCTCCTCATATGCTGCTCGCACTTGCAGATATCTCGGCTTGCCCTTATCGTCCACCTGCAAGCATGCCAACCTGCCAACGCCTCCCATAGACCGTGCCCGCTTATCGCGCTTATCACCCTGCGCACACCAAGGAGCAACGCGCGCTCTGGTTGCTGGATGTGGGGGTGCACACCATTACCGCATCACGGCGGGCCTCCCAGCTCGTGCTTGGTCCCGATAATTGCAATGCTGCTCGATCCAGCCACCATCCCACTGCAGTCACCCAGTAACATGCGCCCCTTATCTACCTGCACGAATCCTACTGCTTGGCTTCCATCATTGCCTCCTCTTGGGCATTATGGTGCGTCTCAATCGACGCCATCTCTGCCTTAAGTATGTGCTTCGACCCCGCCTTCTGTGTCCCCATACATACCCCAGTCCCATGTCCTCCGAGACACCCGTGGACACACTTGAGCAGAATCTCTCGACCAGATAGATGCACTCAAGAGAACAGAGGTCATATCATTCTCGTCCCGAAGTAATCTTGTACACCTGTATTCCACCACTACAGTGATTAGGTGTACTCTTGTCCTCGCTAGCCCGACCAGTGTTTTGATAGTCATTCCGCTCATGAACATGGATCAGCACTGGGATCATTGACGAGCTTATTGACACCAAGCAACAGATTTCGGATGCCCCCTCTTGCGACCCTCATTGCCTCTGGACCACAAGGGATCAGACTGGCATCAACCAACCGTGGTGGTTTCGTGGTGCCATCGCCAGGATGCAAGCTGGGCGCTCAGCATGTGTGAGGCGTGGATGGTCACCAAACCCCGGGCGTCTTGTCAATCAACGTGGGAAGGGTGAGATGAGTCGTTGTTGCTTTGCCCAGAGTCGTGCTTTGCCGGCCGCTGAGTCAACAAGTTGCAAGATGCAGCTCCTTTGATGCGAACCATTTGGGCGCACCAGCAAACAATCGTCGAGGCAGGCAGACAAGTATCGGCCGCCAGTTCTTGTTCTGCTCATGTGTGGGTAATCTTACATAAACCTGCATACTCTCATGCAGGCCACGAGGATGGACAGTCCTACGGCCTCTGGCGCTTCCCATTGGCAGGCCGCTCTGGTCAAGAGACCTTCTCAATAGCCAATCACCACCACCAGCTGCGATGGCTTTGGGCTCGCTTTGATGCTAGCAAAGGCCTTGCTGTTGCATCCTGGCACTCATGACTTTGAGTGTTATGCTCTAGCCAGAAACTCACCAAGCGAGCCAAGGCCCTCGAGCAGCTTCGATGTCCCAGTAGAGAGAAAGACTTTGGGAAGTAAAGAGGAGCAAAGGGACCATGTTTGAAAGGGGGCCCGTACGCCAGGTGCCCTGACTTTGACATTGCTGGCCCAATTTGCCCACGCGCGTACATCGAAGCAGGGAGCGTGAATCCCTCCCAATCAGGAAGTAAGCACCCACTTATTGTTCCGCGTCTCATCAGCCCTATGAGCGATCGATGCCTCTTTGACGGGCCTGCCGTCGACCTTGAAGATTTTGACAGCCATGGATTGGACAGAGTTTCTTTGTCACCAGCCCGGCCTGTGTGAGGCAGGCAATCCTTCACGAACCAGTTCCAAGGCTTGCACTCGCGATCCTGCGCTGGCTGTTAGGGTTTTGTCGCTCATGGCAGGAGCGCCCCTTGAATGATAAATGTCTGGCTTCGCCCCCCACCAAAAGACACAACCAAGATGCTTTCCCCGTGAGATGGCTGCTCCAACCGGCGAGAACAGGCACGGACAGCCCGGCAAATTGGGATTGCTGCCGGGCTTATTCTGGCAGCCGGCGCAAAATCCACAGAGATGGAAGGCTCCTCCCTCTCCAGCAAGGCCTCTTGTGTCGCGCGTGCAACGCACTGCGACGCCTCCACGATGCCATCGCCCATCTACAGCACGGACCGGGTGTCTAGTCGCTTGGGCCCGCTTGGCTTCTCGCTTCTCTTGCCATCACGAACCAGCTCGGTACTTGCTCTCCACTGTCACGAGCAGACCGGCATACTCGGCACTGCATCATCCACTTACGTCAGAGTGGCCCGGGCCCTTCTCCAAGTCAGCAGCAGCACGCACCCACCCGGCGCGGGCACGACGCGGAGGATCCGGGGGCTGCGAGACACACAGAGGCTACATTACAGATTACAGACACACGGGCAGCAGCCCCAGCCCTTCGAGTTAACTGACTGACTGACTTACTGACTGACGGTCGGTCCCAGATACGATCGGTTTCCGCATCGCCCTGGGGGCTCGGTCTGACGCCGCCGGGGCTGCTGATTGGCGCAGGCGCCGAGTCCTGCAGTCAGCATTCCCGCCCTACTCAGCTGGGCCCATGGCTGTGCGCTGACGAGGCGTTCCCGCAACCTCAACCGCAGCCCAGTCTGCCTTGTTGCCTGCGTACTTCACCGAGTCGCCCTTTTGGCCCCCAAACACCCTCGCCCTGGCTGACGCTTTTCCCCTGGGCCCTGCCCACGCTCTGCCGACATGGTGCAGCCGGCTCTTGGAGGCAGCCGGCCTCCGAATGGCTCGTTTCCTTCGATGCCCACGGTCTTGCCCGCCTGTCCTAGCCCTGCGAGGCCCAGATGCTCCCTCCCGGCAGCTCCAAAAGTCCTACCGTCGTCATGGCTGGCCAGAGTGACTCTTCCTGCTTGTCCATAGTTATAACCATGCCACGGGTGGCGATCTTGCATGGACCACTAGTCTTCCGTTCCTGTTAGTCGCCGTCGTCCTTGACACCTCCGGCACCCACCAAGCCTCGTCCTCGTAGACGCAATGAACGCCAAAAAGTCCGAAATGTTTGCCCCAGGCAGGCGGGACTCGATCGACTCGGACTTTCACGAACGCGAACCGTCGCTTAGGCCACAGTCGACCAACACCTCCACCGACTCACAGTCGTGGCCTTCAAGTCCCAGCATGTCGCGAAGAGAGATGCCCGGGCGTAGTGAACCACAATCTTGCGTGTAAGAAGATCGCCCAACCCGATGCCGTACCTGTCGCCTTGGCTCTATAGATCTTGACATTCGGCAGGGCCCGGTCACCGGTAACGGAGGACTGTGCGACTCAGCAGTTTTTAGTCTGGGCAGCCATAAAGCGCAACCGATCCGTCAGAATGGCTGCCAACGATCGGCTCAAGTGCCCTCTTGTGCGCTGTGGCGAGCGGTTCGACGAGCACGAGACGATGCTCAGGCATCTCGCAAAATGCCAGCACCTCAAGACTGGCGAATACCTTTGCTACGAGTGCATGCAGGTCGAGCGGTTCAACGACGGCAGCCGCAGGTGTTGCTCAACTCAGCCAAGCAAGAGGAGGAAGATTGTGAAGCTTGCGAAGAACTTCTTCTCGAATATTGGCAACAAAGCCCGGCGCGCCGACGCAAATGTGATGGATCAGGATGACAGCACTACGCCGCCGCCAGCCTACGACGAGATGGTGCATATGAACATCACAGAGTCGGATGTTGATCAACCGAATCCTCAACTAGAGCTCAATGGCAACGAGATACTCGAGTTGGATGCAGAGGTAGTACATCAGTTGGATCCTGTCAACTACGTTGGGGACGTGGGGCATCAATCAAGACAGTCCTTATCAGAAGCGCAAGGTAGAACAGCCTTGTCCCATCATCATGTGCCGGTCGACACAAACACCCAACAACAGTGCAGTTCGTTGTCGACGTACGGGGGACAGCATCGACCTGTGGCGCAGAGCCCTGCCCCTTACTCGCCGTCCGGTTTCCGGCGCCCATCGCTGGCTCTGAACACTGAGGTCGACCAGTACAGAAAACTCGCACATGGCAAGTATCTTACACCCAGCTCGTCAGTTCGATCACAACAGAGCTCGCAACAGAGTGCGCATGGTGTATCACCTATCACTCCATGGAGTGCGAGCTCACGAGCGTCAGGGGTGAGCGCGGATTCGTGGGCGATGGCCTCAGGAATCAACACGCATATGACTTCCCCCACCAGTCCCATAAGCCCTCTCGGCAACGATGCCGGCATGACCAACGTCTTTCACGCAATCAAGCCGCAGTCCTTCAGCTCCTGCCCTGGAAATGCTGCAGCTACTTACTCTGAGAAGGGGCGGTCGAAGCAGCCTGCCGATTACAGTCAGCCTGATCCGATGGCTTCAAACATTTCGGATCACGTTCTCTTTCCGTCAACACAGGAGAGAGAGACCTACTCTTGGCTGTCTTCTGTCAATACCGAACTTTCTTTAGGAACCTCGGTCAATGTTATGTTCTCGAACGACCACACCACATTTTCGGCCGACTACCCGGCTTATGCAGAGACAACGCCAGCTACAGACGCAGGCCGGCTTTTGGTGGACTCTGTATGGGAGGCGCTACGTCAGCACGTCGAGAGCTCCTTCTCGAAAGTGGTTGAGCTGGGCAGCAACCCATTATCCCTGCGGCTACGGCAGGAATCGGCAATATCTATAGCCACGAAAGGGTTTGAGAGTTTGCGCAGCATCTTGAATGGGAGAGACCCTTCAGATCCGCTCGACTATCTATGTTTCGTGCATCTTGTGTATGCATTTTCTCTCGTCCTCCATGAGGACGATCTCGTGCAGAGATCGGAGATGCTCTTCAAGCAGGCCCTGGCCTATAGGGGCTTCTTGAACTCGGACTGGTCCGGCTTTTATTGTGAGTTGGTCACTCGAATATGGGACCCAAACGTACATACGGCACGTCAGGCGGGTGGTATGCTCTCTCCTCACCAGAGACTGAGCGGCAGAGTCACAAGTGGCCAGTTCCGCACGACGCCAGCCACAACCGTGGACAAGGACGCACTCGCGACAGTTTCACAGGATTTCCTGGACGGTAAATTTTATCCCCGCCTCTTTCAAATCCGCAAATAGCAGGTACTGATTTTCAGCAGAATTCGAAAGCCTAGTGCTCAACAGCAAAAGTATGAAGCCTGCCGACATTCTCGCGTCCGCGCTATGGTCTACTCATATGGAAGACCTGCACACGGACCCCAGGTCCAATCAGCCATTTGTGGCTAGCGCAAACTACATCATCAATGTTCTTAGCCAGAGCTTCCGTGATAGTCCTGGCCTGACACAGCGTCTCCGAGTTGTCGCGCAGCGAGTACGCGATCAGGCCGTATCTACAGTGAGAAGGCTGGAGATGGAGTTGATGCAGGCTGGCAAGGTGCGTGCCCTGACGGCTTGGTTGGTTGCGATGGGCTGATGACTGACTTTCCCGTGAATAGGTTGTTCTAGAGAAGTCTGTCTTCTTCGACAAATATGTGCCACAAGTCCGACGGCAGTGTACCAGCCTATATCCAAAACATAGTAACAATCCCAGAGTCAGATATCACACGTTGGCCGCCTCGTTCGCCGAGCAGTTACTACAAAGCGCGGCGAGAGACAATACAATGCCGCAACACACCCAAGCTGCAGGTATACCCAGCATATCAATGAGCTTGACGGAGTCACTGGACGCTTTCTTTCCATTGTCGATGAACGACCCCTTCGAAGTGCCCGAAGGCATTGAGAACTTTCTGCAGCCATCCGCGGCCCAGGGACCTCACCAATATCACCAACCCGATCCTGCTACTCCCATGCCGCTTGGCCTTCCCGGCCAGCACATGAACATGGTCTCATTAAATGCCAACATCGAGACGCCTTTTCCTGCCAGCTTTCCCAACGCCGGGGTGTCGACACCCCGCCTCATGACCGCTAGCCATTCCCCAGCCAATATATCGCCTGCTGAGCCATCCGAGGTGCGCGCACCGGGACGCACGAACGGAACCCCGTTAAAGATGCGACAGGAACAACCAGCATCCAAAAAGGCTCGCATCACCTATGGCACGAGAGATGTTGCCCCCAAGGACGATGCTGCACAGGCATCGACTGCATCGCCAGCGGCAGTTCCGTCGACACCACAGGTCGAGGCAAACAGCTGCTGCGAGATCTGCGGTTATAGACCCAAGGGAGACCCACAGTGGTTCAAGGGCAGCATGGCCAAGCATAAGAAGCTGCAGCACTCGAATGAGCCCCCAACCATCTATCGGTGTCCGTTCCCTGGGTGTACAAGTGCGTACAAGAACCGCCAGGACAACCTCCGTCAGCACCAGATCGAAAAGAACCATTTCGTCGATGAACAGGGGCAGCAGAGGCGCCCCAACAAGCGAAAGAGAGCTTCTTGACAGCGTAGTGTCGTAGGCAATTTGGTTGCGTGGACGACAGTTTTTGGTCTCCGACACTGCCACTGCCGTGCATATGCGCTGGTCGCCTGCGTGGCCGTCATTCTATCTCTCAGAAGCGCTTCAGCTCTTTGTATCCCTCTTCCTTTCTCTCACCGCGCAGGCAGCAGTTTGTCGGGGCTTTCGCCTCCTCATCACTCGTTTTCTCATTCTTTTGCTCATGAAAATACTCGACGTTCCGTCCGAAGCGGACATTTTGGGTTTTCTTTCGACCGGGTAGCCATGAGTACACGATCTGGGAACTTTTTGGGAAATTATTGGACTAGACAATTTGGAGCGCATGGCGAAAGGTTGGCGGGCGTTTGGTCTGTTGTTCTCGTTTTGGTCACTTTGCTTTTTTTTGGTTCAACGGGAAGGGCACTAGAAAGTTTTCTCTGCCGAGCAGAGAACGAAGTATGAAATAACATGCAACCAAGGGAACAAGTTGCATTTGGGTCGATTTTGCTCCACTCAGACAGGAACCCAAGAGAGGTTACATCATGACGATACCATATACCTGGCTTCTCTGACATTACATATTTTGTCACAGTGACAGTGTGGCCTGCCAAATCTACATGTTTATCCATTTCTATTCGTGTGGGGTCTTGTCTCTCGTGATAACGTGGCTTTCATGACCTTCTACCAAGGTAGGTATGTTTTGCTGCTTCTCCAACAACCAAATGCCAATGCAAGAAAGGAACACAACGCCTGATAAATTGCGATCAAAATTGCGAGAAAATCCCCGGACGACTCTCTCTCCGAAATGCTTGCTTCTTTGTCACGTCTGCTGCTGCTGCTGCTGCTGGCTGTCCTGCTCTCTCTCTCTCTCTCTCTTCCTCAAGCATCAGGATCCTCGGACGGCATCCGCGCCTTGGCGGCCTCGAGATCGACAGCTATCTCGTCGACGACGCGGGACAGCAGGTCGCGCGCCCAGCAGATGGTCACCATGATGGCGAGCGCGTTCCACTGGTGCTGGTTGCTCTCGGCCATGTTGAGCGATATGGGGATGTTGCACGGGGCCGCCGGGTCCTGGGCGTCGAGGGTGACAATCATGAGGGTATGCTTGAAGATGACGAAGCCGAACAGCACGGGGGCCTTGGTCTGTGATGACGAGAATGATGTTGGAGGCGGGCATTGTGGCTGTGCTTGGGTGGGTGTCTTTTGCTCCTCCTCCTCCTCCCGCTCCTTTTCCTGCTGCTCCAGCTCTTCTGGTGACGCCTGGACTTCCTCGCGGGGTAGCCCTTTCCTGTGCGACGCTTTTGGTGTTTCTGTGCCGAGTTGTGGGCTCCCGCCGAGCTCCTTGGTAGAGGCGCCGTCTCCCCCCGCCTCGTCCTCCTCTACTTTGATGGTCGTGTCCCCGTCCGCGGCGTCCCAGTCGAAGCTGCTAGCCACCGACTCCTCGCGCTCAAGTTCCGGGATGCCGAGCTTCTGCCGCCACCGTCGCGCCAGAGAGTCCATGCTCTCCTGGATGAAGACGTCGCCGTGCTCCTCTGTGCTGGGAAGGACGGATATCATGATGTTGGGCGGGGTCTGGTCGCGCAGTCTCTTGAGATTGCCGTCAGACTCGGCCCAAACGCACGCACGTTCAATGGCGCGGGATATCTTGCTGGTGATAGCTGCAGATACCTCGGCCAGTCTGGCTTCTCTGGCGCCAGCTGACAAGAGCCTGTCGCTGTTGATTTCCACCTGCAGCTTGCGAAGGTCCCGAATCTGCGCGTGCACATCTATGAGTTTCCGGAATGCGGTCTCGCCTGATGGATTGTGATTAGCGTTTTCAGAGTGGCTATACTGGACCGCCGCACGCAACTGAACCTACCCTGGTATTCGAAGCGGTTCTGCATGGCGTAGATACGGGGCCGCATGCTTTTTGATTTTGTCTGGGTGTAGAAGAGAGTGTCTGGGATGGGAATGCCTCGCAGGTTGTACTTCCACGTTGACGGCAGCAGGGTGAACTCATGGCGGGCTCTGAGCACAATGTTGAGGGCCAGCTGCTCTTCCCGCCAGTCAGTAAACTCTGGCTCTTCTTGCTCGCCGGGGATCCAAGACTCGCTCATGGCCTCGTCTTGGTCCTGCTGGTCTGTAGCGGCCACGCCATCGACAGACTCTATGCTCGCCACTGCTACATCCTCTTGCGGCGATGTGGAGCGGCTTTGAGCGGTCTTTGAATCAGCTGCGGTCGCTGTGCCGCTGCCCTGAGAACCGACTCCACGGTTGAGGCCTGCCGAGCTGGAGAAGAAAGCCCGTTTTGGCGAGGGAAAGGAAGTGAAGAGGCTGAGAAGTCTCGAGGCGATGCTGGACTTCTTCTGGGCGGGCCTGCTCTTCTCGACCCTACCAGATGTCGCGGGGTGCCGCTTGGTGATTCGTGCCGGAGGCGAGCTCTGGGCTGGCCGCTGGGTGTCTGGAGAGCCGAGGAGGGTGTCACCTTCCAGACTGTGTGCCGTGTTGGGATCTGGGCGGTTGTGAGCAGCCCGAGGCGTGGACACGCGGCTGGGACGGCTGTTCCTGGCCATGCTGGCGACGGCCACTGCCATGTGGTGGCGTTATGTGCTGGTGAAGCTCGTGATGCTGACTTTGCCCGGGATGGCGGTACCGCGATCCGATATCAATCAGGGGCTGCCCTTGTCACGCTCGAGTGCTAGTCTAGAAGCTGGTGCTGGACAGAAGTACAGAAAAGGAGACACAATGGCACGAGCAATTGGCAATCGAGAAGAGAAGGTAGTGAGTGAGTAATCGAGTGAGTGAAGTGAAGTGAAGTAAAGTGAGTGAAGTCTATGTGATCTGTGCGTGGGTGGACGAAGTGGTCGGTTGGTTGGGCATGGATTGTCGAGGTTGACCCCTGGCGGTGATGGAGACGCCCCCAATTAATTTCGTGGCCAGGGTCCAGCAGCGACAACAACAACAGCGACCGCGACAACAATGCACAGGCCCGTTGCCAAAGGAAGCAGAAGATGGGTTGGATTGTTTGGGCCTTGAGAGAGAGAAAGTGCAACACGAAGAAGAAGAAAAAGGCCGGCGACAAAGCCATTGCAGAGCTTGACCTGACAATAATAAGAACAGGGCCGGCCACGTCTGCCACACGCGTGTGAGCCCACCCACTCGACTTACACCGCTTGCGGCCCGCATGCACTCTTATGCGCCGGGGCCGGGGATCCTGCCAGCCGCCCGAGGGGCACCCTTGCTCGCCATCTAAGGAAGATTTGCAACACCTGGTTGTGTCTTGTGTTGTGTCGTCTTGTGCGCCTGGAGTGGCCTCTGTTGCAGTGACTGTGTGCAGTCTCTGCAAGACTCCAAGATTGGGCAAGTGGATGAAAGAAAGCCAAGTGGCAAGGCACAAACAAGCACACGACGATAGCGCCAGTCAATGAAGTAACATGTTTCGGCCAGAGCAGGACAAGCAGCTACACCACTGCGAGTCGACGCCCTCGTGGCTTTGTCGTCTTCAACTAATAAACAAAGTTGTACTTTGAGAACGTCTAAAAGTACGTAGCTAAGCCAGGCAACAATGGGAAAGAACAATCCCCAACTCGCCAGACTGCCGGGCCTGCCGCCAAGTGGGGCAGGCACCCTACGTAGTCTGCTCGCTCCAGGGCCACATTGGGGTCAAGGTACAGATACAAACAGCCTGCGCGGCAGGCGCATGTTGTCCCAGGTACCGTGTCCCCAGCCCCTGCGCCTACGTCAGTTCCAGAAATTGTTCTGCTGCATCGCGACAAGCACAGCTGGTTGTGGACAACGTCCCAAAGCCAACACCAACAACAACAACATCCAAAACATCAACAAGCAAACACGTCCAGACAGACACTGGAATCGCGAGGTCGCATCGCAGTGTCTTTGACCACCCCGCCGACTTTGGGAAATCCCTCTGCCGCCTGGACTCCTTCTTGCAAAGCTTGCCTGGCTCTCACGATTGTCTCATCTCGCAGGCCGTCACCGGCGCTTTGTCCTGAAGAGTCAGCTTCGATCTGGCACGTTGGACCTCGCCATGGCTGCCGACTCGAGCAAACTCAAGGTGGCCGACCTCAGGTCAGAGCTGAAGCGCCTCGGCCTGCCCCAGACCGGTCTCAAGGCGGAGCTGGTGGCCCGCCTGGACGACGCCCTCAACAGCGGCGCTGCTACTGGCGCAACTTCCACCACACCTGCTGCTCAAGACGACGAGCAGCAGCCAGATGCCAATGGTGGCCAAGAAGACGCCGTCATCCCATCACAAAGCGACACCCTCGATGTCGCCACGCCCGAGGATGTCGGGCCTGCGCAGCCCTCCGGGGAAGCCTTGCCAGCACTACCACAGCAAGCTCCCGAGCAGTCCCCCATTCCTCCGACCTCGGTGGGCACTTCTGTCACGCCCGCTCCCACAGAGATCCGGCAGGACTATCAGACACGCCATCAAAGGTCAGCTAGCCCGCCGCCCAAGGCAGCTTCTGTAGCACGCGCAAACGAGGAGCAAGCCAACGACCCAGAGAGGGAGGCTCAACCTGGCGCTGAGGCCGATGACGATGCCATCATGCATGATACAGATGCACCAGCAAAGGGTGGCAGTGGCGATAATGAATCCATGCATGATGCGTCTCCACCAGCAACGCATCCCAACGAGGCAGACTACACTGATGAAATGGACAGAGATATCGCGCCCTCCATACACCCAGCAACAAATGCACTGTACATCAAGAACTTTATGCGCCCCCTACGACCTCAAGAAGTCCAGGATCATCTGCTTGAGCTGGCCACCCCCTCTGGTGCGGCGCTAGAGGACAGCTTGATAGTAAACTTTTTCCTGGACACAATAAAGACTCACGCTTTCGTCGTCTTCAGAAACACCGCTGCCGCGTCACGAGCGAGAGCCGCGCTTCACGACCGTGTCTGGCCTGACGAGACAAACCGCAAGCCGCTGTGGGTGGACTATTTCCCACCCGATCGATTCCAGGACTGGGTGTCCCAGGAGGAAGGCAATGGCGGAGGCCGGGTGTCTAGTAGCCGCTGGGAAGTCGGCTACACGACGAGTCCTGATGGCACGGTCGAGGCCGAATTGATAGACGGTGCAGAACGGCAGCAACACCCCAACCGGCAGAGGTCGATGTCTCCACGAGGAGATGCTCGCAGACCGTCGATCCCGACGGGGCCAGCAGCAGATGTCTATGTTCACGGCGCGCCTACTGGGCCGCGAAACCCAACTGACCCCGAGACAGGTTCCGCATGAACCAGCCATCTTTCGATCGCCGTGGTCCTCCTGGCTTCCAACGGGCCCCCGAGAACGACATGACCGAGACTCGCACGTATCCGCCCGTGGTCTTCAAGCCTGTCTCCAGGGATCTGGCCCACCGCCGCCTCGATGCCATTGCGCAGGCCAAGTCCAAGTACTATGATGACGGCCACCTGTCGGGCGCCGCGAAGGAGTACCGGCGGTACTACTTTGAAGACGGAGACGCGCTGGTCGACCGCGGGCCGGAAATCTTCCTAGGAATCCGGCCCCCGCACCGCGAGCGCGAGCGCAGGCGGGAGATGGGCAGGGGCTTTGGCCCTCCTGGCGGCGGCGGAGGGGGTGGCCGTGGCTTTGGACGGCGCGCAGGAGGAGGTGGCGGAGGCGGCGGCGGGCGTCGAAGAAGGAACGGCGGTGGAGGAGGAGGACGTGGCGGACGACCGGGAGATGTCCCGATGTATCATGGCGTTCCCCGTGGCGGCGATCGGTTCAGGCCATCCCGCTAAGCGTCGATGGCGATGAGGGTGGGATGTCTGATGACAAGAATGAGCAAAGGACGGAGGCTCGGCACCAGCCCCGTGCTGTGAGTCCCTAAGACCGCGCGATATAAAGACGTTCTTACACAATCGAGAAGGTCCATGGACCAGGACCAGGACCAGGACAGGGAACAATCTGGTCTTTTTTTCAAAGCAGGGAAATATATGTACAACATGACCACACATGACGAAAGCTTATGAAAACAATAGAAGAAAAAGAGACTCACACATAAAAAGAGGAAGAGCGATGAATAAAAAGCCTCGGCGCCAATTCCCTTGGATCGAAAAACCCGTGACGCAAATTCAGGTGTTGTTGTACGAGCAGTATCGGTGTATCATCACAAAATGTGTAACACCACCATGCACTTTCCCAAGTGGGGGGATGTAGAGAGAGACCTTGTCCCACGTCAACGGTCCATTATCCTTCCAGGACATGGCGGTGCCTCACGTTGTGTCACAGTCACACTTTGGAATCGTATAGACCTTTTAAGATGGGTGGTGGTACGTATGTACTTCATTATCAACGAAACTGCCCTGTTCTCCCATGTCACGAGTTGTGTGCAATCTGGACTTTTCATAAACGAAGCCATCCTTGCCAGCCCCTCGAGCTGTATTCCTGAGCAAAGCGACAAATGACAACTCAAAAAACGCAGAAACCAGCATTAACTCCAGAACTCAACCGCCGCTTCCCAAATCGACACAATCCATTTAGAGCCTAGTCCAAGCTTCTAAGCAGCAGTGGCGAGAGGCTCGGGCTGGACACCAACACGCTCCTTGCTCAGAATGTCGAGCATGAACTGTGAGGGGCGGTTGTCCTTGTAGACAGCCTGGGTAGCCTTGAAAGCGGCGACATCCTCCATGTACTTGTCAAAGAGGTAAGAGCTGTCCATGGGACCACCCTTGGCCTCAGGGTGGAACTGGGTCGAGAAGATGGGGCGGGAGACGTGGCGCATGCCCTCGTTGCTGCCGTCGTTGAGGTTGACAAAGTACTCCTTCCACTCGCTCGACAGAGTGCCGGCATCGACAGCGTAGCCGTGGTTCTGGCTGGTGATGTGGCACTGACCAGTGGTGAGGTCCAGGGCGGGGATGTTGTGCGCACGGTTGCCGTACTTGAGCTTGATGGTGCGAGCACCGGCAGCAAGGGCCAGGAGCTGGTGGCCGAGGCAGATACCCATGATGGGCACCTGCGAGGTCTCCATCAGGACGTGAAGGTTGTGGACGGTAGACTGGCAGTGAGTGGGGTCACCAGGGCCGTTGGAGATGAAAATTCCGTCGTAGTTGTCGGCAACCTTCTGGATCTTGAAGTCGTAGGGGAAGACCGTGACACTGGCGCCACGGCTGACCAAGCTGCGCAGGATGTTCTCCTTGACACCGCAGTCGATGAGGGCGATGTGGAACTTGGCGTTGGGGGCCTCCACAACAAAGGGAGCCTTGGTGCTGACCTTCTTGACCAGGTTGATCTGGCCGGGGTCGACAAAGCTCTCATCCTCATCGGCGTCGTACTCGTCTCCCACAGAGATCCTGGCAAGCGAGGAACCCTGCTCACGGAGGAAGGTGACGATGGCACGAGTGTCGACGCCAGAGATGGCGGGGACACCCTCGCGAGCACACCACTCGCTCAGGCTCTCGACAGCGGTCCAGTGGCTGTACTGCTCGGCCACATCAGAGACGACGACACCGGCACACTGAATGTGGGGCGACTCGAAGTACTTGAGGAGGTTGTACTCGTCACGCATCGACGAGGGAACGCCGTAGTTGCCGATCAGAGGCTGAGTGAAGACGAGGATCTGACCGCGGTAGGAGGGGTCGGTCATCGACTCGGGGTATCCGACAAGGGAGGTCGTGAACACGGCCTCACCAGAGATGTTGGTGTTGGCGCCAAAGGCAGTACCGCGGAAGACGGGGCCATCCTGTAAAAAGTCCTTGTTAGCCTGGTTGTCGACCTAAGAGTGCCCTTGGTGGAGATTTCTAGAGTCAAAACGTACTCGGATGGTGAGGGTGGCCTCGACGCCGGTGGCCGGAGTGGTGGCACGGTTGAAGGCCGGGGGCATCTGGCGCCCCTTGCTTCCCTGCTGGATGCGCTGAGGCGTAGCAGCAGCCTTGGTGGAGGCCGAGATGAAGCGAGCCTGAGGCTTGAAAGCCGCGGCAGTGGGCCGGGCAGCCTTTGCAGCGAGGTGGGAGAACATGTTGTTGGATCTAAGTTTGGTGCAAGGAGTGTTGGAGGGTTTTTGGGTTGGTGTGAGAGCTGGATATCTGAAGGGGGTTGATGCTGGGGACTAATCAAGACCTTTCAAGCGGAAAGAGCCCGCCACAAGTGGTCTAGAGAGGAAGCAAGATGCAAGAGTCAGTATATGGAAGGCCATTGTTTACACAAGGCGGTGAGTCTGTGAGACCTCGTCCGCGGTGGCCGGCGAGAAGACGAACCTGAGATATAATCCTATAGGAAGCGGGGTGTTAGCAGATGCAGCCGAGTCAATTGGAAGGGTATGAGGCGTGAGGGGCCGGAATTGAGGTGTTGACGGAAAATTACAGCACTCGGAGCATTGACTCGTGGCAATGCTTGAGAGACCATATTGGCTCACCAAAGGCAGCAAGCAGGGCCAAGGTGTGGGCTGGAGCGAGAGCGGAGATTGATTGGGGAGGTGTTGGGGAGGGAGGGGAACATGAGCATACCTGGGATGTGAAGACTGACGGGCGCCCGTTCATAAGGGCAGATTCGCAAGATGCGGTCAGAATATGGATATGTGATGGAAGAGTTATGGTGGGAAGGGGAAGTTGGCGAGGGTGTCTGATGGCAGCAGAAAAGTATGACTGGGGGGAGTGCAGGCGAGGGGATTCAGAGCTCAGCAAGTGGTGGGAGGCGAGCGAGAAGAAAAAAAAGGGTTGGCCCAGCTGGATGCCGCTAAATAGCGACCGCCGGGCCCAGCTGTGTGGCAGCACCGCGATAAGGTCCAGTCTGCCCGATGCGTGCTGCGTCACGGCCAATGGGCGGGTCGCTGCTCCACCCCGCCCTGTGAAAAAGTCATTGCGCATGCCGCCTCCTGCCAATCGTCGTGCTGCCAATTCTCGGTCATCGGTCCCCCTGCCCACTGCGGCCTCGGCGGGCACACGCACCCACGACTCAAGTCGCCAATCTCGGCCACCTCGACATGACCAGGTACAGACAAACAGGTACGGTAGCTGGCCATTGAAGTATGACCTCTAGGGCGACGCTCCCAGGACAGCTTGGAAATTATCAATTGGACCTCCCTCCTTCTTCTCCTCGTGCGACAATACTCTGTCTCACTCATAGCTGCTCATATCTGCGCTCTTGCTGCAACGCCCCCCAAAGTCAACCGACCGACAAAACTTCAGCGCCGAAAGCGGAGCCGCGACAATGACTGGAAGAAAGCCAGAGATGTCATATCCACATCCCAGAACCCACCACCAAGCCCACAGACCCCTACCCTTCTTCCCTCTCGGCAGTTTGCACGTTCCGCTGGCGGCGGCGGCAGAGAACAAAAAAGATCTCATGCACAAAGCTTCCACGCATCCCCACCATGCTCCGTCATATCTCGCGCCACCCGTGGCCCAAACCGGGCCAGTCATTCATTGAGTGGATGCCAGAGTGACCCCCTCACCCGGCACGGCACGGCGACTCGTGGTTCCCGGGCAGTAGGAAATCATCAGCCCGGCCTCTGGTACAGTGGCTAGCTAGCTGCCAACCCATACCCGTGACCCATTACCATGTCGCTGTCTTCCCGTAACTGCCCCAGTGAGAACTGGTACTCGAAATGCGGCAAGAATGGTATTGCTGCAACCCTGAACACTTCGGCCGCATCTGGATCCAAAATTGATGATGAAGTGTGCTGCTCATGAAACCACGTGGATTCTATGTATATACCCGCCCATCCAGTATTGCGGTTCGCGTATATCATACATGTGTCTTTTTTTGTCTTCCCTCTTCCTCTTGCAGACGTGCATGGCCGCATCTATAGGGCTCCAAGCTCCTTCAGCTTGGACACCAGGCCGTCCACATCCTCGACCTTGCCGCCGCCCTGTCTAGGAGCAGGCTCTGTGGTGAAGAAGAGCAAGTGTCAGCGATGCGATTCCGGTCTCCACCAAGGCCCTCAATCTCAGAGCAACGCTCCCGTGGGGGGTGTGGGAAGAAAAGAAGATAACAAGAGAACATACCGGTGACCTTGACAATCTTCAGTCTCCTCTCATTGTTGATGCCCAGGTCGCTCAGGCTCATCTTGACGAGGGGCTTCTTCTTGGCCTTCATGATGTTCGGCAGGCTGGCATACCGGGGCTCGTTGAGCCGCAGGTCCGTCGTGATGATCATGGGCAGCTTGGCGCGCACCGTCTCGCTGCCGCCGTCGACCTCCTTGGTCACCTCGACCGAGTCGCCCTCGCCAAAGACGACCTTGCTCGCCTGCGTCGCCTGCGGCCAGCCCAGCAGGCCCGCGAGCATCTGGCCCGTCTGCGCCGCGTCGTCGTCGATGCTCTGCTTGCCCAGGATGACGAGGTTGCTCTTCTCTTTCTCCACCGTCGCCTTGAGCAGCTTGGCCACCGCCAGGGGCTCCAGCTCGTCCCCGTCCTTGACCTCGACGTGGATCCCGCGGTCCGCGCCCATCGCCATCGCCGTGCGCAGCACGTCCTGCGCCTTGGCCGGGCCCGCGGAGATGACGCAAATGTCCTCGACGCCGCCGGGGGCCGACTTCTTCTCGCGGATTCGCACCGACTCCTCGACCGAGAGCTCGTCGAACGGGTTCATCGAGTGCTTCACGCCGGCCGTCTCGACCGCCGTCTGGGCCTTGTTGACGCGGGGTTTGACCTGGAAGGGTGGCGGGACGACATGGTTGCGTTAGCCTGCGGTTGCTGAACCTTCTTGTTCCAAGCTTTTAATTGGTGGTTGGGGAGGGAGAGGCGTCAGGTGATTGCGTTATAAGCTGAGGAGGCCGAGGTCGAGTCGTGATCGCAGCCATCCGGCCTGACTGTAGTTCGCGAAGGGGGGGTCCGGTGCTCGGCCCGAGCCAGCGACCTTGGCCAACGACACAGCACCCGCGGCTGAAAACATGGGCACGGGGCTGACCTACCGCATAGTCAATCACCCGCTTGATGGGGACGAGGATTCGCAGTGCAGACATGGTTGTGCGTTGGTTGTCGTGTTGCTGGAGGAGGGAGCAAGAGGGAGGAGGAGGACGTGGAGGAGGATTGCTGCGGGTGGGGGATCTGCTTCCCGGAGCTTGTTGTCGATGGGCCGGCTGTCTCGCGGCACGGCTGCTGCTCGGCTAGGGATATATTATGGGGAACAATCTGGGTGGGAGCTTAGGGGAGGAGGAGGGATTGATGGAGTGCGGCTGGATCTGGTGCATGACGCACGGCATGCGCAGGCATGTGCACGACCGCCTGCCCGCCCGCTGGCTCGGCCTCCGGCTCTAGCCGTGCTACAGGAGAACGCCGCTCCGCAACCTCGGGCACCCGTCTATGTCGCAAACGCTTGGCAACCTGCCCGCCAGCTAGATCATCTTGCAGGGTCTTTTCATCCCCAAAATTACGAGATGTACGCTGAATGGCTTGCGAAATAGATTGCTCAGTGGAGATAAGCAATTGCAATCGGCGGCCACAGAGCTTCTTGGCTCCGGATTCAACAGCATCGCATTGGGCCTGCAAGTCGGCATCTCACGTTGACGGCTCAATGGTCCTATTGAATATGCAGTGTATTTCAATGTAATGGGTACTTTCTAGCAATTCACCAGAGCAACGCCACCGACTCGCTATCCAACTGCAACGCAAAATCCACATGTCGTGCCGGTCTTTTTACTCCCAATCATGTACATCCTCCCGGCATCTTCGCATCTTAAACCCATAGCCCAAAAGACACAGCTCACCAGTCATCCCACTCGTCATCCTTCTTGGACGCCGCGGGTGCATTCTTATTGCCAGCCGCCTTGCCCATCGCTGAAGTGCCAATCGAACTGTGCTTCGTCGCCTGCCTCTGGTCCGCCACTGCAGAAAAGTCGTCCCAGAACGCCTTCTTGCCATCATCCATATTTGACGGCTGGTGTGATCTTGAGCCATCTGGGCCCTCGACAAAGCGGTTGAACTGGTCCTGGGCACCTCGCGCGCCGGCCTGGGCAGCCTTGCTCACGTTGCCGGCCGCAATTCTTGCCTGTGCTGCAAAGTCGGTCTCGGAAAGCTGCGAGATCACGGTCAGCCAGGCGTCAAACAGGACAAAATAATTTCGTTTTCTTTTTTGTTTGGCACACATACCTGCTTAGCCGTCGGCTGGATAAAGTCGTTGTTGACGTTCTGCGCCGTCTTGGTCACCGTGGACGCGAACCACCCAAAGCCCTTAGTCAAAGCCGCCACGGGATCCTTCTGGAGCTCCGCGAGATTCGGCACGCCCGCGCCCGCGCCACTACCCTGCGCGGGCATCGGCGTGTTGCCGAACCCGGCGTACTTGCCGCCCTGGCTCGGCGGCAGGCTCTCCGACCTCGAGGCGTTCTCCTCTCCCAGGCGCGCAAAGTACTTGTCGTCCACCTTGGCTTTGCCGCCGCCCTGCTGCTGCGGGTGTGGGCTCCCTGTGCGGCTGCCACTCGTGACACTGCCGCTAAGCGCAGGCGTGCCCGTCCGGCTGAGCGGCTTCGACCCGGGCAGAGGCCTGCCCGCGGCGCCAGGCTGGGGCGTGCTGCTCGCAGCCTTGCGCTCGCCGGGGACGTATTCCTTGCCCTCGACCTTGCAACCCAGCCGCTCCTTCCACTCCTCGCCAACCTCGCCGCTGTACCGCTCCGCAATGGTTGCGTCGTCCCAGCTGAGCCCGCGCATCTTGGTGTCCTCGTGGGCCTCGAAGAAGGCGCGCCAGCCCTCGTTGCCGCCCAGCCGCATCCGCTCAATCTCGGACTGCTTGAAGGCGTCCATGGTGACAGATCGCACAAAGGAGATGTGGACGCCCAGCCCGCGGTGGACGCCGGCGCACGAGAGGCAGATGAAGACGCCGAACTTGGGCGATGCCCATTGCGGGTTCGGCGCGCCGCAGTCGCAGCAGTTGTTGTTGTTGTTGGTCTTTTGGATCGCGAGAAGCTGTGCGAGCGGTGATGGACACACCCAGTAGTCAGCGCTTGGACATGGTCACATTGATGATGGGGGTGGTCGCCAATCTATGCAGAGCCGCAATCTGCAAAGGCGCTCACGCCTCCCTGCGCAAGGCGGTTTAGGAAATCGATGGTGACGGCAGCGTACTGACCTTGGACCTCGTCTCCGGGTCGACCTCCCACATGGCTTTGGAAGCCATCCTGGGCAAGCGGCGTGTGCGGTGTAGCAACAAAGGACGGCGAAGCGGGAAGCCAAGGGGCTCGCTGGAAGTTGGGCCTGCTGGATGAAGCGAGCGTGCGGCAGTCAAGTTCGACTGTCGAGGTTGGCGACCGTGTGACTGAGGCAGAGGCAGAGGAAATTCGAGCCTCTTTATGACGCAGAGCTGTTGTTTTCGGAGCAAGGTTTAGTCACACGAGGACTTGGGAATGCTAGCCACAGGCCGAGATATTAGGGGGGACGTCGTCGCTTGCGGAGCAGCTGCGAGCTGGACATGGACAGGCACATGGAGACCCCACACATCCCACCAGACAATGGACCAAGCAACCGCCAGGCCTGGCTCGCCCTGGCCTGGGTCACCGCGCAGGCATCCCCACTATTATTTAGAGGCCCCGAGCGAGCGGCTCAACAGCACCAGGCAGCATGACCTCCATGGAACTACAGTACCGGCCGTTGATCTTCGAGTAATTACCTCCGAGCTGGCTGAGATGCAGTGGCGTGATGAAGGCGCGTCCGGCGCCCAGCGTCAATATCTCGTCCAAATCAGACAAGGACAGCGAGTTGTTACGCTCATTCAGCAACTGAGGGTCAAGAACAAGCTGTCAAGCTCCCAACTTCGCGATCAGTTGCACTGCCCGCAACTACGTCAGTGTAAGCAAGCAGGTCAGCACAAGACGTTCAACAGCTTTGAAACCTTCAAGCAAGACGAATATGATCGATAGTTAAGAACGAGCTAAGAGAGAGTCGTGATGTTATGATAGAAATGCTCAAAATGATGGTGCAGGTGGCCAACTTCAGGCGCCCTTGTCTTAGCAACAAATTAATTCTTTTTTTCGGATAGCCAAACACAATATACCCAGAAAGCCAACGCCAGGTGTAATTCCATTAAGCAAAAGACACCCAAGACATACAAGAGAGCGCGTTGTCTGAGCTGCCCGCTATGCACGCTTGATAACCACTCTAGCCCCTCCCCCTGCATCACTCTATAACTGTTTTGCGCGAACACACGCGCATCTCCTCCAACAGGAACACTACACAAGCAGAACCTTACATGTTGGCCAGCTCGTTGTCAATCTGGCGGTCCATGAAAGTCCTGCGCTCACCAACAAGCTCAGTCTGTAGCCTTTGCTCAACCATGGCACGCAGCTGCTTCTTAGTCACGGAGTCAAGGTCACACTCCCGAAGAACGGCCTGAATTGCTTCCACAATCATGCCGTCATCAGGCCCAGTATTGCCTCTTTGGAAATCAAAGCTGGCGACAGACTGGTGCAGGCCACGGTTGCCCAGAGGCGTCCGTGAACCACTGCCTGGTTGCCGGAATGCACCACCACCAATCGCCGGAGAGTCTTGGTAGGGAGACTCCGTCCGCTGGGGGAGGCCACCGAAAGATGCCATGGATTGCCGGTTCATGGAATTGTCAGCATATGGCATGTTGGTGCTGTAGCTTGACTGCCGTGCGAAGCCCTGCTGCTGGAATGGTGCGGGCGAATGGGGAGGCATGTAGCCTCCACGGCCCTGAAGCCCCGTCAGAACAGATGGCTGGCGCACCGAAGAGTAGACAGATCGCATGTCGTCCATCTCATACGTATCCTCGTAGACATCGTGGTGGCCCTTCTCAGAAGGAATGCCGGCATGGCCACCACGACGGCCAGGAAGGTTGTTAGCCTGGGCATACACATCCCAGTATTGCAACGGCACATCCTGCGGGTTGAATGGGTCGTTTGTGACAGCAACCACTTGCTTGTCACCCTTCTCGCCAATGACGATTCTCGTGTTACCCCATGTGAAGTTGTCCTGGTTCCAGAAGGAGTAGATGGGGAGAACGACACTGTAGATCGGAAACGCGAGCAGGTAGATAATCATCCAACCAATGTGCTGCCACTGCCTCTTGACGATGAAGATGAGCGCCTGAAGACCGTACACGGCGGCGATCATTACGAGGGAGATCCAGGGGAACTGGCCGCCTGACGTAGCCTTGTAGATGAGCCAGCCAATGTACACCGCAGTCGCGGGTAGGATGATTGTACCGAAGAGATCGATAAAGACGACGAAGCGCATAGAGAAGCAGCAGAAACCGCACATGTCCTTGAGCATGACCAGCTCACACAAGTTGTGGATGGTTGAGTTGATCCAGCGACGTCTCTGAGACAGCAGGACACTCCATGTCTCAGGGGCTGCAGTCTGACAGTAGGCATCGGGAATGAACTTGTACGACATTTCAGGGAAGTACTTGGTCATTAGAGTCGTCAGGAAACGATCCTCACCAAGCGACAAGAGGTTCTTCATATGCAGGGTGTCGACCTTGCAGACGCTGTACTCTCGGATGATGTTGTCGGAAATGATGAGAGGCTTGCCCTTGTCGGCGGAGCGCAGGCGGTACATGGAGAAACTGCCAAAATGGTTAGTTCATCAATGCATTAACCAGCCTCTATAAGAAGACAAACGGCTTACCATCCGGGAAGACAAGTAACACTTCCGAAGAGAGATTCGAAGGCCTTGGAGAGGTGGTGAGAGATATAATACTCGTAGACCTGAATCATACTCCACCAACTGCGCTCTTCGTTCTGCAGAGCTGTCTCGCCGCAAATGCCGGCAATCTTTGAGTTGTTGGCGCAAGCAGCGACCAGTCGGTTGAGGGAATCCTCCCGGACAGATGTGTCAGCATCAACCATGAAGAGGTATTCGTACAACTCTGGATCGACACCAATGACGTTGTTGATCTGGTGGAACATTTCCAACTCGAGAGGGTTCATTGGAGCACGGTGGTGAACGCGGTTCAGGAAGCTCATGAGAAGAATCTGCGAGTCACGCTTTCCACGATTACCAGGCTTCGACTTGGACTGCTCGGACTCCTTGCCAATCTTGACGACAACCACGTAGGGGACAACATTGCCCTCGAACTCGTAGAGACCCGAGTACACTTTGCCGTAGTTCAGCTGCTCGATGCCAGTGCCGATAGACTTGAAGGGAAGGGCAGGAGGGTCAAGCTTAGGGTCGACGCCAAGGATATCGAGAACAATCTTCGGAGTAGGACGATCATTGCCCTCACCAACGATGACACCGTCGCAGATGACGCAGATGAGCTTCCTCTTGTTGTCGTACTGAAGAGCTGTGAGCGAGTCCAGAGCCTTCCGCAAGGATTCCTCGCCTTCGGTGTAGGCAGGAACCTGACAAATGATGAATTTATCCTGGGGCGAAGGGCGACGCTTGGAGCCGAATTGAAGAGCAGCGAGGAACTTGACACCGATGACAGAACAGATGATGATCGTGAACGCTATCAGAATGTAGTTGTTCGCCTGGCAGCGAGCAGAATAGCGGAAGTCAGGAATGCCTATGTAGAACGCATTGTTAAGGCAGTTGATGGTGTTTTTCATCCTGGCGGTGGTGGTGGCGTTCGATGCGGCTGCTCGGAACTTGGAATCAACCAAGCTAGTGATATCCTGTCCCGGATTGCTCTGGACCAGATCGACAATACCGTCATCCAAGAAGTTGTATTGGGGGAAGTTCTTGTAGTAGTCGGTCGTCTTGAAGTAGTCGGTCAAGTCGTAGATTCCGCCATTGTACGCGAACCACATGTGACTGTTCTTGCTGCCGTCTTGCGCGACTTCTGCCATGTCCCAGACCAGGCTACCCTTGTAGTATTCCTTCATCTTCGGCAAGAAGGTATTCGGATACCAGTTCGGGTCGTGGAGGGCAGAAGTCGGGTCAGTCTGTAGCCTGCCAGATACATGCTTGCCAATTTCGAACTCCAGAGTGTTGTTCAGCATCAATTCCATTGTGTCGTCAGTCCCGAGTCCAGGGCAGAGCATAGGTAGAGGGGCCGGGAAATAGCCATCAAGATTCTTTCCAGCAAACTGAATCATGTTTTCAGGAGTGGTAGGGATATTGGTGTCGCTGTGCGGGAGCCTCCAGAACTTCGTCATGTCATAGACTTTTCCATGGAAGCTGACCCAATAATCATCCTCGCCTCCATGGAAGGCGACTTCTTTCGTGGACCATGCTTTGTCGAAGTCTGGGCACACAATCAAGCCAATACCGACGATCCAGAAAACAATCGCTGCGTTCATGAGTAGGATGAAGAAGCAGAGGACGAACTTCTCTCTCCAAGCCATGCGGACATCAGGCCGCTTCATGCGACCAATGACGGAAAGAAGGGGGGACGGAATCCAGAAAGTCAAAGCCCAAACAAATCCGACCCAGACACGACGCCCAAACGTCGTCTGCTGTGTCTCGACATGTTTTCCCTTGGCCAAAGCCGGGTCCAGATTGTTCATGAACTCGCCATCGCTTGTGTAGAATACGTGGTTCTGCATGGCATCACCCTTGATACCGAGACCGTAGTCACCAGTGGTGTTGTGGATGCTGCGCTTGGCGCTTGGTGCAATGGACGGGGGGGCGAGAGGGCTGTGGCCGATAGAATATTGGCTCTGGTTGCGGTGGTGGACCAGACCGTCTTGGCTGCCGGTCGAGCCCTCGGCCATTGGCGGGAAGAAGCCACTGCCATTGTGGACAGACGAGTAACCAGTCTCGGCAGGGGTCATGAAGATATTCTGATTTGCCATACCTGGACCCATTCCCATACCCATCGGCAAGTTGTTCATGCCATGATCAGCGGGCTTTAGGTCAAGCATGCTCTCAGCCTCCCACCACGCGTTCTCACGCATCCAGACGCGGTCCTTGCCTACTACCACCTCCCCGTTGCTCCAGCCGCGTTCAATTATCCATGCTTCGATGCCGTCTTTGCCCTCCCTGCAACCGAGAGGACCAAAGCGTTGGACAAATTCGTCAAGGTCAAAGTCAGCAGTAAAATCGAGGTTCCTGTTCTGCCTGTTGGCCCACTCCGGCAGTCTCCATGCTCGGAGCTGGCGAGAAACTGTACCTGCTGACCAGGCAGAGTTTACCGATGGCAGCGCAGCCAGACTGGCAGGGGTTTCGTCCGTAGGGTGGATGGAAAGGTGATACCACACACGGCTAGCACTGAGGATCGCGGCGAGGTCCAGGCGGGCGTTCTGACCGAGATTGATGCCAGCATTAGGGACAGGGAAGAGCAGCTTGCGAAGAAACCCATCCTCATCACCTGCGTATGCAACCTTCTCGAGGACGACCTCGCGCTTTTCGAGCTCGTGCTGGCGATCACGGCCGGCTGGACCGGTCATCACGCCGAGGTGTGGCCCGACTTCTGCAACAGCGTTCTGCATCTCACGAATGACCGAAGTCCCTGGTGAAGGCACATCCACACCGTCTTCTTTCATCTCAGCATTGATGCCTTGAGCATCATCGAAGATGCCTCGCATTGCGACAGCCTTGCCTACTGAGGGGTCAGGAATCTCGATGACGGAAAGGCATACGGTGTCACCGTTGTCTTCTTGCGAATGGGCAGTTGGAGCTCCGCGGCCGTCGATCGATTCGACTCCATCGCGAACACGCGCCATCTGGACAGCAATGGCAGCGTTCGCCTTGGTGATGACCCAGTCCACAAGCGCCTCGTAAAGGCCGCCCACAAGTGTCTGCCGATCCTCGGTAGTGCATTGACGGGCAAGCACTTCAGGATCGAGTCCGAGGAGGCCACCGACGTCCTCGCAGATGTCATCAAGGACATCACCATCGACGTTGTAATCAAGAGTGTTGCCGAGCTTGAGAAGTCCAGCAAGAGTCGAGATGAAGTTGCGGTGGGCCGATCCCTTGATGCCAATCTCCTTGAGAGCGTTGCGGAAGTCGTCCGCAGCAGCAGAATCATCTGCTGTAGGGAGGTATGATGGCGGGCCATAAGTGCCAGACTTGGCGAGCAACGAATAACTGGATGCAGCCTTGAGACCAAGGAATTCGCGCTCCGCGGGCGTCGAAGCAGAGGTAAGCAGGTAGTAGAATACGTCGAACGCACGGTAGCCAGGCTCCGCCGGTACGTTCAACAGACCCTTGGCCGTGTCGATGCCACTTTGAGACAGAGCAATGCTGGCACCGTTGAGAGTGCCGGTGAGATTGAGGGTCAAAGTGACACCGAGAGCAACCTGGCCAGGAGTCGACGGATTGTATGGTGTGACATAACGAATCATTGGCTTGACGGCCTCAAGGGCAGTATAAAGGGTGGACGGGATCGAGAATGGCATCGCAGATAGGAAAGGCTGGATCAACGAGGGCGTCGAATTGTGCAGCGAGCTATAGCAAAAACGACCTTGGTTAGCCAACGACATAGTACGTGGTGCCTGCACTATGGTGATACATACCCAAGGATGATGCAACTATCCTCCGCGCGGCGACGGGCGTGCTCCCAGGCTCGTGCCGCGAGGGCCGAGTCGACTGTGCCTCCAGAACGGCCATCAGGACCCGGTTGGCTCGCGATGAGCCATGTGTTGACAGCAATACTGGTTCCCGCATCCAGCCTGTACGGCTGAGATGACAAGTAGATGTTGTGAATGGCGTTGAGCAGCGTGGTCGTTGAGACCTGCTGCGATTGTTGTCCAGCACCACGGGGACCTCCCAGCTCGGAGGCCACCGAGTACATGGACATCCGTGCTTGGTGGTTGGCCATGGTGGGCAGGCCGGAGGGTGATGTCCTCACGGACGATCACTGGTTGTGAGGTCAAGCGAGAGACTGTCGAGATCGGTTTTCGTCCTCGATAATGGCTGATGGCCGAAGCGAGGAATTTGGCTGCTACACGGCAGGCTGTTGTGGTATTGTCGTCGCCGTCGCGCTCTGGGCCGGGGATAGAACGCGAGCGAGAGAGGGTTCACAGGCTCGAGAGGGCGAAGGTGTTGTGGATGAAGCGTCACCGAGAAACGAAAGACCGGCGAGCCAAGGCAGGAGAGTATTACAAAAAGATAGTAGTTACCGAAGCCGCCGAAGCGAGTGAGGCGGGCAACTTGCAAAGATTAGAAGGCCGTCTGCAATGAAGCAATGCAAAGCGACGTAAAGTGTGTATGGGAAGTCTACAGGACGGCGGATGGCAGTAGCAGGCTGGCCAAAAGGGAGGCGTAGGAAAAGCTCATAGGCAGCGGCTGCTGGTGGCCAGGCAGGGCAGAGGCAGGCACACAGAGACGGGGCCACACCACGAACACTCCGACAGGACACTGCCCAATAGCCTGGCCAGGGCATTGTTCGTACTAATTGGGGCTGCCGAGCTGTGCCTGGCCGGCTGGCCCGCCTAGAGCAGCGCGGACTGGGCGGGAGCGCCGCTGGGAGGCCAAGCGCACCACAGGGAACCTTGCATCATCGACTGGCAGTGAGTGGGTGTGCGGAATGCATGAAGGGGGAGCGCGCACAGTGTGGGCACGGGTCAGATCTGCGTGGAGCCAGGCCCGTGTCCAGACTCGCCGCCTGCACGCGCCTGCTCTGCTCGCTGGCCTCGGGACGACGGACTGCCTCTGGGCTGGCTGTCCATAGGGCCGAAGTTTTTGGCTCTGGCGCAGGACCTCCAGGATTCAAGGTCTGCCCGATCGAAACCAGGTGCGGCAGTCCAGCTGACAAGCTCAATCTCAGCTCCACGATCATTTGTCCACGGCATATTACCAGCCCAAAGTGCGTGCTTGTTCGATGCCGTGCAGTGGCCTCTCTTACGTCGGCGGTTTCTGCAGCATGGGACCTGAGCAGGGTTTTGTCTGAGACCAGCGTGGCGGAGGGTCTTCGACTCCTTTCTGTGCCATGCTGCCTGTCATGGCATTACCCACATGACATTGACTGGACGTGTCCCGTTGATGCATGACAGTTGACAGCAATACGAAGCGGCAACGTGGGGACTCGCCGGCCACCGCAGGCAGAGAGAGCTCATCATGTCCAAGGAACGGAGCGATCTTCGCCTTCTCACCCCCCAAGTTTTGGTCAAGCGGCCAAGCTGCGACTGCAACCTCTACTCGCTCTTCCGTGGCTGTAGCTTCACTGGAAACTTGGAAGTGGCTCCTCTCTGTTCCTGTGTACGCTGCTTACACGGCAGATCATTGGAAAAGCAGCAAGCCTGCATGCATGCATGCATGCAAGCCAACGCTGCGTACGCCGGAGACCGACCAGCAACCCCAATCACAGCCATCCTCGCTGGAAATGCAGTTTACACTTTTGCATCATGGTTGTGCGCCAGCAGCATCAAGAGGTTGCCGCTCAATGGGAACCATCTCGGGACAAGGCAGGTTCCGGCCCTCGCGCAACTGCAGTAGCCAACAACGCTTTGCCCAAAAGAAGGTCGAGTGTTTACCCTAAGGTGTCTTAGCTCGAAGGGTGCGACACTCAAGCGCGCCGAGAATGCTCGTGCCTCGCGCCCCACGGCGTTGGAGACTCCGCTCGCAAAAACAACAACAAACAAGTCTCTTGAGCCGCCGCCATTGTTTGGTGCACAGTGCAAAGCCAAAGTGGCCGCACTTTTTACGTCCAAGTACGCTAGGCCAGGTCGGCCCAAACAACGTTGTGGTGCATTCCTCGTGTCCCTTTCATGCGGAGGATATTTATAGCCAGCAAGAGCCAACACGGGGCAATGCATCTGCAACAAGCAACCGAGGCAGAGGGGCTCAGGTCGAGCTGTGCCAAGTGACCATTAATTACCATCCGGAAATCAATCGTCACTGAAATAGATCGAAGATCGTTCTGTCAGTCGTTTGGGTCTCTGTCGGTTGGTCGTCACAATACAGGTGGGCATTCATGGACATGGCTGGCAAAACCGGCTGTAAACCTTGACAACGAGCAGAGTGCAACGTTGGCCCAGGACACAGCCTGCTGGAAATCTGGGATCGCTGATGTGGCAGGGATCTCAAAGCTTAGCATAACACGACGCATAACGAGTCACCTCTCGGCCAAGAAGTGGACTAATTACAAGTGGTCGCTGAGTAGGCGCGGATGGACCACAACGACGACTCCTGCCAGCACCTCGAGCCTGGGAGTACTGTATGCCCGCCGGAGCGAGTGGTCGATTGATGGTTTGCGGCAGCAAAGTTCACCATACTGTGATGAACGATCAAGCGGGCAGAGGCACGGGATTGCCGCCAGGGTCGCAAGACCGGATTGAATGAAAGTGAGCCGTGGAGCGTGCGAGCCCCTGAGCGGTATGTTGTCATTTACCAGCATCTCTGGTGGCCGCCCGGCAGGGTGCATGACCATCGCTGGCCCGTTGATCACACCCCTGGACACTGTGGGGTGGATACTCTCCGCTTCCAGAAGCGTGTGAAAATTCTCTGGAGAAAAAGGAAAGCACGAGAACGCGCAGTGCGGCCTGTATGATGATGGCTGATGAGGCGATCCAGGCCCCTTCTCAGTGCAGTCAGTCGCGACCATCAGCGACAGGCTGGCAGAAGACGATATGTATCACAACAAACTAACTTCACCCAGTATGCAAGCGGGCACGTAAACAAACGCCAGCCCAGGAGCAGCTACGAGTGTCTGACGAGTCGATGAGGTCTCGCGGGAGAAAAGGGGGAGCAAGCAAGTTGGGGGCAGGCGGAAGTGCAGAGCCCTGCGCCGCGGTGGGTGGGCCGACATTTGAGGCGGCTAGGCGGGCGTTACTTTTGTGGATGGGGGGTGGACCCGCCAGGAGTGTGCGCAGCTCGCAACGCATGACTGCGGGATACGGGCGCCAGAGGAGGGCGACTTGCGCGTTGTGCAGTGCTTGGCGCTCAGGCGGGCTAGCCCGGCCCACACGCGTGCCAGCATGGGGATCGTGAAGCCCACCCGCACCAGGCCCAACACGAGAAGAAAGGCGATCCAGCACCCCGGCCAGGCGTGCCCACCCTGCTGCGGCTCCGGCCAGTCCGCACTGTGTGTCTCGTGTACGGTTAGGGAGGGCCATGGCAAAGAATGGGATTGTCGACTGGCGTGCAGGGCGAGACACACAGAGGACGAGCTGCGTAGCAGTAGGGCGGCCTGTCAGGTCTGAGAGCCCGCACCACGACGACCTGGCAGGCCACCTGCTGAAGCTGGGCGGCGTGCTGTGGGCGTCCGGGTCGTGCAACACGATGCGTTTTCCAGGCCAGCCAAACCTTGGACCACATGCAGCCAGCAAGTTATCCCACACCAGCAGCATTAAGCGGCAGTAGGGGCCTGGAACCCCTGGCACGGGCAGAGCCACCCTCTCAGGCCAGGCACCCAGACACTAGCCCGCGCACACCACACACACACACCACTCTCGCTCACTCTCTCGTGTCCTGCCGGACTATCCACCTCGAGCGCTTGCTGCACCTCTAGTTATCCTGTTACTCAACATCCTCCTCACTCGTTATTCCTTCGTGAGCTGTTGGACGGGATCGTAGCTGCCTCGCTCGCGACCCTCCGCTGTTGCTGATACTTCGCTTCTCTCGTTCTGCTCCACACATTCGCTCATATTCTTTAATGCACAATCGTTTCTCCAACGGCGCCGCCTAATCTCGAGAACACACTGTCGACAGCCGGTACACACTGGTGCCAGTTTTCCTACCGTACCAACAGAAGAACAACGGAGCTTTCTCATCACTCTCGACTGCGTCAAACGCCAGGCCTGGAACAAAGCCGAGCAAAAGGGCCGCCAGCAGGGCTTTGAGTCCATCGCCTGTCTCCAAAACATGGCGCTCAATATGCCCTCGGGGGCTGGTGGCGGAGGCGCTCATACGCAGCCTTCGCTTCCATCGCTACCAGCTCACCTGCAGTCTGATACTCACTTGACTGCTCACCTGGCTAGCCGTTTCCATATCTCCGTACCGACTGCCCGGCTCTCGTCCCACGCCCTGATCGCAATCAACACGTACACGTCTTCTACGAAAGGCCTCGATGGCGGCAGGGAGGGGAGTGCCATGGCTGGCGCCGAGGACATGGCCGACAGGGCTATTCTTCGTCTCGGTCACCGCTCCGAGAATCAGGCCATCCTGTTCTTGTATGTATACTCGCATTGCTGCGGTTTCCCATGCCCTCACAGCTAACACGTTGCATTATAGGGGCGAATCCGGCTCTGGCAAGACCACAGTCCGTTCGCATCTGCTGACTTCGCTCTTGAACAAGTCTTCAACGCCTTTGTCCACAAAGGTTTCGCTTGCTGCTTACGTTTTCGACACCTTGACCACGACCAAGACGGCAACAACACCGACGGCGTCAAAGGCTGGCCTGTTCTACGAGCTGCAGTATGACACCGCGTCGAACACAAACCCAATTCTCATCGGAGGCAAGCTGCTCGACCACAGACTGGAGAGAAGCCGGATTGCCGATGTCCCCACCGGCGAGCGTAACTTCCACATTCTCTACTATCTGCTCGCAGGCACCAGCGAGGCTGAGAAGACCCATCTCGGTATTGATTCTCCTCGCGACGCCGCCGGCCAGAAGAGGTGGAAATATCTTGGCCACCCGACTCAGCTCAAGGTGGGCATCAACGACGCCGAAGGCTTTCAGCTGTTTAAGAATGCGCTTCGCAAGCTCGAGTTCCCCAGGAGCGATATCGCCGAAATCTGCCAGATCCTCGCCTGTATTCTTCACATCGGACAGCTCGAGTTTGAGACCAGCTCGAACACGACTCCAACCGGCGACGACAGCGGTGGCTTCTCTCACGAGGGTGCCCAGACTGTGACCGCTGCGCGCAACAAGGATGTTTTGGGTATAATTGCGGCATTCCTTGGAGTGAGCTCCGCCGATCTGCAGAACACCATGGGCTACAAGACGAAGATGATCCACCGCGAGCGTGTCACAGTCATGCTCGACCCGGCCGGTGCTCGTGCGAACGCTGACGAGCTGGCGAGAACTCTGTACTCACTTCTCGTCGCCTACGTGATTGAGAGCATCAACCAGAGAATCTGTGCTGCTGAAGAGTCCGTCTCAAACACGATCAGCATCATCGATTTCCCGGGTTTTTCCCAGCAGTCCTCCACTGGTTCTGCCCTCGATCAGCTTCTGAACAACGCGGCTGTAGAGTCCTTGTACAACTTGACCCTGCAGACCTTTTTCGACAGGAAGGCTGACATGCTCGAGACGGAGGAAATTACGGTTGCTGCAACTAGCTATTTCGACAACTCGGATGCGTCCAAGGGTCTTTGCAAGCCTGGAAACGGACTGCTTAGCATCCTGGACGATCAGACACGTCGCAACCGGACGGACATGCAGCTTCTAGAAAGCTTGAGAAAGCGCTTCGAAGGCAAGAACCCTGCCATCGCCGTCGGCTCTGCCACTGCCAAGCTCCCCGGCAGCAACTTCATGTCTGAGAACACAGCCGCCACTTTCACAGTCAAGCACTTTGCCGGCGAGGTGGACTACCCCATCAAGAACCTTGTTGAGGAGAACGGTGAGGTCATCTCTGGTGACCTGATGAACCTCGTCAAGTCGAGCAAGAGTGAGTTTGTTGCCAAGCTCTTCGGCCAGGAGGCTCTGCAGACCGTCATGCACCCTCACGAGCGCAGCACTGTCATGCAGGCCTCTGTCAGCTCAAAGCCCATGCGTGCTCCCAGCGTCATGTCGAGGAAGACAACCCGGACCATGCGTTCTCGCGTCGCTCGTCGCCAAGATTCCATGGAAGACATTGCAAGCGAGGCTGGAGACTTCAATCCCGACAACGCCGGACGGGACGAGAAAAGAACCGGCACAGGAATGCGGGTCTCGGAGCAAGGCGCTTCTGGTCAGTTCTTGGCTGCCCTGCAGAATGTCAAGGGTGCAATCACCGCACCAAATACCAACAACTACTTCGTCTTTTGCTTGAAGCCCAACGATAGGAGAATCGCCAATCAGTTCGACAGCAAATGCGTCAGAACTCAGCTGCAGACTTTCGGCATTGCTGAGATCAGCCAACGTCTGCGTGCCGCAGACTTCAGCGTCTTCCTGCCATTTGGCGAGTTTCTAGGCTTGACCGAGTCCGAGAGTCTCATCGTCGGCAGTGAGCGTGACAAGACGCAATCTGTTGTGCAAGAGAAGCAATGGCTCAGTAACGAAGTTCTGGTCGGATCCACTGGCGTCTTCTTGAGCGAGCGCTACTGGATGGAGATCACACAACTGAGCGAAAATGTGTCAGCATCTGGCCGGTGGCAATCCGAAGCCGGGGATGGGCTGACACCCTCACCTGGTGATCCTTTTGGCATGTCCAAAGAACGTCTGCTCTCCGTCGGCAATACGCCGCAGTATACCGACAAGTCTCGTGGCGGCTACTTTGCCAGCGGCGATGCTGACACCCGCTCCGAAGCAGGTGTGTCTGCATTTGGTGCCGGTGACATGTTCCAAAGCATGGAGACCAGGGAGCAGATGGCAGAGCGCGGAAACGAGAAAGCACTCGTCGAAGTGGAGGAATACACAGACACTGCAACGCGCAAGCGCTGGGTGTTTGTTGTCTACATGATGACCTGGTTCATTCCTGATTTCCTCATCCGCTGGCTTGGCCGCATGCCCCGGAAAGATGTGCGTATGGCGTGGCGCGAGAAGCTAACCATCAATATCTTCATCTGGCTGGCTTGTCTGGCTGCTTGTTTCTTCATGATCGTCTTCCCCATGATCATCTGCCCGAAGCAGTACGTGTTCAGCCCAGCAGAGCTCTCGTCTTTCAACGGCCAGAACGGTGCAGCAGCCTATGCCTCCATTCGTGGACAGGTTTTCGACATTGGTCAATTTGCGCCCAGGCACTACCCTGCCTACCTGCCTACCAAGCAGATCATTCAGTACGGTGGTCTTGACATCACCGCGTTGTTCCCTGTGCAGGTCTCTGCCCTGTGCCAGGGCATGACTGGGTCCGTGGATCCTGCTGTTACTCTCGACTACAAGTCGGACAATGATACAGGCCCTTCAACCGTTAACTCGCTGGATCTCAACGCTCATTATCATGACTTCCGTTACTACACCGGCGACAACTACCGCAAGGACTGGTTTGCAGAGCAGATCATGGTGCTCCGCTCCCAGTGGAAGAAGGGAAACATCGGCTATTCACCAGAATATGTGGCCACCTTGGGCTCGAAGGGCAACGCCATCGCTATCCTGAACAACCGCGTCTATGACATGACGAAGTACATGAAGGGTGGTCAGGGTATCCATGCTCCGCCTGGCGAGGAAGGACCCACTGACCCTCAGGCGACCAAGTTCATGTCTCAACTGGTGCTTGATATGTTCCAGTATAAGAGTGGCAGTGATGTCACTGCAACCTGGGACTCCCTCGCTCTGACCAGAGAGCAGAAAGCCTGGCAGCAACGTTGCTTGGAGAACTTGTTCTACGTCGGCGACGTCGATACGCGCAATTCCGTCCGCTGTCAGTTTGCCAACTATCTCATCCTGGTCATTTCCATCATTCTCTGCTCCATCATTGGGTTCAAGTTCCTGGCTGCCCTGCAATTCGGCCAAAAGAACGTGCCAGAGAATCTCGACAAGTTCGTCATGTGTCAGATTCCTGCCTATACGGAGGACGAAGAATCGCTGCGCCGTGCCATCGACTCTGCTGCTCGTATGCAATACGACGACAAACGCAAGCTCCTCGTCATTGTTTGCGATGGTATGATTATCGGACAAGGAAACGACAGACCAACGCCGCGAATCGTGCTTGATATTCTTGGAGTCTCCGAGACTGTCGACCCGGAGCCTCTCAGCTTCGAGTCTCTTGGTGAAGGCCTGAAGCAACACAACATGGGCAAGGTCTACTCTGGCTTGTACGAGGTTCAAGGTCACATTGTCCCTTTCCTGGTCATTGTCAAGGTCGGCAAGCCATCCGAGGTTTCACGTCCTGGTAACCGTGGCAAGCGCGATTCCCAGATGATCATCATGCGCTTCCTCAACCGCGTTCACTACAACCTTGCCATGAGCCCTCTTGAGCTCGAGATCTACCACCAGATCAGGAACGTCATTGGTGTCAATCCCACCTTTTACGAATTCATGCTTCAGATCGATGCCGATACCGTCGTGGCCGCAGACTCTGCCACGCGCATGGTCTCCACCTTCCTCCACGACACCCGGGTCATCGCTGTCTGTGGTGAGACTGCGCTCACGAACTCGAAGTCTTCGTTCATCACCATGATTCAGGTCTACGAGTACTGGATCTCGCACAACCTGACCAAGGCCTTCGAAAGTTTGTTCGGCAGTGTCACGTGTCTTCCTGGTTGTTTCACCATGTACCGTATCCGTGCTGCGGACACTGGCAAGCCACTGTTTGTCAGCCGTGAGGTCGTGGAGAACTATGCCACCATCCGCGTCGACACACTGCATCTCAAGAACCTGCTTCACCTTGGTGAGGATCGCTACCTGACCACGCTTCTCCTCAAGTTCCACAACAAGTACAAGACCAAGTACATCACCAGTGCACAAGCTTGGACCATCGCACCCGACTCTTGGGCGGTCTTCATGTCGCAGCGTCGTCGCTGGATCAACTCGACCGTCCACAACCTCATGGAGCTGATCCCAATGAACCAGCTCTGCGGTTTCTGCTGCTTCAGTATGCGCTTCATCGTCTTTGTGGATCTCCTCTCGACCGTTGTTCAACCCATCACCATGGTCTACATCACCTACCTCCTGGTCTTGGTCGGCACACAGAGCACAATCATTCCCATCACGGCCTTTGTCATGTTGGCTGCCATCTACGGTCTGCAGGCGATCATCTTCATTCTTCGCAGAAAATGGGAAATGATTGGCTGGATGATCCTATACGTCCTGGCCATTCCCGTGTTCTCCTTCGCCTTGCCCTTGTACGCCTTCTGGCACATGGACGACTTCAACTGGGGTAACACCCGTGTTATCGCTGGTGAGTCTGGCAAGAAGGTCGTCATCACAGACGAGGGCAAGTTCGATCCGGCCTCTATTCCCCGCAAGAAGTGGGAGGAGTACCAGGCCGAGCTGTGGGAGGCACAGACTGTGCGTGACGATGCTCGCTCGGAGATTAGCGGTTACAGCTACGCCACCAAGGCTGGCATGAACGTGGGTGTCTCCGAGTACAACTACTATGCCCCGTCCCGTCCCGGCTCAACGGCCGGTGTTGTCCCGCCGTATGCCATGGGCTCTCATGGCATGAGCCGCATGTCTCTTGCCCCCAGCGAGATGATTGGCAACCGCCAGAGCCAGTTCGGCGGCTCGCAATTCTTCACCAATGACCCGAGCTCTGTCGAGCTGTCCAACCTCAGCGGTCTCCCCTCCGACGACGCTCTGCTTGCAGAGATCCGGGAGATCCTCAGGACTGCCGACTTGATGACCGTTACGAAGAAGGGCATCAAGCAGGAGCTTGAGCGACGATTCGGAGTGCCGCTCGACTCGAAGCGGACCTACATCAACAGTGGTAAGTAGTCCCCAGTTGGCAATCCTCCGAATGTCCAGCTTGCTAACTTTGTCCGTCTAGCTACCGAGGCTCTTCTCTCAGGACAGTTGTAAAGGACCTCGATGTAAACGTCATGTTCGTAAATTGGCTGCTCATCTTTTTGGACTATATAATGCATCTTTGGACCACGCCCTGGTTCCATTTTCATAGAAAGGAAAAGGATTGTGAAATGTTCGCGGAAACCAGTTTCTGGACACAACCTGAAAAAATCTTAGTGGCGTCTCAGCGGCGATTGTATTTACTTGTTTCTCCATCTTCATGTTATTTCATCTCGAGGCTAGCTCTTTGTGTCTATCATTTGGCAGCATAATCCTAAAAGGGAAAATCAAATTGTGCAAGTGGTTGCGCATGCGCCAAAGATCTGTTCTATTATCGAGCGAAGCGTCAACCTTGAGCCTCGTCTACGTGTGCGTGGCATTGTTGACTCCTATGATCGCTGCTGGAGGTGGGCGGACATTCGAAATCGATAGGTTGTGAGCGCTTTTAGTAGACGACTGTGTTAGTTTGGCCAGCTTGTAGCCGTCTCTCTCTCCGTCTTTTGGGTCTTGGTTCTTTCCACGGATTCCACTCGCCACTTCTTTGGTCTCAGCAGTGGTTTTGGGTTTTCCTGTCTATCTTCACAGTCTTTGGGAGGTGATGTCATGCCGCTTTACCCTTTTGCTCGTTTCCGTTCTGTGGGCAACACCGTTCACGGACTGCTTGTTCTGTTGGTGCAAATTTATTTCTCCATAATTACCTCGAGGCGCGAAAGCAGGGAAAAGAAGACAAGCACGATTGCCTAGGAAACATGACGCGCCCGTATCCATCAACCTCGGGACGCAGAAATGTGAGCCAGGTGAACCCTTTTGTTAACTCTGTTGAAGGTCAATTCTTCATGTGCAAGTCGGCATTGTTCAATGATTGGTGGAATGTGAATGATAGAGAGGAAATGTGGCCTAGTTGGGGCCCCTTGGAAGCGTGGAGGCTGTCTCCATGGCCGCCGCGTGAACTACTGCAACTGGGGACATGGCAACCCCTTAGATTTCGTTGTGCAGCCTCCAGGCAGACTGATTTTCTTGTTGTCTACCTTATATGTTCTAGGTTTTCCGTTACTTGCTGGGGAAAATATGCCTTTTTCTCAATTTATTTTTATTTTTATTATCGGCTTTGTCTTGTTTGGCTGGACCTTTCTCCCTTTTCTTTTCGATATCCATGCTCAAATTTAGTATAGGGTTCTGTCGCCATTGAAAACCAATCTGGATAGCTTCGCGAGCATTTCAAGACGACCAAATGGACGTGATGTTGCAATAGTCAGCAATAGTATGGAATAAATTGTTGCGTTCACAAGTACGAAAGGTAACACAGCTGGTCCAGGATTGAAAAGCTGCATGTTCTAAACGGTTGTGGTTAATCAATTTGGGTATCTCTTTCTTGTTCTATGTGCTCAGATATTTTGTGTTCGAAACGCAGCAGCTTGTTGTATATCCCCGGCTGTCGTGTCTAGACGCGGCCGGGCAGACACCACAGATCGCGACATGCTCAATATCTTGAAGGTCAATATATCTTGACAACCCAGTAGTCCCATTTGCCTCATGCAGCTTGAGTCAAAATGTGTCGTCCAGTATATCCTGGTTCATCTTCACCATGGTTGGGCTGAGTTCCGGCGAGTCTCCTCCAGGTCCGGCGCCTGCTGTGATAAGCAGATCCTCCACAATGCGCTTGCTCGCTTCTCGCGCTGTTCAAGATGACGCTGGTAAGTTTCTTGCTTGTGTACTGCCAACCCTTATTTCCTCGAAACCATGGAAAAGAGTACTAACCTGGGGTCTGCATCAGTTTGCTTGGCGGCAGCGCAAACTGAATCGTCTTGGGCGGGCTCATGCCGGCAAAGCCGCCGCCGTCGCCGCCAAAGTCATAGTCATCGCTGTCGCTCTCCCACGTAATCTCATCTTTCTTCTTGCCCTTGCTCTTGGCTGCACCACCTGCAGCCTCGCCGGCAAACACATCCTTCTTCTTGTTGTTCCCTGTCGCTGGCGTCTGCACGCTTACACCCGGAGTCCGTGGCGGGTTGCTGCCTCCATCAGCACCAGCACCAGACCCTCCCGCGCGGTTGTACAGCAGGCCGCGCGTCTTGACGGGCGACATGCTGTACAGGTCGCTCCGCAGCTTCGGCATCGCCATCTCGGGACTGCTCATCGGGCTGTCGTCCCACAGCTGGCGACTTGCCTGGTTCTTGCCCTGCGGCGTCTCCGCGACGCCGCGGCCACCACCACCACCCGTGCGCCGCGCACTCGCGCTGCCAATCTTGTCAGGCGACCGGCGATACGCATTGGCGCCCGTGAGCGGCGTCGCCTGCAGGCGGTAGTTCTTGTCGAGCACGCGGTGCAGCAGCGGGTCCTTGTTCTTCTTGGCCGTCGACGGCATCCCAAACTGCAGCGTGGGCTCCTCGAGTATCGACGAAGAGTAGTGCTTGTCGGGCGTCATGCTCATGTCCGGCAGCTTGGTCGCAGCCCGCCTCTGCTGCGTTGGCAGCTCCATCGTGTCTTCCTCGTCGGCCGCGCCGCCGCGGGCACCGCCATCAAAGTCGCCCTGCTCGAACAGGTCCGTTCTGACAGTATCGTTGTCGTTGCCACGGCCGCCGCCGCCGCTCTGGAGCTCGCGCCGCAGCTTTTCGTACGGAGAGCCGAGGTCTGCAAAGTCGGGGCGCATCGATTTCGTCGCTGGAGGGCGGGGTGTGCTGCCAGTCACTGTCGCGTCGTCGAGCAGCGATTCCTCGAGGTCGTGTAGACCGCGCCGGCGTGAGGGCGACTCGGGCTGCTGGTCGTCGTCGCCCTCGTCATAGTCGTTGTCGGCGTGCGGCTGCGCAGTCAGGTCCGCTTGCGAGGCGTAGTCCGTGTCCTCTAGGGCAGCCGTCTCGTCGTCGTCGTCGCCGTCGCCGGCCCTCGTCGTTTCGCCATCCTCGCCCGCGAGCTCCTCGTAGCCGGACAGCGAGACGTTCGCGGACGCCTCGAAGAATTGCTTCCAGAACTAAGACAGATTGCGGGCTGTTTGAGCTTCCACACTGCACACGAACCAGGGGCGCTCCTCGGGCGCGCGCGCGTCCCATGGTGGGCGATGGCAACTTACCTTCGAAGCCTCCCAGACAGCTTTGGAGTTCTCACCGTACTGCTCGACCAATGGCAGAATGCTGGTCGTCACGATCCGGTGTGCCTTGCTGAAGTTGTGGTCAATCTCCTGCAGGGTAAGAGTGATTGACTGCTCGAGCCGTTCGAGCTCCTGCGTCAAAGTCAGATTGCTCTGGTTCGAGGAGCCACTTGAGCGCGACATCTCCGTTAGTTCACGACCCAGTCGGAGTTGTCAAGACAAAGCATCGGCCTTGAACCCTAAGGATCCAGAGGTTGATTGTGGTGGGGTCGGGGGATCTATTTACATGGAGCTCCAAGCGCGTTCCCATTTCCCATGTGACGCGCTGCGGGGTTCGTTCTCACAGGCAACTAGCTGTGGGGAGCACGGTAGTTCTCAAGGGATGAGTGCCAGGTTATCACGATTATCACGAAGAATTGCGAACATTTGGAACAGCATTCCTGCGAATGGGTATCATATCATTGTTCTCAATTCTAGCTGCGTGAAAGACTATAGTGATTCGTCATGTCAAGACTGATCAGAAGCCTTTCAATGGTGTGTTCCTCAGCACCACCCTTGGGCCGCTCCGCCCTGCCGTCTTGAGAGGCCCTTGCTGTGACTTCGGGGCCCTTCTCACTCAGACCACGACAGACGGTGATGAAAACGTGGACCTTCTTTCTGAAGACACTATAAATTTTCCTCGTGTATGATCCATCGTCCTCAGGGTCAACTCGTCCAGTAGCCTCGAGACGTGTCCGAAAGGAGAAACGCAGAATCAGGGTGAATATCTCGTCAAGGAGTCCGAGGATGGGCTGGTGACGCTTGCGTAGGAACAGATTCTGCATGATGCTGTCCAATGTCCACTCGTGCTCGTCTCTGACATCATTAGGGCCAACAGATGTTGTGCCTGATGTAAGGTTTCCCTCGCTCTTCAGCATCGCCTCCATCTGGTCGAGCCACGCCTGAAATCGTCGCCATGGAACCGCAATGCCGGTCTCAAAAAAGTAAGCCGCGATGGCCGTCACGAACCGCTCTGCCTCAAACTGGAACCGGAATGACGTATTGTCCACGTGATACCACCGGCTGGTCCTCGAGACCGTGTCTCTATGTATCTGTCCAATGACGTACAGCATTCGCAACACACGAAGCAGCAACTTGAAGATTCTGTCGTACTTGACTAGTATCACGGCCGTGATGACGGGTGATAGCGCCAGAGGAGGCTTGTACGAGAGTCGCAGAAAGTCGAGCGCTTCCAGAGAGCCAGGGTCCAAGCACTTGTCGATTTCCTCGCTGCTCAGATCGCGCACGGCAAAGCTGATGTCTCCCGGCAGCTCTCGTGTCTCTTTAGTATCCAAGGCTGAATCCGTTGCGTTGCGGCTATAGCACTCAACAAGGACGCCCATCAGAGCGAGACGAAGCTCAGAACTTGCCGGTGGCCATGTGTCTCGACCACTAAGTCGCAATCCCATAACGCCACCTCCTCGTGCGACTCCTGCTTGACGCTCGGCGGTCTCGAGATCGGAATCAAAGAGTGCGTGTGACAACCGACTGCAAAACATGCCATTGCCGAGGAGGTGAAACTCCTTTTGTACGCTGATGTGCTCGCGAAGGTCATGCTGTTCGAGGAGGATATTCAAATAATGTCGATTGATGACGGCGTCTTGCGCACCAATCAATGGGCCAAACGATACGTTTGCGACCAGAGACCAATGCGGATCGACATCAACACCAGCCTGCCCTGTCTTCTGAGGCTCCAACAAGCGATCCATCAGCAATGATGCGAGCTGATTGGTCGGTGCCAGAGGTGGCGTCCGGTTCATCGTCGCTATTGAACGAGCCAGGCGGGTTTCGAGCTCAGTTTCGTCAAGGCCGAAGTACTCAAGCTCGTGACGGCTTTTTGATAAGGTCAAGCCTCCCGATAACCTTGCGTGGTCACGACTATCCTGTCCTTGGGCTTGGGTGGCTTGCCAGAGTCGTGTTTCGAAGGCGGCTACGTCGTCCTGGTGACGATGGATATCTTGCCACATATACCGCCAGCGGAGTTCGGGCGGCTCAGAGAGTAAAGCGAAGCCAGGTTGACTGATGGGATGCTCAGGGTGACTGGATCTCAGCAGACGAAGATTCCTCCCAGTCTCGAAAAGGCGGAGGGCTAGGTCTTGGGGGATGAAGCGAGGCATCCGCTCCTCGTCAAAGGCGAAATCGCGCTGGCTGCTCTCGAAACCAGCATCGTCGAGCACGGCATTGTCGTCTACCCTGACAAAGCTCCTGCCGGAGCCGTCTGTCGTCAAAGACAACCCGTGCTCAGGCTTGAGGCCCACCCACTGCTCGACAAACTCAATCCAAGGCACGCAGACCTCAGCCAAGACCTGACGCATGACTTCCTTTAGCAGGTCATCTCCACTCTCCACAGCCTCTGTCGCATCAAACACAAGCGATAGGATGTCCTCGTCATGTCGGCATCTCGAGGTTTTAGCTAGAAGAGACCGAAAGTGTGATAGAATGTGATGGACAGGTTGTATAAATGACTGTAGATGCAGCACAGAGCGCAGTCTTGTAGACTGGTCACCGAGCCTTGCTTGCACAACAGACAGGATTGTATCCAGCGCCCGGGAGAGCGCGACCTTGACAGGGCTAGGCTGCGTCTTATAGTTGGACTGCACGAACGAGGATAGTACTCGTGTGATCCTGCCAGTTTCTAGACAGCGACGCTCAAGCCCGCTGAGCACCTCGTTGGTATAACCGGATATCCGCATGCCTGGTAGAGCCGGGACGAATTGTTGTTTGTCGTCGTTCCAAGAGTACAGGATAGAACCCCGACCGAGCGACAAGGCTAGCAGCGCAGAAAGGTACGGACCACTCTGAACGACAGGGCACTGACTACTGCCAAGGCCGAGGGGGTCACCATCCGCCGTGATTGCGGCATCGAATATCTTCCCCCCGGCTTCACTGATGAACAGCGGATTCTGCTGCACTTCCGCGGGCAAGAGGAAGGCCTCCCACGTCTTCAAGGTCGCAGGTGGCTCCACTAGGTCAGCCGAGCGGTGCCAGATTTCAGCGAATATGTCGACATCGTCGAGCTCTGCATTGTGCAGAGTGGCGAGAGGCTCCTGGTGGTGATCTGGCTGAGGAACCCCATTGGGCTCATTGTGGATGTCCAGCAGATCCGGGAGTTTGAAGAACCCTTCTGTATCGAGAGGACCAACAGCGCCTTGAGAAGGCAGTGAGGCTGAAACACGAGCCAGATCTTTGGCAGCGAGGCTGAAGAATGGCTCGACCGGGTGTGTGCTGGGCTGCATCCATCGTGACGACCTGGCAAAGTCTGGAAATGCAAAGACGTCACCCGGGTCTGATTCGTCCATGCTGGCGGATGACACTCGACATCAAAATCGGCATGGTCGTGAGGCGCAGCAGAGTCAGACTCGAGTGGTGCGTCTGCTCATGGTTCTTGCCGTGGTCCCGATGGAGATGTGTCCAAAGTATCTGTACAGTTGTTGTTGTTGTCGGACCTCGAACGGAGTGAGCAAACGGCCCGGATGGTGTTGGAGGGCCGGCGCGGTGGGGTCCGTCGCGTCGGGCGCGGATCCCTGCTCAGGGCACTTTAGCTAGCTTCCTGCAGCCAATCCTCGAGCTCCCAGCACTCCACGAACTTTCTTCAATGGCCTCAGCCACGTCAACATCCTTCGACACCTCCAGACCAGACAGGAGCTTCCCCGTCAATTGAGCTTGCATCTATTAACAGCTGCCCCGGGCCAACCGATTGGGCACCTGTTGTTATCCCACCCAGACGCTGGACGGGATCACGACCGAGAGGTCACACAGCAACAGTCAGACAGCCCCAGCGTCGCAATGCCTCCCAAGCGCAAGTCCAGAGGCGGCCTCGTCGGAGGCTCGACGCCAAAGACGCCGACGCCACTGCGCGACGAGGACGCCATGGACATTGACACTCCCGGCTCCGAGACCCCCCAGACAGCCAACACCCCCACCGCCGCCTCCGCGGCCAAGTCCGCCAACGCCGCCGCCGCCGCCGCCCAGAACGACGAGGACGTCCTCAACAACGAGTGGACCGACGACCAGGAGGCGTCGCTCTTCAAGGGCGTGATCCGCTGGAAGCCCTCGGGCATGCACAAGCACTTTCGCATGATTGCCATCTCGGAGCACCTGCGCAACCACGGCGTGAACCCAGAGGTCGAGCTCCACACGCGCATCCCGGGTATCTGGAAGAAGCTGCGCAGGTTCTACGCGACCGACCTGATTGACGACCGCGACAACATGTTCGACCCGGAGGGCGAGGAGCTCGAGGACGTCTACAACGACTTTGAGCTGCCCGAGGACGACTACCACGACCTCATCTACGCCCGCGCCCCGGCCGACCCTAGTGAGGCTCCCACATCGCCGGCGCAGATGGACCTGGACAATCCCACCGCGGGACCGCCGTCAGTGATCGGGAGGAAGCGGAAGAGAGGCGGTGCGGCGGCCGCGACAAGAGAAGGGTCCGTGACGGGTAGCACGTCCAAGGCTCAGCGGTCCAGCACTGTCGACGACACGGACCAAGAGACACCTGCTCCCAGTAGTCCTGTGACCAGGAGTGCTCGAGGCACGCGCAGCTCCAAGCGTGCGGCGGCGGCAAAAGCACAAGACGCTACCAAGGACAAGGAGAACGAGAATGAGGACGAGGAAGAGGAACCCAAAGATGACAGCGACGAGGAGGACGAGTCAGAGGCGAAGAAGAGCGACAGCGACGAGGAAGAGGAAGGAAGCAAAGAGGACGAAGACGAGGAAGAGGAAGAAGACGCCGAGGAGGAGGAGGAGGCCGAGGATGAAGAGGACGGCAATGACGATGACGATGAGAAAGGGAGCGACGACAACAGCGACGAGAAACAATCAGAGGAGGAAGAGCAAGAAGTCGACAGCGGACCAGAAAAGCGAACACGCAAGGCGGCTGCGGCACCAAAGACCACGAGAAGCACAACAGCAAGGGGCAGAGGCCGCGGACGAGGTCGGGGACGTGGCAGAGGACGGGGCCGAGGCAAATGAGCTCTGGCGCCAAAGCGACAGGCACCTACCAATGACTTTCGCCACACACAGATGGTTCAGATCATTCGGCGCCGAGCCGGTCAGTACCATACAGCCCACTCTTCCTGGACGGGAAGAAGAGCTGCAGGACGACAAATCTGGTGGACGTATGCAGTGCTGCTGGATTGAGCGGTACACATTCGCGAAAAGACGTTGCTGCTTGAGGACATCATGTCGCGAAAGGAGCAAAGCCTGCCACGCCACGAGACAAGCCTTGCCGACACGCTCTTGGAAACAGCATGTTCCGTTGAGGAGGAGGCTTGCGGCACAAGCGCATGTTTGCGTCTGCAAGGCAGTAACCAGAGTTTCCGGACTAGAGGAAACGGAAAAAGAAAAGTGGCAGCAGGCGAGCCGTCTCAATGTCGACCATCAAGTACATGCCACAGACAGCTGATGATATCTTAGAATAATGCCGAGAGATACCCCCCTTCGTTCAATCTGGATCAATGACAATGCAGAATCGCGTCAAGTGTTTGCATAGTAAGACTCAATGCTGCATAACAGCTGCGTTCTATTCGTGTACTAAACTCCGTGAAGGAGATGAAAGGACGTAGGCATTGACTTTCCTGGGTTCAAAGAAATCATGGGAACCAGGTCAGCACCCCAGACTGAGCAAGGGAAAGACGATGCCTATATGATCGATCGGTCGCCAATATTTGAGAAAACTACGATTAAATACAATAAAACTAGTCGTCGTTCAGAGTCGTAAAAATGCTGAAAAATGACCACCCAACATCCAGGGAACAACAGCCCAAAGGGGCGAAACTCATTCCTGAAGTTTTCTCACTTTCCAACTCTCAAGTTTACTACACCTGCGCCTGCCGCCGACTTCTCTCTATGGCTGTCTTGGCTGATGCTGCTGTTGTTGCTGCTGCTGACCAAACTCATCCGTGTCCTCGTGGAAGACACTCCTCCGTTGGTCGCCGCCCGCCGCTGACCGCACCGGCTGTGAAGTCAGGTAGTCCATGCCCTCGCGCTCCTCTGCCGTGGGCGGACTTATCGGCGGCGTGGGCGAGAGGAGCGTCCCCATGCCGGCGCCGCGCAGGTCCAGGGTGCCCATCGCCGAGGGAGAGACTGGTGGTGGATAGTCGCCTGCCACTTCGGCTGGGCCAACTTGCTGGTACTGTTCATCGTGGTCCTGGTGCTGCTGGAAGCCGTTTACGAGGCCGGCCGAGTTTGGCAGCGTGGCGGTGGCAGAGCTGACGCTCGAGGCGCTCAGGTGGCGGAGGTGAGTCCGGTCCTGCTCGCTGAGGAGGGATATGCCGCTGATTACGGCGTTCCGGGGCGGCGGCGGCGCTGTGCTGCTGGCCTGCTGGTGATGGTTGTCCATGAGCGGCGGCAGGCCCGCGGCTGCGGGGGCCGTCATTGAGGCCGCCGAGGAGTGCACGCCACTGGCGCTGGCGCCGGGGCCGGCGACGGCGAGACTGCCGCTGCTCGGGCTGCTGATGGGGTTTCCGATAGATGGCGAGTCCGGGCGCTCACTGCCGCTGGCATAGTTGGGGCTCACGGAGCGCGCGTGCTCCTGCGAGACGGTGCCAGACTGCCATGAGCCAGACTGGTGCCGCCTGTGCTCGGGCCGCTTGGCAAAGTGCGTGTGCTTGTTGATAATGTCGACTGGCGTCAGGCCGGTGTCGCTGAGCTCGGGGGGCCGGGAAGTGTCTGGTGCGGTAGGCAGCATATGTCAGTCTTGATGTGTCCACCCACAGGAAACGTCAGTGTTCGATAGAATAAACTTACCGTCCATCTCGTAGAGAATGTTGTTTGGTGCTTCGTACGTCGCAACCGTGGAAGGCCCAGTGGCATGGCTCCCCACCATTGGTGCAATCTTGCTGTCCAGGTCATTGAGGTGCAGTGTCGTGTCCTCCGTCATGACCGTCGGCGCCTTTTCGCTGTGCTGACCGCGGATCCACGACAGGATGCGGCCGCCGTTCTCGTCCGCGGTAGACACGGTCGTCGTGCCACCGTTGCGCTTCAGTAGCTTGCGGCGTCGGTACAGAAGAATGGCCACGACCAGTGCCGAGAGGAAGACCAGGCCAAGCACAACGCCCAGCACGGGGGCGACCCAGGAAGGAAGGCCGCCGCTGCCCACATCCAGATCTGTACGCGGCGGTGGCTCCGAGGTGTCGGAAGCATAAGGAAAGTAGGTGGTTATCTTGTTCCGGTCATACGCCTTGGCGAAGATGCCACCGAGATCCTCTTCGTCCCAGCCGCCCCTTGGGGTTTTCTGGGTGGCACCGCCCGCCGGTGTACCGCCAATGGCCTGGACCACTTTGTCTGGGATGGAGTAGTTGCTCATATAGACTGACGGGTTGTAGGAGCTCAGCCACTCAGCCGAGGTCAGGTTGAAGACTTGAACGACGCCCTCGAGGCAGCCGACCACAGAACCTGAAGACTGCGCAATGCCACCAATGGACATCATCTGGTCTGGATATGGTCGCACGCACTTGTGGCCGATCCGAGCATGTGGTATCGTCCCGTTATTCACCTTTGTCCAGATGAACGAAGGCAGGGACAGAACCCAGACTCCGTCCTCGAACCCCTGGTTGCTCTTCAGCGCTGGGTAGCCACCGTACCAGTAGATGTTGAAGCTTGAGGCATCTTGGGCAGTGGCTACAACGGTGCAACCCTGCGCTAGCTGGCCGGGGATATCTCCTGTGGTCGTTTGCTTGTACCATGAACCAGATGCAACGTCGTAGATGCTGATCTCCTCCATGAATTTGGGACTGTCCAGCATCTACAGGACTGTTAGCGCAATCACAGCTATGCCGTGGTAGTTCTGGGTCTGACTTACGCTTTGCCCGGCATCTTCAGATACGCCAGCTGCTGTAGCATAATCTGGAAATGTCACGCCTCCCAACACAGCCAAGATGCCCTGCGGGCCAACAGGAACCCAGACGACCTCGGGGTTCGCGCGAGCCGTGATCTTGTTGGGCACGGTCGTGTTTGACCATGTTTCAAAGTTCTGCTGGCCCATGTCCAAGGTGATGAGCGTTTGTGAAGTATTGGTCGGGGCGATGGTTTTGTTGCTAAAGGAAGAGAATATCGGCCCTCCCGAAGCAGAGCGCATGCCACTGAAGTACCAAGCTTTGTTCTCGGACGGAGCACTGGCGCCTCCGCCAAATGTGATGTACCGAGTGACTGTATCTGGCAGTAGCCCGAAGAAACCTCCGGGAAAAAATTGCCCAGGCACCGCAGCGGTAGTGTACTGACTTAGTCTGTACCCGACGATCTCGTTTCCAGCTTGGGGTCTGTAGATTGGGATGTTCTGTGATGTGCCGCCGTAGAGAAAGAACTCGTGATCATTAGCGAGCATTGCTCCGTCTGCGTAGTTGGGAGCCACATTCGTTCCGGCATTGCCACTGCCGACCTTTGGCATTGGTTCCAGCAGGTTTGTGTAATTGAAGCCTGTGGAAGTGTCGAAGGGCCGGCTGAAATTGAGCTTGTAAGCCAGCGCCAGTGGGTTGTCTGTCGAAAGTCTTTAGCTGTGATCTGAAACTCGACATAGGGGCCAACATACTGTCCGATTGTGGTAGTTCATAATGGCCATCACTCATCCCAGGCACCCAGAAAATCCTCCCGCCGTCCAGATAGACGGCGTCCTGTATCGCCGAGGCTATGGACTGTGTCAGCAAAGGCGCCTTACGGAAAAAAGGAGCTGTCTTGTCGTGCGAGACGCACCTCGTAATGATGGCCAGCGACAGAGTGTGGTGTTGCGCTGGTCTTTTATCCAGCCAGAAAACTGGCCCTCCACCAGCGCACCCGTAGAGAGGGCCAACAGCGCGAACTTGGTCAAGGTGGACGACATCTTGGTTGACAATATTGCGCCTGATGGTCCAGAGGCTAGCGAGGACGAGCCTAGAGATGCGGAGCAGTAGTGAAGCGTCTGGAAGGGCTAAAAGGTGCCGTGCCCGTATTACCGCTCACTCCATGGAGGCCTTGCCGACAAAACTGGCAAACACCGTGCGCTCGAGCAGACGATATGGCGAATAAAGGGCTTCTCAGCGCCAATGCCCAGCAGCCTGCTCACCTTGTGGCTTGCTGTATTGGTCAGTGTGTAAAATCAAGCAAGGGACATTGATTTTGAGGTCACCAAAGAAGAGGAGAGCAGTGCAAACAGTGCTGCTTGCCAGGCGTTCCTCTTTGAGGTAAAGGTCAGAGAGGGCCTGCCTTGCAGATGACCCTTGGAGCAGCCATGTACGCTGGGTCTCTCCAGGCAGGGTACCCGTGGTATGGAGTCCAGCTGCTGCCGGAACCCTGGTAAGTTCCAGGCCCCTCACTCATCTGACAGAGTCGCCGCCTCTCCGGGTGGCGAATGGCTTCTGACATGGACGCAGAAAGTCGAGCGTATCTGTAGGCATTCTGAGCATATCATCGCGAATTTCCCCACCCATCTAGACGAATCCAAAAGCGGACCTGCAGTATTTCGAATATGGTTCGCCAATTTATTCGACAGGAAGAGCTTCCCAGGGCATGAGGTGGCGAGCACCAACTCTCGCCCTTAATTGTTTGTCCCCGAAATCCCAGAGAAGCTGTGAAGACCGCTCCTCATGACCATGCGAGATAATTGCCATAGACAGATTCATCACCATGAATCCCAAACCGTTCTCGCCGAGTGCCCAATCACTTGCGAAAATCTCCCCAACACATCAGATGTAATAGACAGAGAGTATAAAGCCGTACGCGACCAACTCCAAGTCGGCTCTGGTGAGCATACTTCAAGGCTGGCTTTCCCAGTTCAACCTGGGGCAAAGGAGCATTTTGCAGCTCATGTCAGGATCTCGCAGTCGTCTGACCCAAATCATCCGGAATGATCGGTGGTCAGCATCGAGTCCTCAGTCCCAGCACGGTCTGACCGAAAGAGGGAGGTGTTGGGCGAGGCAGAGACCGTCAGCCCAGCCCGAGATGGAGCGAAGAGTCACGACCCTGACCGAGTTGGCAACCGAGTTGGCTGAGAGGGGACATTCAGTCAGAGTTTGCCCGTCAGCAATACTTGCATGGATCAAGAAGGCGGTGCAAGCTGATTGGGCCATGTAGACCCCTGTCTGCTGCCGTTGGCTGCTTGCAAGGACCAGGATCCCACTGTTGCAGGGTCGAGGGGCGTGAGGGAGGCCAGCAATGACCCCTCACGCGGTCCGGGGCCAAAGAGGAAATGGCTCTCTGACCGCAAGGCTGTGGCTCCGGGGCGGGCTAGGTGGGACCGTTGGCGTGGACAGAGCTGCGTGGGCGACGGAGATTGTGGCTCTGGCTATAGCCTGGGAAGTTGAGTCAGTATCAGCTGAGTGGCTTGAGGCCAGGGAACAGTTCCAATCTCCGCGAGTGAAGGCCGTGCTCATGATTCCCGTCGAGGGCGCAGCCTGGCTGGGCGAAGAACTCCACCGGGGAGCGAGCGGGGGAAGAGGAAGAGGGAGAGGAGGGTCGCTTAGAGGCAACGTGAGCACGCGGTTGCTGTACCCGGCACGCCGCTCCGAACTTGGCCGGCCTGGCGATCGGTTGATGAGACGATGCCGTGGCGGCCAGCTCGTGCATGAGATGTGCAGGTCTTCGGAGACCACGTAGACAGACGGTGCTGGGACTTGACGACTCCTGCGCTGTGGAGGAGGAAGTTGTTGCGATATTATCATCGTCCGAGCACGGCTCTCACGACTTGCAGGCTGAAGGAGCTAAGGGACTGCCAACAAGCGCGCCTCGCCTGTCTGGGCCTAGCGCGGGTGCCGCTAATCTAGGGCCCGTTGGTTGTTTCTATTTTGTCCGTCGCCCTGTTCATGGCGGCGCCACGACGACAACAAAGTATCGATATCGTGGTTGCTATGTGCTTGTTCTTGCGCACCCCAGACTGCACAGATGGCATGCATGGTGGCCTCCGATGATCTGTGTTCTGGCCGGCATACACACCCCCTCTCCCTCTCCTCTGGCTATGCCTAGGACCGGACAGGACAGCAAGTGGTGAGAAGTCTACTCCAATTCTCCGTCCCACAAGGCTGGCGAATCAGGACCCGCCTCCGACAAGGCGGGCGAGGGGCTGTCAGAGCCGGGCACGTCTGTCACTTGGTGAAGAACGCCAGCAGGGCCAGCCCACCTTCCTCTTTGTCCCGCCCGCCCGCCACGATGCCACCTCAGCGACCCTTGCCTGCGGTTATTTTGGTCGCTGGTGGCTGACGGACCAGGCACCAGGCGCACGCTTGGCCTGACAGGGGTCCAACATTGAGCCGGCTGCGATTGGCTGCGGCATACGGCCGCAGGGCGATGGCGAGGCTGGCACAATGGCACGGCAGATGGGTTTTGATGATGGGCTGTCCTCCGAGGTCAGCGCCGCCGTCGCCAAGCAACTACTCTCGGCCCAGCCTCGACTGCACCCGCTGGCGCCATCAGACTGGCGTCGCAACGCAGAGCACAGCCGCATCGCACCCCCTCCGGGCTCCCTGGCCATCCTCGCCCAGCCGTGCTTACACTGATCAGCACTAGACTCCCATTCAGGCCGCTCGCCGCCCCCGTCCCCTCGCCGCCCTCGTCCAGCCGGAGCACCCTCCGGGTCACGGTCCGATGCGGCCAGCCAGCAAGCGAGCCAACCTCGACTCTGCCCGCCAACGTCGTCAGCGGCTAGCCAGGTCTCAGTTCTGTCGTGGCAAGCGGTCTGCCATCTTGGACCCCACGGCCACCCAGCGTTCTCACGGCACGCAGACAGTCTACTACTATGTATGTAGAGCTACCCTTGCAGAGGTTGGCCAGGCATCAACTAGCTCTGGGCGTGTGCGTTGTGCTCTGCCTGTCCATGGCCGAGTTCGTCCCCACCACGTTGCAAGGTCGGCCTCGAGTCGCATTATTGACAGCTCATCCCGACGCAGGTTACGCGCATGGCTATTGCTACCCCCTCCCCTCTCCTCTCTACGCAGTATATCCGATGATTTGGTCAGCCCAGTGTGATTGCGGAGCCATAAGCTTTCGCACTCTGGTCCAATCCGCTCTGGCCCATCTTTCCTTCGCGCCCGTGCTGCTTCCCTCAGGTTGGCCTGCTCACATACGTGCGTCTGTACCAAGTGGTCGTTGTATCATGGAGAATTGTGTTTCGAAACAGACAGCCAGAGGGCGAGGAATTCCCAGCATCAAGTAGCTGCCGACTCTTTCAGGATTAAAAGACAATTCTCCGTTGAGCGCAGCAGATGCAGCTAGTACTGACCAAGCATCGGCATGGCCACAACACGAGCACGGACTATATCGTGCAAGATGTTAAGCCTCTGCCGTCGGTGTGTCGTACGTGGGAGGGAGAGCTACCGTAGCGGTACGGGGCATCGCCAACTTCCACTTACATGGGCACAAAGCTTTCCCAGGGTCCCTGGTCAGGCTGTCATCTGCCCCATTGGGCCACTGGGCCAGCCTCCCTGCTGCAGAGCATGTCCGAAGCTGCACAAACAATCCTATTGTTGTCCCAGCCGGCAGCAACAAAAGGGCTAGAGAGACCCCCTCTGTTGTACTCTTATCCATGAGCACCCGCTTACCGTTCAGCACAGCGGATCGCGTCCTAGGCCATTGTCAAAATCCGACGTTCCCAAAACGCGGACACTGCCTTCGTTTTGCTCTGATCTAGGGTCAGAACGACCATCGCTCTCAAAATGGTTGGCTTCACGGGCTTCACGGCCATCTCGGCCATTACTTTCGCTGCTCTCGCTCAAGGTCGGCCGGAAGCGGCCTCTGCATCATCAGCACCCACAAGTGGTAATGTTGGGCTCACCACATATCCAGACTACCCGGCTTGCGAACCATGCCCGGTCTGTGACGACTATCCGGTTTGCGACGAGTATCCTACGTATCCTACTTGCGATCCTGTCACTACCACAGTCACTTCCACGACGACAGAGGTCTCTACGTGTTATGTGACAGTCACGGCGCCTCCAACCACATACACGACGACTGATGAGGAGGTCACCACAACAACCACTACAGAGATCAGGACATCTGTAAGTGATGCCGTCAGGTTGTTGCTCCATTGCGCATGTCAATTGACTCACTTTCAAAACACTTCCAGTCCTATCCCGTCACTGTCACCATCTGCGCCACTGATGGCTACCCAGCTCCGTACCCCACGGACGGCTACCCAACGGACTATCCCGAGTCAGACTATCCAGTCACTGACTACACGGAGAACGACACTCGTTGTGTCGTGTCCACAACCTGGGCGACAACCACAACCACTGCCACGGTTGTGGAGTCATCGTCGACAACTACGACAACCACTACCACCACAACGGAACCTACAACGACCACCACCACAACTTCCGTTTCAGTCCCAACGACCACTACCACCACCACCACTGAGCCCACGACAACCACTACTACAACCACTCAGCCTACAACTACCACTGAGCCCACGACAACTACTACTACAACCACTCAGCCTACGACTACCACGGAGCCCACGACAACTACCACCACAACCACGGAGCCCACCACCACCACAACCACGCAGCCTACAACTACCACTCAGCCTACGACTACCACCACTACCACTACAGACACTGATACGACTACCGCTACGACGCAGCTTCCTGGCTCAGTAACGACTCTTCCCGGAACGACGGCAACGTCCTTCGTCACTTTGCCGGGATCATTGACCACCATTGTTTCTGCCACCACAGTGACTATTCCCCCGACGACCATAACCCAGCCACCGTCAACAGTGTACACGAGTATCTGTCCCGCCCCAACAAACGAGCCCGGCTCATTCCTTGCAAACACATTCAATGCGTCGTCGAACTTGGTCTTTGGCTGTGAACCCGGTTTTGTTTGTAACCAGCCTAAGCCTGCGGGCTGCGAGGTCTATGCAGGCTTCCCTGCGAGAGACTTTGTCTGTCCGCCTCAGTACTGTGTACCGGCTCCTTACGTTCCCCTCATCGAGTGGCCCGAGGGTGAGACTGGCTACATCGAGTACGTGGAAGGAATCTTCTACCTCGATCCAAGGTCGTTCGGCCTCAGCTTCGATATTTTCGAGAAGGAGGTCATTGTTACCACGACCCAGGATGGTTACGGTTATCCTTACGTGACTACCATCACAACAGGCAACTGGGAGTCTCAGGCAAGCTTGTCAGACTGGCCCCAGACTCACAATGGAAACTTCCGGCCAAAGCCCTCGCCTGCCGTTCACCTCGAGGAGCGCCACGCTCTGCTGAAGCGGCTCACGCTCCCCGCTGTCTGCTATGATACCTGCACGATTGCCCTCAATATCGCGCAGCCCATTGGTTTGGTACCACAGCTTTGCGCGGCCGGATCTGGGTTCCTCACAGCTGTCGCCGACTGCAATGTATGCATTGCAGCGAACACCGACACGGGTGAAGAGCCGCCGCGTGATACGCTTGATCTTGCGCTAGACGAGTACCTCGATTTCTGCAATGCGTCCCCTCCCGGAGGCACGCCCTCATCAACTGGTCTGCCTGGCGGAACCAGCTCAACCTCTCAGACGAGCGGGACGGGAGCACCTCCCGCCAGCTCTTCGACATTTGTCTCCATCTCAATCCCGCCCGTCACTTCATCCTCCACTACCCCGCCACCGCCGCCTCCCACCTCGTCCTCGACTCCTACGCCTACATCGAGTTCTACCACCACACCGTCGACACCACCTGCTGAGACTGTTCCCCCTTCCAGCAGCACAAGTTCTACCACAAGCCCTACGAGCTCTAGTGACAGCACTTCTTCTCAGCCCCCGACTGATGGTCTCTCGGATAGCTCAAGTACCTCAACGAGCTCGTCTAGCGAATCCAGTGCCACTGACACCTCGACCGCAAGCTCCTCAAGCGAGTCCTCGTCGAGCGAGACGAGCGCAAGCTTTAGCGCTGCTGGTGTCGGGTCCAGCACATCGTCATCTGGATCGGCCTCTGGCAGCTCAACCAGCAGCACAGGTGCGGGCGTGATTGAGCCGACGAGCAGCTCCAACGGGACTGTCCCGATCTCCAGCACGTCTACGACCGGCACCGGCAGCACCGGAACTCAGACTGTGCCCACTTACATCCCGACTGCCGGCGCTTCGTTCCTGACGTCGCGCGGATTGGGATCCGGTGCGTCAGCCTCGGTTCTTGCCACTTTGGCCTCGATCTTTTTCTCGCTCCTGCTCTAAGCGAAGAGTTTGAAACGAGTTGGAGAGGCAGGAGAGACGGCTCCCCGCAGGCATCATCACCCAAGCCTGTTTTCCAGCCACTTCTTCTCTCGCCATGGCACAGACGACTTGTCCTTTCTGCTCTGAACCCATCTGCATGATGGGAGCAGAGGAGAACAAGCCTTGTCCGTGCGGGCGATCTTCTTTCTTCACGAAAGAACTAATAATATTCATGACGATCCTTAATGAAGAACGCACCACCGGGAACGTGTTGTCTGCTGCTTAGCACGCAACACACTTCCCAGGGGGGTGCGCGCCACGATACTTTTTAATGCTTTTATTTGGAGCGAATATATAATGTTTTGCATGGGGGAAAGGAGGGAGCTGTTTGCATAGGAAGACACGAGCGAGAGGAAGAGAAGAGAGAGGTTTTTGGCATTTTGCCCCCATTTTTTGGGTTTTGGTTTTGTTTGGTCAAAGTAATCTGCTGTATACCCACGTACGTTCACTCCTTTGACGATAGATTATGACGGGGCCTGCCTGGGGACGACGGTTTTGGAACGGCTTTTATGAACATGCGCCACGATTTTCAATGATGATCGGTGGGGAGGGAAGACGATCCCCGCGCGGTGGGAGAGGGAGTTTAGCAGACTAGGGGCACATCTAGAGGACGCGGAGAAATTGAATATCAAGAGATTGTTGCTTATTTACAAATCTTAGATCTTCGTGGGAGATTTTTGCTCTCTGTGGCGTGTCTACTTTTAAGTGGAAGATCATGACCATGATTTCATTATGAAGGCACGCTTGGCCAACAACTGAAATCGACGGCTTTATAAGCTATGAATGTACCCTTCCAAAGTTGGTGCGGCTTTTGATAGTAAGCACTGCAACTGTCCTCATCTCCAGTCGTTCTAGTGCATATTGCTCGGATTTCCTGCGCCATGTCTTTGGAAGTGTTTAAGAAGAATGACAAGAAGCCATTCGAACGAGTGCCAACAGGTCGGCATGGGCACCTAGGTACTTATGTAGTACCCCTTTGTCGTTTGTCTGTGTCGTCGTTTCTCTAGCGCGCGTACGGATGATGCAACCTTGCTTGCATCTTCTCTCCCTCCCTGACGGCAGTGGAAGTTGTATACGAGAAGGTGGCTGTGTTAATATGAGCGCGGCGCTTATCATGTGCGTAACCAGCTTTCCCTGAAACGAAGGAGCAAGGGAATGGATGAGCCAAGGAGGCTTATGTCGACTGGGCTGCCTGGGCTGCCTGGGACGCAGCGACATAATACCTACCGTTGTGATGGCAAGGAAAGCAAGGCACAGACATATCAGGACTTTGATCATGTGCAAGGGCGAGGGATCGGCCGGCATGGAGCCGCGGCGTCAGCCTCATCTCCCTCTCTCTCTCCTTGCCAGCCTGGCCCGGCTCGTATAACTCATGAGAGTAGGGCGGGATTTCGCGCGGGCGCAGGCGCGGTTCTTTCTTCTGGGACGTGATTGGGTCTTTGTTACGAGAGACGGTTGTGGCTGACTTTTATTTTAAGGGTTGTAAAACCCCTTGCTGGAAATTAGATGGGCGGCGTTGCGCGGGATGCTGTACCCGCTCGCGGCGGCCATCACTACGGTACGTCTGCGGACAAGGGGGAGGGGGTCCGACCGGTGAGAATTGGGAGATGAGTAGATGTGAGATGAGAAGGATGAGACCGCTTATGTCCAGAATGGCGTGGGGCCACCCTGTGCTTAGCCATGTGTGGGCGTGTGTGTAAGGGGATGAGTTAAGCCTACGTGAGGATTTTCGGCCAGGATGTAGGACATAGGAGTCTATGTAGGAAGGACGGGATCCTTGCTGATGAGAGCCGAGGGTGGTTGTTCGTCGTCGTTTTGCGGGCTTTACGGGACTTTGTGTTGCCAGCTGATTCGGCCTTTGTCGATAGGCTGGCCGGGAAGTGAGGACTGGAGAAGCGAACAGATTTGCGATCATCTCGTGGAACCATCATGATCATGATGTCCTGGTGTAATGTCTAGGCCAATCGACGTGAATTTCTAATCCCATGAACAACTGACGGTGCATAGCTCTGTTGAGATGTTTTCTTTTACAGAAGATGAGCACGGGATGGAAGCCACACACTTTTCAACTACGGCGTAGTCCTCGGCGAAGCAGTTTGCAACTTCTGACTCGACGTCTTTGATTAGTAGATCCAAAGTTCTCGCCATTCGAGTCCTGATAGGTCCATATAAAAATTCTCCGAGACACAATCAAGCCCCCTTACAGACTCTGATCATCGTGTTCACTCATGTCAACTACGTGAACGCATGCGCTTCAGAGATGTTGTTGAACCACTGACAGTCTGGCCTATTTCCACATGAGTTTCTCGCCAGAAAGTTTGATCCCTGGCCTCGTGCTACAATAGCAACATTTTGTTGAAAGGGTCTTGAGTTGCCTTTCAGCCTACTCTTGACGACTCCGGCTTCCCATACTTGCAGAATTGCCGCCAGTTTAGGCCAAGTCGAGAAATGAGCAAGCAGTCAATTCTGCATTTGACACTATGAAGTTGCCATCCGGTTCTTGCAGCATACAGGGACTCGAATCTCCTTTGGACGGATATCTCTCTTGCTCACCACGGTTGACTTCTTCCCCTCCCCAACCAGGGGCGTGCACGGAAGCGAATGTTCAAGTCATCAACCTTTACGAATACTGTTTGACTCTGTTGGAGCCGTGGGTACTGAAAAAGAACACCATAAAGGGGTGAAGTCACGGCAATAGGATGTTGGCGTCGAGATATGTAGTTATCCACCAACTACGAATCAGATTCAAGATGTGACTATTAGACGGAGGGGATTTGCGGCCATAGTTGCATGACACGGGTTTTCTTTTTCCCATCACAGCGATTGACTAAAGAGAGTCAGTAGAGAAGAGATAAAGCATCTGAGAGCATCCTAGATGTTCTTGGGAGAAGTCAGCGTTAGTCATTCTACATGCCTACACGTTCAGCCAGTGCATGAACACCCTTGTAAGTGGCATGGAGAGAGTTCCCGCCACCCGCGTATTTCCGTGGCATAAGCACGAAATTTCCTCCAAGTGCCTCACCCCAAAAACCCGACTGCCTGATTGCTATCGACTGCTCTCGCTTTCGTGACCGTCTTGAGAAATGGCGTTGTTGTTGACTACGTCATCTGCCATAGTGGGCGGCGTTGCCATAATTTATCAGCGTGTCTGTCAGCAGACGCTCCACAAGCAGAGGCGGCCAGCCCCACTTGTCGATGCCGGCAGCTTCCAGCAACAGTGGCGGGGTCGTGTTGCTCAGCTCCGTCGAGTTGGCTGCCTGCCGACAACGTCAACCTGCTCCCAAACATAGACACAGCCATCACCACCACCACCAGCTACTAGACTCCACGATCGTGAGCAGCCGACGCCAGCTGTGCTGCGGATACGACTATTCAGCTCACCCCCCTTTCAGTACCCGCGAGCCCAGCAACGACAGTCAAGCTGGGGCACAAACGCACCATCTCCAACGGAGACACTCCCATCTCCCCAAAGAGAAGACTGACCGTAAGTTCTTCTCGAAAGCCCCGGCTCGGCGCAAGGGAAATTTTCTCTGGCAAACAGTAATCTGTCTATGCGAGCCACCACTGACTCCAGTCCTGGGCCCCAGCAGGACAGCAAGATGGCTGGCGAACAGGTAGACCTGGTCACCCGCCTCCAGGTGGACGACTCGGTCGTCGGCCAAACCGAAATCGACGAATCGTTATACAGTCGCCAGCTCTATGTGCTCGGCCACGAGGCCATGAAGCGCATGGGCGCCTCCAACGTCCTTATTGTCGGCCTTAAGGGCCTCGGTGTCGAGATCGCCAAGAACATTGCTCTTGCTGGTGTCAAGAGCTTGACCCTGCACGACCCGGCGCCGGTCGCCATCCAAGACCTGTCGGCACAGTTCTTCCTTCACCCGGAAGATGTCGGCAAGCCTCGTGATGCCACGACTGCGCCACGCGTCGCCGAGCTCAACGCCTACACGCCAGTGAACATTCACGAATCTGCCAAGTACGTCATTCCACAACGCCCCACCCTCCACCCAAACAGCAACGTTGCGCAGACCAGCTAATAGGACGATGCAATAGTCTCGGCGAGAACCTCTCTCAGTTCGACAAGTATCAAGTCGTCGTCCTCACGAACACCCCACTCAACCTCCAGCTTACGATCGGTGACTACTGCCACTCCAAAGGCATCTACTTCGTGGTCGCGGACACGTTCGGCCTCTTTGGCTCCATCTTCTGCGACTTCGGCAAGAAATTCACATGTCTCGATCCCACCGGCGAGAACCCCCTCAACGGCATCGTTGCTGGCATCGACGAGGAGGGCCTTGTCTCCGCGCTTGACGAGACCCGGCACGGTCTGGAGGATGGCGATTACGTCACCTTCTCAGAAGTTGAGGGGATGGAGGGTCTGAACGGCGCCGAGCCCAGGAAGATCACAGTCAAGGGCCCATACACCTTCTCCATTGGTGATGTGTCAGGACTCGGTCAGTACAAGCGAGGTGGATTGTACCAACAGGTCAAGATGCCCAAGTTCATCGACTTCAAGCCCATTTCCACAGCCATCCGCGAGCCTGAGTTTGTCATGTCGGACTTTGCCAAGTTTGACCGGCCTCAGCAGCTCCACGTCGGTTTTGAGGCCCTGCACGCTTTTGCCCAAGCTCAAGGTCGCCTTCCACGACCGATGAATGAGGAGGACGCCATCGTCTTGGTCGCGTCCGCAAAGGCGTTTGTCGAGAAGGAGAAGCTCCAGGTCGAGATTGACGAGAAGCTGATCAAGGAGCTCAGCTTCCAAGCTCTTGGCGATCTCAGCCCCATGGCTGCTCTATTTGGTGGCCTTACAGCGCAAGAAGTGCTCAAGGCCGTGTCCGGCAAGTTCCACCCCATACAACAGTGGTTCTACTTCGATTCGCTCGAGTCGCTCCCATCGAACTCGGCACGGACCGAGGAACTCTGCAAGCCGACTGGTTCCAGATATGATGGCCTCATCGCGGTGTTCGGCAAGGAGTACCACGACAAGATCCGCAATGTCAAGCAGTTCCTGGTCGGCGCTGGCGCCATTGGTTGTGAGATGTTGAAGAACTGGGCAATGATCGGACTCGGAACGGGACCCAAGGGTGGCATTATTGTGACAGATATGGACTCGATTGAGAAGAGCAACTTGAATCGTCAGTTCCTCTTCCGTCCCAAGGATGTCGGCCAGATGAAGAGTGACACCGCCGCCGCTGCGGTGCAGGCAATGAACCCCGATCTTGCTGGACACATCACCTGCCTGAAGGACCGTGTCAGCCCCGACACCGAGCACATCTTCAACGAGGAGTTCTGGGAAGTTTTGGATGGCGTGACCAACGCACTGGACAACGTGGAGGCGCGAACATATGTTGATAGACGATGCGTCTTCTTCCACAAACCTCTGCTCGAAAGTGGTACACTAGGCACCAAGGGCAACACTCAAGTTGTGCTGCCGCACCTTACAGAGTCCTACTCGTCTTCTCAGGATCCCCCGGAGCAGTCGTTCCCGATGTGCACGCTGCGTAGTTTCCCCAACAAGATCGAGCACACCATCGCGTGGGCCCGCGAGCTTTTCGAGACATCGTTCGTCAAATCAGCAGAGACCGTCAACTTGTACCTGTCTCAACCTAACTACCTGGAGTCCACCCTCAAGCAGGGTGGCAACGAGAAGGCCACCTTGGAGACGATCCGCGACTACCTGGTCACAGACAAGCCGCTCAGCTTTGAGGACTGCATCATCTGGGCCCGCATGTTGTTCGAGAAGCAGTACAACAATGCTATTCAGCAGCTGCTGTACAACTTCCCCAAGGACTCTGTGTCATCATCGGGGACTCCATTCTGGTCAGGACCGAAGCGTGCTCCCGACCCGCTCAAGTTCGACCCGAAGAACTCGACACACTTTGGCTTCATCGTGGCGGCAGCCAATCTGCATGCTTTCAACTACAACATCAACACTTCAGGTGTCAGCAAGGAGCTCTACACCAAGGTTCTCGACAACATGATCATCCCTGATTTCTCTCCTGACTCCAATGTCAAGATCCAGGAGAAAGACAGCGATCCAGTAAGTGATTGTGGCTCGATCCCGCTTGTTATTTGGAGACCCGTTACTGATGAGTGCATCAATCATAGGACCCGAATGCCAACGACAGCTTTGACGATAACGCAGAGCTGCAGAAGATAACCGACAGTCTGCCCTCAGCGAGCAAGATGGCCGGGTTCAAGCTGACCCCCGTGGAGTTCGAGAAGGATGACGATACCAACCACCACATCGACTTCATCACTGCTGCTAGCAACCTTCGGGCAGAGAACTACAAGATCGAGACTGCAGACAAGCACAGGACGAAATTCATTGCTGGCAAGATCATTCCAGCCATTGCTACTACGACTGCGCTCGTCACTGGCCTGGTCGTCCTTGAGCTCTTCAAGATTGTGGACGGCAAGACGGACATTGAGCAGTACAAGAACGGCTTCATCAACCTTGCGCTGCCGTTCTTCGGCTTCAGTGAGCCTATTGCCAGTCCCAAGGTCGAGTACAAGGGGCCAAACGGCAAGGTCACCTTGGACAAGATCTGGGACAGGTTCGAGTTGGCCGATGTCACGCTTCAGGAGCTCATTGACGACTTCAAGGGTCGGGGTCTCACAATCAGCATGCTGAGCTCGGGAGTGAGCCTGCTCTATGCCAGTTTCTTCCCCAAGGCAAAGCTGCAGGAGCGCCTCGGCCAGAAGCTCAGCCAGCTTGTTGAGACTGTGTCCAAGAAGGCTATTCCGGAGCACCAGAAGGAGGTGATCTTCGAGGTAGTTGCTGAGGATGAGGACGAAGAAGATGTCGAGGTCCCGTACATCAAGGTCAAGGTCCGGTAGAAAGGTGAAACCATGGGTGCACGTTGAGCATTACGGCTTTTATTCTTGCGGCGCAATCAAGGATCATTGTAGTTTACATAGAAATCAGACGCACGATCAGTCTCGAGAACCAATTGAATTGTGCATGGATTGTCCTCTGGTCCATCATATCCCAGACGCAAATCAGGTGCAGCTGGGTGGCGGGGTAGTTCCAGAGTGGGCACCCTGATGATGGCATGCGAGGTTTCGGATCGTGTGCTTTTGTTGTGCAGACAGCAGATGGAGGCTTGCGCTACGGGCAGTTTGTCTGCATTCAGCGTTTCGCCATGACTTCTTGGCATGCTCCAGACATGCTCTAGAAAATAGCCAATCCTTGTTGTATTGGCGTTCCGCAGAATGTGAAGCTATCTGCTGCTTGTGCTGAGTGAGTATGACGCTACTATAGTGGGAGCTACGTGGATGGTGGGGTTGTTTTGTCACGCTCCGTAATCCTGAGCTAATCTGGGAACCACCCCAGCTTTGAGAGCCCCATGACAAACCGAAAGCTTGAGTTGACTGAGAGCTCGCCAATCCTCACAGGGTGATGAGCTAATCGATCTTGTGGCTCTCTCAGGCGCTTGCTCCTCGTGGTGGTGATATAGCTTCTTCTCTGCTCAACATAAGTATTGGACTTCGTCACTACCAGGACGACTTCTAAAGCAGACAAGACATTGACTTGCACATCTTCATGCACACTCACAAGCTTCTTGAGAAGCTACGACCAGCCAATCTTGCCTGCACCTGGACTGCCCAAGCGCGATCTCCTCTGTCCGGTCATCTCAAAGCTCCTACACGAAACTTCACATCAGCCTCTGCTCGTGTGCATACTCTGCTGGCACCTCTGCGCAGTAACTCTGGGAGACCTACTAGCAACACATCCGTCTACACACCGAGCACTCAGATCAGAATGGTGTGTACTTTTATCGGAAAGCTCTGCAACCGTGGATGACATCACTGACAGCCCAGCAACAGGCATCCAAGGTCACCGACTGGGTCAAGCCCGACGACAAGTCTGGCGAGTTCAAGCGGCAAGTCAGCTCGTTCCGGGACTGGATCTCGAGCGAGCCGGGTGCCAAGTTCCCGCCCGAGAAGGGCAGGTACCACCTGTACGTGAGCTACGCATGCCCGTGGGCGTGCCGGACGCTCATTGCGCGCAAGATCAAGGGCCTCGAGGACTTCATCTCGTACTCTGTGGTGCACTGGCACCTGGGCGCCAAGGGATGGCGGTTCGCGACGGCCGACGACAAGGACGCCGAGGGCGAGAACGTGGTGCCGGATCCTCTGCACAAGGACTTTACGCACATCCGGGACGTCTACTTCCTGGCGGAGCCCGACTACAACGCGCGCTTCACCGTCCCCGTACTGTTCGACAAGAAGACCAACACGATTGTGAGCAACGAGAGCAGCGAAATCTTGCGGATGCTGGGCACCGTGTTCAACGACCAGCTGCCCAAGGAGTACGCCGAGGTGGATCTGTACCCAGAGGCCCTGAGGAAGGAGATTGACGAGACAGGCGTGTGGACGTACGACCTCATCAACAACGGCGTGTACAAGAGCGGCTTCGCGACCACACAGGAGGCCTATGATCGCAACGTCAAGGCCCTGTTTGAGGCGCTCGACCGTGCCGAGAAGCACCTGGTCGACACGGCGAGCGAGGGCCCGTACTGGTTTGGCAAGACCATTACCGAGACGGATATCCGCGTCTTTGTCACCCTCATCCGGTTTGATGTAAGTCGTACCAAAGTTCCCGCGTGGCTATCTTTTCCAGCGTGGTGGCCCAACTGACACATTTTTTTGCCCCTTGCAGCCCGTCTACGTCCAGCACTTCAAGTGCAACATCCGCGACATCCGTTCGGGCTACCCGGCGCTGCACAGCTGGATGCGTGAGCTGTACTGGAACCACCCAGCGTTCAAGGAGACGACCAACTTTTTGCACATCAAGAACCACTACACCCGTAGCCACACTCAGATCAACCCGTACTCGATTACTCCGGTCGGCCCTCTGCCTGACATCCTGCCGCTCGACGAGGAGGTTCCTGCTGTAGCCGCTGCTGCGAAGAAGGTTTGAGTTTGGAGTAGCAGGACGCGAAAGTGAGAGGCGAGGTTATCCGGGGGGATGTGTACAAGGGACTCTTTAGGCATGATAAATGATGCAATGTCCTAGTCTTAGCCTCGTTGAACGCAATTCGTCTTTAACAACCCATCGTCTGGTGTCTTTGCTGCGATACCTCTTGAGCCATGTGATCAACCCTCGAAGGTGTAAAAGTCCCATGCCTTGTCGTAATTGAGTCGCCCGCTGAGTGTAATCGGTGGAAACCCCATGTACGGAGTTGTCGGTTCCGTATTCGACGAGTTGGGACTAGGCCTGCCTGGTGAACGAGCGGGGCGTCACGACACGTCTTGGCCACTCAATTACGTATGCCATATCCTTGCGCCATCGCAAGCCAGAGAGAGAGAGCTCTACAGTACTATGCAGGCAGGCGAGGCGGGGCGGGGTATGCTGCTCGAATCACACACATCAATCAAACCATGGACCAGAGCTGAGGGTATCATGACAAATGGCATGTGGTGGCGGAGACTAAACCTCTTTGAGCACCCTTGCAGTTCCCTATCAGATGGGGGAGGAAAAAAAGGGTTGATGCTACTGTAATACCAACCAACCCCACCCGCGCCCAATGAAAAGGTCGGTCGAGAAACGCTCGAGAAAATCGTTCGAGAAGCGGAGACTAAACCCTTTTCGGATGGCCGAGAGCCCTGGGTCCCTGCTTCTGTGTAACATACGCAGTAGCTCGTCCGTCGGCAGATGGCGTGGTTTGCTAGGTGCCTACCGATCCGTCCGTCTCATGCATAGAACGGTTAGTCAGCACCCGGAATGCTAGTCAGAGTCAGGTGATTGGCTGGGCAGCGTACTCGTGTTCGGGTTTAAGGGTGCTTGATTGGAGGAAAGGGGAGGGGCGGTGTGCGATATCGGGAGCGGCAGAAAAAAAAGTGTCAAAAGAAGGGTATGGCCACGGATTGGGAGAAGGGGGGGGGGGGGCCGGAACGCTAGTGATGAAAGCTCAGATGGGCGGCAGCTGCGATTGGCCTGCCCCTGTTGAGGCTCGCCCACTAACTAGACTTGTGGTCGATGCGCGGATCGTCGACGCCGGAGCTTACAGGACGGACCGGCCATGATGGCGATGGTGATTGTGTGACTGTCGCGCCCAGAGAGAGTGCGTGTTCTCGTGCTCGCATCTTTCTGTGCGTCATGCATCTATCTACCTGTGACGTTGGTGACAAGTGTGTGTGCTCCGCAAGGGGTTGCTGCAAGAGGAGGGCGGTCTCCAAGGTTGTATTAGCAAGCTGTTGAGCATCTTGCATGGGTGCCGTCCCGTCTCGGTGTCTATCCAACCCCGACTATGCGATGCGCCTGCGCCTGCGTGTTGACATGTCTAGGTATAATCACACAGTCGACTATTTTGTACGCTAGGTCGACCTGCACTTCTGGAGGATGGATGGGCATTCCAGGGGGCACGCACTTCTTTGTTGGCCGCCCTGCCTCTGCTTGCATGTATGTAATTTCGTGTGCTGGGCGACGAGCCGGAACTGGCCATCCGCTCGGTCGCCCGCCCGTGGCGCGCGCGGCCCTTCCGGAAGACGCCATTGCCTCGTCGCCGCCGGCAGCAGGCACTGCAACCCCTTGCGCGGGCGGGCACACCCCCCGGCCGGTCTGCAATACCATAGTACAAACTGCAATCTTAACGGCGGGCACCCAACACTGCAATAATCGTCCCTGCGCTTGTAGCGGCGGCAGCGCGAGCACCGAGCAGCTTCTCTTTCTGCCCCTTCTGCCCACCCTCCACTTCGCCCTCCTTCCCTCCTCCTCCTCCTCCTCCTCCTCCCCGTCCGTCGAACGAGGTCGTGGTTGTTCTTGTTTTCCTTCCTCGCGTCTTGCCCTTTGCTGTCGATAGACCTCGACGACGACGACGAGGACAACAACAACTCTCCCTCTGTTTGCGACACCCGCTCACAAGAGCCACCCCGTCGCCTGCCATGGCCTCCAACGCTACGAGCTTCTCGTCGCCTCTGGCCGAGTCCATCTTCCCTATTGCCAACCTGCCCCCGCAGGTCACAGACGCCATTGACGCCGTCGCCAACGCCAGCATCGCCACCTGGTTCTTCACCATTCTCGGTCTTGCTGTCGCCTATGATCAGGGTATGTTTGTTTCCTCATGAGTCTGGCAGGCAGGAACACGAGATCCACTGCCATGGACTATTCAAAAAGGGGCGCAGTACCATGAACAACCGCTGATATTATCTTGTGTGCCTACTACAGTCAGCTACTGGATCCAGAAGGGTTCCATTGTCGGCCCTCGCTTCAAGGAGCCCTTTATCGGCCCCTTCCTGCAGTCCCTCAACCCAAAGTTCGAGGAGTACGTTGGCAAGTGGAAGAGCGGGCCCTTGAGCTGTGTCTCCGTGTTCCACAAGTACGTCTATCCTACGGGTTCCTCTTTCTGGCAATACTCTCAAAACTAACTCTCTGGTCACCTTTAGGTTCGTCGTCATTGCTTCCACTCGTGACCTCGCCCGCAAGGTTTTCAACTCGCCTACCTACGTCAAGCCTTGCGTCGTCGACATCGCTACCAAGATCCTCGGCGAGGACAGCTGGGTCTTCCTCGACGGCAAGGTCCACGTCGACTACCGCAAGGGCCTCAATGGCCTCTTCACCCGCCAGGCGCTTGAGTGCTACCTCCCCGGCCAGGAGCAGGTCTACCGCGAGTTCTTCACCAAGGCTCTCCAGATCACCAAGGATGCCGGCGGCAAGCCCGTTCCCTTTATGCACGACTTCCGAGAGCTCATGTGCGCCGTCTCGCTCAAGACCTTCACCGGCCCTTACCTGACCGGCCCTGCCATCAAGAAGATTGCGGACGATTACTACCTCGTCACTGCCGCTCTCGACCTCGTCAACTTCCCCATCATCATCCCCTACACCCGCACCTGGTACGGCAAGCGCGCCGCCGACATGTGCATGGACGAGTTCGCCAAGGCTGCTGCCAAGTCCAAGGCCCGTATCGGTGCTGGTGGTGATGTCCAGTGCATCATGGATGCCTGGGTCAAGGACATTCTCGACTCCAAGAAGTGGCGCGAGGCTTCCGAGGCCGGCCAGTCCACCGAGGGTCTCCGCAAGCCTGTTCCTCTGCTCCGCGAGTTCAGCGACATGGAGATTTCGAGAACCATCTTCACCTTCCTCTTCGCCTCTCAGGATGCCACCAGCAGTGCCGTCACCAACCTCTTCCAGGTCTGCGCTCAGCGCCCCGACGTTCTTGACCGTGTCCGCGAGGAGAACCTGCGCGTCCGCAACGGCGATGTCGATGCCTCTGTCTCCCTTGACCAGCTCGAGTCCATGACCTACACCCGTGCCGTCGTCCGTGAGCTTCTCCGGTGGCGCCCTCCTGTCCTCATGGTGCCCTACAAGGTCAAGAAGCCCTTCCCGATCACCGAGAACTACACTGTCCCCAAGGGCGCCATGGTCATCCCCACGACCTACATGGCCCTGCGCGACCCCGATGTCTACGAGAACCCTGACGAGTTCGACCCTGACCGCTACTACTCTGGCGACGCCGAGGAGAAGGGTGCCAAGAACTACCTCGTTTTCGGCACTGGTCCTCACTACTGCCTCGGCCAGCATTACGCCCAGATGAACCTGGTGCTGTTCCTCGGCAAGGCCTCGCTCAAGGTCGACTGGACCCACCACGCGACCCCTGTCTCTGAGGAGATGAAGGTGTTTGCCACAATCTTCCCCAAGGTATGTTTTGCACCTCGAATATCTCAGAAGCGAAACACACTAACGTATTGCAAAAGGACGACTGCCCTCTGACCTGGGAGGAGCGTAAGTGGTAATCGGTGCCCTGCAGACGAAGACCGCGAGCTCAAGACAATCTTCATGTATGATGGAATGAGCATAAGCAAGCAGGCACAGCCCGTTTGGCATTCGGAACATTGACCAGACGAGGAAGCCAAAACATTAGAATAATTGTAATGCAGCATTGTATATATTTAGGGAATCTGGGGGTGGGAGTCTATAGACGACGTTTAGGCGAGGTACGGGAGGATTTGCATGGGGAAGCAGCAGAAGGGTGATCTGCGACCAATAATGAATCAAAAGAACCAAACCATCATAAGAGGATGCCCCAAACTCAGTGATCAGGTATATGTTGCATCATGCCAGTGGTAGCAGAAGTCATTTTGGTGAAGAGTTCTGCAGAGTATGCCCGGCGCCGGCACCGGAACACAGCTCGAGGTCAATGTGGGGATGAGGTGTGACATCAGCTAAGCAACCTCCGTGCAAGCTCCAATTCCACGTTGCGCCATCCGGAGCTCCTCTAACAGCAGCATTCACCACTGCCCCCGAACGACCTCGGCGCTTCTTCTAGAACAGCATATACACCAGCAGACGAAGAAGGAGAAGAAGCAGAAGCAGAAAAGGCCCAAATTGGCAGAAAGCGACGAGCCTCCTCCCACGCAAGCAAAAAAAAACACCCAGAACTCCAGCAGCGATCAGCACTGCCAAAAGGGACCGACCAAGAAGGACGGCATATAACACAGCGCATTCGCAACTGAAGGGCCAAGTGAGACACAATGGCGACAGCGACACGACAACTCATCGCGGGTACCACCTCGGCGTCGGCGGCGGCGCGAGCCTCGCTCCTCGTCCTGCGGCCGGCGGCTACCACCACCATCGTTCCTGGTCGGATGGCGTTCGCAGCTGCGGCTCGTGAGTGCAGGAGGAGGAACTTGTCCACGGCTTCCGCGAGAAGCAGTGCACGGGGGCGGCCGTCCGTGTTGCTTGCGCTGGCCCCCAAGATGGCGGCGCGTCCCGGTGGTGGTGGTGGTGGTGGTGGTGGTCAAGGAGGACTGGGCACGCCGCCCTGTGGTCGGCGGCACGAGTCTTCCAGTGCGGGGTCCGGCGACACGAAGATCTGGAGTTTTGAGGAGGTTCGTCTTTTCTCTTACTTTTTTTTTTTTTTTCTCTTTCTTTCTTCCTCTCTCACAGATCGTTTCCTGGCTTTTCTTTTCTTTTGCGTTTCTGGTTTTCAAGTATCAACAATGACGAGAAGCGTCATCGTCATCTTCGGGAACGGGCGATCTCCTTTCTCGCCAACTTCTTCTTCACATTCTAACTTGTCTCGTCCCCCCCACCCAGGTCCGCGATCTCACTTCGTCGTCGTCGTCGTCGCCCACCAAAATCACCATAATCGACGTCCGCGAGCCCCACGAGCTCTCCTCGACGGGCCGCATCCCGGGCGCCATCAACGTCCCCGTAAAGTCGGCGCCCGACAGCTGGCACGTGCCCGAGGACGAGTTCGAGCACGCCCACGGCTTCCCCCGCCCGGCCAAGGGCGCCGAGGTTCTCTTCTACTGCAAGGCCGGCGTGAGGAGCCGCGCGGCCGCGGGCCTGGCCAGGGACGCGGGCTTCACGGCGGTCGGGGAGTACCCGGGCAGCTGGGATGAGTGGGTTGCCAAGGGGGGCAAGGTGCAGCGGTAGACGAAGGAAGGATGCTGTGATGCTGTGATGCTGTGATGCTGTGGTGGTGTTGTGGTGTTGATGCGCGGCGGGTGGGCCGGCCGAGACGCTTGTTGGCTTGTTGTTGTTGTTGATGACAAGATCAAGCTGTGGATGACGGGCCATGGTCGGCACCTGGGATGAGAGGTGACGCAGCCGAAGGTCAAGACACACCGGACTAGATAATGAGTACTCAGTATAGTATCTTGCCGCAGCCTGAATATTCCTAGTCTGGAACTCTTTCTGCATTACCCGGTCCGCGGTTCGCAGTCAGCACGATGTACTTGTACTGGGGAGCAGGCTCGAGCACTTCCACATCGCCCTCCTGCGATTGCCGAATCGTATGGCCCAAGTAGAAAAGTACGTTTGCAAGATTACATCAGATAGGTGGTGGTTGCATAGCACTTCGAGATCGTTCTATCTCCCGCATCGATCGATGTTCATGTCAAAGAAGGATCTACTCAGTTGCAGAGTATACCCATGGCACGGCTCACTGCATACAAATCCTCGAGTTTGTTGCCGTGTACTGTGACTTCGCGAGCTTCATTGTATTTGAATCACAGCTCCCGATCAAGTAGAAGCTCGTTAGAGGGAGAAAGTGCAATCCCTTGACTTCCTTGGGGGACACAGGAGTCAAAAGCATATATATGGGCATAGTTCCCAGCAATAAAAGCAGGCGAGATAATTGTTGTGTATTCTCTAGAAACGCGGCTGCTCCCGCCGCCATGCACCTGTCCTCGAGGACGGAGCACGGCAGACTTGTACCGCACGCCCGTCCCATGAGCCGTTCCGTCCTTGCACTAAAACTTCCCCACCCCACATGCAAAGTCATGGAAAAACCTCAGAGCCTCGTAATATAGCCCACCCTTCAGAACAGCATCCGACCCGCCGCGTCCCCCGCCGGGGGCGGTGGCGCATCGCCAGCCGGGTTCGGGTTGTCCGCGACCGGGCTGCCCGACGCAAAGAAGAGGATCTTGATGGCGACCGACAGGCCCAGGTGCAGGGCGATGACGAGCACGAGGAGGATCTTGCTGGTCTGGCGGTCGGTGGCGCTGAGCACCGGATACAGGTTGCGCAGCAGAAAGGTGACAGACAGGCCGAAGCCGACGCTGACAAAGACCCAGTTGAGGATCTGTATCGAGGACCAGCTGATGCAGGCCACGGGGATCCAGATGAGGTTGGCGTAGCCGTAGAGCGCCCAGCACTCGAGCAGGTTCGCCGACTCGGAGCCGAAGTAGCGCAGTGCGCCGAAGAGCAGGATCGGGATGACCAGTGTGTAGCCGTAGATGAGGCCGGCAGCACCTGGTTGGTTGATGGGAGTCATGTCAGTACTACTTGCGCTCAGGTTCATGATCGACTTTATTGTGTGTAAAGAGTACGTACCACTCAGAAGCTCAAAGTCGTACACAAATGGACCCTGTCCCGTCTTGGCCATGTACTGGCTGATCGTGCCGCCCATGAAGAGGATGAAAACTACCGTCGTCGCGATCCAGAACGGGCCGTACAGGTCAGGGTTGCCCTCGAGGACATCAAGAAAGTTGGCGCGCGGGTAAAGCGCCGCCCAGCATCTCGAGAGCACCGAGCTCGTGTCAACGTCGAAGAATTGCGCGTAGAATGAAAGACTCCACAGGAAGCGCTTTGATGAGCCGGACGCCGTGGCAGGCAGCGGGAGGCCGGCGGAGGCAGAGGGTCCCTTGCGGGCTCCCGGCTGGTTGTCGCTGAAGTTGGAGGTGTGGAATTCGAGGTCTTCCTGGAGGTCGGTGTGGCCGAGGTCACCCTGTGGTGAATTGAGTCAGTCATCCGCTCTGTCATCTCTGCTGTCTCTGGCTGATCTGGCTGATCTGGCTGATAGCCATAGTGAGGGAGAAGCGGCGTACCTCGTCGTCGATGTCTACCACTGCATCATACCCGGCGCCGGACATGGCTGCAGGAGTTGGTGCTTCCTCAGGGTGCTGCTATCGTTGGCGCTATAAGCCTGCGATGTAGTCTCCAAGGGAGGTTCGCGTCGATGTCTGGGTCGAGGAGTCCGGAGTGAATAGCGATTGTGTCGTGTGAACTTGATGCCTGCTGGCGTCGTCTGGGGTCGTGGCGTGGCTACGCAAGGAGCTCACATTGAGGACACGACAAGCTGATGGGCTCTAACCAATTTCGGTTAGCTCCGTGCAACCACCCCTGGCCCAGCGTGGTGCTTCGGCAGGGTACACAGCATCAAACTTACAATAGAGCAAGCACCTTCACAGTCCGACAAGAGTTGAACGATTTCCCCAATGACCTCAAAAGTTTTAGATGTGGCTGGTCTATTCCCTTATACCCGCCGTGAGGTAGCTTCGGCATTCGTGGGATTATGCACATCATGTAAAGGCACATCATGTGGATGCTTCGACAAACATGACGACAGGGAGCGTCATTCGTAATGCAGGCCTAAATTCTAGGTATCATCGTCACTTGCGCGCAGTCACGAAGAGCAGACGACCCTGAGAATGGTTTCAACTTTATTTTTTTTCTTTTCTTTCCGCAGCTGAAATTCCACTTATTGAATTGAGGAGTCCTATGCTATTTTCCGCGTTCGGCAAGAAATCTTCGCGGCCAGGCGCTGCGTAGACCAGACCGGAAGACAACCGTTTTTCATGTATCGCGTCATATCCCCTATCCTTCCGATGGTGTTCGTAAAAGTGGATGCCCAAACCAGACGCCGAGGAGATGGAGGAACAAAGTGCCCACGCAGAACGAGGGCGTCGCCTTCGGGGCGAGTCGCTTATTTGAGCTTCTTCTTGGGGCGGAGCTGGTTGGTGTGTCCGCACTTGCGCTTGCGGCAGTTGGTGGCACGCGGGGGAAGACGGGCCTGTTTGTCATCTTGTGAGTACTGGGAGCCTGCGAAGAGGTGTCGGGTGGTTTGTGGGCCCAGAACATACGTAGCACTTGCGGCAGATCATCTTGTCGCAGTTGAACTTGGAGGCAAGAGCCTTGAGCGAAGGCTCAATGATGCCACCACGCAGGCGGAGGACCAGGTGGAGAGTAGACTCCTATGACCGGATTCGAGTCAGCATTCCAGTCCATTCCCTATTCCCTGCTATTGCGGCTACCGAAGTCGCGGATCTGCTCGTGTCTCGCGGGACCCGGAAGCCTGGCGCAGCAGGGTACATTGTCGCAGGTGGAGGTACTGAGGGATCAAGGACGAACCTTCTGGATGTTGTAGTCGGACAGAGTCCGGCCGTCCTCAAGCTGCTTGCCGGCAAAGATCAGGCGCTGCTGGTCCGGGGGGATGCCCTCCTTGTCCTGGATCTTGGACTTGACATTGTCAATGGTGTCGGACGACTCCACCTCAAGGGTGATGGTCTTGCCCGTCAGGGTCTTCACGAAGCTGTGTTTCGGCACGCTTGTCAGCCTCCACTCCCGGAATCGTGATTCATTTCAGATTCAACGTCGATGTAGTCGTCGTGGGCCGTGGGTGAGGTGTAGGCAATGTTCTCATCGCGGCGCAGGTGCAGTCGTGTTGATGGGTTTGTCGTCGGGTTCGTTTGCGCTCGAGCGGCAAATTTGGGGCATGGCTGGGGACCGGAATGGCGAGAGAAAGACTTACATCTGCACTGTAGTTCACATGATGGTTAGCATGACTGTCGCAGAGACCGGACCGACGATACTGCAGCTCAAGCGGGACTTACTTGTGACGGTACTTCGTGATGAGTGCTGTCGAATGTGAGTATGGAGTCTCTTCGGTGGGCGGTGATGTTCTTCGCCTTCGCAGCAGTCTACGAAACTCGGGAGGGAGGGGCGCGGACGAGGAGGAAATTCGCTTAGAGCCTGGGTTTCTCGCACAGGGTTCGAGTTTGTGCGGGCTCCACTTTTAAATTATTCAGCCCAGCCTCGCAGGAGGTGAGTCTTCCAAGTTACCCGGCAGACCCCACCCATCTCACCAGTCGCTGGGTGGAGCCCAACACCCTGGTACTCGGCTCGGCCCACTCCACTCGTCAGGTTGATATGAACGTCAAACCACCATGCAAGACGATATGGGAATAGACAGACCAGTGGCTTGTCGGTGACCTGTTGTCGCAAGGAGTGAGGTGCTCTCTTATATTTCATGCTCATTTAGCAGCATCGCTGCGACCTCGTTACTCGCTATCTTTCCGCTTGCCCTTCCTTTCACTCCATCGCTCTTTACACACCACTTCTAGTCGCCGCTCGATCTGCCCACAAGCTCGGACAAGCGTGGATAGTGGTATCGCTGCAAGATCCGCCGCCTCTTTGTACGCGAACCTGGCTATATCTGGAAGGTCCTCCACTGTTTGCCAGATCGGGCACCACAGCCCGTCCGCGTAGTCACGCTGCTGCGGCACTGTGGAGTCCGTCGTTGACTTGGATGTAGCATACATGTCCCTGTACTGTTGCGCAAAGTGTTTGTCGTGCTGCTCTATCTCCTGCTCAAGACTAAGTGTCTTGCGTGATTCGCTATGTCTTGGTTCGCCGAGGAAGGGCTCACGGAGCACCTCGGCCGCTGCGCATTGTTTATATGGGTCAGAAACATGGCCGTGACGAAAGAAACAAGCCCAACGCTGGCCAAGGGCGGTGACAGATATTGATTGGACTTACTCCCAGAATTCTCGTCGCCGAGGAACATGCTCTCGAACCAGTCCATGTAATCGTCTAGCTTCGTTTTGTCCATTGTGAGCACGTCGTTCGCAGTGACTGTGTACTCCTCGCCTGGCGTGATGTGATCGTTGTCAACTGGCTTGGAGTGCCTCGTGGCTTCCCATCTTGACCAGTCCATCGCCTTCTGCCCGACAGCACGGCCCCCGGAACTCTCAAAGGGATATCGCAGCTTTGCTGACACAACCACCAAGGCTATCATGAGAGTTTCCGGGTCACGCATGGCCTTCCGCTTGAGGCCATCTGCCTGATGAGCAAAATCTGCCCCTATAATCTTGGCAATTGCTGTGCATATGGAGTACAACTCGACTATAAGCCAGCATGTTAGCATGTATAGTACGTCGGGCGTTTACACGGCCCCTTCTTACGCCGACTTACACGGCAGGACAAGATCGCGAATGTATCTGACGATGGTGAAGACATGGTTCACTGGGGGGAAGGTGACGTCGAAATTAGCTCTGAAAGCAAGGACAAGGTCTCTCGCTGCATCCTGCAGACGCCCGTGTTTAAGATGATCCCCAGGCTGCAGTGCGCGATGGAACTCAGCTGGCAAGCGATCGCGCACATTCTTGGGTAGATTTGTGAACTAGAAGCCACACCACACTTATCAGCATCCCAACTCAGTCACATGACGGCGGCTTGGTGCAGCCTTACAGCTGAGAGATACTCAAGTCTGCCTTCTTGAGCCCAGTGGTGTATATCAGACGTAGAAACAGGCAGTCTCCTCGTGAGGCAGCCCAGATAGCACAAAGCCAAGGTGTCGATGAGATGTGGCAACTTCCACCGCCTGCCAACATCTGGTTCCCAAGTCTTGGTCGTCGTATCCGACAGCTCCCACTCTGACGACGACTCTCCGCCGGCCACACTCTCGGCTTGAGAGCTCATGCCTCCTCCCATGGAGGACGACACAGACATGGCATCGTCGTCTCGGCCCTGCGAGTCATCTGCAGGCTTCCTCGCGGACACAATCTTGAGCGGCAACGACCTGACCCTGAGCGCCCACAGGCTCTGAACGATCCCCTCCAGCTCCTCAGGGAACCCGCGGTCTCGGACGAGCCACCAGACCTGCTTGCGCAGCACGAGCTGCAGGACCTCGAGGTACAGCTCGCGCCCCAGGTCGCCCGACAGCTTGACCGCCACCTTCTGCGGCTTCTCCTTCTTCTTGCGTGTCGTCCTGCCCTGCGTGCCAAAGTCGTCCTCGTCCCCGCTGTGCGCGGCGAAGCCTTCGAGCAGATGGCCCCGGCGGCAGTATCGCAGCGCGTCCTGCGCGTACCATTGCCGCGAGCCGCACTCCTCGCACCGCTCGCCCGGCGGGAACTTGTGGTATTTCGGCGACATTGTGCCACTCTGTATAAGAGTGTCTGGCAGCTTCCCTTTGCGCTTTGCTCGTTGCTGCCGGCAGAAATGATGGTAGATGATGCGGTGAAAGGTAGGCCCGGGGCGGCTTGCAGGTGTTCCGCCGTTCAGCTATCACCTGATCTCCATCGCGAGCTTGGGCAGCATTCTGGGTGCCGAGGCTGTGGTAGCTGCGCGCGCGAGAGGAGCGGTGATGGCGTTTGTTCGCAAAAACGTGTGGTATGGTGTAACAGATGGTAACAGGAACCAGCTCTCAATTGAGTTTGCATCCACACGGCGCCTGACCTACCCTTGAGGTCTACCACGACCAAGCAGTGCGCCATCATGCAGTATGCCCAAGTGAACGTCAAAACCCGATTCCGTTCATTTCCTTCACTGGAGATGCAGAGCAAATCACCGACCACGGCCGCAATTTGAGCCCACCCTCCTTCCATGTACATTTGCACAACCCGACTACCGAGATGAACGTCCGTGAAGTATTGTACCAACAACATGATGTTGCAGCGTCGTAATGCTCCTCTCTACGCCCTGTTTACGGTCGTATTTCACGCCACAGCATGGGGCTCGATGGCACCCTTTTGCAAACTGGAAGTTTTCGTTCGATATCAAATCATTCTGACCATTCTGTCACTTTGAGGCAAACATTTCACCTCAAGGCCAATATCACGAGTGACGGCGCATCGAAGCGCTTCTGAACGTTGTGTGTCATAAATTTGCGGGTTCTCCCGTCGAAGTACTTTTTTCGTGACCGTGTCATATACCTAGCAGAGAAAAAACCCAAGTTCGTCCAAACATAACCCGCTGCTCATGCAACGAACACAAGAGGAGGGGCAAATCCTCGAATGTCTATGGCTTCAAATAGAGCGTAGCGATCGTCATTCGCGACTGGCATGGCGCTTATGCCGGTGGCTGTACCGATAGGCGTCCATGCTGTCCGTGGGGCTGTTTGCAGAATCATCCATCGCAGAGCGAGACGCTTACTGCTTGGGGGCCTCCTTGGCCTCAACAGCGGCCTCCTCACCCATGGAGGTGAGAATGATGACATCTATAACAGAATGAGGTTAGACACGGTCGACCCCAGAGACTCGCCTTCATTGCGAGCAGATTATGGTGCAGAAACTTACTGGTGTCCTTCTCCTCAGTCTTGAAGAGACGGGTGATCTTGTCACCAACCTCACCATCGGGCATCTTGACGTCGTCCTTGGTGTCGCCATCCTCGTTCATCAGGGAGAGGAAACCATCGTCGGAGATGTCGAGCTATTGAGCCTCACGTGTCAGCAGCATGTCCCAGGGCGTGATGGCACGGCGAGGCAAGAGCCCCTCCGGCTAAAGACAATAGAGCAACTTACGAGCTGGTACTCGCGGCGAGAGACGTTGGGGACGTCCATGTTGTGGGTGGAAGGGCAGAGATCTTCCATCTTCTTGCCGGTGAAGATGTCGAGGGCGACCAAGTGGACCTTGGCGTGACCGTGCTTGCCGGTCTTGGAGGTCGACATGTCAACGATCTTGCAGGGGCGGCCCTTGATCAGGACGAAACCGTTCTTGCGGAGGGCCGAGCATTGCATAGGGTAGGACAGCGACGCGCCGGCATCGGCGGAGTCGAAGGTGTGCTCGTGCTGTCAGAGAGACGTGCCATGTTAGCGAGGGATGATACATTTCTTTTTTGCGAGTACGGAGCAAGCGTGTCCATCAACCGCAGATCGCAAGCGGAGAGTGGCCATCATCGTGCAATTCCTCCCACAGTGGTGAAGAGAACCCTCATGAGCAATGTGACAAAAGCCCGCGAAGACTTTCGGCGCAAGGGAAACCTGCCAACCATGCCATGCCAGCCCCGCCCCGCGAGAATGAACTTGCGAGCCACCACAACGAAGCGCGCGAGACCACAACTTTCGCCGGCGGTCCTTGATGGCGTGATTTCCACCCAAGCACTGGCCAAAGGCTTGGAGTGCGTGGGCGGAGAGACTGGCTGGTGGCTCGCAGTGCTGAAATTTGTCGGTGGGAGGAGGTGCGGGGTGATCTTCACAAGCTGCCCGCCTGGCCTTTGGACTCGCTCAAGAGGTGAAGAGGAGGGGCTAGCGGGGAGAGAGCAGCTTACCTGGGCGTCGTCGGCCATTTTGAAGGATTGGACTGGGGGAGTCTGTGGTGGTCTGGAAAAAGAGAGTTGAGGAGAATGCGACGATGGCCAACACCGGGATGGAGAGGATGGGAGAGGTGGAGTTGGTGGGAGAAGGGGAAGGGGAGGGAAGAGAAATATGCAAGTGCAGGTATTTAGGTAAGTGGGCGTGTTAAAAAGTTGCCCGCCGGCCAGGCCCAGGACAGAAGAGGGGATCTGAAAATTACTTGCTGCCCGCAGCCCGCAACGCCGCCGCCGCAGGCACGGATGGAGACCTCGACCAGACCAGCGAGGGCGACCTCGTCTGGCTGCAGGCCGCCTGGCTCGGCTCGCTGCCCCATCCGCCGCCCTTCGATCTTCGAGAGGGCGGCTGTCCGTAAGTAGGTACATACATCTGTGGCCGCCGGCACATACAACAGACGGCTCTGCGCGGTACCTTCGCCTATTGCGTTGCACCCCAGACACGAGACCAGCTTCGACGTGCCCACGGCGGGGTAGCGACCATCTATGTATCTGCAGTGACCACAGAATACCTACCATGTATCCGTGAGGCGACCACCCGCACTCCGACCCGACGCAGCAGGCCCTCAACATGGCATTGTGGTCCAATTTGTCCGCGCCCACCTCTACAGCCGCATGGCGTCTGTCTCCCGCGAGACCTGCGCTCCCTCGTGCGCTGTCAGGTGCCGGTGGGTAGCCAGCATGCAAGACAAAATTTGGCCGTGCTTCCATCGAGGACGCCGTGATTGGCCAGCACGCTGCCATTTCTGCCCCTCCATGGTGTTTTTGCAGTGTGGGCTGGCTCCATGTGGGCCGCGCCGTGCTTGTGGTGCGCGCGCTAACCCGTCCTGGCCAAGAGGCCCAGACTTCGAGGCGGTTCAAGGCTGGCAGCCCAGGGGAGCCTGGAGGGCGGCGAAGCGGATAGCAGCCTCGACGAGGCACGACAAAGGGTCCAGTCCAGTGGTGAAGGCGGCTGTCATGGACGGGCACCATAGCCTGCTCACTCAGCGGCCTGGTCTGGGTGGCTCAGGACGAGATGCGGTCTCGCCCAAAGGTCGGGACGAGACGTTTTGGACAAGTGCTACCGAGGGTGTCAACAACCCGTTGCCAGAGCAATCCCGCACATACACCCAGGCAGCTGGTTCCTTCGATGGACATGGTGCCTTTCAGGGTCTCATTCGTGGGCGCGATCTGCGAGCTGCTCCGTAGCCGCGAACGAGCAGCCGGGAACGACACAATCAATGTTCGGTGTCCTGGTGGATACCGGATCTCATCGGGAGAGCCTTGGTTGCACCAGATCAAATCCGCCCTCCACTTGAAGTGACGGCTTGAGCCGACATGCTATAGTGATCGTCTAGCCGTCCCGCGTTGAGCTGCCGTTTATACATTGGCAGCTCGCTCTGTGTGTCTATTCCCGTTGGCTCATCATTCTTCCCCGGGTCTGGTTGGGCCCTTGACAGACCCGACCCAGTTCATCGTACAGCAGCTGTGGTTGGACAAGAGCTGCCCAAGGTGTCGGTCGGTACTATGTTTTCCAATGGCACTGTGGCGCTGCCTAAACAGTCCTAGCGTGGTTTCCTCCAACGCTCGGTGGCGCCTCAGCTTGAGCTCCTGCCAAGCTCTCCAATCTGAGTTATGCAAATTTATGCTCGCTCGCCCCGACTACCGTTTGCAAAACGGTGCTTGTGAAACGTCAGCCTGTACCCTGCTCCCCAATTACGGAAGGATGCCGCAGGTAGCGACGGTAGCTGTGCTTGAAGATGCGATGGCCGCGCCACGCACATCTCCCGACTTCGACCTCGAGCGAGCACTCTTCCTAGTTCTTCTTCATACTGCTTGAAGTGTTGTATTATACGTGCGGCTACTTGCGTGGACGACTGGCACATGCTTCGTCGTCGCAATGCTCCCCCTCCCTTGCATGCTTACAGTTCTCTCTCGTCGCTTCGAATCTTCGATCAATCATATCAAATCGATCAATTCACTTCGTGCGTGCTCTTAGTGCCGCCCTACCCCTTACCCGTCTTTTGTCTGGTCTGTTAGACAAGGACGGTCTCTGTAGTCACTGTTATATCACTACTGGTCAAGAATTATGGAGAATTCGAGGTTGTCGTTAATTTTCTATCAGATAATCGGAGAGAAGTTCGCTCAGCTATTTCATTGGAGCGGGTGACAGGAGCAACGAACTCCTCCATCATCACGAGGCGCCCGAATGGCGGTAGTCATCCACAATAAGAACAGCAGATCTTACGCTTGCATGCGATTTTATACGTCAGGGCCTTGTCGGAGCCCAATACATTCTTCAACTTTGAGCGCAACAGCATCCGCCGATAATTCAGACGCGTTGATCTGCTTGTATGAGTATTTGTGTCTAACAGAATGCAGTGACAACTTACTTTATGGAAAGGCTTTCTACGGAGTGGCTTGAGGATGGCCTCGACTTCTTCTTCATAAGCAGCGGCCCTTTTGAGGCGGACCGTCGGGTCCTCATCATCCTGCAGAAGATGTCCGTGGCCGTCCCAGAAGCCCGGGATGGCATAACCCTCGCTGAGTCTCTCGCTGCCGCTGCCAATTTTGCTGTCGTCCACAGCATACACATTGGTGATGATGCCCTTGGGAGAGACCGTGAAGCAATTGGCCGTGGGAAGGTCGTCCCAGTTCGTCCGCACGGACTTGAAGCAATGTGTTTCCGAACCAAAATAGTTGGTGGCGTGTTCCTGCAGCTTTAGCAGGGCGGCGATGCTGACGACTGCCGCCGAGCCGTAGCTCAGCAGCGAGTTGCCGCCCACCCGCGGCAGCCAAAATCGATCCATGCTTGTGTGGAAAAGAAGGTTCTGAGCTTGGGCCTTGTTTTTGGTCGAGTGACGATTTGATGCATCATCGTCCGTCGGCTGGCGGAAGTTGTGAGACCCACCCGCTCAGATTGGTGGCCAGCGGCTTGGCAGGGACTGGTGCCTCTTGTGGTCAGGTCCAGGCAACTCAGTTGCAACGACAACCTTTTGAAACATTTTGCAAGCAACATAGCGGTTCCCACAAGGAGAGTGAAGTCGAAGAACCTATGTTCCATCTCAAAAGGACAACTCAAAAGACTGCTCTGAGTGTCGCCAGGCGAGTACCGACTACAAGTTGAGCTACTGGGTGCCCGAGTTGGAAAATCTGCGAGTACACACACGGCCATGCGAGCATACCTCTCTGGCAAGCCACCGTTAAGTCTCTTATTGCCATATTGGAGGACCCTTGCTCAAAGAAACAGAATCATCATGTGGACGGCCTTGAAAAGCATGGCCTCGGATAGCTGCGATAACAGCCGGCTCGGTCTACAGGACACTAGGATGAGGCTGCTTCAATGGCCCATCTTGGAACGGGTTGCAAGGGTGTTCTTCCCGCTTAGAGTGTGCTAATTACAGGCAATAGCGCGGCAGGCGTTTCCAGACCTCTTCATCACATGTCCTCAGGGGAGGCTGGTGCAACCACAACCCTGTCAAGCAAAGGGCGGGAGTGGGGGCTGACGAACGTATCGGGACGCGAGGACACCGGGTGGTCTTCCATCCGGTCTTACAGTTTATAGTAAATCACGAGGCGTTCATCGTCTACAAATTGCGTGTGAGACCCTCGTAACAGAACAAGATTGTCTGGCCCTGCACAAGGCACCCATCGACGGCAGCTTGACCACTCAAAGTAATTGCGGCGAGCCATCGACCCATCCATCACGGAAGCAGACAGCCCCAAGATCTGCACCATGGCCGACCACGCCAGCCTCCTCAAGCTCGCCGAGACAGAGGTGTCTCTGGAGATCACAAAGGAACAGTACGGTCCGGTCCTCACGAACCCGCCTTTTGTCTACCTAGACGGGACCCTCAACACCAGAGACCTCGGATTGATCCCAGACAGCCCGCTCCGCGCAGGCTTCGCGTATCGCTCTGGTCTCCTGTCCAACATCACAGACAATGGCAGGGCTGTGCTCGAGGGTAAGCTTGGCATCAAGCGCGTGTTTGACCTGCGGTCTCAGCCGGAACGAGAAAAGGCGCCCGAGCCGGTCTTCGAAGGTGTAGAGACCACGTGGATCCCGAGTACGCGACCCGGCTCGAGACTAGACCTGGCAATGTTCGCTTCAGGTGGTGGTGAGGCCGGGTACGAGGACATGTACTTGGAAGTGATTGAGGTCTATGTCCCAAGCTGGAAAGCTATCCTAGAGCACGTGCGAGACCGCCCCGACGAGCCGTTCCTAGTGCACTGCACAGGTATGCCCTCTCACAATCGAGCGCGACTTGCGCTGGAGACATTATTGACGTTTTGGTATCACAGCTGGCCGTGACAGGACTGGCGTTTTCGGCGGCCTTCTCCTGACACTTGCGGGTGCATCCGAGGAGACGGTCACGCTAGACTACCTGCTATCCAGAGTCGGTACTGAGCCAGTCCGGCTCATGCTGCTCCAGTATTTGCTTACTGAGACCGATGCAAAGAGCCAAGAAGAGGCAGGCTTCTTGAACCTCTGCAGTCTTCGCGCTTCCTCCTGGAAGGCATTCACCGATGGCGTACAGAAGAAGTATGGAGGGTTTGTCCAGTTTGCCAAGCAGGAGCTTGGATTCTCTGAAGAAGATCTTGCCACGATCAAGAAGAACGCAACAAGCCCACGTAGTTGATTTCGGGAAGAGACAACTCTGCGACTTGGGTCATTAGTAGTCGGAGAGGCGGTCGTTCCTGATTTTCACCAGCAAGGACTATCCGTGACCGGAATGAATAGAACCATGTCTCTACGTTTTTCCTCACCCGCATCGTCTCGCAGTAGACAACCAACGACACGTAATGGTGGTGCCGACATGTTCCGCGCAAGACAACGTTTACCCTGCCGATTATCCGTATGATTTTGTACGCAGGCCTGTAAGAGACGGCCACAGGCCTGTTCCCAAGAGATAGCAGTTGCGGCCGAAATCCTGAGAGCGACTCCCACTCCTTCCCTATCTGGCCTTGCCAAGTGTATAATGATGGAATGTGACTGTAAACTCCACAGTAAGGCAGATGGAGTGGGAGGCCTTCGCGTCCACAATGCCCCCCACTTTACACGTCAATGTTCAAAGGGGCTGTCGTCTGCCTTTGCCACAATCTGAAATTATCTGGCTGCTCTGGGTCGCTGAGATCATGGTGCCCGCTTCTGCCTGTGCCTCACCCACCACCAAAACCTGTTTCCTGGCTGGGCATATCGATCGCGTCAAGCCACACATGTACGTACCTCCACTCCTTGGCCCTCGACGTTCGGGAACACTGGTTCAATACCGGCTTCTCCGGCTGTGCATTGGCAGCTGGATCATATGATCGAACTGTATGTTCACAGGCTTGAACGTCTCTACTTCTTACAACTAGAAAGGACTTTGCGAAGCCGCAAGTTCGGACAGCCTAGCCGCACGGATTTATCCGCATCAGTCCGCATTTATCTGCGAGTCCTAGAACTCGACTGCTGGCGGTTGATGTTTTGGTTAAAGCACCCGCGTGGGGTAAGATTTCGCACCCATTTAATGATGTAATAAGCTAACCACAGATTCAGGACTATCGCTGGCGACACCCAAAGCCTGCAATGACTCTCTTAGAGAGAGAAATATTCATGTCGCCCGGCTTTTCAGGGAGATCTTGGGGAGGCTAAGGTCCCCGGATCCCTCTACGGAGCCACTACCGCCAAAGACAGCAAAGGATATGTATAATGAGCTCGATCCCGATAGCATATGCTCGACCCTCAGCTCGCAGGATTCCACTTCCATATTATCAGTGGCTGATTTCTGCTTCAACGTTTGATCTGTGGTATCAATATCGTTCATTCGACCCTTGGGTCCATGAGGTTGTTCCAGATAGAACATTGTAGACGGGATAATTACATACTAATGTTGCGCAACCTTCCCAGTAGAAGCGACGAAGCAATGAAGGGTCAAGCTTGTCTCCGTGCAAAGTGGATGTTGCCTTCAAGAAAAGCAGATTACTACGTATACCAAGCCATAATAGTGGGTAGGTCTGAACGACGTTAGGCGTTGATTGATGATACTAGCAGCATGAACTTGAAATAAACGAGTTCGCACGTTTACGCTCACCTCTGTTTTTAAGAGTGTTTCGAGGTTTCCACAACTCTAGTCTATGATGGTGATTAAAACATGCCATGGATCCTCGATAGCTACGGTGGTTTGTCTTGATTTCGTGAACTTCGAGGCTGAAACTTAGTCGGCGGAGATGAAAGCTACATTGCATTGTTGTGTGTCTTAGTACTAAGAAACGAATTTGTACTGCCTTGAGAGGCGCCTCCCCTCTCCCCCATCTTCGAACCTCCAGACAAAAGAGAACGAATTCATTTCAAGAGAAAAGGTGCCAAGCCTCAGCATTCCAAGTATCCTCCCCAAACTCCTCGATCATCTGCTGCTTTGTAATTTCGAGATTGTCGCGGTCCAGATCCCCAAGCGCTATCTCTGTTGGAACCCACTTCGCAAACACAGACAGGCCCACCATGTTGACCGATTTTTGGATAGATCTTGTAGGCCTTACAGCGTATATATGGCCCTGGAGCTTCGTATCTAGGTGACTTGGCTAGAAGATCAAGAACAGGCTTACCAATTGTTGCTACCGAGTGCAGGAACTCCATCTGGGTCTTCCCAGGCAGAGAGTGGAAAGACACTTCGGAATCCGCCCATTGTTGCAAAACCTTGATTCGTCCGGTCGACTCGTCCCGCTCGAGATGAGTCTCATAGTTATAGAGTTCAGTAGCTGAAGCCCGGAGCACGAATATGCGAGGACTGGTTTCTTCCCGCTTCTGGGGTTGGTGAACATTCTCGCTGTCCGATGCCTGTCTCTTGAGGCTGCGACCGTTGTCGCTGTCCGATGCTTGTCTCTTGAGGCTATGAACGTTCTTGCTGTTCGATGCCTGTCCCTCGGGGCTGTGATCGTTCTCGTTGTCCGCCGCCTGTCTCTTGAGATTGAGGTTGTTGCAGGGCTGCACTTGATGTTGCTCGCTCCAGCCAGCTCCTGTAGCATGAGACGCAGAACTTGTAGGAGGGGGTGAGCAGTCCTTGGTGTCAGCCTCTTGGCATCTGGCTCTCGAACCTTGCCCCGTGCTAGAGCTTGCGCGTTGGTATTGCAATGCGACTGGGACCTGGGGCTGCATCTGGAAACTCTCAGGTGCCCAAGACGTTGATGGCCACAAACCGTTACCGGGAGGGGGCGTCCCTGCAGCAGAGCTTGGTTGATACGGGCATCGAGCAATTGCAATTTCCGAGGGCATCGTTCGGGGAATACGAGCTGAATTAGAGGCAGCGCTGCGACGTTTGGCAATCTCGACCTCGGGAGCCTGACTGCCTGTATGATTCGCACTTTCTCCAGGCTGGCATGTTGATAGTCCCGAGCTATGCGACATGGTCTCGAGATCCAAGAGACGTATGGGTGAGGAGTATGGGTGAGGAGTATGGGTGAGGAGTATGGGTGAGGAGTATGGGTGAGGAGGATGGGTGAGGAGTGTGGGTGAGGAGTATGGGTGAGAAGCTGGAGAGGGAAGAGTAGGTCAGGACGGGGAAGGGGATGAGCATAAATAGTTGCAGAAGAGAGCGTTGGCTAGGCAAGGCTGCCTTGCTCCCGGTCGCTCGGATCTCCCCTGATCGATGCCTGTCACTCTGTACACCATCTTTGCGGACCAACACATTACCAGCAACTCGAAGACGAGAGGAGATAAGCTGATGTCACCAGAGAAAATGTTACATTGTGGCAGGTATCAGGGGGGGGCGGCGTTTGGGGGTTTGAAGCCTGCGCCAGGCCTAAAGCCATCACGAGCACAAAATATCTGCTCCTCTGCTGCATGTGACGAGTAATGATCCATTGTACAATGATAATACTTGCTCCTGACCGTCAAGATAGCGAATCTCGTGGCGAGCCGCAACTACGAAGCCCGGCGGCGGAGCTACTCAATGAGTCGTGCGACTGCGCAGAGGAAGCTCGCCCGTGAGAACCAACCTCCGTCCCGGACATGAGCTATCCCACGGCGTCCTCTTGGTGAACCAATATCAGATCAATCATCAGCCTCCCCTACAAACCAAGGCCGTTTCTTCAGAAAGATAACTTTTGGCGCGTCCATGTGAACCTTCCGGCCTGTAGCGAAGATGAGACTTGAGAGAAGGACTCCACCAACGATGCTTGAAAGAGCATGATAATCAGGAACTAAGTCCAGAAGTCGTTGTGCTGGGTTGACGTGAATGTCTTCGTCCTCCAGGCTTGCAATGGACAACTTCCTCAAAGAGGGGAGCTGCGGAATACCGAAGTCTGCAGTGCTGAGAAAGAGAGACCCTGCAGTGCTGAGAAAGAGAGACCCTGCAAACCGCCGGATCAGCGATCCTTCATCGATTACAAGGTGGGCGACCCACGGTCTGAGAGGCCAATTTGGCAGGAAAGGGTCGTCAATGAAATAGTTATAGTAGATGTCGCTGACGAATAATGCGTCGGTCTCAGGGTGATAAGGACGCGTCCAAGGGCTTGGAGCCTGAGTCTCTGTATTTTCGGATCGCGTAGAGGCCTCAACAAGCCTTAGTTTCAGTAATTTTATGGCCAGGGCTCGAGACTCCACACACGCGGAGAGTATGGATGGCGGATGTATTATGTTGACGACTAGTCCCGGATGCTCGAGTCTGTTTTCAGTCCGTTTGCTCGGCCTAAAAACACAGACACCAGGCTGAGCTTCAGCAAAACAGGCTTCTTGCCAGATCAGAAGTCGAATTTCTGCTGGAAGAAGTTGAAATTTGACGAACATGGTACAGTGCAACGCGTAAAGATCTATCCATCAATTCAAACTCTTTACAAATGATTCCGAGCTACTCAACCTAGAGCTAAAGTATTGATCAGTTGTTCGGCATGGCTGAATATGACTGGCACGATAGGCATGATTGGCTGATTCGAGTGCGTCCAGCCGCTGACGCCGAGGCTGCCGATCCCCGCGATAGCCCTTCGCAAGGCCCCTGACAATAGTTAAGGCCCCCCACAGGGCCCCTCACAGGGCCCCTCACAGGGCTCCTCACAGGACCCCTCACAGGGCCCCTCACAGGGCCCCTCACAGGGCCCCTCGCAGTAGTCAAGGCCCCTTACAGCACTCCTGTTGGTCGGAACCCTGTGCGTGGAGATGGCTTGCAACCCCGGGATCCGCTCCCATACCCATTCCAACGCCATCAACCAAGGCCATCGTTAAAAGACGGCCTTCAGTTGACCACAAACCTTGGCGTTGTCTATTCCACACTGCAACTCAGTCTACCGTTCTCTACAAGACACACTAAGGATGATGCTCGAAAAGGCGACAACTCTTTTTGAGCCTTTTTGGGTTTTCTCAACTTATGCATGTGTCTTTGTGTTTCATACATTCAGACGATCGCTCCCCATCAGACGGAAGAACTTCAACGCTTTTCGGCATCTCACTCTCATCTGTCACATTGCCATTCCAGTTGCGGAACTATTCAGCTACCATTTTCGCGCTACAAACTCCCAGCCGAGCCCAACAGCTTGTGATCTTACCTTATGCCTCGCCCATTCGTTCACCGCCTTGCGGCTTGTATCACGACTATCCGCGGGGGACAAAGTTATTGCTCGCCCGAACTACCAGTCAATCGCCTTGCTTCGCGCTACTCTCTCTCTCATCGGCTACGCTCGTGGCGATAAGTTTTACTATCGTGCCTCTATTCGAGTAATCCATGGTTTCGTGTACCCGCGGATTCTGATAAAGGCGATGTCGACCTACAAGATCCTTCCGACGCAGGCTGCCATCTATACAGCCTCTAATTTTACAGCTTCTATCATATCTCTTCATGAGACACAAGTGCTCTTTGGACCACATCTCTTTGTGATTCTCATTGGATTGAATATTTTCCTCAACCGATGGGTCGCAGCCACTGTGAATCACTGGTATCTAATGTACGTACCTCGTTTCACAGTACGCGAAAGTGTTGCATCTAACAATAGACAGGAACGGCAACACTCCACCACCAATCCTTGCTTTAGCTCTCCTACAATCTGGATTTGTGGAGAAGCAACTGCTTGTTACCAGTCGACCAATCCAACCCCATGATGAAGCTATACAGGCAGTGCCCAGCATCATGCAGTCAAGCGAATATCTTACGGACCAGCCGTCGAGCAGCTACTGACTACTACAATCCCGATGTCTTCCCCATTTCCCAGCTCTTTCCTCACTTCCTCCCCGCTCACTGGAGAGCCTGGAATTCGGTTCCGGGCTCGAAAGCCTCAATTGTTGGTTTGACCACAAGGTCCATGATCAAGTCTAGATAGCGATGGAAGTTCAGAGCAGCCGTACCAATTGAACCAGCATCCCGGGAATTTGTTTCCCCTTTGGCCTTCATCATTGCGGAATACAACTCAGTCGTGACGTTTTCTCTGCCGAACTCTGACAGCTTCCAATGTTTGAGAAATCCTACCACTTCTGAAGGTGGACTCTCCTTGAAGAACTCTCGCGCTTCGGACAAGAAGTCCAGAGAGAGGGCGTTCACAAGACTTGCGAAACAGAAACCATGTTTTGCGAATTCGGAGGCACACATTTCCTCCTCTGATTCGCCCCCGAAAGGCTCTTCCACCACTGTTGGAAGATAGATGTTTGACTTCAAGATGATTACACTGGCTCGTGGTCTTGGAGGGCTAGTAGGCCGGACAGGGAAATGGCTGGGACACACCTTATCCATGGTACATCCAACTGGGGACTCGTCGAACTCGAATGGGGGCTTGGACTGAGTGCTCAGTGATAGCGGCGATGGTGGTGCTAGTGGTTCAGAATCCATCGCTCGTCTGTTTGATAGCCCTCGACCTCCTTGCTCGATCCAGCTTCTAGTAAAGGCGGACCGACGAAACTATTTGTAGAGAGACGTTGGCCAGATCCGTCCCTCTCCTTTAGTCTATATTTGCTCTTCCAATCTATATTTATACGCTGTGGCTTAGCCGCGGAGAGCCATACGGGATTAACCCAAATTAGAAGCACTGAAATTCGAAGCTCCAGATGCTGGCTTTTAATTACCTATAACTTATAGGAAGACGATTAATCCTAACATACGTGATTCGAAAGATAAGGTTTCCCGAAAGTTGGTGGCCTGGAAAATTCAACATATGCAGCTCCCACTCATTTATGCATATCCTAGTGGTCTGCGCTACTGTTATCCAGATGATAGGGTATCTGGAAGCTTTCGACTATGCCTACTCAAATATAACCTGCCCAGCCTCTTAAGTTAACCAACCTAGCTAGCGCTATTGGAGGGGAACGCTTGGAGTTGAGGGCGTGGCAGTCTGTCAGTGGTCGTTTTGTTGTTTTGATGTCATGAGGTTCTGTTCCGGGAGATATCAAAGGCGATCAGCATATGCCTTGTCGGCTGCGTGTCTTGTTCTGTGTTTCTTCATGCTTCGCGAGCCGGAGGGTGAAAGGCGGACCTCCACCAGCGCCTGCCGGCGCTGCAATCGGTTCTCCAGCAGATGCGTAGACCGAAGACAGACACGGCTAGGCAAGGCGCGCCAGGGCATTGGACTGCTGGCCACGGACAGGGAACTTCCTGGGAAGTTACTATTTCACCTTTTGCCTACTACATTATGATCCCGACAGTAAAATACAAACGCATTCTCTGTTTTCTTTACACGTTTGACTTCAAGATGATTACGCTGTCTCGTCATCCAGGAGTGCAAGCAGCCCAGACTGGCAAGTCACTCGGAACCACCTTGTCGACTGTACATCAAGTGGTGACTTATTGAACTCGAATAATAGGCATGGACTGAGTGCTAAGCGATAGCGGCGAAGGGGTTACTAGTAGTAGCTCAGAATCCATTGTTCGTCTTCTTACCAGCGCTAGAGCTACCTGCTCGATCTAACTTCGTAGCAGAGACAGGCAGACAGGACCTCGTAGACTATTTGTAGAAGGAGGCGCGTAACCAGTTCCGTTCCTCACTTTCAGTCCAGTACGCACTTGTCCTTCAAATCCATACTTACACGTTGTGGCTCAGATATGAAAAGCTTAACGGGGTTAACCAAAAAATAGAGGTACTAAAAGTAGAAATACCAGAAGCAGGCCTTTCAGCAAACCCTTGAAGCACCGAAAGCTGCTGCAGTTGTGGTGAGCTAGCCTGCCAAGGCCGCACAGCAACTTCCCAGGAAGTTGCTCAAGGCTGCCTGAAGCCGCTTGTGTTGACTGGTGTTTGTGGCAGAGTAACTTCCTAGGAAGTCCCCCCCCCCCCCCCCCGGGGGGTTGGACCACCACACTGACCGGAAGTCGGCCGTTCCGGGGGCTTCCACATTTCTGAGTCTTTGCTTCCTCCAACCCCGCGTCGGGTAGGTTGCACGTGCTGCTGAGGAACTTCCCAGGAAGTTGCTGAGAACTTTGAGGAAGTCACTGGGCGTTTGGCTGCTGGCCACGGATAAGCAGCTTCCTGGGAAGTTGCTCATACACCTTTGTCCACCGCATTATGATTCATGCATCATACGAACCCAGTGTTTGTTTCCTTTGGCTCAAAAAAGATGCTCGCTACCTGATTCTCTTGTATACCAGCAGGGCCTTCGCAAGTTGAGGCCACATTTGCATCACCCACAGTGATGTCTAATGTCTAACTTCATCCCACGTCTCACAACTAAAGTGTCGGCGATTCCTCGCCGGCATCCTCTCGTTGAGCTGGGTTGCCTTCAAGGCTTGTGCCCACCCACACGGTGTCGTTGAGAATTTCCCCACGAATGCAATCTTCCAACTCGACCCCACGCCCTTCGGTGTTGTACAGGAACAGTGGTTTCCCTCCAAACTGGTCGCGGAGCTTGGATATAGAGGGCTCGACCAAGCTTTGCCACACCTTCTCATGTAGCAACCCACGTCCATCCCAATCATACATAATAGTGATCTCCTTCTCAATTGGCGCGGTAGCTACTACCGGAGCTGCTGTGGTTACCTGCAGATCTCCCTGACTCGGCACGGCATCTTCTACCAGATCTGCTGCAGTAACCTGCATGTCTGCCTGAATCGTCGGAGGCCCAAGCAAGAGCTGTGCAGCAGGCTCTGTATCAGGCTGCATTGGGGGTTCTGTAGCAGGCTGTATAGCGGGTTCTGTAGCAGGCTGTATAGCGGGCCGTGGCTTTTTAGCATATGGGTTATGACGTTGGTCCAACAACCTGAGACGAGCGGGCCCCGATCGCGTGAGGGCTGTAGAGGCGGGATTTAGAGAAGTGTTGCCTTCTCTCATTATTAGATCATCGTGAACTGCAATCGGGACAAGACTCAGCTGTGGTGGCGGAAGCAAGGTCTCTGGATCATTAACGTTGGCGCCACTTGCAGTTTCCTGTGGTTGTACGAAACTTTCAGTGACGTCTTGTGAGGGACATCCCCAGAAGGCACGAAACACTGAGCGTCGAACAAAAAGGGAGGTGACATCTGTGTTCAACTGTACATTACATGTGATGGTGTCGACAGTGATGCAGTCCCGATCTCTGGCATAAGCCTTTCCATACAAACGACCACATCGTCTATATGTCGGCTCGCCATTCTGACTAGTAGTTAATGGTCGTGGGGTTTCCATAAAGTCAACTTTGTGGGCTTTGTCGAAAAGCTCTCGGATCAGCTGTACGAAGCTTTCGAGGCCGGTGCCGTAATCATAATCGGGCAATGGGCGTGCTTCTAGCAGGGCCTTCAACGCGATCTCACGATCGGGATCTGCTTGGCTCAACCGTGAAATCTCCTCCGAAACGAAGCCTAGTTGCTTTGCGCGGCAAGCAAGTCGAAACCAAGTCCGCGGATCAGGCTGGAAGTTCTTTTGGTGCTCTGGCCCTTCATCTTTTAAAGGAGTCTGACCAGAAAGATCGCAAAGGTCGTTCATGACAGCGATATACAAAAAGCGAAGGTGGTTCTCGAATGCGACCTCTTCGCTCGCTGGATGCCTAGCTGGGGGTTTGAATGCTTTCCAGGCAATGGTTTGCACGGTGAATGAGCTAGGCGTCTTTCCACAAATCAACCTTTTAACTACGTGAGTGCATTCTCTCAAGTATTTGAAGTCGTTCTGGAGCGTGCGTATGGAGGGGATAAGATGCTGCACAGACGTCAGCCTATGTAAGATATTCGTACGCTCCGTCTCGTCATCGATGCATCTGAAGTTGTGATGGTCACGAATTGCGGCTTCTGCGCGAAGTTGGTCCCTTTTGGAAACGCCAGGTACAAGCAATTCAAGGCTCTGTACAGCCCGGCTGTCCACGAATTCGAGCGCGCTGGGCGAGCCCATTATATAGACCCAGGTATTGTAAATCAGTAGCAGGTAATGGACAACCTCCTGACGAGTATATATTAGCAGGCGAGTGGCACGTGGGCTTTGCCATATTCGCCTGCTACGTACCTCAATACAGTGGAAGATCTTGTTCCAGGTGCCGAGCTGAAGGTTGGGTCGCATGCCAGGTATTCTGACAACCTTCTCGAGGACTGGAGCAAGCGCCGGGTGCTTGAAGATTCTCTTCAGTATTTCCGGCTTACTTTTATCGAGCCGCGTCCACCATTTACTTGTCATCATGGAGGCTGCAAGTGAGCTAATAATCTTGTGAACGATATGACCATCGGAGTATCGCCCCTCATTGGCGTACTCGTCTATCAATATCTCCTTTGCTTTGGGCGAAAGGTCTGGCAGACATCAGCATCGGTCGTAGGCAGTATTGGCCGGACCACTAACCGGCATAGAGCTTCACTGGCCACCATGACGCCAACCTGTCGTCTTGCAGAACTGCAGCAATCCGATGGCGCCCATAGAGACCCCCTACTTGCTCCCCAGGGGGCAGATGAAGCAGAGGAGGTGAAACATTGTTCAGATCGCTGAGAGACAGGCGAGACAATGCGAGTGCGGATTCCAACATAGTGGAGGGGATAGTGGCTGCGAGGAAGTGACTGGGATTAGCCCGATCACATCCTTCATGTCGGAAGATACCGACAAGGTGATCAAGCTTCTCGGCATCGATGTCGCCGTCCGTCTGACTAAAGTAGATGCAATTGGCTGCAATCCTAGCGATACCGCAGAATTTGGAAGCGATCTCGCTTTGGAGTTCTTCAAGTTTGTGGCCTGCATTCGCTGAAGCCATCGTTGAGAAATGGGACAGTAACAGCGACCGTCAGACGTCACGAGGTTGCACTACCGACAGAAGATTGTCATTATTCTCCAAGTCTTGCCTTGGGAGCGGGTGTCCTCTTGTGGACTCCTGTGAGGAAATGGCCTACTTTATTTTTAGCGGCATAGCCTCGCCTGTAGAAGGCCCTGAATTGCAGCACTAGCAGCTGACGCTAACGGACGTTAGTGGCCCCTACCCCTTAAACCCTGCGAGCAAATGCCTGAACCCCAGGTACATCGTTCTTGGCCTGGCTCGTACCTGGCGTTGTGGTTGGTAAGCTTTTTTTAGAGCTCGCTCCAGTAGAGCCACTGCGCACTTGTACCTGAGCTCCACCGCCACGGTACCCACCGGAGCTCAAATACCCCAGCGGCTGCAAGGCCGTGGGACTTGGCCCAGTGACTGCATCTCTAGCCTCCATGCACTGAAGCACCACCATGGCTTGGAACATCGCAGGAAGCAGCCTACGCATTGGCGTTGCCAGTCCCATGGACACCTCACGCCGCCAGACCAGGTTTGTTGAGGACACAGAAGAAGACGGTCACGTCTCAACTTCGTCACGAAGAAGTTCGGAACAGGCAGCTTCTCTGTTTCTCCCTGGCTCTGCGCCGGATGCGAATCCGCGCCCACTAAAGCGTAAGGCACCCGCGGCACCAAGTATGCGACTGCCAGTGAAACACTACACGATCGAGTCACCACTAGTTCCTGTGATCAATGGAGAGCCATGGAGCCATTACGAGTTCCGGTACCGCGTAAAGTACGGTACCTCATTCGGGGTGATCACGAGTCGGGACACTTCATGCCGCCAGTTCCTCATGCGTACTATCAGCGGTCCCGACACCGACGAGAAGATACAACGCGTGCGGCAGCTCTGCCATGATAACATCGTCAAAGGCATCGAGATCTACACTTTTGAACCTGAGAGCTACATTCTCGTCTCTGAGTTCATGCCGACGACCATCCAGCACGTTTGCCGCTCGCCGAAATATCCTAACGAGTTGCAACTTAGCTCGATACTGTTCCAGGTGTGACGGAGTCCCCCGTGCTCGCTGAACTAAGCTAATGCGTGAACAGGTTCTTCAAGGGCTGCAATTCCTGCTACGATCCGAGCTGTTCTACGAACAACTCACTTGCGCAAATCTGCTGATCAGTCTCTCTGGAGATGTAAAGATCTGCGAGGTGGACAGCTGTTCGCGGTCAGGCAGTTTTGCCGCAGTTTCCAGGTCTTTCAGTAAAGTGGTCATGAAGCTGATGGATAAGGAAAAGAATTCGGAGGCAGTAATCGGGCTTACACGCCCTGGCGACTGGTCTTCGGATGCACTGAGCTTCTTCAGCTCGACAACAACAACGAGTTCTGATTTCGGGGACCTCTTGCAGCATCCATTTTTGCAAAAGAGGAAGAAAGAAGAACTCACTTGGCTTGTTCACTACGTGCTCATTACGGCACACCACAGCCGGGCTTGACATATAGGGTTGTTTCCAAATATAGATCATAGGCAGGAGTGTTGGTAGCCCAAATATAAAGTGCCAGGCTGAACCCTTCAGGCACGACTCCATCCTTTCTCTCTTCTTCATAAACCCCTCTCCACTCAGCGTCGCCGACAGCTCCTTCGGAGCAACTCAAAACCATGGCGCAGAAGTATTCTCGGCCACGCAATGGCTTAAACAACAAGCTCACAAAAGGCGTCGCGAAACGAAGAGCAGGACCGAAGAAGAAGAAATACATGGACTTGCAGCTCGACGTCCCCTCCAAGTTCGCAAATAATGACCCTGTGCCTCACAACATCGAAGCCTGCACACAGAAAGGTTACCAGAGATCGCTCGAAATCTGGGACGAGTTGTTTGTGCACTTACTTCTCGGCGTTACCATGGACCCTGCTCTGACCTAAATCATAGTAATGAGGACGGATCAAAATCGGTCGATAGCCTTGCGGACCTGAAGTCATTCATATATCGCGTCGCTTCCAAATTGAGCCGCGACAAAAAGCTTGGGGAGAAACTCCCAGTGGGAAATCTCAGGAAAATATGGAAGAACTTTACAGCGGGCTATCGTAGGGAACGAGGAGAGATCTTGTGGGAGCATGTTATGTTTATCACCAACGTTCGTTCCCAAATCCCTCGAGTCCTTGCAAGCCTAACCAGATCCACAGTACCTTGATCCGAGAAGCGAGCTCGGCCGAGAGTTCAATTTGAAGGGAGACTCCGGACCAAGAAGGCACGCCACTCGGGAAGTGTTCGAGTGGGAAGGGGAGTTTCTGTGGACTCTGGACTGGAAAGTCTTCACCCAACCAATGCTACGAGTCTTGCTCTAGTCCGTCATAATAACGAACGCATTCACGGCGTCACGCATTTCCTGCTACATTAAGTCAAGCTCAAGACCCAATTCTAGCGTAGGCCTCTACTTCAAAGTATGTCGCACCTTGCGAGGCATGGCCCACATGCTAACCTGCTGCTAGGACGCGCGCCTTATTCTTTTCAGAAACGAGGTTGGGAAAGCCGAGTTTGCGCTTGAGACGAAAAAGTCACTGAAAGCACATGATCCTGAATCAAGCCGCCTGTAAGTCTGGACTTTGTCTCGCCATCCTCCGGCACTAACAGGAGGCCAGACCACGCGCAGACGTACACGAGGGCGGACATTGGCCGGCGCAGCCACTGTTCATGAACCCGATGTTGTTCTTCCTCGTTATGTTTTGTTGCAGGGGAGCGCTGAGGGACTTCAAGGGCGTCGAAGGGTTCTTGGAGTTGTTTGATATACGAGCTGACGAACCAGCCGCGCTTCGGGTCATCGAGTGGAATCCCAAAGTCCTTGACCAGCCAATCTTCGCGGACGTTGATGGGAGTATCTTGACGGCATCCAAAGTATCGACTGCGATGCGCGAGTTGGGTTTCAGGTCAGGATTCCCGCAGCCTTTCACCATACATGATCTTAGGGCAGAGAGTCTGACGACTGTTGGTGAGTAACTCTCCTGTTGTTGTTGACGCAGGCTAACCTGTGTCAGACATGGCATCCTATTCGGACACTCAACGACAACGGCTGGCAGGGCATCGCAACAACGCGATCCACCAACAACATTATGCTGCATTAAATCCTGGTGTAGACAGCCAAGCAGCATTCCAGGGCAAACCTGCCAGGCCTCTCAGTATTGCCAGCCTTTTTCGCCAGCTCGAAGTACCATGGGTGGCAGCCTTATGGCAGACCTTGCCCCTGAAGAAGGAGGAAGAACTACTTGGAGAATATGACAGCACACCATGCGCAGAGTCTTGTACCGAGAGTCCCACGGGTGACACTGTATTCCATCCGGAGAAAAAGGCCCACAACGACAGGAAGTCCTTTCTCAAGAAGGGCCTGCAGGACTACTGGAAAGAAACTGCTACCAGAACGGTCATAGGTTCTGAGGAATACTCTTGCAAAGGAGTGAATCATCCATTCTCACGGTTACGCTCCATCCTGCCAGTGCGAGGGCCACTCGCAGATCTGATGGCGATACCAGCAAGGCTTCGAAGTGAAGACGGCAAGACTACATTCAAGCTGCTCACCGAACTCTACAAAAGCACTACGGAGGTGGGCAGGAAAGCACTCTCGGCCTGTGCGTGTGGGAAAGTGGCTCAGTATGGACCCCTCTCCCAGCGCAAGAGGAAACTAAAGAAGCCAGGCGAACTAACCCAAGGAGTAGAGCATCGAATCGTGCGACATATTTGCATGTTTACCAATGCCGCAAGAAAAAGGATCCTTCAGCAGAGTATTGCTGTAGCTGTAACGAATGGTTCTCCGGCACTTCGGCTTGGGACGATCACTGCGCGAAGCATCTCAGAGAAGATTCAATGCCAGTTGAGCTCGCATGGGAGAGAATTGAGCAAACATTCATACCAGGGTATTGCATATTTTGTCTTTGGGATCAGAAACGTTCTGCTTCTCAACGCCTCTTTCAGTTCATGGAAGATAAAGACTGGAAGAAGGAGATCACGAATCACTGGCGGTCAGCTCCCAAAGGTTGCTGCCCCGACCCCCGATGTACGGACAACTTTGGCGACGCAAAAGATTTGATCTACCATCTCCATGACCATCACCGGATTCCGAAAGACCTGCTCATCTCTCTGGAGCAGGAAGCTGAGGCTAGGGAACTCGGCATCATTTTCGAGCATTTCTAGTTAGTGTCAAAAAGAACATCGAACCAATAACTTAACATCCATCCTGCATCGCGAGTTGCCTTTATGACGCACCATATTCAAGCGTATTATCCTCCATGGTGCTCGTCGTAGCCTTGTGGTGCGCACGGTGTTTTGCCAGAGAGGCCTACTCTGGGGCGCGCACTACGATCACCAGCCAGGCCGAAAGGTCTGGGGACCTGGTCCTCAGGACGCCCGTAGCCAGCTTACCCTGCCGCCCGTCCGAGACCGCGCTCCGAGCTGGAGTTGGGCCAGCCTGGATGGGCAGATCAACTACTATGGCACCCGCGCGGGCTACGGAACGGAGTGGATGGAGCTCTTGAACGTCGACATGACACGGGGTGCGGATGAGCCAGCATGCCCTCAACCATCTGGCAGCATCACAATCAGGGGACCCGCCGAGAGAATGCGGTATCTGCCTCACCCCGAGAATGGTGATGTAGGCGGGCTGGTCTACTCGGATGAGACGGAAAGAAGCAGCGGCGGGTATGGAGCCTGCGTGCTCGACCTGGATCGCCACCGGTTGCGGGACTGCCTGGCCTTCATCGTGACAAGAGTGAACGACGACCGATATATGCTGGTTTTGGAGGAGCAAGGTGATGGAACCTTTAAGCGACTTGGATTCAGCATATCAGATAACTTTAACTATGAGGCCGCGAGGTTTGCTGTCACGGACGTTGTCGTTCGGTAGATGCCGTGAGGGGGGCCTTTGGGAAGTCACGAGCTACATCACAATCAGCACATATAATAGTAGAGAAAAAAGGGCGTGTCCTGTCTGGGTTGATAGGCGGAAACACGGGATGGCCCTGATCTGTACTGCCAGCAAGTCAATCAGTGTTGTACTCCATGGATCCAGAAGTTGACTGAGTGGTGGTTGACCGTGTTGGCCTAGAGCTCGGGTTGAGTGAGTGCTTGGCAGACGTGGGGGAGAGGCGTCGTGTTTCTTCCAAAGGGGTTCCTGGGTGTACTTGATTGGTTAGCGTCTCACGAATCCTTATGGGTTGTCACAATGGTTGGCTTGCAAGCGCCGGCATTGTGCAAGGAATATGCTTGCACCTTACTTATAAAGGCTGGGTGGCACCTACCCCATCTGCCAGAGCGTATTGTTGTCACATTCAGCCACATTATGGCCGCTCTTCGCCTCCCCGCGGAGCTGTGGACTGGGATTTTCCGCCTGTGCAGTGCCGAGAATCTCCTCGACTGGGCCAATCAGCCATGCTTCTTCCGGGAATATTGCCGATATCTTCTGTTCGAGGAGACGTACTGGATCGAGCAGTTTCGTTGGGATAATCACGAGCGGTGGAAGTATTGGGCGGGGTGGTCCTTCAGTTGTGCGGTATCTGCAGATCTTGCAACGTTCCTGCTTCAACGTCCAGGTACAGTCATCTCCACCCTCCACTACCGGCTCCCGGCGAGGATGAATGATCCTCTGACATTCAATCAGTCCTGACAGCGCGTTGTCAGATATCCCTGTTCGAAGATAGAAACGGCCAGCCAAAAGCCTGTCGCAATTCTGTGGTGGAGTGTTGCTGGTGGGAGCCCCGGCGCACTGCACAAGAAAAGTCGGTTCGCTGGACTCACCGGCCATGCAATGAGACAGGTGTCTGTCTTTGTGCACGATCCAAAGAATGTCTATGGGACGTTGCGAGACCTTACTACCGGATCGAGGATTCATTGGACTTGCTATGTTGCTGTCGCAGGCGACGTCGAGTAGGCAGTCCGTGCCCACTAGCAGACGGGTTCCATGACTGGTATTCACGTGAGGACAAGGCGCTGTTTGAGGCTGCCCTCGAGGAGCAGAGATTATTCACGGCAAAGACAAAAAATATATTCTAGTAACAGAGTAGCGTAACACTCGATCCACAGACTAGTACTTCAGATTGTGACCATATCGTCGCTATGATCTTAACGTTTTGAAGCGCGACTTCTCTTAATGACTGGTGGGTTCGAACAAAGAACTCAAGCTCCGAGTTAACAACAGTCGAGTTCTGAAGCCTTAGGCATTCCAGATTGCCGGTAACGACTTTCCTTAATAGAGCTAAAGAGGGAGAGTTTGGGTGAAAGTTCCTCATATGAGCCAGGAGGAGTGGCGGGGCAGAGTTGAGATCGAGTAGATGTATCCGGCCGCTAATCTTTATATGCGAGATACATCCGAAATTGTCAAGCAGCCCAAGGATCCTTACGACGGTAGAACCGAAAGAGCGTTCTTGAAGCATCTGTAACCATGCGCGATGGCTAAGATGCTCCGGCATAGATATCGCCTCAAGTCGAAGGTCGTCAGTAAGCGTGATCCTTGATAGGTGTGGTAGTCTGTTTAAAATAGCCTCGAGATCTTTTATGTAGGACATACGCGCCTCTTGAGTTGGTATATCGTTGCCCCAAATTTGTATAGGCGAGATGTCGTCTCGGACAATTCCATCTGGCGTATCGAGTAAGGTAGCCGGCATTTCTGCTTCTATTTCAGTGCTAGTCAACCATTGGCTGCACTTAATAGTTAAGTGCTTTGTATGGCCCACAAACGCTACATGTCGGTCCGTAAATCTGGAGAACTGTCGCAAGGAGAAGACTGAATGGGATATGAAGAGATGTCTGGCATGCTGTAGCGCGGCGATCGTAGCGAGCGGCTTGCAGACTAGTCTTAAATTTCCGACATCTGTAGGCGTTTCCAACTCCTCGAGGATGGCCAGGACTAGCTCGACCGGCAACATGAGCATGGTGCTGATACTGCCTGTTAGGCGCGCTAGAGCCACTAGCAATTCTCGCTGCAAGCGCGGACATTCAAGCTCACTTTGGATCTTGCGAGCCTCTCCATCAGGAAGCGAGATTCCCCCGTCACTTTGATCACTCGAAGTTGCCGGACTCTTACCTGAACTCCTCCTCCCATGCAAAGTCAGTTCCAATAACGGTACATTCAGCGGCCGAAGTTAATGGAGGGTGCCGAGCTTTGATGATTGGGTGCATATTTCAGGCGTGCTAGCAAGGCTGGGTTGCCCCTTGCAGCACGAGGGGCACCCTGTGCTAGCGAGGCTGGGTTGCCCCTTGCAGCACGAGGGGCACCCAGTGCTACCCCACCCACCTGCTAAGTTTGGGTTCGCACAACTAGCGCAGCCTCTAACTACAGCACAACTACAGTAGTGACCACAATCAGTGTCCACTTTATCGATATTAGCTGCGTGTTCCGCACGGACTAACTAGTGTGGCACATTGTGGCGTGCACAGTGCTGGCTGCCCCGCAATAAGTACTCGCTAGAATTGGCTTCCGGTCTACCACAAGTAGTACAAGTTGTCGAGGCATACTTCTCCGTCCTCTATCTGCATTTAGAAACTGAATACAGCGTTACGACTGAGCGCAACTCTTTTATGGGCTTGGTAAGCGCATTTGGTATAATAAGGTTCTGATTCAGCGTCTCTAGCGACCAGTTGGAGATTAAGAGAATATGGGGCCATGAACAGTGCCGAGTGATTAGAATCAAGTAAGGAGAAGCTGATGGTGCTGAACACGTCGTGAAGTCTATATTATTGAGTTGGGCCGGGGATTGATGGTTCAGGCGACCAGCAGGACTTGGAAGGAAGCACCGGTGGCTGACCGCTCGAACCTTGTGGTTATGGCGAACCCGGACGCTGCGCAGTCTGGACGGGGCGTGCCATGTTAGGTGCTGACAGCCGAGGGCAATCAGCGCGTAAAGTGGGCACGAGCCACGCTACTACGCGCGACTCCTAGCCAGATTGCTAAACGTATATCAGACTTGTCCACTCGGGGTCGGGTGCACGCCGAGCTCCCACGACCACACTGTACTGGAGCAGACCGAGCCGACGTCAGGCACCACTCCATGCGGCCTGTCTGAGGGCGAGTGTTGGCGCTCGAAAGATCAAGATCATGGCCGAAATCAGTTTTCATCATATCATGGGTCTGGTCGTGCTGCGATTGCGCAAGGTCGGCAGCCAACTTGTCATGTCTACAGAATAGCTATGGTCGGAACCTGTACGTGGAATGGAATGATTAACTGGGGCTCCTGTGGACCAGTGGTTTCGGAGTCAAGGGCCAAGTGCGCGCGCTTTTCGACGGGCTCAATTGCCAGGAGCAGGCCGCAAGCGTCGGGCTGCGTTCTATAACGCTGAGACCAGATTCCAGTGGGAACGAGATCCGCGATGGAGAGTTTCCAGTGCGTTGTCTTGTCGCGACATAGGATACACCAATGATCAAGGCTAGCCCGTGGTCCATGGCCTGTACTCCTCGGGCCTTCCAGTTACTGGCACCGAAGAGCCTTGCTCAGCCACATCGGCAGGCGTTTCATCCGCTATGCAAAACCAGCCAATAGCGATCGGCAGCGCAGCCGTGCAGCAGGCTATGCTGTCCAGTAATCCGCCTCGTAGGCTGCTTACACGACTGACAATCTGGCCGTAAAAACAGCGCCCCGCAGGATGCGGGGCGACGATTCCTTCGGCCCTCTCGCGCGTCGCCCGCCGGGAACCGCAAAGATGAGTTTCGGGTTCGGTGTTGGCGATTTTATCGCAGTCATCAAGCTCGTTAAAAAGATTCGGACGGACTTTGCAGATGCACCCAAGCAATTCGAGCACATTTCCACCGAGTACGTCACTTCTCGTAGCCAGCATGGCAGTGCTGTCCTGACCGCTCTCGCAACGCAGGGTTCGAAGTCTATCGATCGTCCTCCAAGATATCGAGATATTTGTTTCTAGCGATCACGTTTCCGACACCCAGCAGCAGGATCTGGCTAAGGTCCTCGCCGGCTGCGAAGAGACTCTGAGAGACACGGAGAAGGCCATAGACAAGTACTGCGATCTGGAGAATAAGAGCAAGAGCATTGCGCAGGTAGTAAGAAGAGCATGGAAGCGACTAACATTCGAGCCTGACGACATCCGGGAGCTTCGAAGTCGGATATCGGATGACGTTATGCTACTGAACTCCCTCGTCGGCGGCGTAACGAGAGACAATGTCGCCAGGGTCGTAAAGCGACAAGATCAACAAGTATACCGAGAGGTTCTTGACTGGATTACTCCAATCGACTATGCTGCCCAGCAATCGGACTTCATCAATCGGCGCCTGGCAGGAACAGGCCAGTGGCTGCTCGATTCAAGCGAGTATCAGAACTGGATCGCGTCCGCGAAGGAATCACTCTTCTGTCCCGGAATCCCGGGTGCCGGGAAAACCATCCTGGCTTCTGTTGTCGTGAACGACCTACTCGAAAGGTTCCCTCCCGACGGCTCAACTGCGATTTGCTACATCTATTGCAACTTTCGCCGCACGGAGGAACAGAAGCTCGACGATCTACTAGGCAGTCTTCTAAGGCAGCTAGCGCAAGGTCAGGTCCCATTCCCGCGCAGCGTCATGGATCTCTATGAACGACACAAAGACAGACGGACTCGGCCATCTATCGAGGAGATTCGCACGACGCTCCATTCCGTGACAGCTAGCTGTTCCAGGGTATTCGTGGTAGTCGATGCTCTTGACGAGTGCGACGTATCTAACAGCTGCCGACGGACATTTGTAACTGACCTTCTCCGCCTTCAAACCCAATCGAGGGTGAATCTATTAGCGACTTCACGTTTCATACCAGAGATCACCGAGATGTTTTCCCAGGGCACGAACAAGGAAATCCGTGCAACAGTGGATGACATTGACTGCTATCTGAAAGGCTGCATGCTAAGCCTTCCGAGATTCGTGTCAACCAATATTGATCTCCAAGAAAAGATCAAAGAGAAGATTATCAACTCCGCGGACGGAATGTGCGTGTACCTACTCTCCAGATGGAGCAAGGCTGACTCTCAATAGGTTTCTCCTTGCAAAGTTGCATCTTGACTCGCTTAGAGGTAAACGTTCTCCGAAGGCTATCCGAAGCGCGCTCGACGGATTCGCGACGGGGTCAGATGCGTATGATGCTGCGTACACCGACGCGATGAATCGTATCAAAGGTCAGCTCCCTGAGCAGGAGCAACTTGCATTCCAAGCACTTTCGTGGATCGCCTGCGCGAAAAGGCCGTTAAAGATAGTCGAACTGCTACACGCGCTCGGCACCGAGCCGGGTGCCTCCGCTTTTGATGAAACGAACATTCCTGATATTCAAGATGTGCTCTCCAACTGCTGTGGCTTAGTCACCGTCGACGAACAGACCGGGATAGTACGCCTTGTCCACTACACGACGCAGGAGTACTTTGAAAAGACCCAGAACAAATGGTTTCCAGATGGCCAGACTTACTTGACGGAAATCTGCGTCAGTTACCTGTCTTTCGGCGTGTTCAAAGCGGGGAGATGTCTGAGCGATCAGGACTTCGAGAATCGACTAACTACGTATCAGCTGTACGACTACGCAAGTAACTACTGGGGCGCACATGCCAAATTGGCTACAAGCTACCAGTGGAGCAGTACATTCCTTGAGATACAGTCTCAGGTTGACTCTGCAGCTCAAGGACTTCTGGCGAGAAAGATCTGGTATGCCTATTTCGACTACAGTACGCAAATGCCGATACAAATGACTGGGTTGCACCTCGTGGCCTTCTTTGGAGTTCAAAAGGCGGCTGAGTTTGCTCTCCAGTTGTATGATCATAATGAGAAGGACAGTTTTGGTAGAACACCATTGTCATATGCCGCCGAGAACGGACACGAAGCTGTGGTGCGGCTGCTGCTCGACCACAAGGCCGAGATCGACTCGATGGCTACTGGCAGGTGGAATACTGGCTGGACGCCGTTATCGTTAGCGGCCTCGGAGGGACACGAAGCTGTAGTGCGGCTGCTGCTCGACCACAAGGCCGAGATCGACTCGATAGCTACTGGCAGATACAATACTGGCTGGACGCCGTTATCGTTAGCGGCCTCGAGGGGACACGAAGCTATAGTGCGGCTGCTGCTCGACCACAAGGCCGAGATCGACTCGAAGGACCAAGATGGCTGGGCGCCGTTATCGCTTGCGGCCTTGGGGGGACACGAAGCTGTAGTGCGGCTGCTGCTCGATTACAAGGCCGAGATCGACTCGAAGGACCAAGATGGCTGGACGCCGTTATCGCTTGCGGCCGAGAGGGGACACGAAGCTGTAGTGCGGCTGCTGCTCGACCATAAGGCCGATGCCGACTCGAAGGCCCAAGATGGCCGTACACCATTATCGCTTGCAGCCTCGAGGGAACACGAAGCTGTAGTGCGGCTGCTGCTCGACCATAAGGCCGATGCCGACTCGAAGGCCCAAGATGGCTGGACGCCGTTATCGCTTGCGGCCGAGAGGGGACACGAAGCTGTAGTGCGGCTGCTGCTCGACCATAAGGCCGATGCCGACTCGAAGGCCCAAGATGGCCGTACACCGTTATCGTTTGCGGCCTCTGAGGGACACGAAGCTGTAGTGCGGCTGCTGCTCGATTACAAGGCCGAGATCGACTCGAAGGACCAATATGGCAATACACCGTTATCGTTTGCGGCCTTTGAGGCACACGAAGCTGTAGTGCGGCTGCTGCTCGATTACAAGGCCGAGATCGACTCGAAGGCCCAAGATGGCTGGACGCCGTTATCGCTTGCGGCCGAGAGGGGACACGAAGCTGTAGTGCGGCTGCTGCTCGACCATAAGGCCGATGCCGACTCGAAGGCCCAAGATGGCCGTACACCGTTATCGTTTGCGGCCTCGGGGGACACGAAGCCGTGGTGCGCCTGCTCCTTGAGAGAAACGCTGAGGCTGACTCAAAAAGCAGAAGCAGCCGGACACCGTTATCATATGCTGCTGCGGGCGGGTACGAAACCACGGTGCTGCTGCTGCTCGAGAACAAAGCTGAGGCTGACTCCGAGGCTAGAAGTAGTCGGACACCTCTATCTTATGCCGCCGAGAATGGCCACGATGCTTTAGTGCGGCTACTCTTAGCGCGCGAAGTTGAGGCCGACTCGAGAAGTCAACGTGGTCGGACACCACTATCTTATGCTGCTGCAGGTGGGCATGAAGCTTCAGTGCGGCTGCTCCTGGACAGCAAAGCTGAGCTTGAATCGAAAGACCAGTCTGGAATGACTCCATTAGCTTGGGCAGCCTACAACGGATGTACAGGCCTGGTGAAGCTCCTTCTCTGCGAGCCCACAATTTCCCTTGATTCCGAGGATTATCATGGCAGGACCCCTTTGCAGTGGGCGTTATGGAATAGACATAAGGACGTGGAGGTCACGTTGCTCAATAAAGGGGCATCAGAGCCTGTCGATCTGTATGGAATTCGGACAATGTTCTCGAGTTTGGAAAGGGGAGTGGATTCTTCATAATTCATTTCTGTCTGGTTGAACAAACTGATACTACGGCTCTCTAGCCACTATATCGGCCGTTCTACTTCAGTGGGCACTGCAGGAAACTCTTTAGGATGTTGGAAGAGTACCCTGGATCATGAATACATATCGACTTCTAGTGAATGCTGCATCGCTTTTGTGTTAATGACACCCATCCCATACTGTAACGTTACAATATTACATAGTGATATTTCGCCTCTTCATTCATATAGACCAGATACATCCTCGAGACTATTGAATGTTAGAAGACAAAGTTCTGTTGTTACAAGCCGACCAACACGTCGCACGATCGGACCAAGGACAAGGGCAGGTCATACACGTGGGGCTGGCACATGCGCCAGGATTAGGTAAAGATCTGATTATGTCAGCAGGATGGATATGCTGGATCACTACGTATCCAGGCATAACAGGCATTTCCGGGCATATCCGGGCATGCCCACGGATATGGTAAATGAGCTGAAAGGTGAAGTTTCGATACCAGATACTGCCGGCATTGATTGTCAAAGATCGTAGGTTCACACGGGCTTACCCGACGCTGTTTGGTGTCCGGATTTTGTCCATCGACTGCTACATCACTGTCGTCCATGGCCAGGGCCTAGATCGGTCCTCGTGATTGACAATGCGAGCAGGCATAACAAGGATAGTATTAAGGAGATGTTTGAAGGTTAAGGTCCTCTTCTTGGCCCCATATTCCCGAGCTTTCAACCCTATTGAGGAATTCTTCGCAGAGTTGAAGGCATACATCAAAATACATTAGAATGATGTGACGTCAAGGAGGGTGCTCGTAGAGTATAAATGGGATGATTCGGTGCGTTATTTAAGTCGTCTAACCTTATAAAAGAGATAACGAAGTGAATGAATGGCCATAAAGCCTTTTATGAGCTCTGAGGAACTCTATATTAATTAGTCAGTGCTTGGCAGGTATTCAAGGATCCTATTAAGTGCTCCACGCCGTAAATGAATATCTATGGCAGACTTTAGTACATTCCTGAAACACTATGTTAAGGCCGTTGGCTCCCGGGAAGTCAGTGCGCGAGGTCACTGCAGGCATGCTGGGCTGATTGTGGAGGACTAGGGTGGGCATGAAGCGATAGTTGAAGAACCAATTCAATGATTCTCAGGAGATTGAAGTGCTTCTACCCATTCCTTCACATCTTGAATCCATGACGTAGCAATACCCGGCAGAATTCCAGCGTCACCTTCCTGGAGGCCTGTAATAGTCTACTGCTCGTATACGTACTTCAGATCCAGGCCTCGCTCTAGCGTGACTACGGTAACCTTCTTAAAGCTTACCTTCCAGGCTTCGCAACTTACACGAGAACAGTGCAAAGTGCAGTATCGCATCATCGCCTTATCTCGAGGTTCAGGAATGCGCTACGCCTCTTTGGAAGTAGTTCCAGCCCGTGCGGCTAGTGCAAGGCTCTGCTCTGACCCAGGCCACACGTTGTTGATCTGAATCGGGTAGCTTGGAGAAGAGCCCCGTCTTCTGCACTTGCGGCTATCTTCTCTCCGTCGACGACTTTTTAGGTCCTTCTTGTTAATGATATCCCGTACTTAGTCTGGCACATCGTTTTTAGCTCTTACTTCTGTTACCCTCTTCAGAGTATGCGACAAGCGCTTGCCTAATCTCGCCGTTAAGACCAATATGGGTGCTCTGCTGACCTGGGTCTCGGTAGCATTGGGTTCCCAAGCAAGGTAGCCCGTCACACTGCGTGATAGTGTACACCTTAGACCAGTGATTGGGCCGCCAGCAGCTAGGTCCTGTTCTTGCTCGGCTTCAATCTCTGAGTGCTGTCGACCAGTAGCTCATCTTCGTCGCCTTGCAACTGACCGGGTATGCATAGTCGCAGTCTGGCAGGCCGGTTTGCAGATGAGCGTTACTTCTATCCGCAATTTTCGTCCGCTCTGAAATAAACGGCTCCAGGCTCGTAGCTGTTTCTCTACGTCATCCCATCGAATTTCGAATCCCGGGTAGGTTTTCGAAAGCTTCTGTTCGGTACGATCTGATACGGACATAACTATGTTCGACTCTTCCGGTTTATAATGTTTATTGGGAGGCGTTGTTATTGGGTGGCGGTCGAACACAATTTGTTTCAAAGATGTTTCCCAAATAGCGCTAGGGGCTTGGACCAGGTCTTTTTCAAGCTCTGGAGTGTACATCAATTTTGTTAGCCGTGCTCCTTCGTTTTGAAGTAGTTTCCATGTGATGGATGTATGTTGGTGGAAGCTCGTCGTATGCCAAGTCCTTGTTCCAGTCCTCCAGCTGGAGTAAGCGTAAGCTCGTGCTTCGGCTTTGAATGTTTCGGAGCTGGCTAGCTAGACTTGAATAAGGACCATTGATCTGCGGTGGTCACAGATCGACTTCACAATCGTCTGGAAAATCATAGTCGACACTGTCCATGATGGCCTATCGAGTTGATGTGGCAAAAGACGCGCTCGTAGCGTGCTATCGTGACTCTGAAACATGGTCGAAGTGGGGTGGGGCCAAGAGTGTTCCACAACGTTCCATACGCTTTCATCTCCACTGACCTCGATACCGCATTGTCGCGGTTTTCCGTGAGCAGCATGTAGGGACTTACCAGCCCAATCTCAGGAAAAGGACTCGACGATATGCTTAGGAGGGGTCTTTACATCGGAACAATCTCCAATTGTAGTAAGACCACTCGGGTCGAATGAGATTGAAATTGTAACCTGGCCGTTATACGGTCTTGTTGGCGAGCTATTCGGAACACCTAAGCTTTAGAAAGATGGCACAATCTATCGAGCATCTGCGGCTGAGGGATCCTGCTTCAGCCAGGACGCCTCGTGATGGGGGTCCGCTGGAACATTGGCAAACCCGAGGTAAGCCAGAAACGGTGGTGGCCTTTGTGGACGATACATAGTGCTGGATACTTTCACACAGTCTTCAGCCACAAGTGGGTCACTGTGGCCCGTGCGGGAATACTCTCTATCAAGTTGTTGGTGGACACGGATTGTGGCCGCTACTGTACAACAGCACAGTAGACCAGACATTAAATCGCGGGCGCTTTTCATCCGTTACTGCGTTTACGAGCCCGAGGCCACAACGCCAGGCGCTTCGCACAATCCCAGACGCATGAAATGTCTTCTTCGAAACCAAGTAACTTGGAGCGCGCTAAGTGGAGGAGCACGTGTCGGCAATTGCTCAGCCAACATCTTCGTAAGTAAAGTCTGTTGCTCTGAATTAAGCGATTAGGCATATTCACAATTGCTTACAGAAGAACGTTTGGGCTTAAGCATCCAGCCCAGCAACGTCAGGCTGCATTCCACTCGTGAAGACGGCTATGTGTGGCATTTCATTCCAGAGGTGCAGCACCTATTTGCAAAGAACCTCAGCGAGCACTCTTTAAGAGCGTATAAAGAGCTATGTGAAGGTGTTGGGAAAACCTTTGAGGCGGCGGTCGCCACCTCGACTGAGCCGCTCACCGGACAGCACGTCTTTTCGAGCTCTACAGAGCCAGAGAGACTCAGTTTCGCCAGTCACATCGGTGAGCTGCAAGCTCAGAATGACTTTTTGAGCCAGCAAGTTGAACTTCTCAAGCTTCAGCTAGCCCAGGAAGCGCAATCACGAATAAGCGTCACTGAGAAGCTGACTGAAGTTCAAGAGAAGTCAAGAGGTATGCTTCAGAGATTAGAAGCATCAAACCGCCGAGAGCAACGTTCCAGGACTTTGATAATCACATACGCTCAGGGCTTGGCTCAGATCGCCAAGATTCTAAATGCCATGCAGAGTTGTCCTGGTGTCGTTGAAGAAGGGTCAAACTAAAGAGCTTGCCTTGGTTCAGCCCATCAGGCTGGATGTGTCACTGAGTATTCTAAAAAAAGAAAACATCAAACCTCAGCGCGCGATCATACTCGTGCATGCCATACTTATCTTTTCATACCATTGGTTGTTGCTAGTTATGCTACTACAGTCTAGAGCTGTGTGTCGTTCCTATATATAGCTACATTCTCTGGGTATAAGTTGACCACTCTCCGCCTTTGTGCTAGCTTTCAAAAACAATCAAACTCAGACTCCGTTCGAAAGACTCGTATAAGTCGCGGAGAATTATACTCGAAATCATGTCTGATTCCGACGCTCTCCTCAATGATCTTCTTTCGAGGCTTCAGGAAACCGAAGAAGCTGAACTCCGCAACCAACTTCACAACTTGGAGACGACGATCTCCCAGCTGCATAAATGCATTGAATTAGTCCAGAGACGCCATCTCCTGAACGCCGCACTATTGAAAAACGCTTCGAAGAGCTTGGTTTTATTATCGTCAGCGATTAACTGCTTTGGAGGTAAGGCCTCAACTGCCGAGAATCGGCTGGCGGCCTTTTGGGGCATCATGAAAACGCGTGAGGAGAATGTATTTGAGATGAAATCTTTGGATAAGTAGCCAAGACAAGAGTTCGAGATATACACCAACACACTCCACAAGTAAAGAGGCTTTCGTACAAGAAATCGCTATGAGTCAGATAATCCAGGAGACTGCCCTATCTATCGTGCTATCGAGCGCAGAGACGTAATCAAACAGGTGTCATGGCTCTAGAAGTGTTTAAGACGAACCCCCCGACGGCTCTTGTAGCATTTCCTGGAGAAATTCAGGCTTCTTCATGATTTCGAATAGGCGAACAAGCGTGTTGCGGGAGTTCTGGCTGTGCACTTCCATCTCTTTTGCCCACTCTGCGAGCTTTCCCACAGTGTTAAGGATGTTAGCTCGCTCAATTTCCAAGTCACGAACCCGATCTGCAAGTGACTGGATTCGCGACACCAATAAATCCGTCATGATTCTGGAGGAATCTCCACATTTTTCGCAAGCCGAGTTCAGGCTCGCTGAACAACACCACGGTGGTGAGGCGTCCGGTGGCAGGTAATGGGGCAAGAAGGCAGCATCCCCCAAGTCGGTCCCATCGCTCATTGAATCGTGTGCCAGATCTGTCATTTCCGGCCACGGCTCTGTCTCAAGGGAGAGGAGTTGCTCAAGATCGATATCGGGTGCTGCTGCAGGAGGGAAGGCCAGGGCGTCTAGGTCCTCAAGCAGAGCCATGGAGCAGTGCTCCTGCAGATTTTCAACCGGGCAAGACATGTTCTGAAACTGGCTGGTGGTATAGCTCTTCGATACGTTCGCACGTTCTGTAAGCCGAACAGTCTTGTGGATAGTTGTCCTCTTAATGGATGTCGGGTAACTATCACAAGGACGTAATCGAGAAGTGGACGCAATGAGGCTCGAAATAGCTGGAGATATATTCGGAGACGGCTGTCACGGACCGAGGTCTATCCGGCCCTGCTAATTTGATGGAGGTGCGTGGGACACCTGATTTGCTGTAATGGATGGGTTGATCAGGGGTCAGTGGCCTCACAGCCTCTCCAGATTTAGGGTGGCTCAGGTCGGTGCAAGCCCCATGCCCATCACGACCAACAATATAATGCGCAGGCAAGATGGGGTAAGAAGGGTTCCAAGGATCTGTGGAGAGCTAACACGAGATGGACACACGTCGACTACAGGTTATGCGAAAACGCCGCGCGCGATCATTGCGCAATAAGCTGATGGAGTATGCAGCTCTTTTCGACTTGAAAGTAGCCTTGATAGTACAAGACGCAAAAACGGGTGATTACGAGGTCTTCCAGTCTAAACGAAACGAGAACTGGCCACCAGCTATTAACAGCATTGTAAGTTCTTCAAACATAAGTGAGTAGCCATAAGCTAACTTTGTTGAAAGCGGCCCAAAATCATCCACGATATTCACGGAGGGGACTCCAGCCTCAAGATTATCCAACGCGAGCTCAACAGAATGGAGAACACTATCAAGCAAGCAAAAGTACCTGAGCCACCCCAACCACCAGCTGACTGGCAGGGTGTGAAGAAATTGTCTTAGTGTCATTTTAGAAGCCAAGCAACGCGCAGCACCGCGACTATCCTATATTTAGCTTAAGGAAGCTGTAGTTCGAAGGATAAAGTCCGAGATCAGCCCACGCCTCTATGTGAATTTGGAGCCTTCTTCTCAACATCCTGCCCACTATGGCGACAAACAACCCTTGTGCCAGTTATTCGGTCGTTGCAATCCAACATTCGTTCACCATTCTCTTCGACTGCGACGCCCGTGTTCGCTTTGAGTTTGTGATTGACATTCCGGAGGCCTGGACCTATCACATTGAAAGAGACATTGTCGTCCAAAGTTACTCGACCTCCGATAGTACCCCGCCGTGTCCGCATCAGGTCGACTTCGACAACAAATTTGCTACATGGTGCCTGGCGACTCAGCAAACTCCAGTACCATGCTGGCTGACCATGCATGCTGACGTGCACATCTCTCTGTTTTCCAAGGCGACCCGCCAGTGGGCTCGATGTATCCGGACAGGCTCAACCCTCAACCAGCATCAGCAAGGGTTCTACACGGCACAGCATTTCCGTGGTAGTCCGCTTTTGAGTCTTCCGCACGCACCCGGTGTCCCGTACACCGGGTGGTTTTCTGCCGGCCACGCACAGTTTGCACTTCCGGACAACACAACATTATACAGTGGCTCAGCAACAACAGCAAATTTACAGTCCAAAGGAAGCCCAGCAATCTCAGACCTGAACAGCACACCGAACATTGGCTTCTCAAGCCTCAATCGAACCGCGATCGCGCCCGATTCTGGTCAGCACGAGAATTCAGTTGGTACCCATTCACATGCTGTTGTTGTCAGTCGCCCATCTGATAGCACTTCACTTCAGAGTGCAGACAACTCACATGCCGCGGCTGAGAACACCAATGCGCCCGACTTGAAAAGTGTGTCCCCACAGGTTTCGATCAATAGGGATAGTCACTCGCCCATTCCAGGACCGCCGGCTAAGAGACCGAGGAAACTTCTGCCAGCGACAAACTCAAGTGCTTGAGCACGCGTAGTAATTTCCAAAGTGGGAAGGATGTCTTGAGGGTGTCTGTGAGGGTGTCTGTGAGGGTGTCTGTGAGGGTGTCTGTGAGGGTGTCTGTGAGGGTGTCTGTGAGGGTGTCTGTGAGGGGCTCTGTGAGGGGCTCTGTGAGGGGCTCTGTGAGGGGTCCTGTCAGGGGTCCTGTGAAGGTCTGGTAAGGAGAATTGTGACGGTCGTTCGTGACGGTCGTTCGTGACGGTTTCCTCTAAGCAAGCTCATCCGCGATATGTATGCTCCTGGTTTTCCTCGTTTAGAATGAAGAGTCAGATGATTCCAGCGTGATATCCATAGGGCGTATTTGTCGCAACTTAGCTTAACGCAATGGGTCGCAGTACAGGATTTCGACCAAGCGCGCATCAGTGGGCCATCATGGCGATGCTGTCTGTCATCTCCCTTATGGTCGCTCTGGATGCAACTATTATCGTGACTTGCCTTAATGTAAGTATCACTTGAATAGGTGACTGCACACAGCTACCAGAACTCACACAGAAGTTAGGCAATGATACACGACTTGAACAGTACAAGTACCGAAGGCTTCTGGATTGGGACATCATACCTACTCTCGAGTGCTGTGACAATGCCATTCACAGCTTCTCTGAGCGACACATTCGGACGACGACCAAGCCTGATTGCTGCACTGCTATTCTTCACCGGTGGCACTCTTTTCTGCAGCTTGGCCCCTAAAATATCTGTTATGCTGGCAGGTCGTTGCCTGCAAGGCATTGGAGGTGGTGGCATAATGGTAATTACCACTATGCTGTTTACTGACCTCCTAGAGCTCCGCGACCGTGCCAAATACTACGGATTGGTGTAAGCATAGCAACTTTGCGTCCGATGCTAATGCTGAAGCTGACTCGATCGTGTCTCCAGTCTCGCCGCTTGGGCAATAGGCAATTGCATTGGTCCAATACTAGGTGGTCTCTTTGTAGACAAAACGTCATGGCGTTGGGCATTTCACGTGATGTATCCTTTCTGCGGAATCGGCCTCCTGAGCATCCCTTGGCTGCTCACGTTTCACACACCTCCAGGCAGTCTGAAAGCAAAAGCCAGCACGGTCGACTGGCTCGGAGCGATACTTTTCGTTTCAGCTGCGACTCTCCTGCTTGTTGGGCTATCCTGTGCCGGCACCGTATACCCGTGGGATGCACCGTTGACGATCGTGCTTCTATGCCTGGGGATGCTGGGACTTGTTGGTACTTTTGTTTGGGAACGCTATTATTGCGCCGCGCCATTCATGAAACATACCCTCTTCCAAACTTATAGCCAGGTGGCTGCCAATATCTGCGGAGTTCTTCAGGGAACGATTGTAAGTTGACACTCATCATGCGGCCTCATGCATATTTGCTGATGCGAGTAGATATTTGGACAACTTTATTATGTTCCACTATACTTCTTGGTTATTAGGGGCTTCTCACCCTTGAACACCGGCGTCTGTCTTCTCCCAGTGACCTTCACCCTGGCGCCTACGTCGATCTTAGTCGGGAGACTCATTTCGCAGATGAAGGAATACAGAACCTTCATCTGGTGTGGATGGGCAACGACAGCTGTTGGATCAGGTCTCCTAGTCCTGTGGAACTCAGAAACATCGACTGCTCAATGGGCCTTGACGCTGACTGTTTTAGGGGTCGGGCATGGAGCCGTTCTGAACTCTCAAGGCTTCGCATCCCAAGCGTTGTGCAGACATGGCGAAGAAGGCGCGGCAGCTGGTATGTATGCGTTCCTTCGGCAGTTTGGGATGGCTCTTGGTGTAGGCATCGGTGGATCCGTCTTTCAGAATTCGATGGCTAGCGAACTATCTTCAGAAGGACTACCGACTCAGCTAGCGAACGACATCAGTGCAGCCGAAGCCTTCCTTGCAGACTCACCACGGGGCAACGCTGTGGTCTCTTCAATATTTGGAAGCCTTCTGTACGGCTTCCGATATGTCAATATCCTCTATACTACCCTTTCACTTCTTGCCTTCTGTATCAGCGTTCCAATCCAAAAGGGCGATATGGACAAGGGCATCAATACAGAGCACTCATTGCAGGACTTGCGACCATCTATAAGTCACCCGTGGAGCCGTTCGCGGTACCAGAGCTTGCAACATTCCGCCGAGGCGCTGGCAGCGGCACGTGTTAATCTCAATTCCACGCAAAGTCCTACCACCCCTCGCCGACTCGCAAAACGAAGCATCCGCCATCCTTACTTGGAGATTCCGTATTGTGAATCCCCGGGCCCGGTCTATCCAGCAGTCAGCCAAATTGACTCATACCACCCGATGCCTACTCCCGTCTCGTCCCCCGAGTTATATCTTGCCTCGAGACAGCCTGTGGATCATCTGAGCCCGAGTTCTCAACCAGCCAATAGCGGTAGCGGCCGACTTCCCATTATCGAGGAAAGCAAACGCGAAGCTATTATACCACAAAGAACCACTATTCAGTATTGGATCTAACGACTATCGTGGGTTTCGGTCCAATGCGGGGAGGATGTTTAACCGTAGTCCATCGACTCGTCATATCTTGTAGTGGTTTACCGGACAGCTCCACCAGTGGTCGACGGAGATCATCAGCGTTGTCAGGCAACTCCGACAACATGCAATTGCCCTTGTCAGTTGGCGATACCATTTGTGATTTAGATTTCTCAAGGACTTCTTCGCTGGGCACGGTACTAGGATGGTAGTAATAATGGTGGTAGTAATGGTGAACATGGATAACTCCTGTAGTTGTGGATAGTTGACAACGTCGGTAAATGTCATCAATCCCATCGTAGTTAGGTCCCTTGGGGTGATCTCGATGAAAGCCTTTAGAGCGGAATTTGCCGCACTTTGTGCAGATGTATTGCAAAGGGATAGCCATGTTGATTGTGAGATGATCCCAGGAGATTTCGTTGTGTGCAGACGGCTGTTATAAAGCCGTTTTTTTCGTGGCAGCAACTGCCGGGAGTAGCCAAGGAGCCACTTTCGGATGTGACAAAATTAGAACATCTAAAAAAAGGAAAGCTACATCCGTTTTCGGTTCTCTCCATGACCTTCGATAAATAGGAACTTGCTTCCTATTGTTCACTCAATCATTTGACAGACATTTCGAGGAAGGGAATGTCAAGAAGTCGACTCAACAAAATGAAGTATGCCGCAAGATCTTGCCCTCACTGGCTGTGGTGTCTTCAGGAGGAAACCAGCACTACGATTGTTGGCACAAACCGCTTAGAGGAGCTGACTGCCCACTTGCCTCCTGACAGTCCAGCCCCTACGATGCTCCTACAAGTTGAGTGTCACCAGCGATCCATGCGAACACGAAAACACACAGGCTTCACAGAGGGTATTTGCTTAAGTCCTTTGGGGGGGCATGCCCCAGGTGCTCTCCTTGTCAACGCCGTCATTGGCGATGCATATGGTTCACGACCTCCGGGATGTTGTCATTGGATCAAAGAATGCCACCCCAAGTCATGCTTTAGCAGGACTGGGGCTGGATCTACCACCTTTTTTAACCTATTGTATCCGTTTGTCGATGTGCTTTGCCTGCGCGTACGCAAGGACGAGGACATCAGAACCATTGCCAACCAATTGGTGCTCTGGACCGGAAGTCCAACGACAAGACCACTTTACGCCCCACGACTGATCATCGAGTTCTGTGGAAAGAGCTTCGCCAAGAAAGACATTGAAAGACTGGTAGCAATGACCGAGGGTATCTTCGGCCTGGGCTTGCTGAACCAGCTCGCTCTATTGTTCTCGGGTGTCGCATACACAAAAGGCACGCGAGGTTTGCCACAACTCGCCGTGCGCGCCGCCATAGAGGTCCGTGAATCGCGCCGACAATCTCGAAACCTTTTCTCAGTCGTTCATTGGGTTGAATTACAAAGAAGAGCATTTGCGTCTATCGAGAAGTTCCCTCCGGGGATATTTGACTGCGTTCAAGCAGCCAGAGAAGACTTTCCAGTCCGGGCCTCTATGGTTACCCATTTTCTCGAATTTGTCAGGAACATCAATTGCTGGGAGCAGCTCTCTGATTTCGCAGTACCTGTTATTGCCTCAAGTATATTGGTGGACCACTATACGCCAGGCATGCACTGTAAGTTTCTTTGGCTTCTGCGCCAAGTCTTCTCGTGCTCGGTTAATGAGGCTGTCATGGCTCTCTATTCCTACTTACTTACCACCTCTAGTGTTCGATCCTTCTGAGGTGTTCAACAAGCTATACAGAGCCATGTGCCTCAAAATCGCTGAAAGGGCTTACGAAATGATTCAGGCATCTCCTGACTTACTAATGGACGACAGCTATCTCACGGAATTCTGCCAAGCTGTAGAGGGAAACTTGAAAGTGTTGTTCACCAAGCTGACCGAGGGGAAGCGCGCGGCTGCCATTCACGAAGCTTTACTCTCTTCTTATAAGGTTCAGTGGGCAGATGTTAAAAGCAGCAAGACCTGCTTCACTTGTCTCTCGACTGTCCCGCAGCGCACAATGCAATGCGGCCATGGAATCTGCGATGCGTGCGTACAAATATATGGCGAGTCAGCCGAGTCAGATCCGTGGCTATTCACCCTCGCGAGATGTGTTCTGTGCCAATCACATTTAGGGCTTGTTTTGAGAATCCATCCGCCAACAGCTGGCCATGGCATCCTCTGCATCGATGGCGGTGGTGTGGGAGGCATTGTTTCGTCAACGATTCTTGAACTCGTTGAGGATGAACTCAATCTTCCCATCCCAATCCAGGATCACTTCAGCATGGCTTATGGTGTCAGCGTTGGTGAGTTTACATTCCTCGGATTGAATTCTCTCAGCACTGACTTCTTCCTGAGGCGGTCTGGTCGTGCTCGCTCTCTATGAGAACGGATGGTCGGCCCGAAAATGTACACGAAGGCTACAAACCTTGGCTAGGGATGCTTTCACAAGCCCCGTTGTCACGTTTTTCGGTATCTACTTTACCTTGAAATGGCTTCAATTACTGCTTTTCGGCCATCTGTATTCCAACCGTGGCATCGAGAAAGCTTTACAGAAAGCTTTTGGGGAAAAAAGGCTCATGGCTCCATCTTACGCAACCACGAGTGGCACAAAGTTTGGGGTCTTGACCACGAGCACCGAGCGACCCTCGACATATGTGTTCGCCAATTACATTGGGCCGAGCAGTCAGAAAAAAGGATACTCTATCGCCCAGAGCTCTTTGGACACACGTACATGGCAGGTGTAAGTCGAAAGTTACGCCATCATTGTTTTCAGACTGACTAAATACCCGTAGAGCTCGAAGTACATCGGCGGCTCCTGTGTTCGTGTTCTCAGAACCACCCTTCAGAAAAAGGTCTATGGCTGATCATATAAGCAGGTACTTCTCTCCTAGCAACATATCTGGACTAGGGACCTTCCAAGACGGCGGTGTGCTGCGCAACAACCCTACTCTGGTCGGCCTTTCGGAATTTTCTGAACTGTACGCGGATGCTAAGCCGGACGTCGTGCTCAACTTGGGAACAGGGTCCACGATGACAACCACGTCGCCGAGAAGTAGACTCGGGAGGATCCTGGCACGAGGTTGGCTAGGGCGACTTATTCTTGCTTATCTATCATTTCTTCAAGGAGACAGAACATGGGACGATGTTGTGGGCCTACTCAGGAAACGTCCACAGGACGGCTTCTTCAGACTAAATGTTGCTCTGAGTTCGGCAGTCGCTTTGGACGACATTGGCGCCATGCCGTCGCTAAGGTCACTCGTTCTCAAGGACAAACCTCTCAAGGCAGCTGTAGGGGAGCTAGCCCATCGACTTTTTGCGGCACTGTTCTATATGGAGCTTACGTCTGCTGCCAGCTGCTCTTCTTTCTCCAGTCGCGTTGCTGGCGTCATTTTATGCAAACGCAAAGCACCTGATTCCGCCGTTGCATCGATAATTGCGCGCTTAACGAAGTACAACATATATGCCAACGGGCAGCGACTCGAGAATCAGACGTTGGTGAACGTAAGGGGCGATATTGAAATACAGCTCGTCACCACTACAACCCACGATATCAGCATAGAACTTGAGGAGATAGCATCCGGCTCACGCTTTCCAATCAGCGGGTCACCTTTTTCACTAGCTGCCCTTATCAGGAACAGTGAAGCGACAGCAGTCTTCGGGAAGCGGTTACAGAAAAGGAGAGGTGACCGTATGTACGGACCAAGCGTAAAGCGCCGGGCAATCTCATGAAAAATCTACAACGACGGCCCATGCCATGCCGACCGATCTTGCGCCTCAGAAAGATCGACCACATCGACGCATGTTTGGTTGTGGATCTTTCCACAGCCGAGGATATCTGACCAAGCACAACACAAGCATTCACTTCATGCATGGCCATTTCGATCGACCCATGGCTTCCCAAGAGTGTTCCTGCCTCGTCCGCCCTGAGCATATTACACATAGAGCAGCCACATAGCTACCACTAATCTCAACAGAGGAGGGATCTTTGGTCCGCTTCATACCTCGCCCATTCAGCGCCTCAACCGCCCTGATGTCAAACACTCATGCCCAAACCCGCCTCCGATGCCAGAGAGGAGCTTAGACGCTACGACGAGAAGCATGGGGATGATGAACATGGAGCGGGGCCACAAGATGCGGACAGACTCGTTGACTTTGCATTGGAAGATACAGCGAGGCCAACGGACCCCTCCTTGGACACTACATACATTGACCCGCGCATCCTACATAGCTCGCTAGGCAGTAACTGAGGGACGACCTCTGGACTTACAATCTGATAGTATCTTCCCGATTGCTGTGCTTGACTTTCGTCCATTGCGCTCGAATAAATCGTCCGCAATTTGTGAAGCCGTGCCCCTGCAATTGCAACGTAGGAAAACCTCCTGCCATGCAGGCTGGCTAAGTTTCACTCGGAGAGTCGACTGCTCAGCGGCCTTCACACCCCCGTACTCGACCAGCAGCTCTAGCGAGTGATATAATTGGCGGAATGTGTTCCAGAAAGGCTTCTGTGGTGCATGCACGAGCGTTGTCACCAAGGTGTCGACAAGCGTCATGACTGGTGTGAGACCTCCTCGACTCGTTTCCAGAACTCCTACACCCTCTTCCAGCAAGCTATGGATTGCTAGCGGGCTTGGGAATGTGCAGGCTGTGTGAAGGAGTTCAACGCGATCGCCCTGGCCGATGAAAGGCAAGATCATTCTCAAAGGGGGCACGTTGCATCTATAAGAACTCTGGACGAGGTATCTGGCTTCGAGCATTCCAATCTTAGCATCGCCAAGAACTAATGCATTGAAGATCTCCCATTGGTGATGACAGATGGCCATGTAGGGAAGCTGGGGGAAGAGTGCGGATTCGTTGATATTGGAGCACTTTATCAACTTCTCCATGACAAGGCGTCGAGTAGAAGGGCTGGGGATAGCTCCTTGCGATGGCAGTGTAATGACGTTGATGAAGCAGGTCTCGAGTGATTTATCGTCGACGACATTGAGACATAGATGTGGCCATCGACTAAGCAGCTCGTAAAGAAGTGGTGAATCCGGGAATTGCGACGCCTGTATGTAATGAGCAGACTCTAGCACCGGATCATCAGTTGACATTCGGTCAAGCAGGAACTCGATTGATCCAGTCCGATGTACTCGGAGTGCAAGCTGGGACTGAACGATCCTAAAGAGCAATTGCCAAGAGGTTCCGGCACCGCGAGACTCAAGCCAGTTGCACACCTTATACTTTTCCGTTTCGAACGCTCTTATGTATGGAGACGGCGTGGAGATAAGACAATGTAAAGGTTGGACCCGGGTCCCAGCTTCAATAAAAGCTTGCAGGACCGCAAGTACGACAGCTTCGTCCCTCTTTAAGTCTCCACAGAACTGTGCCAGGGCGTTGAAAGCGAACTCAATATGCCTGTCAGCTCCAAGAAGAACTTTCAGGGTTTTGACCAAGGGGGTGGGTTGACGGCAGTAAATTAGCGCTGAGGTCATTGGTATGAAACCATTAGTTTCCTCCAAGGGAGAAACTTTCGCAGCCAACAGTTGAGCCACCACCTCATACAAGCCGCAGCTTGCGGCGTCATTGATTGGGGAGACGTCGTTTTTGTTCCTGGTAGGGACTGCCCCTAAGTCGACGGCCTTTCGGATGAAGTCCTGTCGGAATTCTGGAGGATCGGATGCATCGCCATCCAAACTCGACTTGCAGGCGTAGCAAAGAGCTGAACGCATTTCCCATTCCTTGTCAATGCTCTTCTCCATTTGTGGTGCAATATGAATAGCCAGTTCGAAACGGCCGTGAATGACGGCTGTATGTAGAACATTGCAGCCATTTTGCCATGTTTCCTCGAGATCGGCACCATGGCGAAGGAGCAGTGCGATCATTTCGACAGCACCTTCTCTGGGACCCAGAGCGCAATACCATAACGACGGCAGATTGTTGACCTTTGTGGTTTTCACGTCCACACTTTCTGACGCGAGGATCACCTCGACGATCGGAAACACACGTAACCAGATTGCCACCATAAAGGCTTTAACGACAGCGTCTTTGTTGAGGTGTGGTTGCTTGAAAAGCTTCTTGAATGTGTCGATAGCAGACATTGATTTGCTGAGATCCTTTTTGGCGTATATCGCCGAAGCCAAAACGGCCAGGTCCAGCGGTGTCCATTCCCAGGACCCGGTGCAGTTTCTCGGGGCTGGCAGCGTAGGCAAAAGACCCGGAACGCGCGCAGGACAGTCGGCTTGCGCTCCATACTCGAGCAGGTTGTCAACGAGTGAGGCTTGACCCAGGATAGCTGCAAAATGTAACAGAGTCCACATCCTCATGCCCGTCCTCCTTCCGCACAGGAGAGGCGATATCAGCTGGTAGTCACCCCGCAATGGCATCTCGGGGACTACTTTGAGGACGGTATCCTCCCCCCAAGTGTCCGTGGTTGGCAGCACGAGTGAAAGGTCGATGGGTGCAAAGTAAGACTTGACGATCTGTTCACCACGGGGAAGTAACAGCGAGATTCCCTCCGCGTTGCCTTCAAGGACGTGATAGGCTAATTTGAACTGGATGCTTTCTTCCGCGACGATCTGGTCTATGAAGCGCTGCCTGTAATGCCGAAATCTCCAAAAGGTTGAGCAAGTGGCTGAAAATCTGAGGCAGCAGACTTCGTCCAAGCTATCAAATAGCAAGATGACCAGTTCGCCTAGGTTAAAAAAACGAGACGTAGCGGGAGTCGGATCGTTGTCCACACGGCGATGGTCGCTGGTGCCCACCAGCTGTCGTTCGTTGCTGCCCATCGGTTGGGGTTCGTTGCTCATTGTCGGAAGCGAGGCGCTTTGGAGGTAAAGGTGTCGGATGGGGGTCAGGTCGCTGGGAGGGAGTGTTTGACATGCTTGTCCTGGGTGGGCGGCAAGGCTTTCATATCTGTCGCTAAAAGCACTGGAGCCATCGGACTAATCATTGCCACGGGTACCCCTGCCCTGGGTGTACGTCTAAACTGCATGTCGCTTCAAGGTACATGATTCTACTTGAACCTTAAAACTAGACAGCGGTTGACAAGCTCTCCATCTGTTTCTTGATACAGTCCCTCTTCAGCCGTTCCATGGCTTCTTGAACCCCTATTCCTGGTCTCAGGTGCCGAGCTGCCCTCCAAAGGTCAGGCAACATAAACTCAACCCAATCCGCATCGCACCGGCTCCAGAAGTTGGAAACCTCTAATGGTTCGAATACCTGAGCTTCATGCTCCTCGGAGAGTATATATTCCCAAGCCCGTGTCTGGTAATGGTCTTCCCCGCACACATTTCTCCAAGCTCGGTGAATCTTCTGAGCTTTGCGAAGCAGGACTTCCGAGGTGCTTTGAGAAATAAATGTCCTGAGATGTGTCAGCGGTGAATAAGCTCGAGGATGAAAGTCCTACCTCTTTGTGTCTTCATTAGTGAGTGGTGGATCGGGATCGCCCAGCGCCGTATCCAGACGTTCCGTGATCCATTCAATAGCGATGCATTTCTCGAGATTCCAGGCAAGCGCGGGGACGAGCGAGCTGTATTCGCGATGCTTGGCCCAGATGAAAATGAGGTTGTCATTGCGCACGGCCCACTGTGACACATCTCTGGGAGATCGCCGACCTTGCTTATCCAGTAGTTCTATCTCCTCCACGGTCAGGAAGCTGAGGTCGTCACTAGTGACCACCACCTCTTTGTGTTGGTCCTTGGCTGATATGGGGATCCGGGATTTAATGTCGTCGCCAATTTGCACATCATTGGTGCTGTAAACCAGATCTTGGAGGAAACACGTCGTACCCTCCATGTTGAGTACTGTGACGAAGTTGAAGCCACACAGCAAACACCTTCATGACATGCTCTTCTTATATAGACCTTGCCGTGTAGGTAAGCAGAAACAGCCTTCACAATGACAATGGAGCGATTGCTGAAGGCGGCAGACGCGGATGACGGTTGGTGCGGAGCTATTGGGGTTCCTGCATGGGTTGGAACCCCAGAGGAGCACACATTGCGAGCTCGGCACACGGTGCGAGCTCATGCGACGTGCATGAAGTGTGCATGCGCTGATGTCTTGCCATAGGTACCCTAGGGTGTACGGTTAAGCTGCATATCTTGTGACAGTCGCCAGCTACCACCAACTCCCGCCGTATCTCAGCCTCTCGTTACCACAGTCTTGATAACACAAAACAGCACAGGTGGTAAGAATTCACAAGTCACGGAATAGAGTCTCGAGCAAGCACTTAGCCTGGAGGCATGCCTGTGTTGAATTGGCCCGAAAACAGGGGATTTGCCCTACTCAATAGCAGTGCTGTAAAACCCACTGCTCCTTTAGTTCATCGATGCCCTCTTCCAGTCCGTTGGTTTCAGACCAGTATCGGTCGGGGCTCCAGACGGCCTTTAGGACAGCAGGAAATTCATCGCGGCCCAATGACTCCCAAAACTCCTCTTTCATCCAGGGCCGTCTCTTTGCCCGCGCAGACTTTCTCTCCGAGCCAGCGATCGTTTGCCACGCCAAACTCTGGTAGTGGTTCGGACCATATTGTAATGACCAAAGCTCGTGGAGACTTTCCGCTTTGGTAGCAAGAATTGCCGAGGTCTTGTGGCTGATGATTGCCCTGGACTCTGTCAGCTCGGAGAAAGTCACGAGATATGGGTCCGTACCTCTTCTGATAATCACTGCACAGCTGCATCTGCTGTAAGCCTTCCATGGTCTGTGTAACACGCTCAGACACTATCCGCTTTTCGACCTCCCAGACACTCGCAGGGACGACATCGCAGTACTCTCGATATGTAGCCCAAACGGTTCGAATGTCGCAATGATACAGGCGCCACTGCCTGTGAGGGCTACTAGGTATTTCCCAGAGCCGTGCCTTCATGCTCAAATGCTGTCGCTCATCCGGGGGAAGGCGGACCAAGTCATCCCATCGCATCAAGATGGACTCAGGATCAGGCGGCTTTTGGGATGCTTTTGAAGAGATTTGGAGCTCGATGATCTCGTCGCCATGGGGCAGGATCTCGTCGCAGTACACGAGTGCCCTATAGAAGGAGGTAGTGAAGTCCATGATGAGGAACACGGTGCCTCCGAGACAAATAGCGGCATCATTGCACTGCATTCCAGGTCATATGTTTATATGGCCATGTCGCTTTGCGGCAACTTATCGGATTGGCAGGCGCGAAGATCCCCCCTCAGAGTGGGTACAGGGTAGTGTGCATAAGACACTGTTCTCCGACCATGAACAGGCCACGGGTGCAGATACATGCACACCCTTCCTCTACCCTTGCTGGGTTGCAAATTGCCTCATTCCAAGTCTGCTCAGAACACGACGCTCAGCTGATTTCCAGCTCGACCTGTGACCTCCCTAGGGTGGCCTGTCTAGTCGGCCCTGGCCGGAATGTTGCGGGAGTTCTTGCCGGCAAGGTTGGGATGACAAGGTCGGAGTTGCTGTGGCCACGGCTGTGGCTTTGGGAAAAGGTTCTGGAGCCCGTCCCGATGTCTCGCCAAGTGGGCTGGTCCCTGTGCATGCATTAGCGTTCCACAGGTGGACCGCTTAACCCCATTCGTAGATGAGTGGGCGCTAGCTTTCCACGTGTGGAAAGCTAGTACTAAAAGAGCTGTGCCCCCAGCTGACCTTCAGGTTTCTTGCCTTACTCCTTCGCTCCTCGTCGTCCAGTGCCCTACTAACCAACCACGAGAATGGGGGTCACATCCAGCTCTCCAATAGCACTCGAAGTCCTCGCGGACCCAGGGGGTTTTCAAGGATGTGTTGAGCACGAGATATTCCTGACACAAATGGCCGCTGCATTTAGCGAGCTCCCCGTCGCCACGCAACAGCGCGTTCGGGATGCGTTGCAACCCAGGATGGAGCCTCTGAGTGCCGCCGAAGAGATCAAGGCAGAACTTGATCGGTGGCGTTCGAGACCTGCCACATTCTTTTATCCGGATGACAAGGGCGCCAGACCATTTGATTATGTCTCAGCATTGTCCGAGATTTTCACGCGGTTCAACGGCCGCACAAATCTCTCATTGACCGAGAAGGTACAACGTCGAGTAGCACTCTACTGCCTACGCCAGTTGAAGTCCCGCTACCCCCATGTCGATATACGTCCAGTCCACAAGTATCACAGGCTCGGCAAACCTTACGAGACATTCGTCAATTCCTTTGGTGCTGCGGCTCTCTACTGTCTGTCATTCACGGTTACGCACAGCGAGTAAGTAGCAGCCATTCACATACAGATTCGCATCTAACTTCGCAGCAGTTTCGAATCAAAGTGGTCGCTCCAGAGGCGTGAGGAGTACCTGAAGGAACTGGCGGATAAGAACTTCAAAAGCAAGGTCGATGCCGTGGGAGACGCTTTCAATCGGATAATGACTTTCGAATATGAGCGGATGAGGCGGAATTATGAGCGCACCGAAGAAGAGCCCACCGAAGAAGAACAAATAGTGACTCAGCCTGGTGATTGGAGCATTTATATGCGCGATGGACCCGCCTCCATTCAATGGCATGATCTAGGCTTCATTGCATGAACTACCGCCAAAGAGGCACGAGCTCGATGACGAGGAACGAAAGGCAACCTGCGAGAACGGATAGCTTAATAGGGCGAGGAAACCATGTTCCCGATCCTGCAGCCCAGTCAAGTACGTAAATCTCTCCACCCATCTCGAATTGCACTTGTGGTGCAACTTCATTGTTGGCTATGCCTCGTAATGGAAGTATGGTGGTTTCGGGGTGTGGGAAATGGGCACTTCCATGTCGCAGCTGGAGAGGCCCACGCACCTCTAGCCGACATGTGACGCGCCATTTCTGGTAGAAGTCAACCTGGCACGTTGTTAGTGGCAAGGGGTCTAAACATCAGGAAGCTGGTACCCTACATGTTCCCTGCAGAATGCCTTAGCGAAGTCCATTTGCCCTTCCGTCCTGGAGCAGCTGTAGAGGCCGCTATCGCTGTGCTGCCTCGGATCGTGGTGGCACGCATACCAGTATCCGCACTCCTGGCCAGCGGTGACCGCGAGTTCTTGTATAGCTGCAGAACTGTCCAGCCGCACCATGGAAGCCATGAGTGCTGCGATGACCTGACTGTTTCGTCGATGGTTTTGGTTGCCGAGCGATGGGCTGGCCGAGGGGATGACACGTCATAGTTCAAGGCAAAAGCACCCATGGATGGAGTCGCAGCAGAGGGGGCGTAACCTTAGTCATTCATTGGCTAGCTTTGGTACGTACCTTAGCCAGGCTTGGCGGTCCATGTGTTTTCTCCGCCTTCCGCGTTCTCCCTTCTCTCCCCGTCCACCTTCTCGATCTGGGCTTTCTCCAGCTTATCTGCTAGCCCTTTCAACCAAGCCCAAACCTTCTCTGGCCCTTGCACCCGCGTCAGGTGAGCAACATTATCCGGAAAGACGCCTTTAGCCTTACCAGATGTCAGCACATTCTTGCAACCTACTAGAGCTACTTACAACGCATTCATCGCACTCGGTCCCCGCAATGTAGATCCACACTTTGCAGCCGATGTAGAGCGGGTTAAGTATGTTGCCAGGACGATATTCGCAGCCGTTGACGCATCGTTTTTTGGAGAAGCCTGGGCCGGGAACATTTGGAACTGACATGTTTTGAGCGAATGTGAATAACGAGACGTCCGTAGACTGGCTCATGACGCCGCAGAAGCTCGCATCTATATTTTTATATATCCTTGCAATGCCCCCATTCTATTCCGAGCTGGACGCAGCCTTGTTCCATTGAGACATTCGAAGCCGCCCGGACAAAATGCTCGTGCAGAGGTGGCTAGGTTGGGTGGGGCTGGGAGAAAAGACATGGCTTGCGTCCCGAGACCTTTTCTCCCTACCCCTCCCTCCCCCGCCATCACACGCCCATCCCAGCTTGGCCACCAACAGCTCCAGGCACAGCAAAAATCCGGCCACGACGCCGTAATCGCGCGCAAGAGGACTTCTGCCCCGGTGGCTTCTCAATATGGTAAGTACCCAGCGCTGAAAGCTGATCGGCACCTGACCTGACCACCCTGTCTTAGTCATTTGAGCCCGAGCACCTCACGCAGCCTACAACCTTCTTCGACGACGTGGCTAGCGACGTTGTTAAAGTCATTGGAAACAATCAACGTGTTTACTGGCATGGTGTAGACCTCATCCAGATCTACTCGTCCGCAGACCAGCGACGGATTGATGTTTGCAAGGTAGCGGACGGCGAATGTATCGCCGAAGCTAACTTGGAGATAGTGTTCATCGGTGGAAAGGTGAAGGAGCAAGCTAGTTGAAGGAGACGAGTAGCACGTGTAATCACTTCTTGGGAATAGAATTTGTCTGAACTTGAGCCAACTATTTATGTGAACCATCAAAAGAAGATAACCAGGGGAAGAGGGATGAGGTGGTATCAGCAGGGTGACGCTTTGTGTCGCAATGGCTCCTAGCTCACGGTCCTCTTTGAACTGCTCGCTCCCCCGTATAGCGGTAGCCATCTCCGCACCAAACATGCTGTCTGTAATGGCATCGAAAACACAGCCTCTAAGCCTTTGGTACTTGATGGGCGCGTTCTCTGATTCAGACAACTCCAGCGACTGCCCTGTCTGTGTGACATAACTTCTGAGATTGCCCTCGGTCTTCATCTCGAGATTGAAGAGTTTCTCAACAAGCATGGGTAAATGGCCGGACTTGATCTCTAGCTGGACCTGCCCGTCGTACAAGTCTTTGCGGAAGACAGGGTTTGAGAGGCCTAGCACAACTCCGGCGGAGAACCCACGATATCCGGCACCTGTGCGTGGGACAAGTAGGTCACGGAATGTTCGCGGGAATATCTGACCGAGATTCTCCCAAGAAGGCGAGTGGAGGTTTTGTAGGAACGGTTTTTCTTGAGTCTCGACCAGAATCTTCGTTACAGGCGGTGTGCCTTGGCTATTGAGGACTCCGCGCTGAGTGTAAGGTCGGACAAAGCGAGCAGGAGACTGGGTTCTCGATGCGCTGCTCAGGGAGTTTGTAGGATTTGCTGGGGTGACCGGAGTCGTGGGGAGCGTCGGGTGTTCTGATGGAAGTGCCGTAGTCGCCGAAGCTCTGATCGGGTCAAATGGAAGTGGTGTGGTTGAAGTACTGCGTGACGGCTCGACTTGCGCATCGACGTGCGCATCGGCTGGCGCAACGGCCGTGGGCTCAGTGACTAGACTGATGTCAGAACCATGGCCAGGCTGCCCCCTAAGAGAATGCATACTCCTTGTTCTTTCCTTGAGCCTTTTAATTGCATCTCCCAGCTGTTGCAGTAGCTCACTGCTCAAGTTCTCGCTTACGAGCCTTCGGAAAGCGTCCTCGATCTTCTTAGGCTCCCAGGTATCCAGCTCTGCCAAGAACGCCCGGTATTTCGCTTTGTCTGGAACATGGTATTTAGAGCCGGCGTCCGTGACCCTCTTCATCTCAAAATAGAGAAGCCAGGCCTTCTCGTCAGCCCGGTAGGCTGCGCGGGCAGGAGACTGCTCATCGAGCTCCGCGAGCTTGCGCCAAGCATCGCGAAGAGGTTCCGAGCCACGCTTCAAAGCGGCCTTTGGGATAACGTTTTCGAGAGTCTGCGCGAGAAGGTTGACGTCTTGCATGTTGCGCTTGGCTGAATGACGTTGTGGGTTTGACTGTTCTGTCAACGGGTGGCTTGGGTGTGGTGGACTTTCCCACACGATGTGGCCTTTGGGTAGCTGCTGTGCGGCGCTAGATGAGTCATCACAACCTGGTGGGCCGTAGCCCAGGCTGAGCGTTTCAGCCCACTTGCGCAAGCGCTCAGCTGCCAACATGCCCATGTACTCCAGGTCAGCTCATCCAGCTCGGAACTGTCGAAGCCATAACCGGGCGGATCCTCGCCCCTTCTGCCACAGCCATGTAGCAGTACCTCCATCAATCCTACATCATCCACCACCGCATCCACTCTGTGCCACCTTCCATATGCCAAGGACTACTCATTATCACAAGCCCAATCCTGAATACGAGTCCAATCAAGCCAAAGTCTCAAACAGTCAACGGAGGGACGGTGGGAAGCCGGAAAGATCAGCGAAGGAGGGGCGGCAGCGAGAATGACAGGTGGAAAGGCAGGGAGAGTCCTGACTCCTGTGGTCTAGCTGATGCGTCAGCGCATGTGCACTTCACTTTTATGCACGCTACACATAGGCTCGCGACGTGCGCTGAGCTCGCAACATGTGCACAATCCCATGCGCCAAATTATGTCGGCATCATTCTAGCAAGCACAGGTCCAAGCTGTCACCGATCGCGAGGAAAATCTAAGGACGCAGTTGAAAAGAGCGAGCGTGTTTGATGAAGAGAAAAGAGAGCTATTGATAAACTGATGATGCGGCCGTTGAAGGGGAGCCAGTCCTCACTTGCCGCCAGGCACCTGCTACTTCGCCGACGTTCTCACGTTCAACCATTTGTCGATATCCTCCATGTCGTTGCAATCCTTTGCCCAGCGGACATCGAACGCAGCGTTTGCCCAAATATCGTCGTCACGACGCCCAAAACCTGTGAGCATTACATTATCGTCCTCAGTGACTAGCACGTTGCCCTGGTGTGCGCCAAGCCACGTGATCCTCGCGCGGTGCAACCCCTTCAACGTGGTTCGAATACTTCCCTTGAAACTCTCACCGTGCTGTCGGAGGTATGGGTCGGCCATGTCTTTGAGCATGCTCCCCCCTTCTTGTCGCTTAGGTCCGATGGGATCAACCAGGACCCCCAGCAGACGGCGCTGGCCAACCTCGACCTGAGAGATTTCGGGATTGTCTGCTGGCTCGTCGATCAAGAGCCCACGAAGTCGCGGGACCCTTGCATCTGGCTGTAGCTTTCCATCTCGAATCGCCTGTTCGATAAGACAGAGCACGCCGAGTTCCGCGACATTGGTCTCCCATGCCTGGCCAACAGGCAGACGAATCCCCATGCAGAACATAAGCTGTCCATCCTTTGTGAGGAGGTCCCGTGGGCCGTGGTAAAGAGGGTCACGACCAGAGTTAGAGGGCGGTGGGAATGAAACTTGTGAAGATGACAAGTACGGAAGTTGCAACTTGTTGAGCTTTTCTTCAAAAGGCGATAAGGCATCGAGGGAGATTCCCGGTGGAGGATAAGGTCCCTCGACCGGGCAGACTCGGATGGCGTCATCATGGAAGCTTGCCAACAGTTTGGCTTGCTCTGGATAGAGCCAGTCTCTCAAGAGGCGCGACTGTGGCTTGGCTGGTGCGATTCTGTCCCGGATGTTCGGTATGATTAACACATTGATGATGCTGTCGAGGATCAGGTTGATTCTGTCGAGGATCAGGTTCGCATCCTTCTCCTGTCCGTCCGTACGGACCTTTCCTCTTGCACTATGCAATTCGAGGAAAAGATTTTTGTAATGGAGCCAAGCAAGGGATATCATGCCGGACCTTTCAAGCGAGGACTCGAACTCGACAGCGAGATTGCCTAGACGGAGGTGGCATTGAAAGACTGGCTCACCCTCTGGCTCGCGGAGGGTGACGCTCCATTGTGTGATGTAAGGGTTTGACATTGTGTCGATCGCTCGCGAAAGTTGGTGATGGAGCAACTTGTGTGATGAGCACTTGCAGAAACCAGTCAACACTGGGCCACTCCCGCACTGAATGCTTTGATCTCGAGTTGTGCAATACATGAACATACCTAGGAAATGTGTCGCAGAGGGATCGGCTCGGGGTCTCCCATCGGTCCGTCAACAACAGGTGTAGAAGGTCTGGGCTCTTCAGAAAAGTCCATAGATATTGTATGCGAATCGTGGTGGCTTGAGCAGGCTTGAGCAGGTCTGAGCAATGTTGAATGTGTAAGCCGGGTCTGAGCAGCCTGTTATGGTTTTTTCCCCCTTGTGTTTCTCCCCTAGTTCAGTCTTCCGTTTTCTCCCACACTTTCTCCCTCCATGTCGTCCTGCTTTTCCCCTTCACCTTCCTCTTTCACTCGTCTCCTTCCCTCGTCAACGATAAGCTGAGAAGCACAGCCTACCAGTGGCCAGTTCTTGAGACCGCCGATGTGATTTGTCCTGCATATCTGACTCAGTCTCCCCGATGGCTTTTCCGGGACCCCGGGATTATCCCGGCGCAGAGCATGATACATTTCTCCCACACCATTTTCTCCCACCTCCACAAAAGTTCCCTTCGCCCCACTTATGCAACCCTTCGGCGAGACCGCCAGCCCTCGTGATGCGTTGTCATCTGCTACGGCCTGCCTGCAGCTTATGCATCTGGACCAGTGAGAATTTTCTCCCCTCCTCCCCCAATTGCATGATACATTTCTCCCACTTCATTTTCTCCCGCTCCGTTTTCTCCCACCCCACTAATGCGACCCATCGGCGAGACCGCCAAGGGGTGCAGCTTATGCACCTGGACCGGTGAGGATTTTCTCTCCCCCCTCCCTGACCCTGGTTTCTTCCCCCCTCCCCAACCACGGTTTTTCCCACTTTTGCGACTTTGGTTTCTCCCCTTCCTCTCGCCGATCCTGGTTTCTCCCTCCAATCTTCTCGCTCTCTTCTCGCTCTCTTCTCCCACTCCCCTCCCACTCCTGCTTGACATGCAGTTAGATGGCCTTGCATCAGCTCACGAATGTGCACTGTGTGGACCTATCTTCTGGCATGCAGCATGCGGCGTACGGCTGAAGCGGAAGTGCTCCCCGTCCTTGGGGCAGGAACGATGGAACAGAGCCGAGCATCCAGGGATATTGTCGCATTATGACTGGCTACAGTCGGGTCGCCGGGGACTGAGACGAGCTCGGCACAATCTGCGCGGCCCAGATGGTGTGCCTGTCTTTCCGTTCCCTGCAGGATCTGAAGCCGATATGCTGAGCGTGACTGCTAGTCAACGTCAGGCTCGCAATGGGGGAATTATTGAAGCAGATATCAATATATTCTCGACCAGGCGCGATGATATGCTTAATTGTGTCCTTCTCCACTGCATCAACCCTTTCCGCAATCATACACCACAATTGTTCAGATCCATTGCCACATCGCCGCATCTTCGTTCACATCCGATACAATGGCCTCATTCAGATCTTCTTTGACTTCCGAAACAGAGCAACTACTGCGCAGGATTCATATCGTTCGCTGGACAGTCTATGATGATGCACGACTTTGTATGGTCACGATCCGGTCGGATAATTTCACGTCCATCTTGGGATTCTCTCTTGTAGGCGTGGAATGCGACTCGGGTCAGTTGAAGTGGTGCAAAGACTCGTTGCTTCACTTGCGACGGATGCAAGAGGAAGCTCTCGCTGAGCAGCAGGTGACACGCGACATTCTCTTCGAGATCGTCGCAATGTTCATACCGGAGTTCAAGGACCAACTCTCGACTCAGCCGCAGTCCGACCGCCTTCATGACTACCTTTACCCACCAACGTACAGAGTACTCTCCGGATATTTTGAGAAGGGTAACCTCGAAATCAAAGTCGATAGAGATGCTTCGATTGATACTCCCGGACTGCCCTACGAGACTGCAACGGCTCTCCACGGCGAGCTTCTGAAGGAGTTGGAACCTGTGCACTTTTCATCTCAGGATCTTTCATTCCCGGCGGCTCCCGCATCTGATGACCATCCCGCATCTGATGACCATCCACGATACCACGGCCCATTGGATCTTTTCACCAGTGATGGCCGACACCTCTTCTGCAAGGGTTTCACCTTGCCTGCTGGCCAGGCACGTGAAGCCACCCTCGAGGCTCTAGACACGCACGGCCGGATTGAACTGAAAATGCGGGAGGAGACTTTGCCACAAGACCTGCCCGTCGCGCGACTTTGTGGACTCTGGATCGATAAACAGGACGATATCCCTGCAATCTATCAAGGTGGCGTTGACGGGGATCGTCTCTTAGGCCTTCTGTTCGACTACATCCCGCCTTTGCGACAGAACGAGCCAAGCACTCTGGAAGACATGCCTTATTTCTACCTCTGGCTTCACGGCGACAGCATTTATCGCCAAGTTCGGGAAACAGTCGGTTATCTGCACGACGCGGGTATCACGTGGGGTGGCGCGAAAGCAAGCAATGTCCTGATCGGCAAGCAGAACAAGGTGTGGCTTCTTGGTTTTGGACAACCTGCTGGAGGCGAAGGGGAACACACTGCGCCGAGTAGTGCCCTCGATGCTGACAAGGAGGGCCTGGCGCAGATCCATGACTATATTGCCACGGAAGTATTTGGTAGAACAGACAATTGGTTCATGAGCTAGGCCCATTGCGCGGCTCACACAATCATCTACAAGATCAATGACATTTGGTATCTGACTACGGACTCTATGACGCTGGCTGAAGCAATGACCGTCTTTGACAAGCTGACTGTGGCAGTAGATGGACCAGCATAGCAGCCAGCCAGTCCATCAACAACAACACGTAAGTAGATCAAGCAATGATTGTGCAGAGCTCAGAACGATGCGCTCTGATCAAGAACGCATGAAAGATTGCAAAGCATGGGCAGGCATGTGCAACGTTTGTGCAGAGATTATGCAAGTCTCCAAGCGCACATATTTATCCATGATTACATAAGCAAGACCGTTGTGGATAAAGGCTGAAGGGGCCCCAAGCTGTGGAGATTAGTGACCGCCGTTGGTCATTATCCGCAACCACCATCAAGATGGCTGAAGCAATTCTCGCTGCCCGCAAGCTTGAGGCCGACTTATGTCAATTCTCTACATTTCTGGAAGCATACACGACCTCCGAAATCACCCGCACATCTGTTGAAGATGTGGAGCATTCGCTTGAGCTGCTTAGGCACGCCATCGCAGCGTTCAAGGAGTCGTGCGCCTCTCAGCCCGTGGCCGTGCCAAACACAGCCTCTTCCAAAGGACTCGGGCGCAAAGACGACAGCTCACCAAAACATGCTAGCACGCTGCAAACTCAGACAGTACCGAAGAGCAATGCAGTTCCTGACGGTTCGGCCACGCCTGGCGACGCTTGGAGGATTACACGAAGCTCTTCGTGCTTCACTCTCGCTGCGCACGAATTAGGGACAGAACTCCCGCATCGAATACAGCAATTTTCAGCGAATCCTTCGTACAACGGATTGATCACAGTCAAAGATCCCCCACATGTTGAGTGGTCCGCATTGTTGGCTTGCCTCCCAAGGACCCCAGAGCATGACCTTCTTGGTGTTCATTGGCAGAGCGGTCCATCGAAGGGTACGGTACACCTGTACAGCGACAGTTCTCAGCACTTTGACCTCCCGGATCATGCCTCATGGCAGCAAGAACCTTCTGTGGATGAAATCAAGGAGCGTCTGCGATCTTTATCTTATCACCCACCAGCTGCAGCTTCATACTACGTCGGACCACCGCTAGTCGACCATAGTACAACGACTACCCTTGCGGACATGCTCCATCCTGGGACACAGCTGCTGAGTATACCAGCGGCAGACGGTGTTAATCGTTGCCAGTGGCGTCTTGGAAAAAGTGGCTCCGGGACCGCTTTCCACTGCGAGGATGCCCATTTCAGATCAATCAATTACACTGTCTTTGGGTATCATGTCTGGATCAAGATCTCCCAGGAGGACAATCGCAGGTTCGAGCGCATCTTCTTTGGGGAGAAAAGTTGCGATCAGTTTGTGCGCCATCAGTCTCTGTTCATCGAACCGCAACGGCTTATTGACGAGGGCGTTCATTTCGACCTGCAATTAGCTGGTCCAGGGACTCTTGTTGACACAAGCCCGGGGCAGTACCACGCAGTCTTGAATCTCACAGACACATTCAAGCTGGCCGTAAATTACCTCTTTCCGGAAGAGCCGCGGTTTCCACGTCAGCTGCTTGTTTGTCACCGTTGCGGCCTGTATCCTCTCAGGTCATCCTACGGACAGATACACGAAGTCAAGCCCCCAAGCCAAGCGGCCAACGATCTGCGCCATAGGAGGAAGGGTGGGAAGAAAGCACCGCCACGGGGTGCTGCAGTCGACCGACATCAACCGCAGAAGACGCTCGGAGCATCCTCAAGTCTCGTTCCTACGAATGAACCCGCTTGCGATGCCGATCTTAAAGCTTGGAAGCAATACATCACGAGTGTCGCTACCCCGTATCTCAAACTGGTCACGCCATACAGATGCTCCAAACTGACAAGGTTGTTCTGGCTCTGTCAGAGCCCTTCAGCCGCTCAAAGATTAGTCGAGATCGTTGCAGCTTGGCGCGTTCTTGAGTCCACGAGCTTGGATCTCGTTAGCCTACGTGGATCAGAAGTGGGCACGATTGCCGGTGTGCTCCAGCAGATTGACAACAAGACAGCACTTGATCGCGTCTGTATGGCGTACCTCGCCATCAAGTTTTCTGAGCGAGTTGACCAAGCATTGTCCCAAAAGCAGCGTCTTCGATCTGCTGATTGGAGGCAAGTATCAGCACCCATCATGGAGCCGAGGACCTCCTCGCGTCACCTGGACGACCGGAAACTCCGTAACCTTCGACTTCTCGGCACCCGTCTCTCCCGCGCTCCCCTCGGCCTACTCTGCCTCGTGCCCGATTCAAAGCGTGCACCATTTCACTACTCGCATCAGGATCTCAAGGAGATTGTCGATGAGGACTTGGAGGCCGTTGTGAACCGCTTGAGCACTCACCCAATCGCTAAGCATCTACTTAAGGTTGGCGAAACCATCATGCACGCAATAGAGTGTGGCAACGATCTCGTGCAGTTCAGCTGGGAGACATCCGGGGCGCCGGACGTGAGCCAAGTCAGCGGTGAGGACTTGGAACAATGGCTACGGCCAGTGCCCACGGTAGACGAATGCATTTACCAACCTGAACGCTTTCATGAGATGGGCAAACCCGAGGATTGGCCGGGACAATGGCCGGACGACCCAACGACCGGAAGAGGCTTTGGAATCCCTTGCGACTTTTGTCGTGTCGATGGCTGCAATTGTGCATCGTGGCTACTGCCAAAGTCTGAAGAGCGTCAGTGTCACACATGCAACTTGGGAGACTGCAAGAGTAACCATATACGCTTGTGCCGACGCGACCCTGTCTCCCTCGTACTGCGGCTTGCCGGCCTCAAAGGCCTCGGCATCTTCGTCAAAGGACCTGCAGGTCAACCAATATTCCACAAGGGACAGATACTTGGCGAGTTCACAGGTGAGCTTTGGCCACCAGGAACCTTCAGCGAGGCTTCTGGTGAAGGCATGGTTATGGATGTTGATCGTCCTGAGCTACACGGTCTCACTTATCAGATTCACTGCGGTGACATGGGCAACTGGGTTCGAAATGTCAACCATCAATGTCGAAGCGCTTCATGTGCTTTCATTGTGAGGATGGTGTCGGGAAAACAGCGAGTGCTACTCGCAGCAGATATGGATCTCTACAACGGTCAAGAACTGACTGTCCAGTACAGAAAAGGCCAGCCATCCTTCCCATGTCATTGTTCGTATTGCCAGTCGTCCCCGGCAGTTGTTGATAAACAAGGTCAAGGAAAACGAAAAAAGAGGCGAAGGCTGTGACCAGCAGACAAAAGACAGCCGAAACGAAAGGTCCCGAAGGGAAGCAATGTCCCCTTCCAGTCAGTCATTGCTTAGCACCCTTGAGTCTCTCAGGCTCGAGCGACATGCCGAGGAGGAAAGACATTCCTGAGGACAGTTCAGACAGCCTGCTCAGCGACTCAGGGTCTTCATGTAATGTCAAATCGTTCTGTGTGTAGTGCCGGAGGGATTCTTCATAGAATGGACGGATTCCAAATCCCTTTTGCTCGACGGCGATGGTAGTTGCTAGTTGCGTGAGGCTTGCGGGGCTCATCTCTGCACTTTGATGCTTTGCCGCAACCTTGCACCACAATCGGAACATGCCAAGCCACTCATGTCTGTTGAGCATAGCGCATTTCACGGGCATGCGATGAATGTGGCATGGTGGGACATATCCGAGTCATCTCCCGCCTCGTCGGTAAGCTTGCTCCTCTTAATGCAGGCCCGCGGGCAGATCGCTTCACTGCTCGCACAGGACGTGCGCCAGCATTCTGTTATGCTAGAAGGGCCATATCGGTATGATCTCAGGCTTCAACAGTACGAGAATGTTTCCTTGGCGGCGAAGGGTGTCGGGATTGCTGGCATACTACCGAACGCGCTGGACCTCGTCAATCGCCGACGTCATGATGCGAGAGTCCGGAGTGCAGAAGCAACAAGAAAAGTCATGTTTCGAGACATGACAAGGCGCGTGGACTTGTTCTGGGTGCTTGACCACAATTCTCAGCAAAAATGGCTTCGCCAGGAGCTGAAAGCACTGCAGGCGCTGGATTCGGGAGACGAGGTAAGTACATCAATCGCCCCGTCGTACGTCGTATGCTCGCTGCTCATCAACAACAGAGATTACTGTCGGTGTGGTGCATCTACCCGTCCGCAAAGAAAAGACCGACGCCTTTTCGAGTCGATCCACTCTGGCGTTGCTTTTATCCCGACGATGGCAGCAGATTCTCCGAGAGTGATATCACCGGTGAGATAGCCTCAAACGTTGACACGCCTGGCAGAAGCATTGTCGTCAGTAAGTTGCCCTCAGAGGAGGGATGACTCTTTCAGTTGCTGACCGTTGCAGCGTGTGGAGATCCGACGTTTACGGGCAGGCTGCGCGAGGCGGTCGCGCATAACGGACACCAGGTGTTTGTAGAGATGGAGTACAGACCTGAGGAGAGCGCCCAGCGTACGTGGGTATGATCGCTCCGGCTATTGAAGGAGTGGACGTTCGTAGACTACATGGAGATACCAGGTGTGGACTGGCACATGGAGGCTTGATGTATGGAGTCTCAGCAAATCAGAGACACTGCCTAAGGCATCGATAATTCTGGACCATGACAGTGTTTGGGAGTGATGTGTGCTCATCGTTTGCTTCTGTTCTTCGTCCGTGTCGACCGCCCTTGGATTTGACGCGAATCTCTCGTGGCTTTCGTAGGCTTCACGATCCGGTTTGCGGTAGAACGTGACCTTGTTGCATTCGCTGACCGGGAGCGCAGATTGTATCGAGAGAACTTGCTGCTCGGTCGGTCCTCAACGGTCTGCGCAGGATTCTCAGCTGTGCTTCGTGGGTGCTGGGCGCAGGGCGGTGAGTCCTGATCAGAAGTCGTTGACTTCAAGTCGGAAGGCGACGGGTACTCGTCCAAGGTTGGTTGCTTCAGGTCGGAAGGCGATGCTGCAAGGGTCACTTTGGGATCGGTGGCTTTGAAGCGTCGATTCAATGCGTCATCAATACGCTTCTTTGCGCGAGCTTGCGCTTTGTTATCGAGATTTGTGTAATGAAATGAATACAGTGTGTCAAGCGAGCCGTTTCTGCAAAAGGCGAGGGAGGCTTCCCATGCTTCATCGGACAAGAAGCAATTGCGCCTCGCCGACAACGTGTTGACCGCCCCACGGACCAGACCGACTTGCTCCAAGCGTTTGCACCGGCGCTCCTCGAGAAGTCTGCGAAAGTCTGCTCCTGAGCTCGCGAGTTTGGCAATTTCTGCCACATCGGAGTGGAAGGCTTCTGGGCTTTGAATTGGCACTAGAATCGTGTTGAACTCTGGATGCAGACACCGGAAGAGGTCTTCTTGTTTGTAGCCGACCTTCCAAGCATGCCAGGTGTATTTCTCGTCGAAGTCGTCGGAAGCGAGTCGGTCGAATATGTTCTCCATCGTGTAATGGTGTGTCACGATGGTTGGTGTGGATGTTGTTGCGTGAAACAAACAGAGGCGAAGGACGCGGTGTGGAAGGATCCTTTCAGCCAGCATGTCACGCACACGCTTGTGTGGCCATCTATGCCCCTGTCAGTCCTGGCCAATCGCTTGCGCCACCACCCCCACAATCCGGTGTCCGCGCCCCTTCTGCACGAATGTGGGGACAATCGTGCCAGGTGACACTCGTGGACGACGCCAAGAGACCCAAACACGCCTTCTACACTAACTCCAAGCTGCTCCTGCTTGCAGTAAACTTGCCGCGCGGTTGGGGGCAACGAGTGTCAGGCGCCAAAGCCGTTCATATAGATATGCACCCTCGCATCCCCTGCTGGGCATCATTTAGTGAAACCCTTCCCTGCCCTCTTCACTGTTGCTATCGCTATCGCTTGAATCTTACACTCCCGCTAGAAAACAGTGTTGTCGAAGCTATGTCAAAACAAGTGGACCCTGTCAACGCTTCTCAAGGCAGCACCCAACCTTTCACAGACTCCTTTCTCCGAGCGACAGGAGTGGAGCTCGACATTGATGAGTCTACCCAGAGTACCGTTCCATTCTCGGAGTCTTTTCTGGCGAACGCCGTCGCACAGGGCTCAAGACACGATCTGGATGGTCGGCCGGGTGGAGCAAACTCGCCTCCAGACTCACAATGGAGCGATGATGGTGCTACGCAGAGACCAGCTTCGGCCATACCGACCGTCCGTACAGCTTCGCCTACACCGAGCATTATTGCTAGCTTGACGAAAAGAACCGAAAGACGTTTTTCAATCGCCGATCTCGACGTTCCCGACCACAAGGGCTTCAGGCTTCTCATCCTCCCATCTAAGAAGAACGCTTTCCAACCTGATCCTCACTACCATAAACTGGAGTGGACTCGATATTCCCTTAAGCCAGGAGCCAGAAGAAACTCAACAGCTTGTGTTCAGTGCATCATCGTCAACCCTGGGCAGGAGCAGACAACGTACCAAATTTTCAAACCCTTCAAATGCACTCTGTACTTCCATGCCTTTACCGACACGATCCATGTCAAGAACACTGACGACCAACCATTCTGGATCACGAAGCGGGAAACCTCTGGCGAGATGTCATACCATCATGAGGTCACACCTGTCACTTCTTTCAATGCCGATGTCGGCATTTGGTCCTTCTCCACGACGCGCCAAGGATTCGACTTTGAGGTAGCAATCTATCCTCGATGCTGTGAATTGGTCCTTCCAGAGTCCACCCATATGACGACAAGGTCTGGGAAGCGTCTTTGCCGACAGGTGGCGCAGAAGCTTACTAGCCTCTGCGAGGTAGTTGAGGGAAGCACAGTCCATGTTGAAACTGCTGGACGTGTTGAGTACACGATCGAGCGTCAGCGTACAGCCGGTACAACGAAAGGCGCGTCTGTGTTCGTTGCACACGTGTCATTATTTCGAGGGCAGCTTGTGGTGGTGAAAAGTCTACTTCCACCCTCATCATCCAACTTCTGGGACTGGAACTGGCCGAACATAGCACGGGCATGGGCACGCGAATTCCACATCCTACGGCAACTCAGACATGTAAGTGGGCCAAAGACAGAAGCAGCTCTAGACGGCTAACAATTCACTCTAGGCTTTCATCGTCGAACTTATGGGGGGTGATGCCCGAATCGCCTCGCTCTTCCTAAAACCCATTGATGCTCCTGACCTTGCTCGAAAAAAGGATTGGCGCTACGACGGCCACTGTTGGCGCGACGGCCGCAACTATTTTCAAGGTGAGCGCCTCGATGCTCAGCGTATTTTACGGGACATGGCGGACGCTCTCAAGTATCTTCGCGAGCAGAGGGTACTCCACAATGACATAAAGCCTGGAAACATCCTGTACGCACCAGGGGGCCATGCAACGCTGGTCGACTTCGGCTTGGGTTCAACTGGCTCGTCGTATCGTGGTGGGGGTGGAAGTCCTTGGTATACGCCTCCGGAGCTTCTCACCGACGGCCAACGTGGCTTCGAAGGTGAGGTATGGGCACTCGGGGTGGTCATGCTCTACGTTCTGGGAGCTTTGCCAATTCCTGATTCGTCAGGCGGCTGGAACATCGGAAACATCATACAACAGCACCCTCACGATGATGGACGCAGAGCGCGCTCGAAAATGAGAGGCTGGCTGGATGTGGTGGAGTCGGAGCGAGAGGCACTTCCTAAACATTCGCTGGAGGGTATTGTCGCTCAGATGCTTGCAGAATTTCCTGATGAACGCATCGGAGCTGAGGAATTGGTCAATGAGCTCGATCGGCTACACCTCTAATTCCACCCTGAAATTGCCTTTTATGCGGATCCCAAGTGCTTCTGTGTAACCTGTGCACAATTAATGACGCTCAATTGTCATTATTCAAAGCGTTCAGCTGGAGAGTCTACACATCACCACGCGAGTCGGAGAACTCGACAGTGATTGACTGGATAGGAAGAGAGCTCAGCATGGCACAGTGCGTGATGGATGTTCAGAGAACCTGATGGACTACTCTCGTGCACGGAATATGATCATGCGTCGAGAATCTGCTCAGCTCGAGTACCGTACTTGCTTTGCTATTCAAGTGAGATCCCCGAAGACATCGCAATCTTCTGCAGCAGTGAAGCTATATTCTCTTCGTGTTCGGCCAGCTTCTTCCTGGCAAGGTCCGCCGTCGCTATATAGTAGACAATAACTTTTTCGAGAGGCTGCGAAAATGGTAAACCGAGCTCTTCAAAGATCTCCCTTGGCTTTTTCACGAGGAGACGAGCAAAGTCCGGCTCGTCGCGGACCATATGCTCCATGACTTGTCCATTGCCATTCATCGCACTCATGATTGCTGCATCTCGTCGTTGAGCCGAAAGATTGAAGAGTGCTCGAACGTCCGAAGGGATGTCCCTCTTGTGCAACACCTCGTTCGCGAAGTACGCAGCGTTCCTCTGCGATACTGCGAGAGCGGCCTCCTTCGTCTGCCGAACGGCCAAATCCGTCTGTTCACGAAGCTTGGCCTCGTATTGAGCCTTGTCATCCTTCTTTGCCCTTTGCTGGTTTTTGATGATTGCGACATTCCGAGTATTGGCAACCTCGACCTGGTCTCGCAAGGAGCGGGCAGCTTCAAGGCTTGCCATGGCTTCGGAACAAGCTTTTCGGAGCCCTTCACCTTGCTGGTAAGCGGAGACAAACGCAGCTTGAAGCTCGCTCTTTTCTTCTTCAAGAACGTGCTTGTCGGTCGTAAGCTCGCGGATCTGGTCTTCCAAAGCCCGGATCTTCTCGTCCTTTTTCGCATGGTTTTTCTTCCCACGAGTTTTGGCTGCATCGCGTTGCTGGTCATACTGCGCTTTAAGTCTGGTGCTCTTATTGAGGGCCTCTCGTTCGATCTGATCCGCGAACTCGCAGTACGCCGAAGCGAGCTCATAGATGAGCCGGAGGTGGTCGTCGACTGTAATGGTCTCCACAGCCTCAAGTTTTGGGAGCTGAGGATCCGATGTAGACCTGGTGAGGCGGCGTGGCTCCATTATGAACTTTCATCAGAAACGAAGCTGGGGATGAGGGGTTTAGACAAGGACGAAAAGCGAGGATGAGTGGACAGGCTTGTTGAGCTCCTAGGTACAGGGGGACAAACAGCGACAAGGACAGAGGGACAGAGGGACAGAGGGACAGAGGGACAGAGGGACAGTCACAGAGGGACAGTCACAGAGGGACAGTCACAGAGGGACAGTCACAGAGGGACAGAGGGACAGAGGGACAGTCACAGAGGGACAGTCACAGAGGGACAGTCACAGAGGGACAGAGGGACAGAGGGACAGTCACAGAGGGACAGTCAGACAGAGGGACAGTCACAGAGGGACAGAGGGACAGAGGGACAGTCACAGAGGGACAGAGGGACAGAGGGACAGTCACAGAGGGACAGAGGGACAGAGGGACAGTCACAGAGGGACAGAGGGACAGAGGGACAGTCACAGAGGGACAGTCAGACGGAGGGACAGTCACAGAGGGACAGAGGGACAGAGGGACAGTCACAGAGGGACAGAGGGACAGAGGGACAGTCACAGAGGGACAGTCAGACAGAGGGACAGTCACAGAGGGACAGAGGGACAGAGGGACAGTCACAGAGGGACAGAGGGACAGAGGGACAGTCACAGAGGGACAGAGGGACAGAGGGACCGTCACAGAGGGACAGAGGGGTGCTGAGAGCCGGGCTTGCCTGGACCAGTGGCTAACCGCCCGGGCGGAGCTAACAGCCGGGCCCAGCCAACAGGCATTAGTGGCGCACGAGGGCGCACATTGGCACCCCTGTCTATTTGGCCATGCAGCACTAGCGTTCCACACGTGGAGCGCTAACTATTTGTGGCTTCATCCGCACTGGATCAGGAAAAGAGCGCAAGGCGGCCGGTAGGGGTGGGAGGTGGGTCGGGATATCGATGGACGCTCACAGAGGCCCCTGTCAGATCATGCCACGCACTCGAGTAATCGACAGTGCTTCGGTCTCCAACCATGTATTCCGGATACCCGCGCTCGTGAACAGAACTCGAGGCCTGGCACACACACGTGTGATCCAGATTGTCAATGCAGTATAGGCGAGACAGTCGTCGATGGTGAGTAGAGCATACCATACTAGTGCATCCCCCAGCAGGTGTGCAAAAATTGAAGGAGACAGCTCGACGCTTGGAGCCCTTTCAATGATAAACTACTCATTCTGATAGTACTTCTTGAGCCTACAAATACATTTCATCGTTTTCAACTTCATCCCGCGAGTCCCATTCCTCAGCTGAGCCCAGGCATTTCTGAGTTCGTCTTCGACCGTCCTCTCAAGTCGTGTGTTCCAGCGTGGGTTGAGCATGGATCGAACCTGTATGTGCAATTCGGAGGTGGATTGGCTAGATGATGCGATCCTTGTCCAGCTGTTCTCGTTCTGTCGCATCCTGCTGCCCACACGTTAGCCACGCCGACATCAGAGCACCGAGAATCGAATTCGAGACGCACTTGTAGAATTCCGATCGTTGCTGGAGCAGTTGAACTGGCCAGGCAACCAGACCGCGGTTGACTGAAGCACTTTCTTTTATACGTGGCAGCCCTCATTATGCCATTCGTTCTGGAGAACAGACAATCACCAGCAACAGTGCAAAATCTCCAGAGCCAATCGCGCTCCACCATCAGATAGCTCGGAAGTGATGCTCGGAGAACAGTCCTAAGCAGGGCAGAAGTGAATCACACATTCAACGCACGTGTGGTTGCAGTGCATATAGCTGTGTGCTGTTCCAGGCTGCAAGCCCCTTTTTCGTAGTTATTCGCATCTCAGGTGGCGGACTGTACACGGGGAACGGAGCCGACGTGAAAGCGATTGGTGGGGGGCAAATGTGGGCTTGATGTACTAGCGTCTGACGTACGACATGCATGTACAGTACCTTATGGTATGCACTCCAACGCGGCTGCAGGGCTTCGAGCCTTGGCGATCGCAGAGACTGCTTCTGCTAGTGTCCTGCGACCACGCCCGTCCACGCGGCGCACGCCTGGGGGGTGCCCAGTGATATCAGCTTGATTGGCCCCAGCTTCATGAGCTTTGGCAAGAGCTCAGGCCCAGGCGGTTGTGCGAACGATAAGCATGGGGTTCTGCACGAGACGAGGCAACGGCTGCCTTCCGCTAGGTCTATCTTCCCCAACACAGCCACAACGCAGGACGTACCGTGCAATCTCGCAGATGGTCTGATCGAGCCTCAGTGCCAATTGGGGCGCGCACTATCTGCCCGGACAGACACGGCACTATCGTCTTGTAAAGGCATGGGTCCGGCTCGCAAAACATCAAACAGTTCCTGTGTCTGTTTTCTCAACCTGAACTGCGTTGCACACAAGCATCATGAGCACAGAATCGGCCCATACGGGAGACACCTCATCCGATCAGCGTCTGCCGGTCACTTGTCGTTGCGCATTGTGTTCTTACCTTGCATCGGATGATCCTCCCCCTCGCCCTGATAGCCCGGAACCGGACAGCGATGTGTCACCTTTGCGTCTGAAGCCAAGACCTCCACTCAGCAAGGAAGAGCTCACTGCGGAAGTCGAAGCAATCTATACTGGGCTGATCATGATCGAAAAAAAATGCACCGACGTCCACCAGGAGCTACGGCTCCAGAGTGTCGAGCTCAAGGATGAGCAGTGGCGGGCTCTACACACGCTTCACAGTAAACTCCTAGACGAGCATCACGACTTTCTTCTTGCCATCCAACATCCAACAGCTCCGCCGAATTTGAGAAGGCTTGCTATGGATCGTTCCATGCCTGCTCGTATGTGGCGGCATGGAGTCCACCCGTATCTCACACTTCTTCAGGACCAGCTACCTCAAAGTCAAGAACACCTGAGAACGTTCGTCAATCTCGCATATGGGCTATACGGCCACCTGCATACGAGCATTCCTACATTCGCAAAGGCCTGGGCTGAGTGCCTCGGTCATCTCGCCCTTGTTGCGATAATGGCCGCGAACGACGTCGACGAGTGCAAGCGCTGGGCCTCTATCTCACAGGTTGGGTTTGATGAAGCGTTGAACAGTGGGCCTACCTCTGACGCTGCATCTGATAACTCTCACGAACAATCTGACGCGGCGTTTGATGTTCCCCACGGCCGGGTGCATGAACAACAGGTCACTGACGAATGGGTTCTGCTTGGCGACGATGATCTGTAATTATAGCGGAACGACACGTTTCGAGTAGCGCACTATACTTTCAAGAGTTTTGAACTGCAAGCATTCGCCTCTCAACAATAACGTTGAAGTGCCTCGATGTAGTGACTCTTCCTCGTCGTACGCCTCCTCCGCCTCCTCCTTCTCTTCCTCTTCATCTCTCCAGGGAGTTGCCACCACGATCTCAGGTTATGCAATTGAGCTAAGGCTGTATGTTATTTCATGTCGCACGGATGGAAGAGCAGTGCTGCCGCCGCTGGGACATGCTGATGGTGTTGATAGCGAGCTTTCCTCGAAGTTGACACGTGAAGGTCCCGAGGCACGAGAAGGTGGCAATTTAGCCATTGGCCTAACCCGGGTGAGTCTCCTTGAACTAAAACTACTAGACCTAAACGAGGCGCTCCGCGAGAAGGTTCGCGCACTACCCCCGCCAGAAAGTCGGATTGCGTTCAATTCTTGTCTGACCTTCCCAAATGATTTCCACATTCCTACAGTCCCAGCATCGAGCATGGGAGCAATATTTCCCCTTTTTTAAATCGAGCTTCTGACACTTCTCCGCATTTTTTTTCCAACGCCTGCGCTTGCATTGACACTATTGGCGATGTGAGTTCTTGTACTCCAGTCGATTCTTAAATAAACACTTACACAAACCCAAAAAGCGTGCTGCGGTTGTGACACCTCGTACGCAGGACCTGGATTCAACTCATCGTACGGAGGCGGAGGCCCTGTTCCCGCAGATGAAGATGCCATAGTAGATTGACTAGGGAGAATATGAACAAGTTCGAGGTGGTGTAGATCGACGTGGTTAATGGGTAGGGGCTGGAACTGGATTGACGATGCCTGGAGTTCGAAGGGATGAAAGGTCTTCGAGGATAAGGGCTGCCTTATATAAGGCGCTTCTGGCCATATCTTGTTTGGGCGTCGAAAACCTGGCAACCCCTGGATGAGTGGCTGACCGGTGCTGAGACCGAGAGCCTGGTCTCGCCTGAACGAGAAGCTGACAGTTGCTGAGAGCCGGGCCCAGCCAACACTACATGCAGATGCATATGCAGACTTGCGGGCCTGGACTTTTCAAGGGATATGCACTTTGTCCCAGTACGTTGACCGCCGGTTCCAAAAGGATTAGCGTTTATGGTCGTCATGAGCCGCGGCAGGGCGCAGGGGGTGCCACGCATAATAAGCAAGGGAAGGGGGCGGGGTGTAACCAGACCGAGACGAGGTGGGAGTGGACAGAATTGCGACTCGCCTCAATCTGCGAATGCTACAACGTTCCTGCCCGGTCCATCGTGGCGTGTGTCAAGGCCCAGGACCGCCGAGCTTGGTCACTAGTAGGGGGAAAGGTGCTTGACCCGAGGGCTGAATCCGCTGAATTTGACACCTTAACCATCACTACGTGAAAGCTCGTCCATCCAGTCATGCTCGTGCTTCGCATCCTTTGTTATCCTCCTGCGTGGCTTCCCCGGCGTCTGTCCAGGTTGTCAGGGCACATTTGACCTCCTACATCCGTCACGTTCAGCTATGCGCGGGCTGCGACGACAGCCATCATGAGAAGCCGTAAGTCCCCGAGTCTTGTGCGATGTAATGCGTGCGCTGCGGCGGGATGCTGGAGATATTGCTGCAACCATAGCCCTATTCCGCCATGATGAGCCTCGGCCATGCCCTTTGCTTCGCAGTTCCGGGCTTTCCCTCTGGTTCCCGTCGTCCGTCTGATCACATTGCGAGGCGATGAAATCAGCTCGACAAGCCACAGCCTCCGTCTCCGGCTCCATGAATTTCGCCTTCTTGGTGCAGGGTTGTTGTTCGACCTGAAGCTTCCTCTTCAACCTCGTCCTTGTCCGCATTGCGTGCACCTCTGCTTCGACAAGCGAAGTTTGACTCGAGACCCATTCAACGAGTACGCGGTGTCGAGCGACATCCCTCACGGCTTTGTCATAATCGAATGTTTTTCTCACAAACGACAGGATGAGTTTTGCGCGGTCCTGTGCTTGCTTGTAATGTCTCTTCGCCGAAAGGAGTGTCTCTGAAGCCACCTTCAATTTCAAGATTCTCTCCTCTTGCGGGATGTTCAGACGACTCGGATCCGTCTGAGTGCTCCGGTAGACGCGCTTTGCTTGACTCTTTGCTTCTTCGACAGCTGCTCGAGCTTGTGTTCGTTCGCGATCACACTCCACTCCAGACTCAGTCGTTCGTATATATTCTTCGGTCTCGTGCGGCTTCAGACTTGCCTCGACGACAAGAGCTTTCCACAGCTCGTTGTACTCTGGCCGCAACTGCTCCATCTTGGTGTTAAGCCTGTCAAGCCACCAGTATTCGTAGTTGAGGTACTCGATCCATGTCGAAAGTCGGTCCTGTTTCTGTGGAATTTCATCGAGGTCCGGTGTATGGTTGCAGCCGTGGCGCTTCAAGCTCTTGTGGACTGCTTGGACATAGTCGTGAAACCCAAGGCAGCCCGCCTCTCGGATGACCCGTCGTTCCTTTTCCCGTTGAGTCCGTTGTGCAAGCCAGCCAGACCGGAGACATGACGGATTAGCCTCAATCTGGGCCAGGCGCGCTGCGCGTGAGTTGTGCAAGGCATCCTGCTCGATCCGTTCTTTTGCGCTCGAGATGTAGGCAGCAAATCCTTCAGCATCTTCACAGACTTCGTGGCCGCGGTTGTCCTGTTGCCACCTGCGGAAGCCCTGCCAATGCTGTAGTTGTCGCTGGAAGACACCCAAGGGGGTGACTCGCGCCAGATATTCCTGCCACGGCCGGAGCATTTCTGCAAAACGTTCGGGGTGCTCGTAAACAGCTTCCATGATGTTGATGTCGTACAGAGGGCGACCGCCTTCAGAAACGAGCTTTTCGTAAGCGTTGGTTTCGTTGTACATGGCCTGCGCCTTCGTATCGAGGGGCGGCGTGCTGGAGGCCGACCGCGAGACGGAGTCCTCCCGTGGGCTCGGCGATCTTGTGGGCGATATCCGACGCAAGCGCGCATCGAGATCGTTTATGTCTAATGGACGAGTACATGTACTGGGGCTCTGTGCTCGAAGAGAGGTTTGGACTCTGACATCGGTGTTAGCATGTAGGGCACGCATCGACCTTGACGGTGGTTAGAACAAGCCTACTGCAACCGCTGAGCTAACGCGCTTCGTTGATCCTCTGACAGCTTCTCCAGCCCCTTGATGGGAAGATTGAAGTTGCCATCATCGCCGCGGTGTGCTAACATGAACTCGGCTAGGTCTGCGTCACACATCGCGGATATCTCTCCAACAGAGAGTGCCGCATCTGCATGAGCCATGATGACGTTGGCCACGGCGTCGCCAGGGTTCTTGCTGGTAAGCTCGCAGGTGTGAGAGTCGATGCGCCCTCGGTTAGTTTCACTGGCTTCCGGGGGAGTTGTGGACGAGCGTGTCTGCATCGTGATTGAGGGTCATTGTCGGCCAGTTGCGAGGACGCTGTAGAGGATCTCCGCCGCTGACTCTCCGTCAACACGAAGCGGTACAACACGTGCGGGGTACGCGTAGTCATGGCGCCGCGCGCTTGCAAGCCGCTGGGCAACCACTAAGCCCTTACCCCGGTTCAGGCTTGCAGCAGGGTGCCAGCGCCCCCCTGCCGGGCGGGGGCCACCCCAACGTCTTAGCAGGGGCGCCGAGCGCGTCCTCCCAGGCATAAAACCCATGCAGTTCAAGTGAATGTTCACAACTTGTTCTTGTTTAACCTCAAATCCAATCGTCCAATATTCTCGGTTCTCTCTTCTTATTGTGACCACAGGGACCTTCAATCATGGAGGACTCGGACGTCATCGCTTACATATATCCTTTCGGAAGCGGACACGATCGCGAAAGGGCTAGGGACGTGATCGAAGCGGCCCCAGGGAGTCTGCCCCCACCACTGACACAGCCTGTCTCCACCGAGTACGATCGGCACGAACGAGCATCAACTGAGCCGCCAGCCGACATTTTTGTGGCACCACTCAACTATCTGCCACGCCTTCCAATCTGCTTCAGTTCCATTCCACGGACACAGAAAGGGTTTCTTTTCGGTAGAAACAAGAACTGCGATGTGGTCCTCGGGTATCAGGGCGTCTCCAACATCCACTTTAGCATTACTTTTGATGAGCACAACCGACTCATCATCAAAGATTGGAACTCCTTGGCCGCCACCACTGTCGCATACGATACGGACTATACAGAGCCACGTCGAAACTTCCAGTGGATCATCGGTGGTCACGATGTCCCGGATCGAAAGCACATAATCGTGGTCACGATACCCGGCATTGTAGCCTTCCAGATCGTGGCGGTTTGGCACGACGTGTTAAATCCAGCATATCACGACAAGGCCAACCGCTTCAAGCAGGGCAGCGCAAATGCGGAGACTCTCCTCCAAGATGCGCAATTATCATACGCACTAACAAGATCCGGCACGGGAGTTCACACTCCCAACAAGGGAGCGATCTACGTCAGGTCGTCTCTTGGAAGTAACACCTACAGCTCTGTGAACCGTCTCTGGAATGTCAGCACTGGTGCAGAGACAGTGGAGAAGGTCCCTTCGCCAGGATCAATCCAAAGGAAGAGCTACGATACAGGAATCTGGCAGAAGGAGGCTGCAATCATGGGTCGACTCTCCCACGTTAGTGCAGACCAATTGCTCTAGAGCGCAAACTGCTAATTATCACAACAGGACAAGATTGTGAGACTCCTAGCATGCTCATTCGATCCAACGCCTCGACTTGAAATCGAATATATGCGGGGCGGGTCTCTCGACAACTACGGGGACCTAACAAATCAGGAGGTAATGTCTATCACCAGCCAATGCCTGTCCGCCCTGACGCATATGCACGAGCTGGAGCCACCAATCATCCATCGAAATATCAAGCCGGCTAAGATCTTTGTCGTTGATCGGATCGGAGACCGAATCACTATCAAGCTTGGGGGTTTCGGTCTATCGAAACACGGTTTCTTCAAAACGCAGGGCGGCACACCAACATATCTAGCACCGGAGATCTTACGGCCTCCAACGAGTCGCGGCCCATCCTACACAGTTGCTGTCGACATCTGGTCTCTTGGTGTCGTGGCGTACGAGCTGGCGATTGGTCTTCCAGAGTTCGACGGACATCGCAGCCAAGGGACAATTTGGCCGGCTTGGCTCGAGGACCAGATCATGCACGCTGAAGGGCAACTGGCTTCTTTTCTGGCCAAGAGGATGCTGGTGTGCGACGAAGAGCATCGGAGTAGTGCTAGAGCATGCTGGTCCCACCTGGACCAGATTCAGCATAAGAACGACCCCCATTACTCAGCGGACGAAGCCGCTGCGTACTTTGATGAAGGCTTCGGCCTCCTCTATCCTTTGTACGACAGCTGGCTCGGACACACCGGTGAGGAGCCCTACGCCACCAAGACTGTTGCGATGAAGGAGTCATGCGCCGAATTCATCCAGTATATCAACTACACCCTTGTCGGCCAGCCCAGTAAGACTGAGCTTGTTCGCAAGATCAATCTGCTCACTGACGAGGCGGCATGGTCTCTGTTCGAAAACCTGAGCAAGGCATACACTGCAAAGCAAACCGAACAAGGCAAGGGCAAGGGCAGGGGCAGGCGCAGGAGCAAGTACAAGGGCAAGACTCAAAAAACTGCTCCGTGGGCTCAATCAGATCTTTGCGATCCTGAGACTACACAGGCTGCGACCACCACAAAGTCCACTACCGAAAGCACGCTCACGTCGCGCTACGATACCTGCTTACAGCCATCTTCACTGGCGCCCAACAATTTCGAGGGACAGGCGGAGTACGATCAATCCGAGAACTATACCACAAAGCCTCTAGATATAGATTCACTAGTGGTCGGATCGGCCTTGGCTTCGTCGAGCAGAGGCCATGAATCTCCGCTGTCCAATTTGACCGAGCTCGGAGCCGCTGGGAGCGGCTCACGCCCCGCAAAGCGGCAGAAGATCGACCACGCCTGTCAGATCTGCCGCGACCGCAAGGTCCGCTGCGACGGCGGCCGGCCTGTCTGTGGCTCGTGCCAGCGCAGGGGCCACGGGCAAGACGAGTGCCTGTACGACGAGCTGGCTGCGCCGACATACTCCTACATCGAGACGCTCGAGAGCCGTCTCAAGCGCCTCGAGGATACGATCTTGGCCATGTCCTCGGATGCCAGGCACGCGGTCGAATATCCCGGACGTGCTACATCGTCCCAGCATCGTGGCGGAACGCCTGCGCGGAGGTCTCTCACGCTTGACGAAACCGCGACCGCAACGTCTTTGCTTCAACAGATTGGTGAAGATTTCAGATAGCTTAACTTATGAGAAGTCGATGCCAAGCAAGTAATCTTGTCAGATAGTGAAGGCACTCGAGTCCACAATGTGAGCAGCAGGAGGTGAGCAAGTACACACAGCCCCGCACTTCAGTCTTACAAGTCAACGCAAGCTGGAATTAGTGACCACCAGCGGTCATTAAACTTACCGGCTATCGCAATCGTCGACGTTTATCGATTCGGAAATAGGTTTTGTCTACTTCCTACACTACTACAGGCGCAGTCGATCTCTGGGCGAGCCAGAAGCAGCCACGGGTATTGTGAGCCCCTAATTTTGTGGCTCATCAGCTTGATCGCGACGTTGATGCGCTTGAGCAGGACGCCACGGTGCGTCCAGTTGCGATGCTCAGCCGCTCGCCGCGCATCACCTGAGCGCGGGTTGCGCCATCACGCAGTACTTCGACAACATCTGAAATTGTGTACAGGGAAGCCGAGCAGTGGGTCCAGACTGCCGTTAGCCACGGTGAATCAGTCATGCTGGACATAACGGTCAGAGCCTGCACGTCTTGTTAAGAGGCAAAGCCCCCCGCAAGAGCATTATTCCCAGTCCTCCCGGTCTCCCAGACATTCTCCATGCCTGTTGGCTAGGCCCGCCTCTTAGAGCCGGTTTGTCACTCGTCCAGGCGAGGCCCCGCTCTCAGCGCCAGACACCTACTAATCCCGGCGAGGCCAGGATTCCCACACTGAAACAAGGTATGGGCTGGAGCAACTTCAACTTCCATGCTTTCCATTCCAATCCTGCGTCCGGTGAAGATCAGACTTGCAGCCCTCATATAGTGCAGCGTTGTGGAGGCCCTGTAGCGTAGCGCCATGGACCTCTTGGCGAACACAGCGATGCAGTTGCAAAAACAATTGGACCAGCCACCCACTTCTGCTGCGCGTTTGACACACACTTGCACGCGGCTCAAGACCACGTAGCTCGGGTGCAGGGTTCAGCCGCAGGAAGAGCCAGCCTTTGAGAGCGAATCATCCTGCGTGAGGCGAAACCTTGTCCCTATCAAGCATTAGCGCTCGGCGTGTACTTACGCGCCGTCCGGCCGGTTACTAGGTCCGCGCTTCTCAACTTGCAACTCTCATTGTCCGCAATAATCACCTTTCGCGCGAGCGCAAACCACGAAGAAAAAGCGAGCGGCCGACCCTAGGGCTTCTGAGTCACCACCGAGAGAGCGAGGCTAGCCGACGCTCGCACTCCGGCGAAGCAGAACTCGGAGTATCATACACTGCCAACGCAGGATATTCGCGAGCAGATTGTGGTCACACATCTAGCCCCTCTTCAGTCAAGGACATCCTAAGACCGCAAGCCGACCGCGCGATCAGAAACATTAGAACCTTGGCTAAAGAAGGCCGCGATCGTTTCATCAAGACTGCGAATGCCAGAGCTCAGGGTCAACAAGTTTCAGAGGTCCCGGGCAAAGTCTCGGGCGGCGTTCCAGGCGAAGTCCTGGATTCTGCGCCACAAGAGTCCGAGTGCTCGAGCCCTCGGGACTTCTTCGACAGTTTGCCGTTCACTAGTGTGGAGAGTGACGACTAGGATTATCAATCAGAAGGTCGATCTTGGACTGGGGATCTTTCACGATGCGGCTGGCGAGGAGAACGCGACACAGTCTCAAGTAGTCAATGCTGTGCCTGCTTCTCCCACGGATGCTCAGCAAACCAAGTCACCACGCTCGCCACGGTCGCCGGCGGAGAACCGCACGCCGCTGAAACGTAGCACATAAGGCGCATGCCCCCAAATTCGCCACCGTCTTGAACACTCAGCTTCATTCGACTTCGTGTTCCGTTGATAACGTCCCAGTCGAGCTCGAAGTCTCGTGCTGGGATGTTGTAAGTCCTTGCCAAGTTACCCAGGATGTCTCCTTCCAGTGTCGGCTTCCCTCGGCATCTTCCTCTAAATAGCCTTCACTAACTGATCGTCGTACGAGCAGAGGGAATTAGCGAAGACCGTCTGCGAGACACGAGCATAGGCCGCGGCGACCAGCCCCATCATATGTGGGAGCAGGCTGCAGCATTAGGCACGGGTTATCAAGGCACATGGAAAATCGTCCTGCTGAGTTCCAGTTGACCTTGGCTCATATCGAAGCTCGAGCGAGATCAGCATCGAGAATCTGCCAAGGACAGCAGTCCTGCACAATGCTCCCCTGTCACTCTTCGTAGGACCTTCGCTGGCACACGCGACCGACATATGACAATACGCTGTTGGCACAGTGAATGCGTACCCATGTCCGGGCGAAGCATCTTATTGACACTCCTGGTTGGCGCACGCCTCGCCCAACGCTTCAACGGTCGTTGCCGGCGTTTCTCTGGGAAGAAACCTTCGTGAGATCTCACCCATGGCTCTGAGTCGGACCAAGTACCCCATCCCCTCTCTCCTGCCTCTGTTTCCGCATCTCAAGGATCATGACACCTCCAGCTGGACCTTGCTGTCTCCCTGCTGCTCTGAGGCAGCTTTCTCCTCAAGATGAAAGCACGGTGCGGGCGGCCACTCACAGAAGCTTCCTTCAGCCCAGCAACTTCCCAGGAAGTTGCCCACAGGCTGAGACCTCGACACGCCACCCCGTGCCCTGGCCGAGAAGCTTCATGCGAGCCACCCTTGGCGCTGCGTTCATCACTGAGTGGCTATGCCCAGCAACTTCCTTGGAAGTTGGCTGCAGGTCGGGACCGCCGCTACGCCGCTCCCTGCGTCAACGGGGGGGAGGCTTCATGTGAGCCACCCCTGACTTGACGTCCATTGCTGAGTGGCCATGCCCAGCAACTTCCTGGGAAGTTGGCTGCAGGTCGGGACCACCGCTACGCCGCTCCCTGCGTCAACTGAGGAGAGGCTTCATGTGAGCCACCCCTGACTTGACGTTCATCGCTCAGTGGCATGCCCAGCAACTTCCTGGGAAGTTGGCTGTAGGTCGAGACCTTCGACACGCCACTCCCTACGTCAATGGAGGAGAGGCTTCATGCGAGCCACCCTTGGCTCTACGTTCATCGCTGAGTGGCTATGCGGAGCAGCTTCCTGGGAAGTTGCCTGCAGGTCGGAACCATCGCTATGCCGCTCTGTGCCTCACCTGAGGAGAAGCTTCATGCGAGCCACCCTTGCCACCAGCTGACCTTGGTCGGTTCTTTCATCTTCTCTCGTGTTCACCGGCATGGCATGTTCTCCAGCTTATCCGCGGCAGCCTCCTGTGCGCCTCATAGCAAGCCCGATATTGCCCCACGATCAAGCGGCACGAGGCAGTGTTCGTTGGCGAGGCTATCCGGTGGCGTTCGAAGTAAGCAGACGAGGGTTAGTGGCGAGACTTCAAGGAGGAGCTCGATAACTTCGTTGCACGGTCGAGTTGACCATTGCGGCTGTGCTCTCGGCGCCCGCTTTCCTCTGCCGTACTCTGGGATGGTGTGGTGTCAGGGGCAGGTCTATCACATTCTTGGACCTTCTGCGACTCGATGCTCCCAGTGAGAGGCACCCAGATGCTACACCGGATGCCTCAGCTCCAGGGATGTAGCCAGGGACCGACGCTCCAGCTTGCTCTTCGTCACGCCTCCAATGACTGATCCCGTGGGCACGTCTGGCTGGCGGCAGCTTCCTAGGAAGTGCTTCCCGAAGGCAGCGAGCAGCAAGGTTGACACGGGAGGCAGCCCTGCTGACCGAAGATGAGCCCTGCCGGCTCGTTGCTCATCATCCCGGACCGGTGACCGCAGTGACGCGCCCTCCACTGAGTTCTATAAGTAGGGGCTCGTCTCCCCCCGCTCAAATTCTCTCAGAACTCAGTCACTTCCGCATACAAACTCACCATCCACGCCTCCCTCTTGTCTCCTGTGTCGCATACCCTTTCTTGAGCCTATTTTACTCCGTGGCGCGGCTAAGATGTCTCCAATCGAATTCCTTAGGGCCCCAACCCTTGAGCCACTCACTCCTCCGCCAGAAGATGCATCCTCTCCGGCAGTTTTGGTCCAGCCTGAGACCCTGGTCCAGGTGCTCCTTCATCAATATCAACAAGACGAGGCGGTCAACGCGCTGAGCCGGGCGATTTCCTCCCTGGCCAAAGAGGAGCGGGAAGCCTTGCGCCTCGTGCTCCGACGCTTGGTCGCTGCTGAGAACCTCGCTTCAATGTTCAGTGGGAGCCTGTGCCAGGATTACAATGGGGGCGATGGTCAGCTGGCCTCCACGAGAGCCTCCATGGTTGAGTTCGAGGGTGTGCCAAAGACTCCCAGCCACGTCTTGAGGCCATCGACTCCGGCATCGTCCCCAGCCCTCGACAGTCACGAGGCGAACGACCAGATCTTGTCCTCAGACATTTTTTTCGGCCCTGACTTCTCTGATGAGCAGCCGAGACCCACAATCGAGACAACGGAGTCCTCGTTCCTCGACGTGACAAACTTGCAGGATCTCTCTCTGGGTGCCGCCTCAGGGGAGCTCGAGGTCATGAGCCTATGTGACAATGAGGATCTCGAAATCGCAGCTGCCAGCGCTGCCCAGCGCCTCAAAGCTTCGTCAGGAAAGACGACTTGTCAGAAGCCCCCAGCCTCCACCCCGGAGCCCGGACATTTGCCAACTCCGGACGCAACACCAAAGAGCGATGACGTCTCAGCTGAGCTGGCCCAGTCTGATAGCAAAACGGATCCGGTCGAGGTCGTCAGTCTAGGCGACGATGAGGATCTCGAAACTGCTGCTGCCAGCGCTACTCAGCATCCCAAAGCTGGAGCGTCAGGAAAGACGGTTTATCAGAAGCCTTCAGTGTCCGATCCAGAGCCGGAAGATGTGCCAACTTCGGACGCAACACCAAAGAGCGATGAAGTCTCAGCTGAGCTGGCCCAGTCTGATAGCAAAACGGATCCGGTCGAGGTCGTCAGTCTATGCGACGATGAGAATCTCGAAACTGCTGCTGCCAGCGCTGCTCAGCATCCGAAAGCTGGAGCGTCGGGAAAGACGACCGGCCAGACGCTCAAGGTTCCTGCCCTAGGTCCTGAATCCTCGCCAACCCCAGACACAACACCGAACCCGGACCCAACACCAAGCAAGAACCCCAAAACACGAAAGTCATTACCTCAAAATGGACAATCGACCGAGAAGCCCACCGCGAGGGATGGAGACTTGACCTATCTTCACGACGAGGACTTTGCGAAGGAGATGCACGCACGCGTGAAGTATCTCTCTGCACGAGCACAGCCTCCTTCCTCGTACAGCGCGATTTTGTCTTCACTTACGGAGCACGACCATGCGCCGACGAGGTCGTGGACTGATGGACAAGCCTGGAGCCGCGTGCTCGAGAACTCACTCAATGACCGTCGTCGATCTACGATCTACCACGTCCTAGCCGCCATTGCGTTCTTGAGGTGGTACGAGGTGCAGCAGAGTCTTGAGTGCGAAAGAGTTGGATGCAAGCCGCAAGAGGCTGGAACGAGAGTGTTGTCTCGGCTTTCGGAATCGGGCCCGCAGCTGTCAGATGACCTGCGCAAAAGGTGGAACACACATCTTACACGCGGGCGGAAGTGGGACAAGCTTTGCAATAAGTTTGGGCTAGGCACTCTCCTTGCAGATGCTTGGTAAGTCTACCATACTGCAGGTTGCTGCCCAAGATCTATTCTAACTGTCATTCTAGGTCATTCGGGAAGCAAACCAACAAGGCTCTGGAAGAATCCATTGCCCGGATTGAAGGAAGCGCAATGAAGCAGGCCATTCTCAAGGCAGCGGAAGTCGAACTCCGTGATCTCATCAGCCGGGGCCAGACAGATAACAAACGATTCGGGGAGGCTCTTGCGAAGCTTGGCTTCACATTCAACAAAGAGACGAAGTCGGAGTCACTCTCAGAGAAGATCACTAGGCTGCGAGAACCGCTTGGCAAAGTCTCCAAATCCGGCACAGTCTTTCTTGGGGACTTCCATTTTGAGGCTGAGTGTGTCAGCAGATTGAACACCGGCACGTGGTTCAATCAAGATCTGGTTCTCTTGGCGATGCACCTCGCGGACAAGTTGTCCAATGTCCGCGTCGGTTTCTCGATTCCAATTCATGGAGGTGGAGGCAAAGCCTTGGCCAAACCATTCGAGAGAGCCGCCAAGCAGGTGCAACAATGGACTGAGGAGGGGCAAGATTGCATCGGCTTCTTCCCTCTCTTCTTGAACGACAACCACTTCACTCTTCTCGAAATCGACGCGAAGAAGAGCAAGATCTTCCACTACGACTCCATGAACCTGGCAAACGAAGACGTCAAGGTAAGGCTGCGCGATGAGATCGAGTTGGACGCTGGGCTGACGATCTGAACAGAATGCCTGTCGAGCACAGTTCAGGGATTACATGTTCCACGCACAAGTGAGTGAGCCATGCTCGAACTTTCATATTAGGCCCGTCACTGACTTGCAATACGTAGACTGGTTTCATCCAGAACGATAGTTCCAGCTGCGGCCCTCTGGTAGTTGAAACCGCCCGCCTGAGGATGCTTGGAATGCCAGTCCCATCACAAAAACAAGGTCCAGGTGCCGAGGAGTTGAGAGTCACAATCTGTGAGACTATCACTAGGGCACTGCACAGCAATATCTTCAAGGCAGTGAAGTCATCAAAAAGAAAATCCGAGGCCAACCCGACAGAGACGCCGAAGAAGAAGTCCTTGGAGGGGAGTACGAACAAACGAAAAGCCGAGGTCGAACCGACAGAGACGCCGAAGAAGAAGTCCTTGAGGGGGAGTACGAACAAACGAAAAGCCGAGGCCGAACCGACAGAGACGCCGCCGAAGAAGTCCTTGAGGAGGAGTACGAACAAACGAAAAGCCGAGACCGAACCGACAGAGACGCCGAAGAGGTCCTTGAGACGGAGTATGAGAATTTGAACAGACCTGTCTAAGTACATGATGTATATATAGCAACTTAATCTTGAACACACGTTTGCAACATGCTTCGTCTTCCGCAGCGACCCTTGGGACTGTCCCCGCATTTCCTTCCACCCGCACACTTAGAAACAAATAAAGAAGAAGAGGGCTCCACCGACAATAACCGAGGCTGTAGACCAGACCACGCTGGCCATGTAAGCACCCTCCGAAATAACAGGAAGATCTAAAGTCGGGAACGAGGGAGCGGTGACAGTGGCACTAGGCGCAGGTGTGCTGCTCGAAGGGATGGACCCAGTAGTAATCCCGATGGTGCCCGGCGTGCCAAATAGACCCGTAGCGTGGGGCTTGTCGGTCATTGTGTGATTGGGGCAGAAGAATGGCGGCAGAACCGCCGCGCTTGTTGGTGTTGCCGTCACGGACGAAGTCGTTAGACCTCCCCCGGGCAAGTTGGTCCCCGGGTCAACAAGAGCGACTGTGATCGTTCCAATGTTGATCTCTAGCTCAAGAGCCTGCTTCGGTTCGCCTAAGCTCTGCCCGTGGACTCCTGCAAGGAGGAAGAGGAAAGGTAAGAGGAACAACATGATGCGCTGTGAGATGTACCATCGAATGCTATGGATCGTTGTTGGGTCAGGTGGGTTAATATATCGTCGCACCACGACATAACCAGACATTGGCCGGTTGCAGCATCAAGACAATATCGGCCGATGGCGGCTGGAAGCTCCCGAATTAACCATGCTAAATATAGATGTGTCAAGTGTACTGGTTCGCCAGAGATACCCGTACGGATCGGACTAGTCTGGAAACCCTACTGGTATGCCCTTACCAGTCTGGAAACCCTACTGGTATGCCGCTTACCAGTCAGCCTGCCATACCAGTCCTATTGACATGCCGTACCAGTAGGCTACGCATACCAGTGCTTGTCTGCGTGGATACTAGATCGGAAAGCTTACCAGCCGGGAGCGTACTAGTACGTATCACGTACTGGCATTGGGGATGCATTGTACCAGTACACGACACGAGCCGTACTAGTATTCCCGCATTCACCAAACATCTCAGCCAAACTGCCAGAGACCGGCTGCTTCGAATTCAATGCTGCGCGAGCTCCTCGGCAGCATGACATGACAGCTTTGCGGTATCGTTCGCGTGTCTTAGACGTTCAGGTTCCAAGTCTCTGAACTGCAGACCGTAGAATTGCATGCACTACGTAGGCACAGAGGTGGACGGGAGGCCACAAGCTGCGCGTGTCGGAAGTCATCTGTCCCCAATGGTCTTATCATCAAAGCATGATCTGTGCGCAATCATGAAAGCTTGGAGTCACCTAAGCGACGGCAAGCTTTTGCGGAACTCTTTCATACATCAGACGGCATTAATCAGAGATTACATGTGATCCTTCACCGTTATGCCGCTATTCGGAAGGGATCGCGATCATCATCATCACCATCATTATCCTACTGCATCATGCACCTTGGGACAAACGCTGTTTGGTGGATCATTGCATTGTTGCGTGGGCTACAGTAGTGACCGCGAACTGTGTCCGCTTTTCAGACTTTAGTTGATGTTCCCGCACGGACCATAAGACTGTGGCGTATTGTGGCGCACACTGTGCAGCCTGTCCCATATCAAGTACCCTCCAAAAGTGGATTACGGCATGACATGCAGCAGTTGGGGCTGTTTCTTCGTCACCCCATCTGCTGTAGTAGCCATCACGAATCGTCGGCCAATGTTCGCCATGCCCTTCGTAAGATGACGGCAAAGTATAACGCGACAAACACAATGCAGAGCATTAAAAGCCATTTTGTGCCTGTTTATAGGAATACTCGTGAAGTGAATATCTATAGTAATGACCACTGGATGTGTCCGGCTTTCGAAGTTACTGTAGTGGCTGTTTTCGCACGAATCAGCCAGGTGTGGCGTGCTATGGCGTGTTGCCTCTTAATAGTCCACGTCAGAAATAGACAGTATTCCAAGCAGCAGATGGCCTTCATAATGAGGTCGTTCGGTATGCGTCTCCTTTCAGAATTACCTTCCAGCCCTTTCGTTAAGGGGGTGGATGCGGCCAGATTTCATGTACAATAACTCCGGAAAGACGTCCACTCTCTCTTCAGTTGAGACTTTATGCATGAATAAAGCTGAAACTTGATTATCGTCCTAGATGCGATCCACTCTGTGGTACAGCAGACTCCCCGTGCTTCGTTCTCTAGATTTGCATGCTACTCATAGCCTTTATGAGCTTCTCGATGGATGCATGCCTGCTCATGGTAGTGTCCTTGTTGTGCCCTTAGTCATCGCCATCTGAGACTGGACTCTTGCTGTCCATATTCTCATTACACGATTCGAGTTGTATGTATGCATCCGCTAGCAGATCCACGGAGAGAACGCGCTCAGGGTCGTCCTCGGCATAAATGTGAGCTTCAACAGCCACGACATGCTCCAACATCTCGATTGCCTTCTTGATCCGCCGGTCGCTGAGGTATGCACTCGCAAGCTCGTGCTCCGATGATAGTCGAGAATGATCCTTCTCGTCCAGTGTCTCCCTCCACACCGCTACTACATACTCGAACATCTCGATCGCCTCCTTGATCCGTCGGTCGTCGAGGTATGCCCTCGCAAGCGCGTGCTCCGACGATAGTCGAGAATGATCCTTCTCGTCCAGTGTCTCCCTCCCTATCGCTACCACATGCTCCAACATCTCGATTGCCTTCTTGATCCGCCGGTCGCTGAGGTATGCACTCGCAAGCTCGTGCTCCGATGATAGTCGAGAATGATCCTTCTCGTCCAGTGTCTCCCTCCACACCGCTACTACATACTCGAACATCTCGATCGCCTCCTTGATCCGTCGGTCGTCGAGGTATGCCCTCGCAAGCATATGCTCCGATGCCAGTCGAGAATGATCCTTCTCGTCCAGTGTCTCCCTCCGTATCGCTACCACATGCTCCAACATCTCGATTGCCTTCTTGATCCGCCGGTCGCTGAGGTATGCACTCGCAAGCTCGTGCTCCGATGATAGTCGAGAATGATCCTTCTCGTCCAGTGTCTCCCTCCACACCGCTACTACATACTCGAACATCTCGATCGCCTCCTTGATCCGTCGGTCGTCGAGGTATGCCCTCGCAAGCATATGCTCCGATGCCAGTCGAGAATGATCCTTCTCGTCCAGTATCTCCCTCTGTACCGCTACCACATGCTCCAACATCTCGATTGCTTCCTTGATCCGTCGGTCGTTAAGGTATGCACTCGCAAGCTCGTGCTCCGATGATAGTCGAGAATGATCCTTCTCGTCCAGTGTCTCCCTCTGTACCGCTACTACATACTCGAACATCTCGATCGCCTCTTTGATCCGCCGGTCGTTAAGGTATGCACTCGCGAGCCAAACGTCAACATTCTTCTCAGATGACCCTTGCCCTATATCGCCTTGTTTTTCCCAATGCCAGATTTCTTCAAAGCATCGTATTGCTTCTTTAAACCGGCGGTCGGTATGCATACATCTCCCAACACTGAATACGAGCTTATATCGCTTTACTGTATTCGAAGCCTGAGTGTCATGAAGAAGTCGTGTCGCGTGTGGCATACACTCCCGCCATAGCTTACGATTTGCGCTGTCGTGCGAAGGGAATATATCTTGGAGATGACGTATGGCATTGTGCGCCACCAGCTCTTGCCGATCCTGCTTCTTAAGCCATTCCCGCGTGGCCAAATGCACAAGACTATGCATATCGAATATGTCGTCGGTTCCTCGCCGAACGAGAAACGAGTATCCACAAAGGGTGCCAATCGCCCATTCAGTCTCCTCTGACTCTGAGCTTGGCATGACCCATTGCGGTATCGCCTTCGGCTCAATACATGCCGTGAACGAGAGCAGATCGGCAGCAATTGGGTCGGACTTCAGGATCTGTTCGAATGAAACAATCCATGTTGTGGCTACAGCGTTAGGCGAGTTCCGATATCTTGCGCTGTCGCGGAATTCTCGACTGAAGAGTCGAACTGCGTCTTTCTCGGCACCTTGTAGTAACCCTAGGTATTTGCGGATTGGTAGCTTGGTCTGATTGAGATATGCTGCTGCCTGGGTGATTGCGAGCGGAAGATAGGTCAGCTGGATAAGAAGATCTTCCACTAGTGCTTCGTCCTGGGGTGTCTGTCCCTGCGTGAGAGACTTCTTGAAAAGTAGTGTTGCCTCCTTCGGGTCCATTGCTTCAATGTCAACAATACTGGTCTGTGCAAACTGCACAGCTACCTCTCTCGAACGCGACGTCAACAGTATCAACCCGTTCTCGCCCTCAGGAATGTACTCCTCGATACCAGCCTTATCGTCAGATCCGAAGAAGAGCTCCTGGTCGTCAGCGTTGTCAATGACTAACAGCCATTCGCCGCTTTTGTCCGAGCTTAGATACTGGCAAACCAGTTCCTTGACATCTTGCTCGTCCGATTTCTGCTGGACGCCTAGCTTCTTGGCTATCTCGACGTACGCATGTTCTACGCTGCCATAACTCAGGACTGGTACCCAGAAGATGGAACAGTCGGGTCGGCTGGCTTTGATATCGTATGCAAACCGTAGCGCAATCTGTGTTTTGCCGATGCCGCCTAGACCAACCAGTGCCATCCGACGGGTTTCCTGTCGTGTCAAGAATGCTTGATTCAATGCGTCCAGGACGGTTTCTCGACCAGTAAAGCGGGCGTTTTCAGGAAGCTGGATGTGATAGCATGGAAGAGCAGATTCTGCTAATAGTCAGCAGTGGTCTAGGTGGAGGTATGCTGGCCTCTGGTAGTACTTACTGTTAGATCCTACGATATTCGCAATGTCATCTGTGTGGCTCGTACTTCTTAAAGGAGGTATCTCCCTCAGCACGGCTTTCGCATACGCAGCCGCCATCGCCGCTGCGTACGGCTGCCACTCTTTGTTTTTCTGCTGGTCGCCATAGTCGCACACCCCCCGGATGACTCCTACGGGTATTCGGTTCATCGTCCCTGCCGCCTCCATCTCGAGGCCAATAACCCCGTACTTGTCCCTGAGCTCGTTCCGTCTCTGCGCATTTTTCAATAGCTTATCTCCCGATCCGATCGGCCCGTACCATACTTGTGTACGGGCTGAGTCTGGTCGTTGGACTCGTTCGACGAGTTCGTCCGGTCTGCCCTCGTTTGTCGAGTAGAGCCTGTCGCGGTCTTGCCCAGGGTCCATGAAGGTGCCGTTAGCGTGCTCCCGGTCACGGATCTTCTCGTAGTAGGGAAGGAAGATCGCGGCATCGTTTGGTGCTTGGATTTTGATCCTCCCGATTGCCGACCGCACTATCGGCTTCGTCGTGGTCAAGACGTGTCCGTACCGTAGGGGTTGAAATCCGTCGTCGGTCTCTTTGCCGAGATCGTACGCGATGATCCCCGCTCTCTCGCCCTCAGGGAGACTGACCAGCACATCGCCGAGGCGGATGTCGCGGGGTGGGTTACAGGATAGGTCTGGCAGTCCCGCCGCGACGCCAACCAGTAGTCCAAACCAGTGATGGGGAAAGCACTTGAGAATCTGGCTTGCGAGTGCTGCCGCCGACCCTGTGCCATACTCCTGGCCAGCTGGGAAAGTCGCTATGACGACATTGTGGCCGCACATGCTACCCGCGTGGAACACGTACTCATCGCCATGATCCACTGCAAATCGGCCTTGGTGTTGCTCGTCGAGCATATATAAGGCGGCCTTGGCTTCGATCTCGAGGGGTGCAATCCAGACGACAGCATAGTCCTTGGGGTCGAGGATAGCTGCGGGATCACCCTGTGATGTCGCCATCCCGTCTAGTCGAGAAGGAGGTGGCTTTTAGCGCGTAGTTGACAGACAGCACTCCCGTCCAGCGTCCATGCTGACGATTACCTCTGGAAGGTGCCCGACCACAGCGCTGTGCAGCCTTGGATCCGCTTTGCAATCCTGCCCGAAAGTGGGGTGGGGTCCTCTTTACCCCGCTTCAACGCCACTGAAGACAACCATTCAACGATCCTAGTTCCACGATGAGCCTTTCACCTCCGCAAAAGCGTTCGGCACCATCTACATTGCTGCTGCATTCGAGGGATCTTCCAACCTCTGGTCCTGGGCCGCAGTAGGAATTGTCCGGAGTCTCTGCGCCGCATGATGATTTGTGTGAGGATTACTTCCTGATAAGCATATGTAGAATAGCCATTCACTATCAAAGTATCCTGTACTGTATAAACAGACACAAATTGGGCTTTGATGCTATGTGTTATGTTTGCCACCTCATACTTTGCTGTCAGCTTACGAAGGGTATGACGAAGATTGGCCCGATGATTCGCGATGGCCACCACTGCAGATGGGGCGACGAAGAAACAGCAACTGCTGCATGTCATGTTGAAATCCACTTTTGGAGGGTACTTGTTATGAGACAGTCTGCACAGTGTGCGCCATAATGCGCCACAGCTTATGGTCCGTGCGGGAACATCAACTAAAGTCTGAAAAGCGGACACAGTTCGCGGTCACTACTGTACAATGCGTCATCAATCGATAACTGGCACTCGCTCAACCCCTCAGTCGGCTCCTCACTCCCCGCTTTCGACCCCTCACGTTGCCCTCCACCGTCACCCAAACCCCTACCCTGGCCCCCCAAAGCCCCAAGCTAAAAATGGCGCGTTTCTATGGTCCGCCGAGGCCACTCTCACAAGATGCGCCACATTTAGGCTCAGGCCCGACCTGTTCCTGGAGGGCCCCTTGCAGAGCCCCTCACAGGCCCCTTGCAGGGCTCCTTACAGGACCCCTCACATAGCTGCAAGACCTTATCGGCCATTGGATATCACCGGCGTAGGTCACCCGTGAAGCAACCAGGCCACAATCATCCTATCCGAGCTTAGCATGACTTGGCTGCGAAGCGACACAGCGCACTTACACCAAGCTGCGTCCAATGAGCCATGTGTAGCTTTGCTTGCACACCCACCAAAGCAGGATTAAGGCAATCCCAAGGATCGCCATGTATAGACCAGGGCTATATGCAACAGACCGCAAAAGTCTACGGCACCTGTCGCGATCAGCCAATCCAAGGCGATTGACCAGGGTGGTCAATGCTGGATTGATGACAGAGAGCACCACATAGAGGGCTTCGAAAATAGACACAACCGTCGACTCCAGCAGGAGCTGGCTGAGTGTTGTGGGGTCGAGTGGTTCCGTGTTGCGTCGTGAGTCGGCCATTGTGATACGTTGATGGATGCGTCGTTGTCTGCCCAGTGCTGAGAGCAGGAGGTGCGAGAGGATGACCCTTTATAAACTCGTGTCGTTGTGAAGTGACGGCCACTTTCGTCTTCGTACGGTTCCGCACCATACACACCTGAGCGCCAGCCGATCAGGTTCTTGCGCCACGTCTACAACATTCTGAGTAATCGCACAGCCCGACTGGCCCATGGCACGATGGATGCTCCCGAATTCTATGCTATCACGCTAGGCGCCATCCCGCTGGCGTTGATTCTGCGTTTTGCTGTTATGGCGGTCAGCAAAGCACGTCTACGCAGAAACGGCGATGTGCGCTACTTCCTGAAGGCACCACTCCCCGCATGGCTTTCTGGGCAGAGCATAGTGCCTCGATACGAAGTCGCCATCTTCTTGGTGTTTTTCGCCGCAAATGGGCTCTACGTCGCTGTCAATAACCGCAGCTCAGGGGAAGCAACGAAACGCCTAGGCTCGATTGCCATGGTCAACCTCGTCGCTGTCTCGACCGGGGCGCACATGAACCAGCTCGTTAGCAGCTGCGGCATATCACCTGGGCTCTATCACCGCTTGCACACTTGCATCGGCTTGACTTTAGTTGTCGAGGCAACCGCGCATATCGTTCTTCAGGTCAGGCAAGGACTTGAGTTTCGTGAGCAACTGAGCGGGATCGTTGTAAGTGCCTGCCCCTTGTCGGACGGCTTCTCTGACAAAGCCTTAGGCCGCAAGTCTTCTTGGAGCAACCTTCATCGTCTCCGCGCTTCAGAGAAGACTCTTCGAGGTCTTCTCCACGCTTCATACAGCCTTCGCCTTGGGCAGTGTCGCAGCCTTATGGTTGCACTTGCCAGCCACGCGTCTGACACAGCCGCCCAGAGTCTACCTACTTGCGACAATTGCTCTGTTCGTATTCATAAAGGTACAGAGGGCGCTTCGCGTCGCATATCGTTCTCTTTGGCGTGATCGGCGGTGCGATGTCGATCTCCACCAGTCGCACGATGTCGTGCAGATCGATGTACATCTAACACGACCCATGGAAGTCCGGGCGGGCCAGTTCCTCTACTTGACTGTCTTGGGCTTTTCTACTTTCTCATTCTTGGAGTCGCACCCCTTTCAGATTTGCTGGACAGAGACAGGTGAGGGTGGCCGGCAGGATATTGTTGTTCTTGCTCGGCCACGGCGAGGATTCACGCTGAAAGCATCTGCCAAGACTAGGCAACGATACCGTGCTCTAGTGGACGGCCCATATGGCACTACCATATCGCTTGGCCAGTACGGTACGGTCCTGCTCTTCGCGACTGACGTTGGCATCGCCGGTCAGCTCACGTACGTTCGAGAACTATTACGTCTGTACCAACAATGCATGGCCAAGAGTCGACGGATCGCGCTCTATTGGGAATTGGAAGCAGAGGGTATGTCCCGCGATGCTTTCACTCCGAATGACGCTGACGCCTCCGAAAGAACACAGGTTCTGGGTAAAGGAATGGATGAACGAGATGCTTGCTCTTGACACAGATTATGTGAGTTTCAGACACAGATGCTCTAAAGCGGTCATTACTTACATAGTCTAGATTCTTGACATTCGACTCTTCATCAGAGGAGACTATCTTTCTCAACAAACGTCTCAAGGGACAGTGCAGCAGCTGGGTTCGCATAACCGCATCACTCTTACCTACACTAGCATGGACCCCGAGAGCATTATTCAGACAGAGCTCTCAACTCGCAAAGGGAGGACCCTCGTCTCTCGTATGGCCACACTCCTCTGTATTTCGATATTCTCTTGCTAATACTACCTCTGTCCAGTATGCACAAATCCCAAAATCACCCGAGCCGTTTTGAGAGGAAACATTTGGGCCGACGACGTCGACGTGAAAAGGTTGGACTTCCAGCCGTGGTCGTCTTAACACGTGTGTGTGTGTGTGAGGGGGGGGGGGGGGGGGGGGGGGGGGCAGCAGCAACAATGAAGCATGAAATGATTCCTGATGCCTTGAGTCAACGCTACATCCTTTTAGACCCAATATATGCCATGAGGTCGAGCAGATCTGGGAAAGCAAGCCAGCCAGCCAGTAGTGTAGCCTGCTAGTCCACATTATTGTTCTCTCATTGACCGGTCAATGTCATTCTGTCCCCTTTGGTACGTGCTGATAGCCATGTGTAACCTCTCCGCAATGTATTTGAGCTCAGCACATAAGTCATCACCGAGCTGTGCTTTGGCTACTTTGTACGCCAACTCGTTCCGAAGGTTTCCAACTTCTCGCGTCCTTATCTCGACAAGCTCTTTGAGTGAAGGCGTCGGTGCCTTCTTCATCGCTTGAAGATGCTCTCGCGTTGCCTCAAGTGCAATTGTAGTGCCGTTTTGTTTCTCAATGCGACGGTCGAATTGACATGGTTTCGGCGGGTTATCCATATTTGCGCATTGAAGCAGGGGAAGATCGGAAGACACAGGTGAAATGCGTAGCCAGTGGCTGCTTCCTGTACTCGCCTGACGACCTGGCCTTCTGAGGATTAGCCTGGTGGACTTAAATGGACGATGCTGTCAGAGGCATGTTTCTAATTATAGCTGCGCAGATGAAAATAGATGAGGCTCTGCCGAAGCTCGTCCGGATAGGGAGCTTTCCGTTCACAATCTGTCACAGCCTCATTCGTGCTGCCATCCCAGAATCGGCCACGGTCACGATATGGCCTGCCTGCTTCTGCTAGACCGCCTTCTGGTCTGCAATGCGCTTCTCATATGCGGTTGGCCCGAACCGGCCTGCTTCAAGCCATTTACGTCCTGTGTACGGTTGTGTCCAGCGCGCTGTTATAAAGGAGAGACTTGCCGTATGCCAGGGATAGTCGATAAGCTCTGTGTCTCTGACGCTATATCTCCCGCCCCAAACAAACATGTCTCCGTTCTCTTGGGATGCCCCCAAGGTTGATGTTCAATCAAAACCACAGTTCGACGCAGAAACTTCGGATAATCAACCAGAGCAGAAAGGTGACGAAACCGCACCTGGACCAACCTCTGGCTATAAGCCGCCCGCAATAGAAGCCGCGCCTAGCGATGGAACTGCATCTGGATCAAAATCTGGCGATAAGCCGCTCGCAATAGAAGCCGCGCCCAGCGATGGAACTGCATCTGGATCAACCTCTGGCGATAAGCCGCTCGCAATAGAAGCCGCGCCCAGCGACGCAAAAAACTCGGGAGACCAACAGATGTCTGGCAGCCACGATACTGCAAAACTCCAGAATGCTATTCAACGAGGCATCAACCTAATGGTTGCTGAATCGCGCTTGGAGTTTTGGGGCGATACTCCAAGGGATCCACAGTCTGTGAAAGCCACCTGTGAGAAACTGAAGGACGATGAAAACATCAAGGCAACCATGATTCCGGGTATTCTTGACGAATATAAAAAGGACGATAGTACTGAAGACGGTGTTGCAAGTGCTAAATCCAACCTTGAAGAGTCCGTAAAAGACATTGTGGATAAAACAGTATCGGCGATCATTCAACAATTCGATAAAGACTGGCAACGAGCTGTCGACCCCACCAGCGAACAAAATCAACGGAAAATACGCAGAGTCCTCAAAGAACACAATCATAGCGCCACGCCCTGGGACGTGCTTGGAGTCAAACGCTCCGCATCACCTAAAGAGATCAAGGCTGCACGCAATAGGCTCGCCCTTCGCCTGCATCCAGACAAGAATACCAACAACCGAAGTGATGCCAATGCGGCCTTGACAGGTTAGTGTTCTTAATGCAAAGTTCAGATAACATGACTAACTCACCCTCAGCCATCAACCAGGCCTACGACATCCTTAAGGATCCGGAGAAAACAAAAATGTACCTTCAGTTCTTGAAGGATCAGGAGCCGGAAGAAGTTCCTGGCGAGGAGTTCGCGCCGAATGCTTTTGACGATGGTGACGACGACGATGAAGATGACGTGGACTCAGAGGATAAGATGGATGAATCCGAAGAGTCACAGCCACCACCTGACGCATCCGTCAAACAACAGCATGAAACACTGACTCCTCACATCAAGGAGTTTTTCCTTGATCTCGAACGAGTAGGCGCGGCTCGCGCTCTGGACCAACCTTTGAAGCTGTGCAACGATGCGATCAGAGAAACGAACCGCTCAAAGAGTGGTATACCTCCAAAGAGTGGTATACGTCCAGATGCATACACCGTAGATAAGATGCTGCTCATGACAATACGTTTCGAACAGCAAAGAATCGCGAAGAACTTTGAAGTCGGCCTGACGTCTCGAGAGGACATTGCGAGGATGGTCACTAATTTTGGCCAATATGCCGAGAAGGTCATGACGCGGCCGATCCACCAATGGCCAACTACATGGGCTAGTCTCATATTGGATCCCCTCACGACAAGGCTGTCTGAACTTGATAAAAACCTCGGACAGTTGGTTCACCAAAACGCGTGCCAAGAGCTTTCCGCGCCCACACCACTAAAACTCGAGCTCGTTCACGAACCTGGCCTCACGGTGAAGGGATACATCATCCTTGGCTATAGACCAACGCTCCATTGGAAGCAACCAAGCAGTTCGAGGTTCTTCGTCAAGGTCCCGAAGACGGGGAAAATGCTAATGCAATCTGAATCTGAAGTGGGAGACCGCGCTGCACTCCTATATCACCAGATGGAAAACAAAAACGACATTACCGTACATGCCAGGCGCGAGAAAGGCACTATGGCTCTCGAGGAAATTCGCGACGTGTGCTTTGGCGAAAGTAACGACAAGGAGAAATGTCCGCCAACTTGGATCTGGCTGAAAGAGAAAGACTCGGAGGACAACATCATTCTGACCTATTCCGATCTCTGTAAACAAGCCGGGAAGAATCTTACGGATCAGATTTTGGACGACTTCTTCGTCCAGAACAAGATAGTGCCTCCCTGGAGCCCAGGAGCGGTGGCCCAGAAGCCAGCTAAACAAGCATTGGTTCACGCACGACCAACTCGCAACAACAAGCAGCTCGTCCTGCGACAGTTCGGAGAAGTCACTCCTTATAAGGCCAACCAGCCGGCTTCCACTCAAGGGCTTCAGGCACCAAACCAGCCCAATGCTCCATTCCAGATGAACGACTTGTTGACGGCACTGGTTGGAGAAATGAAGGAGGCTAGAGAAGAAAGGAAGGCGAATCGACAACAAATGATGGATATTCAACAACAAATGGCGGAGACTCAGAAAGCAACCAACGCCCTAGTGCAGCTGATCATGTCAAAGATGGAGAATGGTAAGTGACAGAGTTTAGTTGTCGAAGTAGAACAGTTTCATTCAGGCAGGCCTGAAGGTTTCCCGAGACAAGAATCAATACGTTTTTGTACCTGAGAAGACAAGACCTGCCAATATGCAAGCAAAAAGTGCCCAAGGAGGTTGGAGAAGAGGTCATAGTTCTTTTTCGACGTAGACTGGAACCCTGGAGGACACTTGTTGGCGGACAATGATCTCTGGCACGAATGTCCAACCCTCCTCGAGAACTGGGGTTCTCCACTCCACTGCATATGTTCCGACGACTTTGGAACGACAAGACGGGCAGACACGACCGGCTGGGCCACGCAAGGCGCGAAAAAAACATTCCTTGCAGAACACATGGCCTGAAATGGTTAGTGACGGAAATTCCAGAATGTAGGGTGACTCCTTACCACAATCAGCAATCGTCGGTTTGATAAACGAATCGGAACAAATCTCGCAGGCATACTGCCAGCCGAATATGCGCTGGCGGGGTTGATTCTCCTTCGAGGCACATGAGGTGCACATTGCCTACGCTTGTCAGCTCGACAAAGCAACGTCGCCGTGATATGTACTCACGAACGAATATCCATGCACGGCATAGATTGTGTCATCTGGTGTGAAGTAGCAAAGACACTTGCGGCACAATGACCTCAACTTTTCCTCGAAGATGACATCCTGGTGGCCGAGGCGCACAAGGATCACCTCGGTTGTGGGCAGGTCAATTGTGCAGCGTTGGTGAAGCTCCATCGCGGAAGCCCAGTGAGGGATGCCCATGAGCATGAGCATTGTCGCGTGACAGTTGAACGCCGTAAAATCAACGCAACGAGCGCGACTCGAAAGCTCACCACCTCTTACTAATTATACCAGGTTTTCCGGTGAAGAAAGAGGAACCAGAATAAAGATAGAACAGAATCATGATCACGATCACAGGCCTGTGACATCGGATCCCTGCGCATCAGGCCTGGCTCTCGCTGTGAGGGGCCTGTAAGGGGCCTGTAAGGGTGCCAGTGGCAAGTTCGCCGCCGTGAGCGGCTCACGCTCATCAGGGTTTCATCAGCTCCCCAATATAGAGCGAATCGCGAGCACGATGAGCGCCGATGCATGATAACCTGCGAGATCTCGCGTCTCTTATCACGCCTCGCAAACTGGCGCTGGAAAGAGGGTGGGAGAGCCCGGGTCCTCTGGAGGGGTCGGCCCCCCATGCGAGGTAGTCTCCATGTTCTATTGGCTACATCGGAACTTCCGGCGGAAATCGCTAGCGACACGGTTCATGATCGCTTCAGAGCCTGTAACTCAGCCCCAATAGTTGGAGAGCACCATGTTCTTCGTATGCAGTTGGTTGTGATGCTAGTATGGCGAGAGTTGCATCAACCAGTAGAGTTCGTGCTTGGTGTGACCTACAGGGATTCAAAGAACTTTGAACGTTGGCTTTCAGTTGATTGGTCAATGTATGCTCTGCGTCACAGCCTATTGGTCCGGCGCTCGCGCCGCGCAGGTACGACGACCAACATGCACTCCAGCTTCAACCCACTGTTACCAGATTCCCGGGCCACAAGGCGCAGCTGCATGCACCATTCGATTGACGAGCAGAGGTGCGTTTAACGCGCTTAAATGCCCAATCACGCTCGTCAGAGTGGAACGTTGTGCATGGTTGAGTCTCACGAAGTCGGCCTCTATTGCCTACAAACACTCAGCCTTACTACTGCAGATCTTCGTCATTTCTTTCAGTTAAGCTTCGAGATGGACAATCAATCATTCCCCCGTAGCGACAAATCAGATCTCCTGCACACATCCTGCAGCGATCCTATGTCTGTGGACACGAGGCAGACTTCCTCCAGCTCGGGCGGGGATCTTGAGTATGACACGATCGTTCAGACTTTACTTTTCGACGAGAACCTCAGTTTACCCGATTCGATCCAATTAGTCCCTGTGGAGCCATCTGACCTCAATGTGGATGCTTACCACAGTGGGATGGATCCGCCCATGCCGGCAGCGGTTCCACAAGGCTACATGGCCATCGGCACCCTTCTTCCGCGCAACTTCAATTGCAGGTTCAAAAATTGTTCCAGAAGCTTCACAAGGGAGCATCACCGCAATAGACATGAGCAAACGTCAGTCAACTCCAAAAACTGTTCCGCTATGAGGCGGTAGTGGGACTGACACAGGTACTCCCAGCGTCCACGAGAAAAGGCGAGACTTTAAGTGCAATATTTGCAATAGGCGTTTCGGTCGAAACGACAATTTACGGGGGCATATTAGTCGAACCCATAGCAAGGCCAAACGCTCAGACGACAGTCCTGGTCGTTGTCCACCTTTGGGGTCTGCTTCACATCGCCGCGGACCCTCTCCACCTCGAAGGAGTGCCGAAGAGACGGTGGAGAGTGAAATGCGCCGAATCGCAGGCCTGGCTTATGGCATGGTACTTCATGGTGAAGCGACGCAAGACCCATGGAATTCGTCGCACACAAGATTCTCTTGTAATCCCAGAGGGTGAGTGGATGTTCTCTGACCGTTCCGTCACCTATCGGCGCGCTGCGTAGATTATCCACCCTTCAATGAGCTGGGATGCAAAGGACTAAGGGGCGACGCCTTCGGGGCTTGGGAGGCTCATGCGCACAGAAACAATGCTTACGGGAGAACTTGTGGTAGGTTGTTGCAACTGGGAGCGCCGCCCCACGAACAGTTGGTCTGTCGCGAAACCTTGTGATCTCCTCATGCGAGCCCGGTTCGGCCTAGAGCATTTCAGCACCTGGATGAAAGGCAATCATGCCACTGGTGGAGGCAATTGCGTCCAGGCAGCAGAGCGGCGCCTCAGAGCCTGGGTTGTGGAAATGCTTATTGTAGGCGCCGAGAACATGTTTCAGTTGTCACTTTTGCAACTGCCTTTCATCCACGAGAACGTGCTAGTAGAGTCAAGCTGAAGGGGCAGGCCTACACTTGCGTCCCTCTGCCACCGAGTCACCAACTTCCTGGGAAGTTCTCACCCCACGCTCCTCGATTTCCCCACGCCTTCTTGGCATCCTTGCTCACCCACTTGAAAATGAGATCAGCACCCCGCATAAGATCACCGAAGTCATGCTGGGAGACCTAAAGATAAATGGCTTAAATCCGCCCACTTTTGTACTTGCGTCAGAGTGCCGCCTGCGGTGCAGCACGATGTGTACACCTTCAGACCGACCTCAGTTGGTAGTGGACATATGGTGGTCTATGGCTGTCCAGATAGCGCACATTAGTGCACCAACCCCGCTTAGACGCCCCCAAAGGCACCTCACTTAACCACTAAACGACGCCAACGGGGCGGGTGGTTTTTCTAGTCCAAACTATGAGGAGAACTCTCCGCCCGACAATGGGAGACTATCAATGACTTAGCAAACTTGCATCAGAGCCACCTCTGCCCGAGTCAAATTATGTACCCCAGCGTAATGCAGGTTGTTATTATGGATGGCAAAGTAATGCTATTTATGTAATTATCGCGCCTATAGACGCTGTCGTGAGAATTAAGAACCTGTCTAGTTGAAGAGTGCTTCAAGCAGTCCTCGGTTGCGCCGTCGTGGGTTTGCAGCTGCGCTGCCCGGCCCGTCCTCAAATCCCACCTAGTCCGACGATGTGGAGAGTTGGCTAGTGCAGTTATTTGCCTCCGCGCTTCGAGGTCGCGAAACGTTCGCTACACCTTGCCACTGAAATTGCCCAGAGTCCATCCTGTCACCAAAGCTCCGAAGCCGTCGTACAAGCACACGATGATCATGTCGCGTTTCCCCTCTTTCTCGAGCCCTGAAACGAATAGCAGTCGGAGCATGGAAAGAACAGCAAGGAACAGGCGGACAGGTACGCTTGCATGGACCAGCTGGTTCGACTCGATAGGTGTGCAGACACTTGTGACCAAATAGGAGGAACCGAGAGCCACGAAAAGGATCCCACGCAGGCCGTGATCGGTAGTCTCGTACGTTGTATCTGCTGCCGCATTAGCGGTATCTGTTTTCGCACTTTTGTCGGGACTTTGACGAGGTTGCGGGGAGGCAATGATATCTTTGAGTCCCAGGCCTATCGTCACGGCTATGTGGACAACCATTATAGGTGGAACGTCGATAGAGCTGATGATGGTGGTTAACAATGTCGAGTCATCCTGGCAACCCATCCTTACAAAGCCACTATCGGGGACTTGGTGTTGTTTGGTATTGGGTCGTGTGAAGATGCGCATTATTGAGTTCCAAAGAGCACATGTAAAGCCGATGTACTTGATATTCCTGACGAAGAGCTTATATTCGCAAAACCCGTGAGGCTGGTGGTGTGAGGGTCATGGAGAAAATGCAGGGATAAGAGCCAGTACGATCTGTCTTGTTTGGGGATACTTTGTTTGCTACGTAAATAAGCAGCTTCTTTGAAGTATAAGCGATCGTCACGGTTACTTGCTACTCCCGCTTGAGTAAGGGGTGTAGAGGTACTTCGACAAGCACTAGAATCATATGGGCCGCCCTATTACTGGAGCCTTATGGAGTTTGTGAACAAAGGGAGTGATCACGAGAATTAATGGAGTACCCTTACAGGTACCCTTACAGGTACCCTCACAGGTACCCTTACAGGTATCCTTACAGGTACCCTTACAGGGCCTGGCGATTGACGAGCCCAACTAACAGAAGGAAAGAGCCGCCGCCCAGCTTCGCGAGACACAAAAAGACTACGAAGCAAACGGGAAGTGCATTTCCTCAATCCAATTCTTACTCACTCTCAAAATCGGCCGTCAGACATCCCACATCACCAGGCGCGACAGTAAATGGCGTCCGCACACCGTCTCCGAATTCCGCCCAAGGAGCCGCACAGAGGGCAGGGAATGGAAGACGACGCGTCCGGGCCCGATGAGACAGGACGCCCGGCTCTTGTCTCGTTCGATGAGATGCCGGGATGGTTTCGACTCGACAATAACCAGTGGGTTCTTCACGGTTACCGGCCCTTATCGGGCTCGCTTCGGGCCTCGTTCCGCAGTTGGTGGTACCTCCATAACGAGACCGTCAACATCTATTCCCATCTCATTCCGGCAATTGTTCTCCTCCCCGGCGAGTGGTATATCTTGCAGTACCTTGCTAGCAAATATTCCAGAATTACCAGCACCGATATTATTACCTTCTCGTTCTTTATACTTACGGCAATTATTTGCTATACATTTTCGGCTCTTTATCATACTTTAATGAACCACTCTTACGAGGTAAACTATTTCTACCACCGACTAGATATGCTCGGGATAGGGATCTTCATAGTCGGTGATATTATCCTGGGAGTCCACATAATCTTTCGGTGTGAGACTACGCTACGTAACATTTATTGGTCTATGGTTAGTTAGTCGATTTCTATAAGCTCGGTTTTCCATATACTAATACTATATATATCGGTTAATAGATTGGGGTTTTCGGGGTATCAACTATTATCGCGAACACCTATCCTAAGCTCCAGAGCTATGAGTATCGCTCTATACGAACATTAGCGTTCGTAGCGACTGGCATGTCCGCTGCGGTACCCTTAATTCATGGGCTCAATATGTTCGGGCTGGATTTAATGAACAAAAAGGCCTTTACTTATACCATGGTAGCAAAGGTAGGCTGCCTTCTACCTGGAACTGGGCTTTATATAGTAAGTTTTCCATTTTACCTATGAGGACGATCGATCCTAACGTACGTAATTCGAAAGATAAGGTTTCCCGAAAATTGGTGGCCTGGAAAATTCGACATGTGTAGCTCCCACTCATTCATGCATATCCTAGTGGTTTGCGCTACTATTATTCAGATGATAGGGTATCTGGAAGCCTTCGACTATACTTACTCAAATATTACCTGCCCGGCCTCTTGAGTTACTAGCTTTTGTAGAGCCTCTAACCACCGGACCGAGCGGTGACCTTCCAACCTGGGTAGCGCTATTGGAGATTCTGGCAGCAAGGTGCTTTAGGGAGCTAGTAGTGTTGCCATTGATAACGAAGGAAAGAATACTCATTTTAGGGACCAGGATTCGTCAGCAATGGCGGGGAGCGCTTAGAATTGAGGGCGTGGCAGTGTGTCAATGGTCTGTTTTGTTGTTTTGACGTTAGGTTCTTTTCTGGGAGACATCCAAGGGGATCAGCATATGCCTTGCCTGCTGTGTGTCTTGTTCTGTGTTTCTTAATGCTTCGCGAGCCGGAGGGTGATGCCTGGACTCCAACGGCACCTCCGAGTGCTGCAGTCGGCACAAATTCGTGTAAGTCTAGGTCGTTTGTGGTGTCGACGCCGGGCGGAGGCACAGAACAACGACGGTAATTACTCGGCGGCAGACACAGCTCGGCAAGCCGGGCCAGGCCCTTCGATACCCTAACAGCTTTGCTCCACAGGCCCCCTTGCACCCGGTCCCTCCCCTCGCACATCGTGTCTTAGCAGCAATCTTTGTTTCAGAGCATATACCAACAACATCCAACCTCAACTGGGACACGGGCTTCTCATGGGGGTGCATCTTGATATAGAGTGACTTGCTGGTGCTAGGGCTCACCTCCGCTACAAGGACCAGAGCTAATAATCCTGCCTATGTGCCTGCTAACGATCGTGTCACAGTCCGCCAGGACTTTCCCTCTGCCAGCTGCCAGGACGCTCCTCAGCGTCACCCCGAGACGAGCACGATCGCGGGGCCACGGCGAGATGCCGGCCTGCTCGAGCGCTAAAGCATTTGCCCTGCCGTGGCCTGGTAGTGGATTGTACGTAACAGTGGGTAGGCCAGACATCATGGCCTCCCAGATTGCCATCCCCCCAGCATTGTGCACCATGACGTGGGAGACGGCAATGATCTCAGCAATGTCTTCCCGCCAGCCCAGTGCTGTCGCCTGCGAATATGGTTTCAGTTGCTTTCGTAACTTGTCATTCCTCCCACAGAGAACCAGAAGCCGAGCAGTGTCCATTTCTCTGAGAATATCTTGCACAGTGCCGACGATATTACCGATGCCCAGCGACCCAGCAGCAAGTATGATCACCGGGTCTGTGGAGCAGAGCCTGAGGCTTTCTTCTAGTCTGCAGCGAGTGAGATCGTGTATAGGCTCTCTGAACTGCGGCCGGACCAACGGCGCTATGACAGTAGCACCGTGTCCATAACTCTTACAAGCCAGGGCTGCTATCCTGGCAGGTACGAGATTCAGGCTGACAGAGTGGTGCAGCTGGAGCGGATGTATTCCTGCATCACAGTGATATGATGCGATCGGTATGTCGTGCTTGGCTCGGTCTTTGAGTCTGCCTGCAATCTGGGTCGCAATGGCGTGCGTCGTGACAATGGCCTGCTTGCCTTGTATCCACCCCAGCACTCGACGATCTGAAGCGGTCCATAGTAATACCTGTACCATCCACGAGGACTCGCTCTCCCAAGCTACCATAAGCCAACTAAAGAGTAAAGGGGCGAAGTTGACTAGCGGCGCATAAAATTCCCTAAGCATGATTCTGATCAAGATGGGTAGAGCGTCGAGAATGTCATGGTATTCGGTGCTGACACCATCGTTTTCAAGCCGCCGTTGAAGCTCCAGGGCTGCAGAGGTATGGCCTGATCCAATGCTTGCCCCGATCACAACTACCTGAATGGGGAAGAAGGGCTTAGCCTCGATATCGTGGTCCCCGCCGAGGCGACTAGAAATCATTATGAGTTGGGTCGTGGGAAGGTCCGAACGGCGTGAGACAATCACTCTCTGGCGGAAGCGTAGATGCCGTAAAGGGATCCGAACCAACACGACATGGGCATTGATCAAAGGGTTCTATAAGGGTTTTTGGGAACCAATACTGGCTCTTTGGATAACATAAGCAAAAGAAACGCTTTTTCAAACAAACAAAGTCTTACTCGTTTGCTTAGCAGCGGCGCTGTTCTCGCCTTCAGAGTACTGTACCGGGAGCGATCAAGAAGATTGCATGGAGTACCCTTACATGGCCCCTTACACGGCCCCTTACAGATACACTTACAGGTACCCTTACAGGTACCCTCACAGGTACCCTCACAGGTACCCTTACAGGGCCCCTTCGACCTCCATAGGTCCCCTTGCAGCCTGCCAGCAACTTTCTGGAAACTTAGCATGCCGTATGCACCGTCTGATACAGTATCCGCCATTGAAATCTGACCCTTGGTCTTCTTTGTTTCTTACTGCGCTTCTGTAGAATTAGAAATATATAAGGACGATACGCCGGTAGTATATTGCAATGATACGCAGGACTTAGACAACACGAATCCTTGAAACCTTCACCCCTGTTACAAAAGAGAAGTCCCTATCCTATCAGTCGCTACAGGAATTCCGCACTCGACAACATGCGCCTCTCAAGTTCTACTGTACTTGTGCTACCTCTGCCCCTCCTCGGCTGTTTGGCTTTCCCTGCAGGATCTGGGCAGAATCTCCTTGAGAGCGAGCGCCGAGAATCTCTTTCGAGGGTCGATAGGCCACCCTTTGTAGCAACACGTGCGATTTCGCCAAGCATCACAAACAATTACCTTCCGGTCATCAAGAGGGATGGTGTAGAGGTAGTCCATCTCGAAGGCCGACCTGTGGTCAAGAGAGGCGACGAGGTTCCCCATCTCGAAGGACGACCTGTGGTTAAGAGAGGCGAAGTTCCCCATCTCGAAGGCCGACCTGTGGTTAAGAGAGGCGACGAGGTGCCCCATCTCGAAGGCCGACCTGTGGTCAAGAGAGGCGAGCAGGTTGCCCACGTCGGAGGTGGACCGGTCGACAAACGCAGTCCATCCATCCAGCATGTGCACCAGATTATCCCCCCTGGAGAGATCGCCGGGGATTATTAAGCTAAGGCTGGTTGATGCTGGACAAATTGCAGCGCCATTCTTTCGAACATCAGAGGAAGAGACTCTCCCTCAATCTTCAAGTCTCAAAGACTGCATTCAGACTACGACAAAACACAATGCAATCAAATCTACTTCTTAACAACAGGGCACGATCTTCTGCGCCGCCATTCTTTCGAACATCAGAGGACGAGACTCTCCCTCAATCTTCAAGTCTCAAAGACTGCATTCAGACTACGACAAAACTCACAGTGCAACCAAATCTACTTCTTAACGACAGGGCATGATCTTTTGCCCTTTCTTATATTGAGCGCTTACTTATGCTTTATCTTCTCATTCGTGTATCTGGACTTCACATACTAGAGAAGACCTTATTGTAACCTCAATCGACGATCGCTTCCCATATAGCCAATATTAGGACTACACTTAATAGCCCAATTCAAGTGCGAAACTGCTGTACGACGTGATGCCAGCTGAATGAGGCCGTGGCTGACGGGCTAACCCAGCAAGGGCGGTGCTTTTTGAACCTGCCCAATCTTGCAAAGACTTCGCATCGGAATGAATATCTTCCACAATCAGGTTGTCACGTCATATATAGAGGCGCCCGAAGGACTGAGCGCCTGGATGGTACTCTCTGCCGTTGCCATAATTAGCTCTATTGTTTTTCTTAATTGTAGCTTCTCTCTTCGGGGAGGCAATGCTGTCTACACTTTGTTGCCAGACACCTTGCGAAGTGGACGCCAGATGTTCCACTGCATGCTTGCTGTGAGGAAACAATTTGACATGTAAGGCGGCTGCACTCAGTGGCTGCTATCTGGCCTGCAACTGTTCTGCCTGCGAAGCATTGATGGTGCGTGCGCGAGAGTGGACGACTGTTTCATGCCGCTGGTACGGGGGTCTGTAAGGGCAATGGCAGGGAACGGAGCGCTAGACTGCGCCATTAGTTGAGTCGGGTTCTCGTAAGCGCTGTAATCGATGTTTACTTGCGGGTCCTGGTGCTTCTAAACAAGCATCAGTGTGCACACACGTTGCTCTCATCGATTCGATTCGATTCTGGGGTGGACAATATCTGCATAAGGTATCAATCATAGATATCTGCTGGGTGATATCGAGCGGGTACAGTACCTGATGAGCCTGTAGAGGATGCCGGAGAGTTGTTATTTCTGGCACTGCGGGGCCCAATCGGATGCATCGCCTCAGCGCGGCACAGGCACAGGCACATTCACGTGAGCGCGCGTGGCCAGGCGCGTGGATGCGAGTTTCGCCCCTTCATAAAGCGTCGGCTTTCTTGCTTCTTGAATCATCCTTTGACGTCAGACAAGGCCCGCCACACCCAATTCTGGGCATGCGACGACATTAATGATGGAGCCACCACCAGCTTCAGATGATCATGCTAAGGCCATCGACAGGCTATGGGCCAATGTAGCAAAACAGCGACGGCCCAGCACAACTTCAATCGAACACCCACCTCGAAAGCCACGTCGAAAGCCACCTCGGAAGCCACCGCGGAAGCCGTCTCGGACGTCACCTCAGAGGCCATCTCAAAAGCCATCCCAGAGACCATCCCCGAGGCCTGCGCGCGACGATGTAGGCTGCGATAATGTCAGTATCGATTCAATTGATTGCGCCTTGGAAGGTCAAGTCGGAGATCCCCTTCTTCCGGAACGAAAGATGATGGATGAGACCTGGGACAAGGCTCAATGGACATGGAGGGCGTTCGTGGCCAACGCAAACGGCTGGCCGGCTGAATTTTTCGACACTCGCAGGATACTGGGCGACATTCCGGCTATTCCACGTGAGATCCCAAAAAACTCGAAGGGACAGTCAATCTTGGAGGGGCAGCCAATTTGGCACGTATCCGATCTCAACGAAAAAGGGAAGTTGACTCCAGGTGCTAGAAAGCGCTTCAATCTCCTTTGCAAAGAACCAGTTCGAGCTTCTATCGCAGAGCGACAGGACTCGAGCTTCTTCGGGCACGTAGATGGCATAATTACGGAACCACCTCCAGACGGTCTCACGGTCCTAATATTCTGCTGGTCCTACATCCTCTGTGCGTCCCTGATTGAGCGTCAGGGTTACCGCGTGACTTACACCGAGCACCTCGTTCAACCGCAGCTAGAGGCAACGTCCTCCGACCTGCCAGCCTTTCGTCTTCCCTCTGATGCTTCTGACAGCTTGGAAAGGTGGCTGTGTGCCTTACTGGCCCCTAAGATGGGGTGGACAACTTCACAGAAATGCGGCTTGCCTCCCTGGGCTCTCATCTGTTCAACAGCACCGCGCATCACTCGTCCGCCAACCTCTCGGCCTCGACCAAAGCTAGTCGAAGTGCAGGCTCCGGACTCAGAAGAAGCCTTGCTATTACTCAAAGAGCTATGTTCCTGGTACGACCTACATCGCTCGGACGCCACCATGCCAGCACTTGAATCATCATTCATCGCGGCATTAGCCATTCCGTACTACCGATGGGCCGAGCTTGATTTACAACTGCCACCGCTCGCATCGATTGAGCCTCGCCCGTCGGCCAATCCGTCAGACGACTGTGGCGAGATCATTGACAGCTACTCCAAACATCTTCCATACTACATGACTCTCAGCTTGCAGCCTATATCATTCGGCTCTATACTCTGGAGCGTTTTCTGGCAGCCCTCTGTTGCGTGCAACGTCGCGAGTTCCTGGCTCAACTCAACTCTGGACGTTCTGGAGCCAGTCATTGCCAAAAGAGACGTAGGGCAATTGGCCCGGATCTTTGCTGCTCGCCGCCCTCTCGCAGCAATCCTTTGGCTTGGCGTGTTTCTCCTAGGAGATGTCAAAATCCTGGACAGAATCAGGCACTTCCTCCGGAGTCTTACAGAGGGAAAAACCCTTCCACTCGGGGGTCCCCCGGATATTACGGTATCTGCATGGACTCGCTCCCCACAGTCTTTCTGGGATCTACCGTGCGAATCACAGCTTCCGGATGGAACCTACGACAGAGCCGAAATACTTCAACGACGGCTGAATTTCCAGCTCTCAGATCAGTACTTGATTCTCTTTGCTTGGAAGCCATTCTCTCCCATGGACAAGACCAGCATAGAAATAGACCTTTACGACTATCTAGAGCATCCCTTTGTCCGTCAGTATGTTTGCTGGCAATGGGGGGGTGTATCTGGTGTCGAAAGAGGTTTTCGGCAGGAGCAAAAGGGTTATGTGGCGCCTGATGATAATTTCGACTTTCATTTCGGAAAACCTAACATTACACCTAGCAAGCGAAGCGCGAATCTGGCGCCATCCAAGCGTGCGACCCTACAGATGCTCAACTTTAGCATGACGACTTATCTTTGGGAAAGGTGTCTCGACTACGCTTCTATCCCAGGATTGGACAAGAATCATGCGTGGTTAAGAGGATGGAGAGGGTTGGAGTAGGTCACCCCCGTATGACTAGACTATCGCGCGTTGATGACAAGGTCATGTCCCAAGGAGGGCTTATAAGCACCGGCCAGTCTCAGTGTCGCATGCTGCTACAGAACGCTACGTGGCAGCTGTTTGGATTGCCTGTTTGGTCCTCTCAACAGAGGCTAGGGAAACTCACTAGCATTCACGTTCACAGTTGACACCCAGAGTTACACGTTGTGCCTGTGAATTTGTACTTGGCCATCAACCAGGCAGCCTACCTAGGGTAGCATTCTCATCCAGGCCTGCAAGAACTCATGCAGTTGATGCAGGTAAATTAACGTCCATCCCTGTGTCACGATCCTGCCTCCGGAGTCAACCGTCTGGCAGGGCGCTGGGGTTGCTGTTCTGCAAGATAGGTAAAGCCTGTGCAATCACAACTAACACTCTGCTGTCGTTCTCTCTCTGGGTTGTCGTTCGTGTCTCTTGGAAGAGATACCAGTCTCGGCAATTGAGTGACTAGTTCAAGTGTGTGGTGAAACTGATACTTAGATTGATCGCTGAAGTGCAAAGGTAATGACTGTCTATCTAGGGAATCCTCCTGAACATATACTCCTTTGCCCTTCATCGTGTTCCGTGTTCTGCGACACCGAGGGTGTCGCATGCCGATGAGTTGCTGTCGCAGGCCGACGGGCTGTTGTCGCATTGCGACTGTCCATCGTCGGCTGCTGACGTAAGGTGGGGTGATTACCTAATGTGCGTCCTCTCCAGCCTTCGCTGGTCCGCCCTTGTCCTTGGCCTGATCCTGCGGCCTTGTTTGTGCTAGGCCTGTTGTTACCTCAGCCCCAAACAGTTCCCCTGTTGGTCGGGTCGTCACAGAGGCATACGGGACACCCTCGAAGTTTACCCGGAGCGGGTGTAGGGCCTGCTACGGGACAAAAGTGAATCACAGATCTTGGGGGCCCTGAAAATAATAGAAGGGAACCAAGGATTACTGTAGTCTCATAGTGAAGGTTACAGCAGTGTAGCTCCCTGAATTCTAGCATGGCGACATTGTCCCCTACCTGATTTAGTGTGACCCGTTACAATCACCTACTATAGACTTGAGCTTTCCGATGTTCCGGGTCTGTACATATTCAACACCGCCAATATATCCTCCTATGTCAGCCTTAAGACAAACAAAACTGAAAAGCAATCAGGTTCTCGCTGTCTTTCCCATCTGAATTTTGACTGCATAACTTAACCAATACTACATTTCTAGGATTTTTATCTCGCTAGTGCGATCTGCCCTATTTATAGCATGTTACATTATATGATAATAACCTCCGTAGGATCCTTCTCCTTCCACAAGCTGAAGTACTCCGTCCTCTGTAGGTGAGAGTGCATCCTGGCATCCGGGCAATCGTATTCTACCCATCCAATACGTCGGTACTCTCGCGTAATGCTTTCCAAAACTCCTCTTGCATTTGTCTTTGTGTCGCCGATAGGTTCGAGAATGATTGCTCCAAACATAGTGTCGTAGCCGAGAGTCATCCCAGTAGCACTATGGCCACAGATTGGAAGCACGGTGTAGTCCCTCCAGCCAGAATGCGCCGGTGACTCGCATTGCATCTCATCCCAGTATATCTTCAAGTGCCTGTCATACTCCTCTGGCGCCGTCTCGGGGAACTTTCGATGGTCCAGCGTGCCTCTGAGCTTTAGCTTCCCTGTCGATATCTCCCCGTAGCGATCGGTTCCGGGAGACGGACGAACATCGGTGCCAACCACCTCGACAACTTTATCATAGAAAGTGTGCCAACAGAGAGCAGTAAACTCAATACCTGAGCCCACGGACGCCCAGCTCCAAGTCGGCGCCGCGTAAGTTCTTGGCTTCGGTTCTGGTTTGAAGCAGTGCCATTCCAGACCTCGAATTAGGTCGTTCGCCCACAGTCCAGCCAGGTACTCAGCCCCGATGACGGGCTGTACGGCTCGCGCGACGGATGACAGGGCCATAAGACGGTCTTGTGGGTTGGTGAACTTGGCATACGAGTATTGCTTTACGAAATGGAACCACTCCACAGGGCATAGGTGGCGGGTACGCTTCGATCTCGCTACGCTTATCATCGACTCTTTGTGCCGGCAGCGACCTTGGTCGACTTGCTGACCAAGGCCGCCATAGATGTTATGAGCCTTAAGCCCGCCGCACTCCCAGAAGATGCCGTGTTCGGTGAAGTGCACTACTCTCTTCGAGAGGGCGCGCTCCTGCATGACCCAGCCGCGCTCGTTTAGAGCCGAGTTGGAGACGCACTGAAAGAAGTCGGGAGTGCTGGTCTTCATCAAAACGTCTTTCGTCTTCTGCGTACCGTCTTCTTCCTTAACTACCCTAGTGGTGGTGCAGGGCTCTGCCGCGAAGACGCTGGCGCCAGTCTGGGCGAGAAAACCCTCATGGGCATGGAGCGCGCAAGTGGCTGCGATGGTGAGGACAGAGTTCTGGTAGACGGCTCCCATTCGTGGCCCTTCGGCAAGCCAGTCGCCGTCGTCGCCTGCCGTAGGTTGCACGATGCAAAGGGCATCTATCCAGAGGAAGCGAATGCCCAAGGCGCGAACGACCGCAAATGCGTCTTTGAACGTCTGCGGCATCGACGCGAGCGGCATTTCCAGGAGTACATCGAACGGTGTCTTTAGAACGTAGTCGTGGGTCGTCTGGCCCCAACGGTAGCTTAGAGTGCAGTAGTCCCGGAGGTCGGCAGGCGAGGCGAGATCGTTGGCGAGCCAATCTGCACAGTCTATAATTACGACGCTATCAATGTTCATCAAGTCGATGAGCCGCCTCGGCAGGTTGGAGGCGGCTTCACCCTCAACGCGCTGCATCCAGGAGATGGTGTCATCACAAACGTCGTGGCTGGTCAGACACCTCTGAAGCCAGGCACTGGGTGTTTCCAGAACTCCATGGCCACTAGGAGATACGGGCTTGTTTTGGCGAGACTTGTCTATATCCTCGACGGGCAGGTTGAGGGCCCCTTGCAGCGAAGGACACTCCAGACTAAAGTGGTCGTCGTAGGCATAGAGCCGCACATCTCCCAGCGTGTCGCACAGCGCTTTCCGTTGGATCCAGTTTGAGAGATATTGCCTACACAGCGTGCAGACGTCGCAGCCCGAAGCCGCGGAGCTTTCGAGGTCGTTGAATGACGGCCACCTGCGAACAGGCCCCTCGCCCGGCATCCGCACACCTGAAGAGCAAGCTGAGCAGCGAGGCATAGCGGAGGCACCTAATCCAGTCGCGAGAAAGTAGATCTGGTGAAATAAACCAGCGGGACAATTGCCTGTCTGGTAAGGCTGGGACGGACGGTATAAGTGCCAAAGAGTGCAAGGGCAGTGCTCGATAGCGTCTGAGGCGCATGTGCGCCACACTCCGAGGTCTGTTTCATGGTCTCACGCCCAAAACCCCACTTACTTCTTTACAGATCAATCCCGTGAAGCTATTATTGGGGTCATGATAGCGCTATTGCTACCAGTCAAAATGGACACAAGCGGTTGGCTCTTTCGGATTCAGTTGAATCTGTACGTTGGCATGCTATCTGGAGGCATTAGGAAGCCATATGAACCAAGCAACCTGGGTATGATTGCTTTAAGAGGTTCGAACACCTCATCTCATGCCATACAGGGCCCCTTTGAGGCCCTAACAGCTTGCTCCACAGTTCCACCCTGCCAGCAACTTTCCGGACAGTTAGTGTGGCGGGCACCCCATCTGATTGATGCTCTCGCTTCTCTTTCGTTGGCACTGCTTCAGCATCCCGAAGCAGGCATTACTCAGGACCAAGCCTCTCCGGGCAAGTAGTAAAGCACGAGTCGAGCTCGTCCGCCACCATGGGAGACACGTCAGGCCGTAGGCTCAAATTGTGGGCGCGAGCTGCGTGCAATCACGCAAAGTACAGTAGCGACCGGCAATCAGTGTCCGCAAAATGTAGAAAGGTCATAGTGGACTTATCAGCACTATCGAACTCCACCGGTTGCACTAAACCTGACAGCAATGCCCCACCAGTGATTCAACTACGTATCTCAAAATCGTCACGTGCAGCTCTTTGCACAGCGAATCATTCAAAGCCGGACTTGACAAATTATTACGGCGAAAGTCATGTTGCACAGTCTAGCGTCAGAGAGGAGTGCCGAGTCTGCCTTGCCCTGTAAGCGTCCTATCGATATCCCTCCTTACCCCGCACTTTCAGCCTTGCGTTGGGGCTGGGAGACCGTCTAATATCCTACCATGGCAATGCTGGTGCCTGCTTCTTGGGAACCCGTTTGACCTTCACTCGAGACCTTTGGCCCCCAAAATCTTTCCCATTTCAACGAAGGACCCATACTGACATTGGCCATATCCCAAAATGCGGCTACTACAGCGAGATGACGCTAAGAAATACACCCTTACGGCTGATCTGCGCGCTGACAACACCCCCCCGTACGCAATCCTCTCCCACACCTGGGGCGCCGACGAGGTTATCTACACTGATATACAGAGGGACTCAAAGGACTGGCAACAGAAAGATGGTTACAGAAAGATCCAATTCTGCGCTGATCAGGCGAAGCGACATAACCTGCAATATTTCTGGGTTGATACTTGCTGTATCGACAAATCTGACGGCATCGAACTCCAGACGGCAATCAACAGCATGTTCAAATGGTACCGTAGCGCGAAACGATGCTACGTCTATCTGTCCGATGTTTCCTGTCCTTCAAACCCCAGCCAGCAGCCAGGCGTGACATCGTGGGAGGCTGCGTTCCGAGGTAGCCGGTGGTTCACGCGCGGCTGGACGCTGCAAGAGCTTATCGCCCCGCAGATTGTCGAGTTTTACTGGAAGGAAGGTGTTTTTCTGGGAGATAAGAGGTCTCTGGAAGCTGCCATACGCGACGTGACAGGTATTCCTGCCCAGGCTTTACGAAATACATCATTATCCCACTTTACGACTTCAGAACGTGAGGCGTGGGTGCGCAACCGGGAAACAAAGTACGAGGAAGACATGGCATACTCGCTGCTTGGAATATTTGGCGTTTATATGCCACTCATCTACGGCGAGGGTCGCGAACAAGCACAGAGGAGGTTGCGAGAAGAAGTCCAGAAATCTGTGAAAGGTAAGACGCTGCTCAGCAAGGGAGGCTTCGTATTGACTAATGCAAAGCTTAGGCACCTACGACAACAACTTTCGGATCAGCTTCAGCATGTCTGGCGTCCCCGAGACTCTACATTTCGTAGCAAGGGATCGAGAAGTTGCTGAGATGCGAAGAATGCTGTGCTCAGATGGAAGCCGTTGCACTGTCGTCCTCCATGGCCTCGGCGGCATTGGCAAGACACAGCTCGCTGCAACGTATATCAAACGATACCGGGAAGAGTACTCGGCGATCTTCTGGCTCAATATCAAAGACGAAGCGTCCATCCAGCAGAGCTTTGCTAGGGTGGCAGCGCAGATCTTGGAACAGCATCCCGATATCGGCAGCCTCAAGGGACTTAATCTGCAGCAAGACCACGACGAGATCATTCACGCCGTGAAGGCTTGGCTCAGCTTACCAGGCAATACCAGATGGCTTCTTGTGTACGACAACTACGACGACCCAAAGCTTCCCGGGCGTGTGAGCGCTACAGAGATTGATATACACCAGTTTCTGCCTACGGCATATCAGGGCTCAATTATTGTCACGACACGGTTATCGCAAATCGACATAGGGCATCACATTCGGATTGAGAAACTCGAATCCGAATCGGAGGGTTTGCAAATACTGTCAGAGGCATCAGGACGCAATGGCTTACAAGATGGTAAGAATCTCGAGGCAGTCAATTTTCGGTCACTAATAGTGCTCTAGATGATGATGCGAAAGAACTCGTACGAGAGCTTGACGGGCTTCCTCTTGCTCTTGCTACAGCTGCAGCATATCTGAAGCGTGTCCCAATCAGCTTCCGCCACTACCTCCGCCACTACCGGGAATCTTGGGCAAGACTCACGGGTAATCTGAATCTCGGTTCTTACGCAGACCGCACCTTATGTTCAACATGGCAGCTGTCCTATACACATGTACAGGCACAAAACCCGCTTGCAGCTCATCTGCTCCAGTGGTGGGCTTACTTCAACAATGACGACATCTGGTATGATCTTGTCAGGTTTGGCAGCAAAGACGGCTCCGCGTGGATGAAGCAGCTATCAGAAGAGCTCAACTTTCACGATGCGATGGGTGTACTCCATGACTACGGGCTTGTCGAACCTACAAACATGTTCCAGGAGCCACAAGGATACAGTATACACAGTTGTCTACATTCTTGGACGATTCACATATTGAACGAGAAGCGGGACGGTTGCTTGAATGAGCTTGCAGTTGAAAGTGTGGCATCACAGGTTCCTTCACGAGAAGAAGCCGAATATTGGCTTCTTCAGAAGAGGCTCATACCACATGCTATCCAGTCTTCTTCAACAGTACAAGAGAGCGACGGCCCTTCAAATTGGGCTTTTCATTCTCTGGGTTATCTTTGCGCGGTCCAGGGGAAGCTGGGCGAGGCCGAGAAGATGTACTTGCGGGCGCTCCAGGGGTACGAGAGGGCACTAGGACCGGATCACACATCGACACTTAATATAGTCAACAACCTTGGGATCCTTTACGCTGAGCAGGAGAAGCTGGGCGAGGCCGAGAAGATGTACTTGCGGGCGCTCCAGGGGTACGAGAGGGCACTAGGACCGGATCACACATCGACACTTAATATAGTCAACAACCTTGGGAGCCTTTACGATGACCAGGAGAAGCTGGGCGAGGCCGAGAAGATGTACTTACGAGCGCTCCATGGTCATGAGATAGCACTAGGACCGGATCACACATCCACACTTAGAACAGTCAACAACCTTGGTCTCCTTTACGCAGAACAGGGGAAGCTGGGCGAGGCCGAGAAGATGTACTTGCGGGCGCTTCATGGGTACGAGAGAGCTATAGGACTTACAAATGTCACGACATACCGGCCAGCCATCAACACCCTTCAGCACCTGGGGTCTCTAAGCTCGAAACAGGGCCGTTTGAGTCACGCGCGGCTATATTATCAACGTGTTTACGACAGCCTTGAACAACTCCTCGGGCCATCGCATCAGTCTGTCGCGTCAGCGCGACACACTCTCCAGCTTACAAATAGCGCGATTGATGATGGGATATTCTCGAGCGATGACCAACACTTGACAGACCCAACATAGACCCGGATATCGAAGAAGAGGCGACGAGAAATTTTGTAGAGGATTCTATTTTCCCACGTATAGTAGAGAACTCATGAGCGGATCAGTCTTAAAGTATATTTGTTCTTGATGCGAGTTGAATGTGAGAAGAAAGCCGCTTGGCGGTTGAGGAGCCATTTCTGGCGAGTACACGCTCGCCAGTGAGTGCGAACTCCGTCGCGTGCATCGGAGATTGGTTTTTGCTTCCCACTTGCTGGATGCCTTGTTCGGTCTTTTGTTCTGCTGTGTGATGCCTCGACGAGGCCGTTAGGCAGGCAGGTGCTCAGGCAGCAAGTCAGATCTCCTTGCCTTCGTCGTCACGGTAGGCTTTCGGCTTACACTGCCCCATTGTGTCTCGTATGCGGAGTCGTCGTCGCTGCTCGCATGTGCGTGGCCAGCATTTAGCTCAACTGGGCTAGCAGGAACAGCCTTGTTCAGGTACTCATCCGCGGCAATACTGTCATCATCGGTGTGGTCTGAATGTTGGACTTCAGAGATGACTGACGTGCTTGCCATTGGGTGCACGACAGACGACCCCAGTGCCCCGGAGGACGCCCTCTGGCGACTCTGACGGCTTATACAGCCAGACAGCCAAGAGCCTTCTGAGTCTACGGACGCAAGTGACATCGAGAGTGGGACGGGTGACAACTGCGGTTCTTGATGGCGGGTAGGGATGGGTATTGGTTTGGTGTCCGAGTTGAAGTTCGCCTCTTCGTGGCGCTCTATGTCATCGGTAATTTGGGGCAGACGTTCCGAGGACCCGGCATGGACCTCGGGCGATCCTACACGCGAGTCTGGAGGCGATAATGGGTGTTCAGGAAGACCTTCGCGGAAACGCGACATGGTCCGTTTCGGCACACCAGAGCTCAGACGGCGCCCCGTTGTGGAACTGACAACGGGGGGTGGCCCGGTTTGTGAGCCTTGCATGGAGTCTCGTGAAGTATTAGAGAACGAAGCTGGTCCTACCGAACTTCTTCGTCTGCCTCCCCATTTGAAGAACGAAAGCCATGGTCGCGATGAGCCACTTTCTGAAGTCCTGGCCGCAGACTCAGCATATTCCGCCCGGGCTCGTGACGGAGAGGTACTGGCGGCTGCGGGGCGGGAAAAATGCCGCTCATCGTGAGGCGGAGACTTCGATCCAGACTTTCGTGAGCGTATAAAGCTCATGATGGTCGGGCTGATCGACTTTGGTCGAGTTGTCTCTTGTGGTGTCAATGGAGGGGCATCCTCGATCGCCGCCGTGGAGTTCGAAAGGCCGCTGTTCGTCCTGTGGAATTCACCTAGAGGTGTTACGGAGCGATGTTCTCTCTCGCGTTCTTGCTCATGGTCCTCGCTCGATCGCTTCACCGTATTCGCCTCGAGACCTGGGCCTGTGGACTCTGCTGACTGTCTCCTCCGCGACGACGTGATCGTCACAGATGCCGGGTCCTCGAGGCCGGTCATCTCCCGACCTAGGACTCCCCTTTCTAGGTTCATTGTTGGAGTATCAACGTTGGCTGCTTCCTCACGTTGCCTTTCCATTTTTCGAGCCAGCCTCTTCTCTGCTTTCTGCATGTCCTTTCTCTCTTCCTCTGCCGCCTTCTCTGGTCGCGTTCCATGAGCTCCCTGAGATCTGACGCATCCAGATCATCGGCGAGGTCGTCGATTCGCTTGTGAGCTTTGAGGGTGCGCCTCTAGCAGGAAGACGTGCCACGAGTACTTGTCATTGACCAAAGACCCGTCAGAAGTCTCATACCGTCCGAGTGCTGCGTCTACTACCCCTGTATTGTAGCCCAGGCGCTCAATGGTATGGTGCCAGTCGAGGAATTTGGCCCAGGAGAAGCGCGTGATCAAGTCTGACGTGGCCATGTCCAGGGCGATGAACTCGGCGAGCGCAACGAACGCGTTGGGGTTTGCGTTGAGACGGAGGAGGCATTTGTTCAGGTCGAGAGGGATTGGACGGGAGTCTCGTGTGTTGAGCGATGCAGCGGCTGCCTCATGATTGCCGGCACGGTTGTCATTGAGATTGTTGACATTGTCGTTATTGCTGATGAGGCGCTCAGCATTGCTGGGAGACTCGTGTCGGACACGCTTGTTGGGACGTCCTCCCACCGATCGGGAACGCAAGCCAGCAGCCACCGAGGCTGAGGTATCGTTCTCTGCTGCAAGGCGAGCACGAGATGCTGGCATGGGTGTGGCCTGACATTTTGGGCCCGTGCAGGGCCGCCGTGCCGGAAAGGGGGGTGTTAATTGCAGAGAAGCGGATACACTTTGTGGCCGCTCCCATAATCCGAACGCCGGTATGGTTCAAGGTCAGGCTGAGTTGTGGCGCCATATTCATCGTGCAAAGAGCGCTACAGAGGAGCAATTCCTTTTCAGGCGCCTTCTAGTGCCAAGGGATGCTGTAAGGTATTACAGTACTGGCTGGTCCCTCTTGGGGGTAGTCTGCACAGTATGCGCTACAATATGTCACAGTCTGCTGGTCTGTGCTGATCTGTGCGGAAATGACAACTAACTTCTGAAAAGCGGACACATTCAGTGGTCACTACTGTACACCATGACGCCATATCACTTCTGCTCGGTGAGTTGGGAAGAGCACTTTCGTCGTGGATACACTGCAGCCTACAGTCGTTGCAAGGTTTGTTGCCGGGCACCTTGCGAAGTGCATGCCAGAACGCTCCACTGCATGCTTCCTTTGAGGACTTGCTTCCTTTGAGGAAACAACTTGACATGTAAAGCGGCTACACTACCTGGTTGCTACTGTTCCACCTTCCAAGCATTCATGTTGCGTGCGCGAAAGTGGACAACTGCTTCATGTCGCTGGGGCGGGGCTTCTGTAAGGGCAATGGCAGGGAGCGCAGCATGCTGGACTGCGCCATTAGTTGAGTCTGGTTACCGTCAGCCCCATAATCGATATCCACTTGCAGGTCCTCGTGCTTCTGAACAAGCATCAGTGTGCGCACGCACGTTGCTCTGGTCGACTCAATCTCGGTTCTGGGGTCGACGCTATTGTACAGTACTCCCAGCCGACGCGAATGCACGTATAGCCATCTCCTCCATCAACGTAGCATTTGCCTGCATTTCTTGAGGTCACATGACTGTATCCCTGTGGGCACGCTAAGAGTAGTCAGAGATGCAGCTGGTAGACGTCATCTCGCACGAGCTGCTATGCCGGTCATCGATCACAAACGAGCAGCAGCACGGCCCTGGCACGCTCCAAGGCGTTTAGGATCGAGCTCATTCTTCAGTCCTTTGGTGGTTAGTCAGCCAGGACGACGATCACATGTTATCGGTCGCGCGAAAGGGAGAGCCATCGGTCTAGTCTGACCAGAGTAGAAAGAAGAGGCGAATGAAGGTCCAACCATCATGTTCTACAGAATCACTCGAGCCCCGGACATGGCGAAATGGACTCCTGTCATGGATCTGGTCCCGCTCTATCACAAATGAGTTCTTCCGCGGTCTTTTGATCATCCACTCCCAAGTTGTTAAAGGTACCGGTCGGCAATCCGCTGTTTGTGTCAGTCGAGCCTGCTCCAGTATTACTGAGGCTGGTGCAACTTACGACAGACCTCATCACCCCTAAGAGACAGTCAGCAGCAGAGAAGCTAGGATTGACTGATCATACTGACCTCCACTCAGCGCAAGTAACGTCGGGCTGGCAATTCCTCTTCCCGGTTGTCTCGTAGTCGTGGCACCAGCGCTGCACGGGGAACCGGAAGTGGCCGCAATGATATTGGGTCTGTTATCAATCAGCTTCCGGTGGCATTGGCGATCTTGGAACAGGAATAGGCACCTGAATGTAATTGCACATGTTGACTGGGATGAAGAACACTGTCGCAAGAGTTGTTGCGAGATGAGATGCTAGAGGGATGCCCTCGGACGCGAATCCTGGATTCCTGTACCACCATGGCGTCTGGAGACATGGGCGGGTCGGGTTCATGCACACTCAGCTGAACCTGCGGCGGTCCTCTCGGGGCGAGACAGCGTCCGAACACACGCTGTCCAGGAGATGTCGGAGGTCGATACAGTACTCGATTAGTTATCGAATTTCCTTTGATGATGGAAGGCGACAGTTTTCGCTGTAGCTACTGGGGTGTAGGGCGGAGGTCGGATTTGCTTCTGCTGAGGAAGTGCTTGCGCGCTAGACGATGATGGGATGTCCACGTCACTTATTTCTCATGATGACGAATGAGTAAGTTACCTCGTACCTCGCACATGGAGTCGAAGTCGACCGTAGACCGCAAACTTGGCGGGTGCTCTTGCAGCTGCGACTCATTGGCTCGTCGCGATCGCGCACGTGTCTACAAGCAACACTTCGGCCATCGAGCTTTCGACACGATGGTTGCAGGGCCTCAATGAATGCCTGATCTGCTCTAAGAGCTTCGCATCGCATCAGAAGCTGCGCAAGCCTAGTGAGTTCAGCTTGGTATGTCAGAAACGTATGGTTACAACATCTACAGTAGATGTTATTTGGACAAGACATAAGTCCTCGATGACATCTGTTAGTTGCTGACGCGCGGGGCACCTTATAAGCTCGTTGAGGATGCCGGGGAGTTGTTATCTGGGGCATTGAGGAGCCCCATCGGATGCATTGCCCCTGTGGCAGCACGGACACATTCACGTGAGCACGCGTGGCGAGGCGCGTGGATGCGAGTTCTTCGCACCTTCATGAAGCTTAGGCTTTCCTCTGTGAATCAACCTTTGATGTCAGACAGAGCCCGCCACACCCAATTTTGAGCATGCGACGACAGTGAATGATGGAGATACCAGATGCATCAGGCGATAATGCTCAAGCAATCGACGACCTTTGGGCCGAAAGAGCAGGACAGCGACGACCCAGAACAACCTCAACCAGATACCCACCTCGAAAGCCACCTCGGAAGCCACCTCGGAAGCCACCTCGGAAGCCATCTCAGAGGCCATCTCAAAAGCCATTTCGGTAGCCTGCTCGCGACGATGTAGGTTGCGACAATACCAGTATCGATTCAATTGATTGCGCACTGAAAGGTCATGTCGGAGATCCCCTTCTTCCGGAACAAAGCATAATGGATGAGACCTGGGACCAGGCTCAATCGACATGGAAGGCATTTGTGTCCAACGCAAACGGCTGGTCGGACGGGTGAGAGTCGTGCTGTTGGCAGCAAAGAATTGCACGTTCTGATCTGCCGCTTTGGCGAAAGTACTGGACGAACCTCCACTTTTCATTCCAGTCCATCCAGTCCATCCAGTCCATCCAGTCATATCCATGCCTCTCTGTCCTGTCCATGCCTCTCTGTCCTGTCCATGCCTCTCTGGCATCTCCATGCCTCTCTGGCATCTCCATGCCTCTCTGGCATCTCCATGACTCTCCAGCAACTCTTGGCAACGTGCAGAGAGGCCGGCCACATGCCGCAAACTCTCAAACCAGCACTCACTTCCAGGTCGGCGCTGCTGCTGAGGTCGGAAGTGGCTTGGACTCGTCGCGGAAAAAGGTTGTCCGGAAGGATTCTATTGTCGGTCTTGACAAGGTCGGGCATTTTCTACGCAACTACGATTGATGGTCGCGCTGTGTGCGGCTGCCCTGTGCGTCGCAGGGATGCATCTCCACTGCGCTAGATCAGGAAGCTCCCTGTCGTAGATTGACGAGCTAAGGACGTCATGGTTAGCATTCCAAGACGGGGCCTCTAACGGCTATACAGGACGAGTCAACTGGCTCACCGACTCGGCTTGCGATCCCCACGGGCAATGACGTTGTACTTAGCCAGCCTCCCATGTATGTCACTCATGGATTAGAGACGCTCCTCCGTCGTAGCCACCTCCTCATTCTGCCATACGATACTGTATTCTCGCTTCTCTTGGTTCTGCTCTACTTCAGCGTCCCGAAGCAGGCGTTGTTCACGACAGAGCCTCTTCGGGCAAGTAGTAAAGCAGGATCGAACTCGTCCGCGCTCATATGAGACCCGCCAGGCTGTAGCCTAGGACATGAGCGCGAGCTGCGTTCAACCACGCAAAGTACGGAGGTGGGTCACAAAGGTATTGGTCCAGCGCTAATGTAGCCAGAAACGAGAATTGCGGAGTGCGCTCTCTTCGGGGATACAATGCTGTCTACGCTTTGTTGCCAGACACCTTGCGAAGTGGACGCCAGAATGCTCCACTGCATGCTTCCTGTGAGGAAGCAACTTGATATGTAAGGCGGCTGCACTTAGTGGCTGCTACCTGGCCTGCTACTGTTCTACCTGCGAAGCATTGATGTTGCGTGCGCGAGAGTGGACGACTGCTTCATGTCGCTGGTACGGGGGTCTGTAAGGGCAATGGCAGGGAACGGAGCATGCTAGACTGCACCATTAGTTGAGTCGGGTTCTCGTAAGCGCTATAATCGATGTTTACTTGCGGGTCCTGGTGCTTCTAAACAAGCATCAGTGTACACACACATTGCTCTCATCGATTCGATGAGGTTCTGGGTGATATCGCGCGGGTACAGTACCTCATGAGCCCGTAGAGGATGTCGGAGAGTTGTTGTTTCTCGCATTGCGAAGACCAATCAGATGCATCGATCCACCTTCAGGTCAAGTTTTGATCTTAATGACTCGACGTTAATTTGTCACGAACCTTGAGAACCCACTCCCGGAGCGACAACGTTGAAGTACCGAATGTGTGACGAGAGTATCGGTCACGAAGGGACCGCTATCGCCTCGATGATACAACCGGGCCTTTTTTCTCCGTAGCCTCATGAGGAGGTCTAATAACTGCGGCCCTGGCGGTAAGCGGCACCGTAGGAGTATTCGAACCGCAGTTGGCCCTGGCGTGAATCCTGGCATTGATAACAATTCGATGTAGAATAAGTAGGAAAGCATCTGGCTAGCAATGGATTGTAACAAGCCAGGGCTGTAGCCCCCACCTTCGTACTTGACCGTTATATCTGAGGCCGTATCGTGGATGGCCTGCAAAGGATTAGTCAAGCTAGCCGGGGTTGTTGGCAGTTTGGAGGAGTTCTGATCCCTACGTGATATTTTTTCGGCTGTTGGATAGAGATGAGATGCAGACAGGAGGAGAGGGCTTCCCTCGCTCTGACGAGAGCAATAGCGAGGTGTGCTACAATCCCTGATTGGTGTTGCACCCGCTCCTAAATGGAGTATACAAGTGTCTGTGTGTCGGCCGGCGGTTGAACTATTTGCTATCACTTGGGGTTCCCCGGTGAAGTGACGACCACTGTATCGTTCATGCAGGATGATGTAGGGGCCACGCTCCAATACCTGCACGACTAATACGCCGGTGGTTCGATTCCCTCCTGTGGGCCAATCATGGGGGCAATTCACGGCGCTTCGCAAGCGCTCGCTCCAGCAACATTGACGTATCAAATGATTAACTTACTGCTGTGTGTTGAGGCGCTGTTCATGCAGGTTCCGGGGCAGCGCTTACCACAGCTGGCGGCTCCGTCCGGAGAGGGGGAGGGGAGGGCCGCCTTATCACGTGGCCTCTGGCGCTAGTCCATATTCGCGCCACCTCACCATCATCCGAGAAACCACCGACGCGTCACCTGTGATTCGTCCTGTTGCCAAACAGCCGTTAGATGGGGCATCATTCCCGACACGGACGCGACGACCCCAAGTCTACCTCCCCTAACATCCTCCCATCATCTTGAAACGAATGGCAGAACAACGGGCCAAGATCATCGAGGACCATCCCATTGGAAAAGGCCTTCATGCCTTTCGGGAATCGTTTCTTTCGATTTACGACGGCGCCAGCATCTCGCACACTCTGGATGCTCTGGATGAGTTGGATCAGGAAGGTGAGGACTACGACCGGGGATGACTTTGCCGTGTGCTCTAACTATCAGGTAGAAGTCCGAACACAGCTTCTTCTGCTCCTCTCCGCAATTCATGTTCTTCCAGCTGCCCGTCTGCTCCGTTCCAGCCGCGGAAGGTCTCTGTTCACCGAATTGCCAAAACTCAGTGTCGCGATCGGTTCTGACGACTTCGACCTCAACCGCCTTACGCCTCTTCTGAAAGCGGCCCTTGCCGACACACCTGATGACTCCGAGATTTGGGAAGAAGTGTCCCAGGTCGTTGCCGAATCTACACCGCCTCCGCGATTGATCGCATCCTCCCTTCAACAAACGCCGTGGCTGCACAACACGAGCGGCTTTGCGAACTCGTCCGAATACAGACGCGATGTGGATAGGGTGCTCAAGCAGGAGCTCGGTCCTCTCTATGTTGGGCTTCGTCGACTTCCAGAAGTCTTCTTTGGACGGGTACCCGGGCTGGACGCCGCGTCCCAGGTTGTGTTCACCAAGTGCGTGGAAGGCAACGACCCCCTCTTCTGTGGAGGATGGACTGGTTGGCCGAAGGATGCAAACCAAGATTCTGTCTTGGAATGGTTCTCGAGCATAAGCCAAAAGCTCGCAAGCTTTACCGAGGAAATATTGCCAGCTCCAACCCATGGGCGACGACCGCTGGCACAACCCAACCAGCCAATTCTCGATTCTACTGCGGAGCGCAAGTTGGACATTGGATTTGTGGACGACCCAAACGCGTTGAAAGACACCCGATTACATTGGAAGCACATTCTCGTCCCGGGAGAGTTGAAGAGCAACCCGTCGGCTGACACCAAGTCCAAAGCGTGGCTCGACCTAGGCAGGTATGCCAGAGAAGTTCTTGCAGCTCAAGACACGCGTCGATTTGTCCTGGGCTTCACTCTCTGCGGATCCTTTATGAGAATATGGGAGTTTGACCGCCTTGGGGGAATCGCATCCGACAAGTTCGACATCAACGAAGACGGGCTGCGCTTTGTCTTCACAGTTCTAGGCTTCCTCTGGATGGACCGTGAGGCACTTGGTTTCGATCCTACAATCACTACGCAGGGCAGTCGACGCTTTATTTCGATCACTCGAAATGGCCAGTCGGAGCGACTTGTCCTTGACAAGCGGATGAAGAGGGCACCCTGCATTGCCGGTCGCGCCACGACTTGTTGGAGCGTCCACCGAGAAGACGACCCTCAGACCTCTTTGGTGGTTAAAGATTCGTGGCAATATACTGAACGGGAAGAAGAAGGCGAGCTCCTCAAGACGGCGACAGAAAGTGGTGTGGTCAACGTGGCACGTTACTACCATCACGAGACTGTTCATGTCCGCGGCGAGGTCGACGACGTTTCGAGCAATATTCGAGGGAACCTCAACATCCGAGAAGCGAGCAATTATCGAGCAGATCAGTTGGTTCAACCAGGGAGCTCGAGCGCAGTCGATATTTCCCGGAAAGGTCGGAGCAGTATTGCTGCCGGCAAGAAGCGTTCGTCCAGTCAGACGGATGGCCCCCTACCGCCTAACAAGCGATCTTGCTCTACGTCTCCAACCAAGGCTAGCCCTCCTGCACTACCAAACCGGGTGCATCGTCGCGTCATCGTTCGCGATTGTGGGACACCAATCTACAAAGCAACGTCCCCTTCAGCTTTGTTGGCGGCACTAGGTGATTGTATTAAAGGTCACAGATCATTGCGGGAAAGGGTCAGCCTGCTCCACCGGGACGTCTCCGCGAATAACCTTATCATTGGTGAAGAGAACGGTTTCTTGATTGACCTTGACCTTGCCGTCAAGGAACAACGAGAAGACGTTTCAGGAGCACAGGGGAAAACCGGTACGAGAGCTTTCATGGCCATCGGGGCCCTTCTGGGAGAGCAACATTCATTCATGCATGATCTTGAGTCCTTCTTCTGGGTCTTGTTCTGGATCTGCATTCACCATAATGGGCCGGGCGAAAGCAAAGTGGTTCCACAGTTTGATAAGTGGAATTATGTGGACATGGAAGAATTGGCCAAGCTGAAGCTTGGTACTATTGGTAAGGAGACGATTTTCCTCAGGACTATGGCGAACAACTCGACATCATTCTTTGAGCCTCTTCTTCCTCTGTTGAACGAGCTGCGAAAGGTGGTCTTTCCCAAAGATAGACCTTGGGAACGAGAGGACGAGAAGCTCTACTCAAGAATGATAGAAACTCTCCTTGCATGGCCGACGGGCCGAGAGTAACGACTCTTTCTGGTTGTTGCATATTAGCTATATGACAAGAGGTGGAATTATATCGAGAGCCTCAAACCTCTGTCTTTCCAATTACTGCCTGCGACATGCCACGCAATAGACCGAGACGCTCCAACCTATGAAGATACCTGGAATTGAAGAAGCGAGGAACGAGGCCTTCAGGCTGGAGGTCTTCGCGCTCTATCGGATGTGACAGAACCAAGAGCTACGACAAATCATGCAAGGGGGCTGCCGCGATTTGAGATCACAGTGCGCGGGGCTTGTACTTTCTTGGGCATGCTCTCAGCCCTGCAAACTCGGGCCACAACGCCAAGATTGGCACGGGCCGTCTATTTATCCGGTAATGCCCTGTGTAGGGGCGGCGGGGTGGTACGGCACGTCTCGCGCGGCCAATACCCATGGTTTGTGGTGCTGTGAAGGGGTTTCACTGGAAAAATCAGGGCATGGTGCTGCGAGCCTGGTGCCGCGTCAACCAACGCCTGCATCACAACGGCGATCACCCCCACTGCGCTCGGGCCTGTGCCTTCGAAGTTGCGCGGGGGTAGGGAAGCGCTCCTCTGTTAGCACATCTACGAATGCAGCCTCGGTAAGAACGACCGCGAGTGTGCGCCGCCCGCGTACTCCGTGCACAAGGTCCCTTCAATTAGAAACGGATGATCGTGTCGCTGACGTTCCCGATACGTCCAAGTTGGGGCGGAATCACGAGCATTGCTTCAACTCATTCGTTATCGCACACATAAAGCTAGCTACAGCTATCTCGTTGTCCTATGGCTAACATCAAGGGGGGCTTTCTAGCGACCTACATATAGCGAGTTCCGGTACGATAGTACGGATTTAGAACCGTGGCTGCTGGTTTGGAACATTTTTTGTTCCAAGCCGCTACCTGAATCTGGATCACGGATTAAGTGCAACGGTTCCTCTCCTTCTATTTCCTGTCCAACCTAACAACTCATCACTGCTACACTGGATGTATGCGGGGTGAGAAAATAAGGCATAACAAGGTAGTGAGGTGCTGCGACTCCGGCTCAAACACGACGCGTTGGCGATGCGCCCGCGATGCGAGATAAAGTGTAAGGACAGTGTGGGCACAGGAGCTTTGCCTGAGGAGGCACCTATTACCATCTTTTTTGGTATGGCTCAACTAGTGAGAGCCATTCACCGAACGTGTAGAATATAAGCTCGGCTACAATAATGTAGTATCCTACATAGTCGGCGAAATTTGCCCAGCTAGACGGGTCCGACTGCCGACACACTAACGCCCTAAACAACATAGAATAAAGAATAGAAAGCAAAGGCAGGGAAAAAGTCAGAAGTACGACCTAGTAGGCTACCCGCAATCTAAGCAGATTCTCGCATTAAAATGCCCATTGTAGCACGCGGCCAGACGCACATCCAACAGCAACCCTCCTCTTACCTACGGCTGATGCAGTAGGACGATACTCTGGTGGTAGCCAGAGCCATTTTTCATCGTCGAAAAGAATCCAAGTGCGATCTGCGCTTAGACCATAGCCACGACGCTGCCCGTTCAAAGACGAATGTGAAAAGGGCGTGGATAAGATCGAAGAGGCTTGTTCTAATGCCGTAGGTAAAAGCGTAAATGTGCCAAGATCAGTGTGGAGGCAGTCCCCTTGTTTGTTAAACTCGATATGAGATACTTTCATCCCCATATCGAGTGTCTGGAGGCATTGGCCCGTCGTGGCATCCCACACCTTGACGGTCTCGTCGTCCGACGCGGACGCGAGCCGGCAGCCGTCGTGCGAGAACACGAGCGACGTGACCCCATTGCTATGGCCCTCTAGCGTATGGAGGCATTGGCCCGTCGTGGCATCCCACACCTTGACGGTCTCGTCGTCCGATGCCGACGCGAGCCGGCAGCCGTCGTGAGAGAACACGACCGAGGTGACCCAATTGCTATGGCTCTCCAGCGTCTGGAGGCATTGGCCCGTCGTGGCATCCCACACCTTGACGGTCTTGTCGTCCGATGCCGACGCGAGCCGGCAGCCGTCGTGCGAGAACACGACCGAGGTGACCTCTCTACTATGGCCCTCCAGTGTCTGGAGGCATTGGCCCGCCGTGGCATCCCACACCTTGACTGTCTTGTCCCACGACGCCGACGCGAGCCGGCAGCCGTCGTGCGAGAACACGACCGAGCTGACCCGACTGGCATGCCCCTCCAGCGTCTGGAGGCATTGGCCCGTTGTGGCATCCCACATCTTGACGGTCTTGTCGTCCGATGCCGACGCGAGCCGGCAGCCATCGTGCGAGAACACGACCGAGGTGACCCAACTGCTATGCCCCTCGAGTGTCTGGAGGCATTGGCCCGTCGTAGCATCCCACACCTTGACGGTCTTGTCCCACGACGACGATGCGAGCTGGCAGTCGTCGTGCGAGAACACGACCGAGTTGACCCAACTAGTATGGCCCTCTAGTGTCTGGAGGCATTGGCCCGTCGTAGCATCCCACACCTTGACGGTGTTGTCCCTCGACGCCGACGCGAGCCGGAAGCCGTCGTGCGAGAACACGACCGATTTGACCGAATCGCTATGGCCCTCCAGCGTCTGGAGGCATTGGCCCGTCGTGGCATCCCACACCTTAACGGTCTTGTCGTACGATGCCGACGCGAGCCGGAAGCCGTCGTGCGAGAACACAACCGAGGAGACCCCATAACTATGGCCCTCCAGCGTCTGGAGGCATTGGCCCGTCGTGGCATCCCACACCTTGACGGTCTTGTCGTTCGACGCCGACGCGAGCCGGTAGCCGTTGTGCGAGAACACAACCGAGGAGACCCCATAGCTATGGCCCTCCAGCGTCTGGAGGCATTGGCCCGTCGTGGCATCCCACACCTTGACGGTCTTGTCGCCCGACGCGGACGCGAGCCGGCAGCCGTCGTGCGAGAACACGACCGAGTTGACCGGATCGCTATGACCCTCCAGCGTCTGGAGACATTGGCCCGTCGTGGCATCCCACACCTTGACAGTGTTGTCCCTCGACGCCGACGCGAGCCGGCAGCCGTCGTGCGAGAACACGACCGAGTTGACTCCACTGCTATGGCTCTCCAGCGTCTGGAGGCATTGGCCCGTTGTGGCATCCCACACCTTGACGGTCTTGTCGTCCGACGCCGACGCGAGCCGGCAGCCGTCGTGCGAGAACACGACCGAGGTGACCAGATCGCTATGGCCCTCCAGCGTCTGGAGGCATTCATTCCACTCATCTTCCATAGCCGGCTTCAATTTGATCCAAGTCGGCTCTTCGTGTCGAAACGTCACCCGAACGCGGCTGCGCGCAGGGCTAAACACTAATGCAGACGTATAGACCTGTAGCGGATAATTCTCAATCACCCATCGATAATACATAGTAAAGCGGTGTGCATCCTGAAGAAGGCCATGCAGACTATCATCCTCCATGTTGACCATCGGGATCGGGGCAGAGCGTCCTGTGTTTCGAAGCTCGAGTGGTAGATGACCTAGTACCTCACTAGCTAGTCTGCTCAAGGACACAACAGCGCCAGGCAGTTGTTTCACAAGACTCAGACCCTCGAGCCAATGGAGAAAGTGGACCCGAAGGAATGTAGCGACTGAGTTCATTATGTCGCCGTCCTGCAATCCAGCGTTCAGCTCGAGGAGGTGGCGTATCCAGTAGGTGCATGCGTACCGAACAGCGAAGAGTGGATCCGGAGAAGGGACAACGACGTCCTCAATCGCAGCACCAGGCTGACGAACGTTGTATATGTCTCTCTTCAGAGTGTCGGACATAGCCTTCAGACAGCGCGTCACGACTTGGCGATGTTCTTCCTCCCGTGTCCGAGGGAAGATCGTATGCAAGATGTCCAGGTAGTCCTTGGCGGACTGGTGGATAAACCGAATGGTATCCTTGCGAATTGTAACAAATGAGGCACAGAGGTCGACGAGCTCGCGAAGGTGATCCAGTGGTAGCCAAAGATCCGCTACCGGAGCAAGCTCGTGGAGGGTGAGGGGCCGGTAGGTGATGGAAACTGCGCGAAGGACGTGTTTGCATCTAGTGCTAAGGTCTGGGCCGCGCTCTTCAATGAGCTGCATCATCCTTTCGTAAAGCGGTGCCAATCCAGGTGGGAGCTTCTCGAGCTCCTCCAAAATCTGCAACTGTGCGAGTCCTTTGAGATGCTTGCACACTAACGCAGCCCAAAGAAAGGTGGACTCGGCCTTCTCCATCATCCGGTCTCGGACCTGCTTCCGTAGCTTTCTGTTGTCGGCAGTGACTAGGTCGTCGACCTTCTGCTTGATGAAGCTAGCCACAGCTTCCGAGATATGGTTTTCATTGAGCTCCAAGGAAAGTAAGTTCCTGTGCTGGCTTGGCTTCAGTTCTCTGTTGAGTCGTACCGTGTAGCGACCTGAGACGAGCCACTTCGCTCTTGAATGAGGATTCGTGGTGTCTTGCCTTATCAAGTCGACTAGCTTGTCCGAATCCTGACTACACTCATCGAGAGCGTCCACAAGTATGTAAAGCCGGTCGAAGCAGGCATCACTGAGGATAGAGGTGAGCATGATCTTCAGGGTCGAGAACAAAGTCTGGTTCGGATTCTCAAACATAATTGCACGCTTGTCCTTCTTGTCCCGGTATTCTTTTGGGATGTACTGAGCCAGGCTCGGGTGTGCGCGCAATAGCATCCAGACAAGCCCCCGCAGCACGGAAATGGCATTATTGAGGCGCGGGTCTGCATTTTGGCAAAAGAAGAAGGCGAACCCAGAGGTTGGGGACCTTGACCGGGCCAATTGATTGACGAGGCCGATCATGAGCATTGTCTTGCCCTTGCCTGCTTCTCCCCTGATCCAGAGGAGTCGAGCGTCTTTGGATTGTTGCCAATGCTTCAATTGATCGTTCTCGAGGATCCAGTCAAAGCAATTGTGCAGCAAGCCGCCCTTGTCGTCTTCGATGCGAGTCATGTCAGCGCTGGGGTCGCTCTCGCAAAGGTCGGACATGAAGTCTGTCAACAGGTCTTCTGTGTCGAGTTAGTCGAGCTAGATGCATGAAGGACTTAACGCGACTACTTACGTGTCGGATCACGACTGCTAGATACTATGGTGTTTACTATTAGGATTCTTAGCTACTCAGATTCGTGCTCAATTTCGCACCTTAGTGCCTACTTATATGCATGTCTCGACCGACTGTGACGTTATCACGCCCAAATGAAATATTGCCAGAACCCGAGTTCTGTATTCTCTGTCCATCGACGTGTGGAGTGTCCCGCCCTCCTCTAACCGGGACTGTGCTTGATGGCGGTAGTGGCGATGGGGCAGGTTCCTCGGGGTCAATATACGAAAGCAACTCCTTCGCAGATCCGGCGGCCGCAGCCGCTGCGTAGTGCTGCCAGTCGTTGTTCTTGTGGGAGTCTCCATAGTCGGAAATACCGCGGAGCACGATGCACGAATACTCAGTAGCTATACCGGCCGCCTCCATCTCGAAACAGAGTATGTCGCCAACGTTATTGACGGCTGCGTCGCGTTTGTGGGCAGCTTTGACCACGCGGTCGCCAGAGGCGATCAGGCCGTAGTAGATCTCGGGAGAGCTGGTGGCACGGGCTTTGCGGGGGACGGCCCTAGCCCGGTCGCATCGCCCGCAAGTTGCCTGATCAGACGGATGAGGATAGTCGGGCTCGAAAAGGATGTCCAGCTGAGGCGGTGGGCGTGCGTAAATGGACAGGCGCGGCGACTTCTGCAGCATGTGGGACAGAAACTCGTTGACCTTGTTCTCCGCCATTAGGTGGTCGGACTTCATCATCTCGACGGCGCTTCGCAGGCGCGAGGGCGGAGGAACGAGAAAGCCCTTGAGCCGAAAGTCGTCCTCGGTGTCTTTGCCTAGGTCGTACTGTACCACGCCGCCGTACTGGCCCTCGGGCATACTGATGACCACGTCGCCGAGACGGATGTCGTGCTTGTGGCTAGGCACCCCGGCTCCGATGCCAACGAGTAGACGCCATTCAATAGAGTGGAACGAACGCGCCAGGTTTGTGGCGACGACCGCAGCCGCGCTCTTTCCTTGGCTGCCTGGCAGGCATGCGAGGACGGTATTGTGGCCGGCAAGCTCGCCGAGGACGTACATGTTCGTGTCGCCCGGTTGGGTGCGTAGGCGGGGATGCTCGCAGTCGAGTAGGTAACGGATTGCGCTCATTTCGAAGCCGATGGCGCAGATTATCGCGACGGTGTAGTCTCCATGCGCCATCTGGCGCGTGGGTTCGAGGTCCATGGCGCCAGCGGTGCCGAAGACGTGAAGTTTGATATCGCAGAAATGGTGAATGGCTTGCTCGGACACTTAGGGATTGAAGGCGGGGTCGCCGCTGGCGAGCCGCTGCCAATTGCTACAGTATCTTCCATATTTGGGGGCCTGCAGCCTGTGGCCCATTACCACTAGCAGGGCCTTACCTTTAAAGAGGAACGAGGACCATCGGCACGGATGCCACGAGTCCCGCTTTAATGCTTGGTCGAGATCCACTAGAGATCTGCCAGCGGGCCGAGCCGATATCAATCTTGTTTGGGCCTCGTTTGGTTCGTACTAGCCACGAAGCTAGGCGGCCAGGGTGCATCATAATAGGGCATTGCCTAGCGGGGATTACAGAGAGCAACACGCCGCCAGTCTCGGTGCTGTTGGCCATCGCGAGCCCCATAGGTCTTTCCAAGCGACAGAAAGTCTTAGTCTCTAAGACGCCCTGGCCATTCGGAGACTCGCACGGTCCTGCAGATGTCTTAGCCCTAACATGAATTCACTTCGTAGACTGTATCAGGAAGGCTGTACTGGATAGATACACTTTACTTGTCTCGTCAAGCCCGTCTCAATTGACGGCCATATATACGTATTTAGATCCTTAGATCCTGCTCCATACATTGGTGCAGCAGGGATGAGGGAGGCGGTCTTGTGTCGAGGCAGCTCCACAGCAGCAGCATTGGCTGGTGCATGTGCTTACAGCCCATGTCGCTTGGCACACAGAGCCTCGCAAGGCTGAGTGGGCGCAGGGGCACGTGTCCGATACAGTTGTAAGGCCGGAGTCGCCATCTAGCGCGTTTCGCGAAAACAACTCTTTCCTGTTTTGACTACATTACAAGCATACCATGGACAGTCTCTCCAGAAAGCGTAGACTCAGTGGATCCACTTCCACCGCTCCGCGATCCTTTCCTCGGGGACAGCCTGCGTTTAGCACCGCAATTCACCACACCAGCGTTCCAGAAGCTCCAACACATATCCATAGCCAGACAATCCAGAATGGCGGCTCCGGAAGTATCGCAATCGGCCGCGACAACATCGCTGTGACGGGCGACTTGTACATGGGTTCGTTAGCCCTATTCCTTCACCTCAATCGTCAATAACGTAAATACAGGAAGCAACGGCCCAGGGGAAGACGCTGCGTGTCTTAGAGACCTTCGAGCCACCGACCCGCGCCATGATAAGATACGAATCGAGCAAACAAAAGGTGGCCTCCTCCCAGCCTCGTACCGCTGGATTCTGGACAACGCCGAGTTTAGACAATGGCGCGATGACCCAGAGACACATCTGCTCCGGATCATGGGCGACCCTGGCAAAGGCAAAAGCATGCTCCTCTGCGGCATCATCGACGAGCTGACGCCAGTCACCGGCAGGAGCCTGTCCTATTTCTTCTGCCAGGACACTGACGCGCGTATCAACAGCGCGACAGCTGTGCTTCGGGGGCTTATCTACATGCTCGTTGGCCAGCAGCCGTCGCTGATTGGACACCTGCGGAAACAGTACGACCACGCCGGCCGAGCTTTGTTCGAGGATGCGAACGCCTGGATTGCGTTGTCCGAGATTTTAACGGACATCTTACGGGACCCTGCGCTTCCGCCGGTCTTCATAGTCATCGATGCCCTCGATGAATGTACGAAGGACTTGCCGAGTCTGCTGGGCTTCATCTCTCGAACCGTAGGGAAGTCTCCGGCCAAGTGGCTCGTATCGAGCCGCAACAACATCGACATCGAGCGCGGGCTGCGTCTAAATCCTTCGGGTGCTCGGCTCAGTCTTGAGCTGAGAGAGAACGCAGAGCAGGTCGCACACGCAGTCGACGCATACATTGACTATTGTGTCTCCCAGCTGCTTGTAATTTCGGATGTTGCGCTTGAAGGCCAAGTCAAAGACAAGCTGCGCCAGAAGGCTGATGGAACATTTCTCTGGGTATCCCTTGTCGTCCCGGAGCTCCGCGACACAATGAGCTTGGATATGCTAGAGGTCATTGAGGAGACGCCGTCTGACTTGACAAGCGTCTACCGCAGGATGATGGACCGTCTTCAGCGGCTACCACGTGGTTCGGGCCGCTGCCTGGAAATACTCTCGGTCGTTGTAACAGCATATCGCCCACTTCATCTCAAAGAGCTGCGAGTTCTGTCTAAATTGCTCGAAAGATGTAGCACAGACGATTGCAGACAGGCAGTGGCCATGTGCGGGTCCTTCCTTACAGTCCGGGAGGAGCACGTATACATTGTCCACCAGTCCGCCAAGGACTTCTTGTCCGCAGACGCCTCACTTTTTATATTGCCTTCGAGAGTGGGAAGAGTGCACCACGGAATAGTATACAGGTCGCTCCAGTGCTTGTCCACGACGTTACGGCGAGACATATACAACCTTCGTCAGCCCGGTGCTGCAATTGAGGACGCCATTATACCTTCTCCGGATCCACTCTTCGATGTTCGGTACGCATGCACCTACTGGATACGCCACCTCCTCGAGCCGAACGCTGGATTGCAGGACGACGACATAATGAACTCAGTCGCTACATTCCTTCAGATCCACTTTCTCCATTGGCTCGAGGGTCTGAGTCTTGTGAAACAACTGCCTGGCGCTGTTGTGTCCTTGAGCAGACTAGCTAGTGAAGTACTAGGTCATCTACCAATCGAGCTTCGAAACACAGGACTCTCTGCCCCAATCCCGATAACTAACATGGAGGATAATAGTCTATACGGCTTTCTTCAGGATGCATACCGCTTTACTATGTATTATCGATGGGTGATTGAGAATTATCCGCTACAGGTCTATGCGTCTGCATTAGTGTTTAGCCCTGCGCGCAGCCGCGTCAGGATGACTTTTCGACACGAAGAACCGACTTGGCTCAAAATGAAGCCGGCCATGGAAGATCAGTGGAATGCATGCCTCCAGACGCTGGAGGGCCATAGCGATGAGGTCAACTCGGTCGTGTTCTCGCACGACGGCTGCCGGCTCGCGTCGGCGTCGAGCGACAACACCGTCAAGGTGTGGGATGCTACGACGGGCCAATGCCTCCAGACGCTCGAGGGCCATAGCGATGCGGTCAACTCGGTCGTGTTCTCGCACGACGGCTGCCGGCTCGCGTCGGCGTCGAGGGACAAGACCGTTAAGGTGTGGGATGCTACGACGGGCCAATGCCTCCAGACGCTGGAGGGCCATAGCATTGGAGTCAACTCGGTCGTGTTCTCGCACGACGACTGCCGGCTCGCGTCGGCGTCGAGGGACAAGACCGTTAAGGTGTGGGATGCTACGACGGGCCAATGCCTCCAGACGCTTGAGGGGCATAACAGTTGGGTTAGCTCGGTCGTGTTCTCGCACGACGGCTGCCGGCTCGCGTCGGCGTCGTACGATAAGACCGTCAAGGTGTGGGATGCTACGACGGGCCAATGCCTCCAGACGCTGAAGGGTCATAGCAATGAGGTCAACTCGGTCGTGTTCTCGCACGACGGCTGCCGGCTCGCGTCGGCGTCGAGCGACAACACCGTCAAGGTGTGGGATGCTACGACGGGCCAATGCCTCCAGACGCTTGAGGGGCATAACAGTTGGGTTAGCTCGGTCGTGTTCTCGCACGACGGCTGCCGGCTCGCGTCCGCGTCGTACGATAAGACCGTCAAGATGTGGGATGCCACGACAGGCCAATGCCTCCAGACACTCGATATGGGGATGAAAGTATCTCATATCGAGTTTAACAAACAAGGGGACTGCCTCCACACTGATCTTGGCACATTTACGCTTTTACCTACGGCATCAGAACAAGCCTCTTCGATCTTATCCACGTCCTTTTCGCATTCGTCTCCAAACAAGCAGCGTTATGGCTATGGTCTAAGCGCAGATCGCACTTGGATTCTATTCGACGATGAAAAATGGCTCTGGCTACCACCAGAGTATCGTCCTACTGTATCAGCTGTAGGTAAGAGGAGGGTAGCTATTGGATGTGCGTCTGGCCGCGTGCTACAATGGGCATTTTAGTGCGAGACTTTGCATAGATTGCGGGTAGCTTACTAGGTCGTACTTCTTCTCACTTTGTAGTATTGGGTGCCTCCTCAGGCCAAGCTCCTGTGCCTAGACTGTCCCTACACTATTATCTCGTATCGCAGGTGCATCGCCAACGCCTCGTGTTTGTGCCGTAGTCGCATCTTTTGACTGCCTTGTTATGCCTCGTTTTCTCTCTTTGTATGTATCTCGTGTGGTAGTGATCAGTTGTTAGGTTGAACAGGAAATAACGCACTAGTGTAGGTTGCTGGAACCCCCCCCCCCCCCCCGGGGCCCCCCGGGCGACGTTGACGACGAGGACGATGATGATGACTCTGACTCTGACGATAGCGAAATTGAGTACGATGACGACAACTACTCCAGCGTCATACCCTCGACTCTAGTCCCTCGACTTACACGAATCGTGATTTCTGCGAGCTAGCACCTTCTAAACTTCTGCAAAAGCATGAAGGGCACGGCAAGGAGAGAAAGGCAAGGAGAGCAAGGGTAAGGCTAGCAAGGGCAAGGAGCGCAAGAGCAAAGAGTCCAAAGGCAATGACAGCAAGCGCAGCAGGTAGATCCCTGTTCACAGCTCCTCAAGCAGACCTAGAAACATATAAATGAGGGCCTGTTACCACCTACAGGCTGACAAGACCATGAATCTGTAAGCCAGCCGATATTGTGTAGACTGCGCTCAGCAAACTTGCTTGCAACTTCATTTTCCTACTTCCATGCATAAGAATTCGAGCCATCATTCGTGCGAGTGATCAAGTGATTTCGCGCAGGTTCAGGGCAATGGCACTCCGATTTTCGTGCCGGCGGTTTGATACGCTGCTCTGCCGAAGCTGCGCGAGGGAGTGAAAGCCGAGCATGCTACCGGAACGCTCTCAGCTCTCGTACGGCACGAGGAGTTCTTCTACATTGTTTTACTTCTGAGAAGTGGCCCTCCTCCTTGTCAATCTCACCGCTCACTTCTGACTGAGGGTTGGTCGCTTCAGTCTAGTACTGTGAGTTGTCGACTCCAACTTGTGCACGCTAACCCCCTCTGCCTTTCTTCGGCTTGGCTCGACATTACCAAATTTCTTAAGCGTTCTCATCGGCCTCTCTTGGGGCAGCAGAGCTAATCGTGTTCAGCAAACATCCGAACAATTCATGCCCGCACAGAAGGTGCACAGGAAAAGCGGGCATTCATGAGTTTACCGTCGGAACAAGATCTGAGAAGGGCGACATTATGATGTGTGCAAGCGTCAGCAGGGATTTGTCATCAGCCATTGAACAGTTCGAGTTGGCCTTCCGTTACCTGCTCAGACGTTACTTTGATAGACCGTTACGCAGCTGGGACATAACGGAGGGATTTTATGCACGACTGCGATTTATACAGTGTGGCTGGGCGGACAGATCCGGCTGGGAGCTGGTTGGAGCGGGGCGGGCCTCAGGTACCCACTGAGCACCCTGCACCCATTGGAAAATACAGTTACGCGGTACCCTTGCAGCTGGAGCTCGATCAGGGGATGCGGTACATTGCGTGCCGCACAACTATGGTGGAGGGACAAGTACCGCTTTCGCAGGCCTCCCCCCTAGCTTCATCTGGGCACTTCCAACATGGCCGCTTCGGACATCTTACGTGTTAATGGCATCGGATTTACAGCCGCCTCCTCAGCAGCTCCCCTAGCAATCACCAGACGACCCTTAACGAGACCAACACAACTCTGTCGCAGCTTCAAAGAAGCTCTCCGAAGCATCGAATCCTCACAATCGCCCCTATCTTTCAACATACTCAGCACAGGTTGTGGGCGACGCTGTTCCAGGAGCGACCTCGCTTCCATGTCGCCCTGAGAGCTGCCACTGCGCCGGCTGCGCAGCTCACACGATTGTCCGACCACAGCACGATTTCGGAGACGATGTCCTTCAGCTTCTCCAGGTTTCTGCAGCTAGAGCTTTGAACCGACCATGTGGCCGAACCGCGTCGCGGGACAGTCCCCGTCCCCGAACCCTTCACAACCAGGAAGCCGTGCCTTCTCGCCAACGCCTCGACGAACGCCCAGCGGCAATGGTCCGTACATAACATCACAACAACGCCCAGGACTCCCGCCTCGGTCGGCCTCTCTCCTGTCTCTGGCGTCGAACGAGTCTTCGAGCTCTTCAATCCCCACGTCGAAACGCGCCAATGGCTCTACCCTAAAGCAGTCCACCACCGTATACTCAGGGCCAGATCCTGTCACAGTCCTGAGTGCAATTCTTGGCAATGACGACCCCGGGGGTGAGAAGATAGATGGCAACGAGTATACAATATCGGCAGAAGACCTCGAGCTCGAGCTTGACTTTGGTGGCCTATCCTTGCGAGAACTCGCGCTTTCGGAAGAGCCCGAGCAGGTGGAGACTGCGAACCAGTACCAGAGACAAAGCATCGCTGATTGTGAGTTGGGGTTCCTCCCGTGTCCGAGTCTACTCATGCACCCAGCTAACGTGGCGATCGTGACAGATGAGCAGGAAAAGGCCAAATTCGATGACCTTCACCGTTCGATCCGTGCTTGCGACGATGTCCTGGGTTCCGTGGAGACGAATTTGACGAGCTTTAGGAATGATCTTGCCGCCGTGTCCGCCGACATTGAGACACTACAAGCTCGCTCGACTGCGCTCAACATCAGACTAGAGAACCGGCGAGCGGTCGAGAAAGGCTTGGGGCCGGTTGTGGACGAGATCAGTGTGTCTCCGTTTGTCGTGTCGAAAATAGTCGATGGCCCCATAGACGAAGCTTGGATCAAAGTTCTTGCCGAAGTCGACAGAAGGGCAGCGGCATATGAAAAGGGCGGCTCTGCCACAGAGAGGAGCAAAGGCCTCCAGGATCTGGGCCCGCTGCTAGAGAAGCTTGTCCTGAAGGCGATTGAACGCATACGTGACTATCTCGTAGGCCAAGTCAAGGCTCTTCGGTCACCTAACATCAACGCCCAGATCCTCCAACAGCAGAATTTCCTGAGGTTCAAAGACTTGTACACTTTTCTCCACAAGCATCACGCCACGCTGGCCGAGGAGATATGCCAAGCATACCTGAACACCATGCGGTGGTACTACCACAACCAATTCAGCCGCTATGAGGGCGCATTGAAGTCGATTAAGCTCCACGTCCTAGACAAGACGGATGTGCTTGGCAATGAGGACACTTCGAGAAAGGGGACAGTTCGCGCAGGCTCAAAAACCATGGGGCCGCCACATGATGCGTTCAATCTAGGAAGGCGAATAGACGTCATACGCACCAAGAGCCAACACGCGCTCTCGTCTCACATCGCGGAGGAAGATCAAGCAACACATTACTTGGAAGTCCCCTTTCGCAACTTCAACCTCGCTCTGGTCGACAACACGACGGCAGAGTATACCTTCTTAGCAGCGTTCTTCTCCCCAGCTTTGAGCTACGGCGCCATCTCGCGACATTTCACATACATATTCGAGCCAACGTTTCAGCTTGGCCATACCATGACCAGAACTATAGTTTCCGACACATTCGATGCTCTTGGCTTGTTGCTCGCCGTGCGGCTCAACCAGCAATTCCAGTTTGAGCTACAACGACGCAAGATCCCAACGGTAGACGGCTACATCAACGGTACTGCGATGCTGCTCTGGCCCCGGCTGCAGTACGTCATGGGTGCCCACTGCGACTCCCTGCGGCAATTGACCACCGCCTTGCCAACCAGCCGCTCGAAGGCCGACCAGGCCAAAATGTCTGCGGCGCCACACATGGCTACGCAGCGGTTTGGCCAGCTCGTGCAGGGCATACTGTCCCTCAGCACAGAAGCAGGGGATGACGAGCCCATTATCACAAGCCTTCGCCGTCTGCGCAGCGAGATGGAGGCCTTCTTGACCAAGTACAGCACGGGTTTCGGCGCAGACAAGAGGAAGCGCGAGCGGTTCTTGTATAACAACTACAGTTTGATCCTTACCATTATAAGCGATATCGGCGGCAAGCTCGCCCAGGAGGAACAAAGCCATTTTGACACCCTCAAGACCGCGTTCCAGGAGGCGGCTTGAATCAGGCTAGGGCAAGTCTGCGCGTGATAGCAGAGAAAGCATCCCCTTGTGGACGTCTGCAGTCAAGCGGAGGATCATCGGTCGTAGTAGCACGGTTAGCAACTTTACGCCATGAGTCACGTACAATCAGCGAAGGCCACAGAGTCTTATGATGTACAAAAGGGAAGAGACTCGCATATGTCTTGATCATCTATTTGCCAGCTTGTGAATAAGACATGTCTTTTTTCCCTTATAAGTGGAGGCAAGACAAGCTGCTCGTAATTAGCAAGCGCGAAAGCCAAATCGTTGTCTTTGGAGTCCTTACTCTTGTAAATGGCTGCACTTGCGTGCCCACAACATGCGGCGGAATAAATTATCCTTGGCAGATTGAATAGATACTACAAGTGGCTGAATCTTGTACCCCAAAGTCATCATGGCGGATTTACGCGCCGCGAATTGAAAACGCCCTGCAATATCGTCTCCTGCCTGCTGCCACTCAGGAAGACCGAAAGCAGGGACTACGTCCTGGGTTCTATTCCCTCTAGTTGTGTAACACGATCTAGCAGTCCCCCCTGAGTGCTGTTGGTTCCCCATGGGCACAAACCCTCTTTAAAGCCAATCCGTGAGGATCCCTAGTCCCCCTCCACCCGAAGCGGTGCCTTTGCTCCTCAAGTACACGGCGGCCGCGACGCCGACGAGCAGCGTCAGCACGGCGGTCCTGTTCTGCCAGGTGTCGTAGCTGCTGATCGTGCGCATCTTCTCGGCCCAGTGGAGGTCGCGGAGCTGCTGGTCGAACAGGGCCTTGCCGTCCTCGAGGCTCTGCGCCGCCGAGGCGCGGACGTCGCGTGCCGTCTTGAGCACGCTGGCGCGCGGGACGGAGCGCCACCCGCGGAGGGACTCGGGCGGGTGCTTGGCGAAGAGGCCCGCGGCCTCGATGATGACGGCGTCGATGTCGAGGTTGCTGGGGAGCTTGGACAGGGTGAAGTGCAGCATGTCTGGCTCGTCGAGGTCGAAGAGTTCCTCGCGCCGGTCCAGGACGATCTGGGCGAAGATGTAGATGGTAAAGACCTGCTCGCGGGCGAGGAGCACGTCGAACAGGCGTGCAATGTCGCTGTACCGCTGGATGTTGTGGGCAAACATGGTCAGGGTGTCTGAGAGCGCAAAGTACGGCTCCGTGGTCGACAGGTGGCGGCAGAGCTTGGGGTCTACGGCGTAGAGGAGCTCCGGGATGAGCTTCAGGTGTATGAGGGACGGAGCTAGGTTGGGGAGCATGAAGTCTCGGATCCGTAGTCCGGATAGTCGCGCGACTGCCGGCGCGCGGAGCGGCTTGGGGAGGACCAGGAGGAAGACCTGGCATATGTCGTGATAGCCTTGGAAGTAGCAGAGCCATGGTTGCCGCCTGAGCACCTCTGTGATGAGTTCTGAAAGCTCGATCTTCTTGGTCTCCAGTCCAGATTGGGAGTCGTCTTTGCGAGTTTGTCAGTAGGTGGGCAGAACAGAGTGGTAGCGTTAGGCATCTCACCATTGGGGTAGTACACAAAGCTTCGATCCACGTCGAGTCGGACCTGGTCCTCATCGCGATGACGAGGCAGTTCGTGCCAGGGTTCGTTGCGCTGCCGGGCATCATCAGGGACTGCCCGATCGAGCTCGGATTTCATCCCATGCTCGACGACATCTTCGTTGAAGCCAAGAAGGACGGGCCCTAGGAAGCTCTAAGGATTAGCTACCGCCGTGCGGGTAGTACAAGCAAGCACGATATGCAACCTACAAGCCCGTGATCTCAGCTCATCACTTATGAATCCACCTTCCATCACGGCAAGCTCACTAAGCCGGCATACATCGCGCCGACTACACGCCTCTATTATTTTGCGTAACTTTTCGGAATCCGATGGAGGCTCTGGGCTTCGACCATCTTGAGATTTCTCACTTGGTTCATGTGTCGTGGTTGAGCCTGCTTCGACCTTGACATCGACCGAGCCCTCATCAGATTGCCCCGACATCATCAAAACGCAGCCAGAAGCAGCGATCCGCCCAAAATAGCCTCGTTTACAGGACGGGCCGACTGCCACGAAAGGCTGGAAGCCTCGACAGGTCCCCGCACAGTCAAGCACCAACCACGCCGCGCCGATGCTTGTTGCCGACGTCGTATGTGCCGTCTGACAAGATGGGGTATTTTCTGTGTCCAAGTAGCCTTTTCGGGCCAGGTGCCTAAGCCTACCTGGCAGTCAAGGAGTGCGAGAAGATTTATGTTCCCTGCAGCCGGAATCGCGATCCCCCCCTGGGCGATAATGGCCGTGGTAGTAGTCGTGGAGGTCGCAGGCGCGGGCGGGTGAGTCCAAGCAGGGGCGTCTGATGCGATTGGCTGGCTCTGAGAGCACGAGACAGGAGATGGGGGAGGGGACAGTGTGAAGGACGACTACGACGAAGGAAGGCTTGGCCAGGTTGATGCTGCGATTGGACGAAGGGAGCAAATACTGTTTCGCGGACCCTGCAAAGACGGCGTAGGCGAGGGAGCATGAGAGCTCTAGATTAGGCGCACGTCGAGGTCGGCAGCGACAGGCTTCATCCAGGGCCCTCGGGCCGGATTGTCGGATGGTGGGGCCTGCCGTGGGCTGCCTGGACGCTATAATGATCAGCCCTGCCAATTGCTATGGCCCTGAAGTGTTTCAAGGCTAGCGCCTCATCCACGAGCTTGGAAGGTAAAAGGCGAGGCGTGTGAGAGCGGTTCATCCCTTCGCCCCAGCCTGTAACCGAGATGATACTCCAGGAGAGGGTTTGCATCATGCTCATGAACCCCCGGGCCAACATCATCAAGACACACCTGCGCAGACAGCACGCATCAATGAGAGAAAGGAGATGACATGTTCATGTGGACATCTGCACTGCCCGTCACTCGATGCTTGTCCGCGCCATGCGAATGCGTCATGCGAACGAGCCACACCCAGCAGCCCCCGCGAGCGGCCCTGATGTACCAGTCTTGTGTGTGAAGGCTATGAATCATCTCCGGGGGGGGGGGGCTGTTCTACATTTTGGAAAAATTGGAAATACAAAAGACACGCAGGATCTTGCAAGTCAGTTGACATGGCGCTCAACGCCCATGTCTGTGCTGCTCAACAGTAGAAGACACGGCACGAAGTCTCTAGACTTTAAGACTTTAAGGAATCACCCGCCAGCCTGACGCCCTCTGCTAGCCGAGCTAACTAGGTGCTTGAAGTACTTAGCCCTGCCACGATTGACCCTGGCCGTGTGGAGCAGCATGATGCAAAGGCCCGGGAACTGTCAGTCAAGCCTCGATGCCGTCAGTCCAGTCCTAGAAGTGATCTGTCATAAATCTTGGCTCGATGGCCGTTCTGCAAGGTGCCAGCTCCCTGGTTGAAGCTACTGGATCGGCTAGGGCCTAGCAGAGAAGAAGGCGATCATCCTGTTCGCTTCGACCACAGGTAGCCTCGGCTGCTGACTTGTGGGCGGATGGGGTAGGCGTCATGCTCCAATATGTATGATGTTGTCAGATGGCCGCTCAAGAACAACGACCAGCAGCAACATGAGGGCTCCCAAGCACGCCGCGTCTGGGCAGTAAGGGCAGAGTGCTCCCTGGAGAGAGCTTGAGCTCGGGCGGGTGCTACTGCACGCTTTAAAAGTGATGACAGGCACGACACAGCCAATCGCGAGTTCGGGGGGGGGGGGGGCGGTTTCGAGGGAGACATCGAGGAACGCCATTCCCGTGCGCATTGTCGATCTGCAGGGCTGTCCCGAACAACGTCGCACAACGAGCCCAGCCTACTGCCGGTATCTTGGTCTGCCCGCCGCACCGGGTTCAGCTGGCACGAGTATTGTTTGCCTCTCGGTGTCAGCACATCCTTGGCCCTCTTGGGTCCCTCACTCTCTCTGTTGCGCTCACCCCGAGTTGGCACGCCCGCCCCCGTCCGCGCAAAAGCCACAGCTGTTGCGGCCCAAAAGTACTGCGACTGGCCTTGGACCTCACCACGGCGCGCCCAGCCTACGCCCGTTCCCGGAGCCTGCTTGCTTTTCCCTCCCCGGCCATCAACAGCTTCCAACTCCGCTCCTCCCGGCCGACAAGTGCGGCGCCCGCACATCAGTCCTCCGTATTCGGGTCTGCCTCGAACCATTCTCCAGGTTTTGGCAGTCTGACAATCTTCTCTAGGCGTCGTGGAGAGTTTCCTTGCCTAGCCTGCCGGTCCACAGTGGACAACAACCCTGGCTTACCCCCTGCGACCCATACATGCACCTGTGCGGCGTGTCCATGCCAGGGTAGTAGTCCGCTTCGTGGTTCTCTTGCTAGCACGGCTCACACTTTCCATCTGCGAGCGGGCATGGCGTGAAGCACCACAAAGTCTCAGTCGTTCCTCACTCAAGCGAGGCGAACCTCTGCGTCGTCAAACAGCCAGCAGTGTCGTCAGATGCGGAGGGGACCAGGGCGTACCGTGGCTTGGGCACATCCACGAGATACCCCGCATCCGCAACTCCGTGATTCTTGAGGCACGGAGTCATATCCGGCCATTCATCCTCGCACGACGGCTCAGCCCTTCTCTTCAAGAGCTTCCTGCCAAACAGGGACTACGCCATCCCAGCACCGTTATGCCTCGAGGTCTCTGAGCACAGAGACTAGATAACGAGACGTCTTCGCCTTGCCATGGTCTGACCAGCACATCACATCACCACCTCTCCTGTTCACGACTCAGGGAGCAAGTACTCGACTGGCTAACACGCATATCGTTACACGCACTGAGCCTTGGTCAGGTCTTTGCAGCTAGCAACGAGCGCTTCCGCGCGCCTCTTCGCTCCACACCGAATTTCTTGTCCGCAAGGAACATGGTCGCCCAATATGTCGATCCAATCAAGTGTGTTCGAGAATGGCGAATGGGTCACCAGGGCCATGACGACAGCCGAGCTCATTAAACAGAACGGACATTCGCGCCGTCCTGGAATGGGAAGACAGCCTTTGGCCGAACCTCCGACGTGCGGGCTCCTCACAAGGACAGTCGTTGATAGTCCAGTCACTCGATGGATCCTACCCGTGAGGCTCCGGTCCTCTCGGTTCAATGATGTTGCTTTCATTGGAGTAAGTGTCTGCCTGTCTAAGTCATATATGTACAACCCAGCAACACTATGGGCAAATAGCATATGGCCATCAATAGGGATAGTCTTACAGCAACACTGACTGCTTGTGTGCTCTGCGATTGTTTAGGAAAACTACGTCCAGATTTTTGAGCTGGACGAACTTAATTCACAGTTGCGCGACATCAAGCGCAAACGCGACTTCTCGGCCAAGATTCGCAATGCCGCGATCATCGGGCCAGCAAGTCGCCATCCAGAGGATGATGGAATGAACAGCGATGTCTTTCCGAAAGTGGAGAATGATGCCGACATCGACATGACTGATCGCGCCGCCGGACAAAGTGTTCTTCCTCCTCAACTTTTAGTGCTTGTACTCGAGAATGGGCAAGTCCTGTTCTTGTTCATGACGAAAGGTTCCTCAGGCCAGTGGGTGTTCGAGACTTCGTATTGGTCCTTGCCAGTATCCCATAATGCGCCCATTCCGCTGCATCATCTAACCGTGGACCCTCGTTCTCGTTATCTATGTTTCGGCCACACGACGACCTTGTTCGTCATTTGCGAGCTCGAGACCATGGAGACCCTTCGTCAGCGGTATTCCTCTGGCTTGCCATTGGATCCGGTCAAGAAGATGCATCCACGTGCCATCAGTGGTTCAATTGGGAACATCAGCTTCCTATACCCGGCCTTAGACGCCGAGTCACATGTCATACTTCTCGTAATCATGATCCAACGGAATTCCACGAAGCTCGCTTACTACGAGTGGGAACACGGTCATGAAGAACTCAGCGAGGTCTTTCACGTGGAGAAGCCTGGGCTTAAACTCCACGAGGAGTTCAGGCTACCTCTGATGGTAATCCCACTCACAGTCCGCAGTGCGTTTATCATTGTAACTGAGGGAGCTCTGGCCACAATATCTGGCCTTTTGGAGGGCTCTCTGAAGTACGACACGTTCGACCTGGACTCACAAGATCCTACCGACTTTCACCATGGGAGAAGTCACCCTCTTTGTGTTGCATGGACTCGACCGGTACGCGAGGCACAGTTTCATGAAAGCCAAGATGTCATCTACCTGGTCCGCGAAGATGGCATCATAAACTTCCTGGAGGTTGGTGTTGATCCAGGTATAGAGACGAGCCTCGAGATGGGTGAAGTCGACTGCAATTTTGACACCGCATTCGCCTGCATGTACGACCGCTTCGGCGATGTCCTCCTGGCAGGTGGCGAATCTGGACCAGGCGCGATGTGGAACGTAAGCGCGCGAAATTCCAGATCCAACAACTCGAGCATCACCTAGCATCAGAAGCTAATGAGACTGTGCTATAGATTCAGCCAAAGGCGAAGCTGCAGCCTATCAGGAAGTTTCCCAATTGGGCACCCATGGTCGACCTCACGGTCATGCACGCTACCGTACCAGGCGAACGACACCATAAATCTCTCGGGCCAACCACTCGCCACTATACAGGAATCAGGGACGGCCTCACCCGCCCTGACAGGCTGTTTGGCTGCTCTGGGAAAGGGAGATCAGGAGTCATCACAGAGTTCCGACATGGACTTGAAGCACAAATTGGCCTGGAAATGAATTATCCGGTGGTCATACGGCAGTGTTGGATAGTGTCAACGACGCACATTCCAGTCGAGGATTCGATACTTCTGCTCTTGGCCCTTCCCGATTCGACGTCGGTCTTACAGATCCAAGCCTCTGCAGATGGTGGCGCTTATGAGATGTCAGAGGCGGACGTGCCGTGGGACCTCACAGCGAGAACCCTTGCCTTCACAGAACATAAAGGTTCCTCGATCCAGGTGACCACGAAATCAGTGACAGTGGCTTCGAGCGATTTCAGGTACGACTTTCCCAACTGACGGGAACCTGCCGCCAGCTAACATGATATTCGTGTCATCAAGGTATCGATCAAGCACTTCGGATTTATTCGGCGACGTACATACCAGCATTGCGCATGCGTTCATTCTCGAGAATCAAATCGTCCTTGCAGTCCGTTCTGGCTCGTTGCAGAAGGTGGTGGCCCTGCACACAGGTGACTCCGGTATCGCCATCAACGGCAGCTTCGATGTCCTTGACGAGATCACGTGCCTCTCAATGACAAGACTGCGAGGCACTCTTGTCACTCTGGTAGCCACTTGGCACGGCAGAAGTGTCCAACTCGCGGTATATCCCGAGGCAGACTCTGGGACGGCGCCAGTCATACTTCCGCTGCAAGCTCGTAAGTTTGTACCCGTCCGTGTGACAGAGCTTTAATCGAACTCGCTGAACTAAACGACAAAACCAGTGATGACCGATGTGCTTGCTGGAACGGATTTAAACCTCTGCCCGTGCCCCATCGAGCCGCTGACTTCCATGGTTCCTGTTCCTGTCAGTTCTGAGAATGGCTCGCTATGCGTGACCGCGGGCACGCGGAGTGGTGAAGTGTTAACCATTCACGTCCAATCTGGTCATCATACAGTCACAGTCGAGAAACTCGGGGTAACGCCTGTCCAGGTCTCCTGCCTCTCATTGGCAGACGAGCCCTCCATGATCATGGCTACGAACGATGAAGAGCCAGTCTGGATGACCGGGTTCCAATTAACGAAATCTGGCGCATGCTTCAAGCGAAAGCATCGAGTCTGGCCAGCGGCAATAGGGGAACCAAATTTCCCAGCTATGTCGATCGGTGCTGTCGCACGCGTACCGCCGCAATCCTCCAACAGCCGCGAGCTCATGCATTTGATCATGGTCTCCGGTTCTCAGATCATGTACATTGATTTACATACCCGGCCTCGCCCGCTAATGCGACAATTTCCCACCAATGGAACTCCTACGAAAGTGCGCTACGATGCGAACTGTAACGCCCTGGTCACTGCGGTTGCCCGTGAGGGTCGATCAATCTTGTGTCTATTCGACCCAGAAACAGGTGTCGAAATATCAGAACCACGCACCCTCGTGACAGCTCCAGATGGCAAAAAGCAACCGCGCGTTTGCGAGCAGATTGACGGCCTCAGCACACGTGCAGGTCAAGATTCTGCTGTCAAGATCATGTGCCTGGACGCTTGGAGCATCCGGCATGAACATCATACTTGGCCGCATCTGCTTTTGGGCTGTCGCACGGAACCTAAGGAACCAGGCGGCGACGCCAGAGGTCTGCTTCTGGTTGTCAAAGTGGAACATGTGGTTAGCAATGTGCCGGTTTCACCTCAACGAAGAGTGCCAATCATGCGGAAGTTCGCCAGCAAGTTTGCCGCACCGATCACCGCCATCACAAGCCATGACCACGGGGTCTTTGTAGCTTTTGGCAGCACGGTGGAGTACATGAAGATAGACCCTGAAGTCAAGAAGCTGAAAACGGTCAAAAGCTTTGATTTGCCATCACCAGCACGATCTTTGCACATCAGAGCTGATAAGCTTCACGTTGTAACCTCGGCGCATTCACTGGTCGTCCTCGACTTTTCCAACGACTCACTTGGCCGGGAGCATATGGTGCTGCTACACTCTGACGAGATGTCGCGGCGGTCGCTAGACGTCATTGATGTCGGCCTCTTTCTTGAACACGATCGACGTCAGTCAATTGCAATGTTGTCTGACATGAGCTGTGGCGTACACGGGCTGTGGTTGGCTTCACAGGAGGAAAGTCCACTGGTCCCTTTATTCCAAGCTGAGACCCGAGCGTCCATATTGAAGTTTGGCCGTGCCAACACCCGAGCGCGATGGCACACATTTCAACGGCCCCTCAAGTTTGGATGCCTGCAGAGTGGCAAAGACAACTCGGAAATCGTGGGCATCAGCATTGATGGAGCTCTGCACCACTTTACCCTCATCAACGAGCACGCCTGGCGACTGCTGAGGTTCATCCAGAACCTGGCCATGGCCGCCCCTGCCACCGGCTCCTACCGCAGTCCTCCCAACGGCTTTGATGTGCATGGCCCAGAGCCCCAGTCTGACAAGAAAGTCATGATGCACGTGGATGGAGACGTCTTGCAGCAGTGTCTCGACAGACGTGCCTTAGAGGTTCTCGTGAGCGACCAGAGACATTCGACACGACTGCAACAGCTCCTGGAAAAGCTCGTGCCCACGGATTCTCCAGATCACCATGCGACCGCCTCCGAGGCGATCGTGGATTTCGATCTCGTCTATGAAGTCCTGGAGTATTATCTCTGTCCGATATTGTAAAACCACCAGGCAGACCTGGCGTACTTGGAATGGATTCTCCAGGTTGCCTTTATCAGGCTCATCGGTGGAAGAAAATAGAACAGGTCATTCCAATCTTTTATATATAGATATATCTCACTTCGTTGCACACTCAAACAGCACTGGGTCAGCCGTATAGCGGCTTGAAAGGAGCCTTGGCATGGAAGTCTTGTGTCAGCGAGTCGATTTTCGACACCTGGGGTCTGTGAGAACCGCTGCAATATTCTCCTGAACCGCCGGCCTGCCACAGAGCTGGCAAATAAGGCCTAAAGATTCTTCGAAGGGTCTGCATATGTTGTCGAGATTCTGCCCGAGTTACAGGGTGATGAGTGCCGTTGCTGGGTGGCTCTGGTGTGTTGTCATGTTCCCCACCAAAAGTTTTCTGTTTGTAAGGCGGCCACCCCGCCTCCCCAAGTTGCTGTTATCGCCCTGCCCGGGTGGTGTCAAAGAACGATAACACACCGTGGGGTGACTGTAGACTCTAGTTCGCGTCATAATTTTCGAGTCGATGCCCAGAGATCACTCGGTTCTGCATCACTTCAGGGTTTCGGGCCTTTACTGGTGGTCGCCCAGGCGGGAAAGACGGTTTGGTCTCTATTCCGAAGTGAGCAAGTGAGTAGGCAATGATTGGTTGCCTTGAGTCTTTGTGACGATCGCAAAATGACACACTGGGCCCGCCTGGACCAAGCATCACGTCAAGCACCTCCAGAACCTAGAAACGAGATTCCAAAGCTCTCCACAGGGGTGACGACATGGGCCGACGCTCTGGGGCGTAGGAGTGGTAATTAAATCTGTTTTCTTCTTGGCGACCGCTTGACGGCCACGGGACGGCGGCCTTGCTGGCTTTCCGTCAGGTACTTCGTACGTAAGTACAAGCCGGAGAGCCGACCACGCGGTGCCAAGCTTGCACGACGAGACTGGGGAGTGCGCAGTCGAAGGACTGAATGGAAGCGCGATGAAGGGGCCCGAATATTCTAGCAGGGTGCGCCCCCAGTTGCCGTGCGCCCCTTGGGGTGAGGCTAAGGCGGGGTTGCTGTGTGTGCCTGGGCAACACGACGAGCAAAGAATAGAAGGAGGGGTGGGCGGAGAGCGCGCGAGCAGCAGCGGCGGCGCCTGCCAACGGAGCAAAGCGCAAGCAGCGCCAGTCTGGTGCCATCCCAAAAAACGCTGCCCGATTTTTCCAAGGCGCAGATCGGCTCCAGTCCCCCCAGGCAAATCTCGAGCAACGCAACAGCACGAACGGCTGCTTGCTCCTCCCTACTTCCTCTCTCTCCTGTCACGACCCTTTTTCTCTTTTCCGACCCCGTGCACGATAAGAGTCCCTCGCATCCTCCCAGACGAGCCTGCGACCCTCCCTGCCGTTGCAAAGCCAGCATTTAGAGTATTTGTTTACTGCGACTCTCCCGGCCAGCAGTAACCCCTCCAAGGAACCCCCCACCTCTTCGAATCAAAACCACATAATCGCCTTGTTGATCAAGCCGTCACCAAGATGAGTGTCGTGGGTATGTTGCGCCGGCCTCTAGTCATTTCACCCTCACATGTGGACTACATCCGCTGTTTCGCACAGTTGTCCTGTTGCTCCGGTTGTCAAAGAGAATCCCGGGCTGACCACTCCTCTTGCTTGACTTCTAGGTGTCGACTTCGGAACGCTCAACACCGTTATCGCGGTCGCGAGAAATCGCGGTGTTGATGTCGTAAGTACCTCACAATTCTTGCCACCTGCACAACGACAAAACGACCATGGAAACGTAAGCGGCTGACTCGAGTGTGCGCCTGCCAGATCACCAACGAGGTTTCCAACAGAGCTACTCCGTAAGTTGTTCTTCCGTCCATTTCACCGCTGCTGCTTGCGACGATACAAGATTGTATTGTCCATAGAAAAGGCCCAGTGTGTGGCTAACGAAGGTTTCCATCTTTGCAGTTCCCTCGTAGGATTCGGCCCCAAGTCCCGTTACCTCGGCGAGCCGGCGAAGACACAAGAGATCTCCAACCTCAAGAACACTGTCGGCTGCTTGAAGCGCCTGGCGGGCCGCAGCCTCAAGGATCCCGATGTTCAGGTCGAGCAGCAATATGTGTCTGCTCCCCTCGTCGACATCAACGGCCAGGTCGGCGCCGAGGTCTCGTACCTTGGCCAGAAGACAAAGTTCACGGCCACCCAGCTCACAGCCATGTTCTTGAGCAAGATCAAGCAGACGACAGCCAACGAGCTGAAGCTCCCTGTCAAGGACATTGTCCTCAGCGTACCCGCCTGGTTCACCGACGTCCAGCGCCGGAGTCTCATCGACGCCGCCGAGGTTGCTGGTCTCAACCTTCTGCGCTTGATGAACGACACCACTGCCGCCGCTCTCGGCTGGGGTATCACCAAGCTCGACCTCCCCAGTGCCGATGAGGCGCCTCGCCGCGTGGTCTTCGTTGACGTTGGCCACAGCAACTTCACCTGCTCTGTTGTCGAATTCAAGAAGGGTGAGCTGACCGTCAAGGCCACCACATACGACCGTCACTTCGGTGGTCGTGACTTCAACCTTGCTCTGGTCAAGCACTTCCAGAAGGAGTTCAAGGCCAAGTACAAGATTGACATCGAGACCAACCCCAAGGCCATGGTCCGTGTCGACGCTGCTGCCGAGAAGCTCAAGAAGATCCTGTCTGCCAACTCGCAGGCTCCCCTGAACATCGAGTCCCTCATGAACGACATCGATGTCAATGCCATGGTCACCCGCGAGGAGTTCGAGGCCATGATTGAGCCCCTGCTCAACCGCGTTACTGCTCCCCTGGAGCAGGCCCTCGCCGACGCTAAGCTCACCAAGGAGGACATTGATGTTATCGAGCTTGTTGGTGGGTGCACCCGTGTCCCTGCCATCAAGGAGCGCATCCAGGCTTTCTTCGGCAAGACCCTCTCCTTCACCCTCAACCAGGACGAGGCTGTCGCTCGTGGCTGCGCTTTCAGCTGCGCTATCCTCTCGCCTGTCTTCAAGGTCCGCGACTTTGCTGTCCAGGACATTGTCAACTACCCTATCGAGTTTGCCTGGGAGAAGGATGTGGATATTCCCGATGAGGATACCAGCCTCACTGTCTTCAACCGGGGCAATGTTCTGCCCTCGACCAAGATCTTGACGTTCTACCGCAAGCAGCCTTTCGATCTTGAGGCGAAGTACGCGAAGCCCGAGGATCTCCCCGGCAAGATGTCCCCCTTCATTGGCCGCTTCTCCGTTAAGGGCGTCAAGGCCGACCCTGAGACTGAGTTCATGATTTGCAAGCTCAAGGCGCGTGTTAACATCCACGGCGTCCTGAATGTCGAGTCTGGATACTATGTCGAGGACCAGGAAGTCGAGGAGGAGATCAAGGAGGAGGGCGACAAGAAGGATCCCGATGTAAGTTCAAAGCTTGGATCCATACGCCGACTGTTCAAGGGAACTAAACCGTCGCAGGCGATGGAGACCGATAAGAAGGACGACAAGCCCAAGACACGGAAGGTTAAGAAGCAGGTCCGCAAGGGCGACCTCCCCATTGTTGCGGGCACGACATCCTTGGACGCCAACACGAAGAATGCGCTCGCCGAGAAGGAGTCCTCCATGGTCATGGAGGACAAGCTCGTTGCCGACACCGAGGAGAAGAAGAACGAGCTCGAGACATACATTTATGATATGCGCAACAAGCTCGACGAGCAGTTCGCCGATCTTGCCAGTGATGACGAGAAGGATGCTCTGCGGTCAAAACTCACAGAGACCGAGGTATGTTTTATACGCAGTCTTTGAAGACAATTTTTGAGTTTCAGCTCGCTAACAATGAAACAGGACTGGCTGTACGAAGACGGCGAGGACGCCACCAAGGCCGTCTACATCTCCAAGATGGACGAGATCCGGGCCATGGCTGGTCCCATCTCGCAAAGATACTTCGACAAGGTCGAGGCTGAGCGCCAGGCCGTGCAGGCCAAGATCGACGCCGAGAACGCGGCGAAGAAGGCCGACGAGGAGAGTCGCAAGGCTGCCGAGGGCAAGTCTGAGAACAAGGATGAGGAGATGACGGATGCGGAGGCTAAGCCCGAGACTGAGGAGGCCTAAGCCTGGTGTGGAAGACTTGATAGAACGAGAGCTTCAGAGAAAAATACGAAGCGGGCGTGGAAACGGGCTTTTCGAGGACAAGAAAAGTTCTGCAATATAGATCGGCGACGCGTTCTAGACAAAGCGCAGACCTGCTCGACAATCACGGTTTGAAGAGCATCGGCGGCCGAGACTTTACGATGTGACGAAAGCAAATGTATGCTCGGAAATTGGAATCCAAAACGGTTACCGAGAGAATGATAGATTCCATGGTGCAGTCCTATGCCCTATTCGTTCCGAGTTCATCTATTAGTGATCTAGAGAATATGATACAGTTTCTGACAGCATGACTGATCAAATGATTTTGCAACCATCAATCTCGAGTCCATCCGTTTCCCGCCCACAAACAACACTTCGTGGTGTTAATGCAACAGGCGTTTCCGCATACTGCAATTATACGTTTCTGTACTCCTTCCCCGTTGCGCCTCCGCAGTGGCTGAGGAAAAAGCACTATGGATCCCTGGTCAACCCCAGACCAGAGATCGGCAGCGAGCTGAACCCCATGCCCTGTTTCGTCGGGCACACAGCCCCCCATGCAGGCATTCTCACGAGGCAAAAACAGACGAAACATGCACGGCAAACCTGCCATAACGGGGAGGCTGCATGGGCTCTTCTCGGCCCGCGGCAGCCAGACCATACGGCATGGCATGGTATGAGGCGAGTCATATATATATATACGTTAACTGCTCGCCTACATCGTTGTCACGGCAGGAATGATTGCCTTGCATCATTGGGACCTAGCAACGGCGACTATCCGCAGACCATGGCTAGTAGTAGTACGACGTCGCCGGAAGGCTGCCTGCAAATCTGCCAGGCGCTTCTTGAACAGCATTCTGGGAACCCAGAGACATCCACGCTCATCAAGAACGCTCTCTCTTGGCTCACGGTTACCAGGAGGCCGCTTCGACCCTCTGAGCTATGGCTGGCCATACACATACCGCACTTGATGGCCACCTCCGGCTCCGGCCCCAGCTTCGACGAGGTCCAGGTGGCAGTCACGAACCCTACCTGGTGCGACGATGATGCAGCCGCCGAGCATCTCAACCAGCTCCTCGGCCGTGCAGTCAAGATGGACGCCGGCGGCGGCGGCGGCCGTCGAGTCACCCTGGCGAGCCCGGAGCTCGGGGAATGGCTGTACTCCGGAGCCGAGGATGTCCCCGACTCCTTGGCCCTCCTGGCGGCCAAGAAGCAGGACGCGCACTCTCTCGTGGCGCAGAACTGTGTGGCGATATGCGCCGCCAGCACGGGGAGCCTGGGCAACACCCACGAGCCGTCGGCGTCGAGACTCGTGGGGTATGCCTGGAAGTACTGGGCGTGGCACGCCAAGGAGTCTGGCTGGTGTTTCGAGCCCGGGCATGCCATGTCGGAGCTCGTGGACGGCAGTTTCCAGAGGATATTGACGGATCTGCAACGGCCGCTTCTGGTGTTGGGGCAGAAGCTGACTGGCTCGCTGAAGGTGCCCAACAACAATAACGACGACGACGACGACGACTACGATGTCATATCGGCCGTGCTGAAGGTGAAGCGAGCGCAGGAGGCCCTGCAACGGAGCATAGCGCTCTCCTCTGTCCTGGCCACTCTCCCGCGTGCCGTGCTGAGTGAACGTCTCCGGCTGGCGCACGTCATCTACGAGAACAACGCGCACCCGGACAGAAGCGCGGCCCTCGCCGACAAGGGGTTCCCGGAGCTGGGCGCGCTGGCCGGAGCGGCGCCGCACCCGCGGTCCAAGGTCGAGCGGCTCGAGATCGACGTGCTGCTGGTCGGCGGGAACAACGTCTTTGGCCCCTCGGAGAGGCAGCTCGTCAATGGCCTCGCCGTGCTGGCGAGGGCCTTGAGGAAGCTGACCGCCAGTCTTGCGGACTTGAGTGTCCTGCTGGCAGAGGAACTCCCGTTGCGAGAGGGGAGTGGAGACCAGTCAGTGATGGACATGATGTATCATGTGGGCAATTATGTGCAGGCGGTGGTGTACTATCCGTTCCGGCACATCTCGATGTACTCCCCTGACGAGAATCCGTTTGCAGTTCCGGAAACGACGGATGAGTTCCACCATGCTGCCAAGTTGGTGTTGGGGGCTGTCCGGCAGGATGATGGCGAGGAAGACTTGAGGACGTCGCGGGAGGGTGCAGGCCTAGCTGATGCCATGACTGCGTGGCACCTGGAATCGCCTCATCGGTGGTATACTGCGAGATTTCTGAAGCGATGGGGTGTTCTGCGGGTCGGCGACAAGCTGGGCTATCTCAACAACAGCCCGCCCCTCTCAGAGGCTCAGCTGCCGGGTTGCTCACCAGGGGAGATCCAGAACATTCCTGGGCTGGTGGCAGAAATGGACTTCTGGCACATACAATTCCCTGGCTTGTTCAAGACTCTGTCCCAGCAGGTCTACCGGCCTGTTGCGAGACTTCTGGAAAGCTCAAACGTGGTCTCTTCGGTCGACGCCTGGTGCGGCCGCGTTCTCACAGGAATCCCCTTCCCACCATGGCTCGAGATCAAGAAAGGCTTCCTCCGTCACGGCACCGGCCACCTGCTCCTCATGCTCCTCCCCGCCGTCCTCCTCTACAGGCTCCGCTGCGCCCTCGTCCCTTGGTTTGGAAGCGTACTGGTCTACGACGCGCCCCTTGGCAACATCCGCCTCGCGTTTACCGACCCGCTCGGGCTGATCGCCAAACATCTCGCCCCGAGCTGGCCGTATATCATATTCTCCTGGCTTACCAAGCTCGGCGGCGACGACTCGGCATACGCCATCCCGATGTTCTTCACGACCTATAGCCCCGATGCTCCCGGCAGGATCCCGATGCCGACAGCGCAGCTGGTCTACGGCAAACCCCGAGCGTTGGCCGTCATGGAGCTGAGCTACACGGTGCTCAAGACGATGTATCTGTGCTACGCGCTCGTCATGCTCGAGTACAAGTTCACGCAGGCCACGGGATTCGTGGCCGTGTTCGTGGCGTACCTGCGTGTCCTCGTTCTGCCTGGGTCAGGATCACGGCCAGGGTCAGCGGACCGGGAGGGTGGAGGCATCGCGGCGCTGGGGCTGCTGCTGCTCGAACACTGGGACAAAGTGCCCCTGCACTGGTGGCTGATGCTGTCCAACGCACAGCACTACATCGTGAGCTGGGTGGCGCATTTCGTCGTCCCGCTCGTCCGGGGTGACAGGGAGCTGGTGATCGTGACGAGCTGCCTTCTTCCCGTGGTCCTGGGCTGGGCCCTCTCGCCTGAGGAGACGCTACACTGGTTGAGGCAGGCCACTTGGGTTTTGCTGGGTGTAGCCCTGCTTTTCGGGGTGATGGCTTGTCTGGTGAGAATTGTCATTGATCCACTGGGTGTTGGCGAGAGCACTGCTGCTTTGAGGAGGACTATGATGGGTGCGAGGCGGAGACAGGCCGACCTTGGCGGGCAAGACGCGAGCGCTGTACAGGACGGCGGCTCGGTAGCGACGACTGCGAAGGACGCTGATCTAGGACGCTTGTAAGGAGCATTGGTTGTGTGTGAGGCAGCCTTAGTCCATGTAACCAAATGCTCGGCTCCTTCTGTATGCAGGTCCCCCCGTTGTGTTCATCTCTCGTGAGTGGTGTTCTTATCTTCACGAGACTACGGTAGCTTGTCCGAAGGACATACCGGAAAGAGAACTAAATGCCCTGTAACATCCACTGATACCGAGAGATCTCCTCTTGTGGGCTGGGAAGCACAATCGTGTGATTTCTTGCTGCTGCGCGAGATGAGCGACTATCTCGAGACCAAGAGCAGCTTGTCCTTTAGGACAAACATGATCACCCTGTCTGCATTCGCGGATGTCCTACGCAGCGACCCGGAATCGTTTGGCTTCACATTCTGGGGTCCACGAGAGATATTTCGCCAGGCCCTCCAGTACGGCAACGACGCCCTCGCGGAGGACTCACAGGCTGCGTTTGCAGAGATCAACAACCTCGGCCTGTGGGCTCACTCTGACGTGGCAGAGAAGTTTTGGAAGGTCGAGCCGGACGGCCAGCTCGGCCTCATGTTTCGTGAGGAAGTTCTCAAGGCTGGCATCGCCGAGTTCGTGCATGCCAAGCTCCGGGACAGCGCGACGTACTTTGACGGTCTTAGCGGCTCGCCTCTTAAGGTGATTCTCCGGGAGGCCAACCTCGGACCGCAACATCTCCGCATCATGGAGAGTATTATCAAGGCGGACAGGGCGATGAAAGTTCATGAGCCTGTAGGCAATATGTGTTTCTGTGATTGTTGCACAGTAGAATATCCAGAGAAGGGGGAGGCTAACCACTACTGCAGTGCTACCTACCGACGAGATTCAATGGGGCCATGTACGGCATATTCCTCGATCACGTAGCCGAGAATGAGGTACTACCAAGCGTTGCAGAAACCGCCCTCGACGAGCTTGTACCAGCTCCATTACCTGTATCCACCTTTGCCTTCAACGACGGGCACTTCCCATCACACTACTTTGCACAGCCCGCCCTGGCCGCAAAAGAGATACTGTCTGTCTTACTGGACGAGACGCAGCCAAACCCGGCTGCTGCAGATATGGACCGGCTGCTCGGCAGAGTGGCCGCCGTTGACCCTGCCAGGATCAACCAGGACCGACTCAGACTGCTTGCTGCCATGTTGGGCAAAGTAATTGACCTGGGGAACCGGATCGGTCTTGACATGGATTCTGTGTTGCATGACTTCTTGTCGCACATGCCCGTATATGCATTTGATGCCGTTTCTCGCGGAGCGCTTCGCCGCATGGCTGGCACGAGCGGTTCTGAAAGGAAGAGGAAGGCTGACTACCAAGATGTGCGGGCACCACTGATCAAGAGATCAAGGGTTCACGGCTGATCTTTTATGCAAAATGATAACATTTGGGCTCACGACACCCGCACCTGATGTTCTCCTGCCCAGGTCCGGAATCTTGGAAATACATACCACTTACCAGATCTTTTCCAGCATTATGCCATAGAAACTGGATGTGCCGGGAGCCATTGCGACTTGACGATGCCTCCGGTTCTTGTTTGAGTCGTAGAGTAGCGAGGTCGCTCGCCGGTGACTTATACGGGCCCGGCCTGGGCAGGGGTAGTACCCCGATCCAGCCTAGTGTCGATGCAACAGCCCGTTATTTTGGGCAACAGCGCGGAGGCTACAGTGGGGCAGGGGCCCATCGCACCTTCCACGTGTAAGTTCAGCATCTGGAAAGCCGCCAAGCCAGACCACGTAATTAATTAACCGTCGTCGCCCACCAGCTCTCAAGGCCAAACGATCCTCAGCACCCCTCAAGCTCCCTGCCGCACTGCACAAAACATCATCTCCGACCCGTCGTCCTTGCCGGCAGGGACCTGGCGGATTCCGCCTGCTTTGCGACGCCTCCCGCGCAGTCGCGCCGACCACTCGACCTCTCCAGCATGGTCCTGCACAGCGCCGACGCCACATAGCATCCATCCTCCCACACCCCTCGACTCCTCGAGCCTCGTCGCAACAGCAGTCCGCTTCTGCCCACGCCGCGCCCGCACCGGCCATGGCGGTCTCGTCGCCAACCGGCGTGCCAGAGCTCTCGCGCAACGAGACATGGTCCCTCACGGCCCTCGCCGCAGTCTGCCTGTCCGCCCTCGTGCGCACCTTTGAGCGCCGCGAGGGCGAGCCCCTCATCGCCTCGCTCGCCCTCAGCGGCATCGCCTTCTGCGCCGCCTACGCCATGATCCGCTGGCTCGGGCCGACCTTTGTCAGGGCCGGCCTCAGCGGCCGCGACAAGTCCAAAGTCAACAACAAGGAGCTCCTGCCCGAGTGCATGGGCGCCATCTGCGCCGTCGTCTACCTCTTCATCATCATGGTCTTCATCCTCATCCCCTTTTACAAGGACATTGTCGTCGCCACTAGTGGTGGCGGCAACCGAGACGTCGTGATGAATGTCGACTATGTTCAAAAGGGTCGCCTACTGCACAGATTCCCCCATGGCAAGGTAGGAGGAGGCATCCTCTCTCGTCTGAAATGTTTCTCTGCCCGCGGACTGTCTTTACTAACCACCGTCTTGGGATTAGCTGGCTTCGTTCCTCTCAGCAATCATTGCGCTCCACTCGATCACGATTCTCGGATTCGGCGACGACCTCTTCGACATTCGCTGGCGACACAAGTTCTTCATTCCCGCTTTCGCCTCGATCCCCCTGCTCGTCGTATACTTTGTCGACTTTGGAGTGACCTCGATCGTCCTGCCGACTTTCCTCCAGAAAATCACGGGCCGTGAACTCTTCGACCTCGGTCCGCTATACTATATTTACATGGCCGCCCTGTGTATCTTCAGTCCAAATAGCATCAATATCCTCGCCGGTATCAACGGCATCGAGGTGTCGCAGAGCATTGTCATTGCGCTTCTTCTTGTGGCCAATGACGCGTTATACCTGCTGACGCCCTACCCGCACCCGGCCACCGACTCCCATCTCTTCTCTCTATATTTCCTTCTGCCTTTCCTGGGCGTCAGCTTCGCACTGCTTGCCCACAACTGGTATCCTGCCCGTGTCTTTGTCGGCGACACATACTGCTACTTTGCGGGCATGGTCTTTGCCGTAGTCAGTATTCTTGGGCACTTCTCCAAGACACTAGTCCTGCTTCTGCTTCCGCAGGGGTTCAACTTTTTGTACAGTACGCCGCAGTTATTCGGCTTGCTCCCGTGCCCTCGGCACCGGCTGCCGCACTTCAACGCCCGAACCGGCCTCCTCGAGCCCAGCGTCGCCGTCTTCGAAAAGGATCGACAACCTCGCGCCCCTGTAGCCTACGCGCTGCGGCTGCTCGCGCGCCTCCGGCTGCTACGACTCAAGGAATCCGAGGACGGACTGATCGAGGAGACGAGCAACCTGACAATCCTCAACCTGTGGCTGGTCTGGCGCGGACCGCTGCGCGAAGACCGCCTCGCCATCGAGATCACCATCATGCAGTCCCTCGTCGGCATCCTTGGCCTGCTCGTCAGGCACAAGCTGGCCTTGCTCGTGTTCAGAGAGGACAATCTGAGCACACGAAGCGCGTTTTAGTTTGGCTGGATAGGGCCGGCCACACGGCATGCGCATGCCTGTGGCTTGATTTGAGAGAGAGAGCGAGAGTTGGAGAGATAAGATAGAGCGAAAAGTAGTCACGCTCCATATCTGCCAGCATAGGCGCATCATCGCAGCAGGCAAGGTCCCGAAGTGGAGCGGGGACAATGCAATATCGGCATATAGAGTTGTACCATAGAGATGATTCAAGATACCACATGAGTTACATCATTAATGAATAACAGCCCGTGAGCATATAGTGTGGAATCACAATTGGAGCACAAACTATGCCCGAGCAGAATGGATTGAACAGGGTGCGGTGGCAGATGGAGAACACGCGCTGCCATCGTAGTGGTACATTTGTATAGTATATGGTATCTTATTGCAAACTCCGATTGCGTTCTTGTACCGTCTGGTTTTGACCCGTGGGATTTATGGTGCCAAAGGACGAAAATCTCAACACAAAAAGTACACAGCTCTTTTGAGTTCGGCGTGCGTCTCTCCTGCACTGCCGAGAGCCTTGGTACGCAAACAAACTAGCTTTTGCCCGAACAAAGACAACCCTCCGCATCACTTGTCAGTGTGCAGTCCGTACACCTTATCCGTACCAGTTGAACGCCGTGTCGCAATAAAGTATGCTTGTCGCATGCATGGTCGTGTCATACGTGTAATCCTTTGCCCATAGAAAGTAGAAAAAGTACCCGAGTAATAAAGAATAGAGAAATGGGAATATTGTGAGCAAAGGCGACTCTCGTACATGAGCTGGGTGGGTGGTCAAGACGGAGACTTTTCTTCCATGTTGGAGTCCACCATGACGACATCCGTGGTCGGTGACTTGACATCGTCAAGAGCAGGCACCGATATCTTGAGGGGAGTTGTTGAAGGCTTTGTCGCCGCAGCCTTGTTCAGTCTGCTCTTTGTGTAATCACTCAGGCTCAACTTCTTCTTGACCGGACTGGGGTGAGCAGCGATCCCGTTGACCGCGGATGGCGCAAATGGGCTAGCCATGCTGATGTTGATGGTCGGGGACTGGATCACAGGGGTCGTAGTAGCAGCAGGAGAAGCCTTGGGCGCATTCCCACTTTCCGCGCTCTCAAACGTGGGCACGGGAGGCAATTGCACACGCATCTCAGGCGACTGAGCTTTAACAACCACCGCTGTCTGAGTCTCGGACTCGTCAGAAGACTCTTTCGCGTTGCTGGCTGAGGACACGGGGGTGTCGGCCATCGCGGGCTCTGTTGTGGACGAGACGGTCATGGTTGTCTTGATGCTGGAATGGTTCAGAATGGGTGACCTCGGACTGATGGTAGGGGAATCAAGGTCCATCTTGATCAGAGCGGAAACAACGGATGAAGGAGAGCCGATGGATCGGCGACAAGAGTGATCATCCGCTCTGTAGCGATAACGGTTCTGAAGAAGTCGTTTCGAAAGGGAGATGACCCTCTTCCTAGGTTTCGGTGTCTGCGGTGGCGGGCTGAACCACTCTCCTTCAACGGGATCGGTTTGCACCCCGCAATCGCGGTACTGGGGGGTCTGGCCAGTGGCCACGGTCCTAGAGACTTTGGCGTCTTCCTCGGAGGATGCGACAGAACGCATGCGGACGTCCCCAGCTCCAGGTGAGATCGCGGGAGACCCAGACACGCGCCGCGATGTCCCGGCATCGACATAACGACGTTCAGAGGCACCATTAGTGCCTGTGGAGGTGCCCTGAGTCAATTTGGGCGTCTTTGACTTTGACGAGGTAGAGCCGTTGGTTCCATCCGAGGTCCGCTTCTTCTTTCGTGGTGGCTGCTGCTGCTCCATACGTCGGAAGGTATCTTCGGCCATTTGGACTTTTCTCTTTTCCCGGTCCGTCATTTCTGTAAGAACGCCGAGGGTATCAAAGGATCCTTGCCGAGCTGGTGTCATGTCTCTACTGGGTGGTTTGCTTCGAGAAGACCCAGAGTCGTTCTCCACGCCATCTTCGCCATGCCCCTCGCTAGCAGCACGACTGTTGTTGCTCGGGTTCACACCTGTCGGCGACAGTCCGTTGGTCTTGGTCTTTCGAGACTTCTTCTTCGCCAGCGACTTTGGGTGCACTCTGCTGATGTATGTACGGTGGAACCGCGCAAAAGCACATTCAGGCCCAAGTTCGCACGCGCACCCCCCATACTCGGACAAGACAGTGTGGACCCAGCTTGCCGTCTGGTGGTAGCTCTCCAAATCGTTCGCGTCGAATTCGGGCTGTGGTCTGGCGCCATCATCGCCAAGTCCAAGAAGCTGGAGCATCCGGGCTTGTTTTGGCAGTCGGAAGTCCCATGGGATTGTGATCTCCTCGTCCTGGGTGATTGGGCGGTCGCTGACGAGCCAGAAATGATACTCTGAACCGCCCGATAGAAATGTGTCCAAGATCGCGTTAGGTTGGCAGCTTCGTCGCACATAACGAGCTTGCGAGCCTTCCTTCCTTGTATCGATGTAGATGGGAAGCATAGGGTGGAAGAAGACAAACGGCAGCGGCGAGCTCAACTCGGACCACCGATTCTCTGGATCTTCACAGTAATTCTTTTGTATACCGATCTGACCGTTCAGCTCGATGAGGGGGACGTCCTTATCGACAGCATTAGGCGCCCGCAAGTATTGCCAGTGCAGTGGCAGACCGATGTCTGGCAGGACCTCCTTCTTATGTTCCACAACTGGTGCATTCTTTCCAGAGTCAGTGTTGGGGGGCAGTGGTTGGAACACGTCAGCATAGTCGCAGCCCGTCTCTTCCTTCAGTTTGTCGTGGTCGCGCAGCCATAATGAGAGAATGTTGGAGATGACGAGGCTGACGAAAGAATTTGTTTGCACGATAGGGAAGTCATTCTCTTCCTTGTACAAGTCGTGGAAGCCGCTGGAGTAGTTGTGGACTTCAAGCTCTTGTGGGAGATTGTCAGGCGGTGTCGTGGCCGGACTCGGCGGATGGCCATGAGGGTTTCCTGGCTTCTGACCAAAGGAGGGGCTCCGCTTGGGATCCTTGGAGCTGACAGATTGGCTTGAACGGTGTAAACTTTTGGATTTCCGGTGGCCTTGGGCGCCAGCATTATCCGGGACCCCTTTCGCGAATGGATCGTGGGCAGTCTGGCCGTTTACTTGGACATCGGCAGGTTTCTTCTTCTTGTGGCTCTTCGAGGGGGGCCGCTTCTTTGAACGGTCAGGAACTTCCGTCGTGCTGAGGTTGCTCTTGCGAAGGCTCTGATGCTCAAAGGCGCGTTGGTGGTCGAGAGGACGAAACTTGCAGTCTACGCAAGAGTGCGCGAAATCTTCTCGGTATGCCTCCTGAATGTTGTTTGGGTAATAGCACTCGATGTGCTGCCAAGAGTCGCATGTCTCGCAATAAATCGTGTTCCCGTCATCGTCAGAAAAGCCGCAGATGCACTTTATGGTGTACGGCTCTTCTTCGACCGCCTCGACCTTGCTCTTAGGAGCGCTTTGCAGCAGTGGTGGAGGCGAGGCAAGGCCAGCGGCGGTCGTCTGACTCGGAGGCACGAATTGCGTCGACAGCGGTGTCGACTTTTCAGTCATAATCTACCAGTCACCTCTCTGGCGGAGGATCGTACTGAGTAGATAGACGAACGGTTGTATCAGGTCAAGCGTGCGAACATGGAGGACATGACGGCCGGCTCGGATCGACGCGACCGGTGGACGATTGACTGCGAAGGGGGACGAAGCAGGCGCGCGTCAAGGGTCGTGGATCTTTGCACGTGGAGCGAGGAGCAACGCGTTCGTGATGGCAAAGACCTGGTTAGTGTCGTAGGACGGTCGCAGACAAGGAGGCGGCCTTGTTGCGCAGATTGCACAGATTCACGAAACACCGGAGCGACGTGTCTAGGAGCGCCGCCAGCGAGAACTGTGTGCCAGCGCCCACAAGCTGGCGAGGGTTGTGTCTCGACGTGCAGTCCGAGCGTGGTGACGTGAAGCGAATTGAGCTCCGGTGGCTCTTCGGACACAGAGGAGGGATCGTCTGTTCGAGTGGACGACCGTGACGACAAAGGCCAGGAGACAGGAATCGGTCGAACTGGTTGACGAGGCGAAAGATGTTGAGTGTCGCGGTAACAGAGTCTGCGGACAACGGGCGGAGTCGGTGTCGGTGGCTTGTGTAGGATAACTTCGTCGAGGTCGGGCAGCCGTGGATAGAAAAGAGGGAGAATGCACGGAGCAGTGGTGGGTAGAGGGAAGAGGAATGGAGAAGAGAGGGAGTGAGTGTGTGTGTGTGTGTGTGCGGCTGGGCGGGCGAGAGGGAGAAGGGCGGGTGCAAGGTGGAGTGCAGCCAGGTGGGAAATGATGGATGGGAAAGGGCGAACTTGGCCTGCTGTGCGGGCAGGCCAGACGCAGAGGAGCAGCAAGCATAGCGACGCGTCCCAAGCCAGGCTGGGCCGGACAGGGCAGAGCGGGCGGGTTGCAAGTGGGCGCTGAGTTGCCTGGGCGGGCGAGCGAGCGAGCCTGTGCCTCTCTACCTACCTCTAGGTACTTTTTGGGTAGCGCAGGCGACCCTGATTGTGTCTGGGTGCGGGCGGGCGCTGGCGCAGCTCCTTCTCCTCATCCTCCTCCTGTTGCGAGAGTGCTGCCGTCCATCTGTGGGCGAGACCAGAGGTGCGCGCCATCTGCACCAACTCAATAGCCAGAGGCAATCTTGGGGGACGGGACCATGCTTGGGACCCCAACGGGAGTCGGTTGCTCCCTAGGTTGCTCCAGTGCATGCTGACTGCTGCTGTTGTGAAGAGGGACTGGGTTTCTGCTCAGCCGAGCTGGGGGGAGCATGTAATACTGTACTGTACTGTCGCAGCAGTGTGCCCACTGCACACACATCCTTGCCTGCAAGGCAACTTTGCAAGTGCCTACCCCAGCTCATGTCATGGACGGCATGGCATGGAAGGGCTGCAGCGCTGCAGGCAGATAGATAGTCGAGCCTTTTGGTCGCCCGTGTGTCAAGATAGCGCGGGAGGCATCATCAGGTAGGTGAGTGGGCACAACACACGCCGCGTTCGCAGCACCAGGCCTGGGCCAGCGCGATACCCACGAACTCGTGCGGCGGACGGCGAGTTGGGTCCGGCGCGCGGCATGGGCTGATCATCTGTCTTGGATGGGGGACGACAATAGGAGACAAGAGTGCGCGGGCAGAGAGACTAGGGGAAGTGGCACCTACCTACCCTGTGGCAGTTGGGCCGGTCACTCACCCTGCCACAGCCTACGAGTGACCGACTACCGCCCACCCACAGAGCGCCCTCCCACCACCACACACACCCTGAGAACGTCCGGCCATTGTCGTGTGCTAACCACAGCAAGTGCTTCTGCTGGTAGTGGTGGTGGTGGTGGCGGCGGCGGCGGTTGATGGATGGACGCTGCGGTCGCGAAATGCCGTCATTCAGACATTCTGGCGGTTTCCCGCCTGCCGGGCGTTGACATTACAGGAGGCCGAGGACTGGCATGGTGCTCAAACAGTGACAGGATCGCGGACGAGGCCTGGCGGCGGTGGGCGTGTCTGTGTGTTTGTTGCCAGCAAGCGAATATTGCAAAATGGCAGCCTTGGTGGGCGGTTTGCAGGCTGGAAACGGCAGAGAAGAAGGGCAGCCGGAACGGAGCGTGCGTGGCGGCGTGGGTGTGTCTGTGTCGCCCGCTTCTGCTGCCTGTGCCTTCAGGCTCCTGGCTTGGCCAGCCTCTGAGTCGTCAGTATTATCCCACTTCCGTCACGGCGACGCCTCCAGGCTCCGGTGCTGCATCAGTGTTTCATGCAGCGAGGCAAAAGCACAAGTCGAGCCTGCATAATCCCAGCACAAACGCTGATCAGATGCACGGGCCACTGAGTCACCCCCCGTTTAGCCCAGCGCCAGATACCCGGCCCCGGGCGCTGATTCGCTGCTCTCGTGTTGCGAACACCAAGGACCCATGGGTGGATGGCGTGGCCGGTTGCAGCACCAAGGCCCGTGGCCAATCAAGGCGTCTTGCCCACCAGCAGCAGCTAGGCCGCAACTGGCAAAGCTGGTCTGGCGTGCGGAGAGGCCTGGACGCAGTCATCAGTGCAGGGAGTGCATTTTGTGCCCGCCGCCAAAGCACGACATCCGAGAACGGCACTGCACAAAAGACGTGGGCGTAACTTGCCGGCGTGAGTCGCGACGTGACCCCACTTGCACAGTTGCTCGTGTTATCAAGCCGGGTTCGAAGCACCATTCATAGTACTGTACCCCTCTTCTCATACTCAGCGCAGCCTATCCCGTCCGGCAGGCGTCGTTATCAGCAAACGAGGCCAACACGGCGCCGTTGTCTCTCGGTCGCTGCACGGCGGGACTTACCGTGGTCATGCCGTCGTGACAGTCACGCAGCAGATACAACCTCGCCAATCGAGCAGAGACCGCAGCTGCTTCCAAGGCATCTTGGGACACGGATAGTCGCCAGGACTGCCACAGCCGTCTAGTTTCAAGCCCGGGCATAATTACATCAATCGGCACCGAGTCTTCGCAGGTTATGGTCAGCAGGTTACATCAATGTTTGCGGACATCGCGAAGACCACGAGCAAGGAACAACGTCACGGGCGAGGAACGCTTGAAAGTACACACAAGTACTCTACCATGCAGAACCCGTCGCGCCGACACCAATCATTGGCTCACTGGACTGCACCCGGAGACCTTGTCGTGTAATATGGGGCCTCACGTCAGCGTGACCGAATCAGAGGCGCAGATGCCCTTGGAGAAAACTCTGCTGGCCTGGGGGCAACCTTGTCAGCGTTGATGAGGAGGCCGAACGGCTGGGTCGGTACGCGCAGGTACATTATCTACACTTTATTGCCTGTCGTGCAAGTTTATTGAAGATGATGTATGTTCTTGTTGCTCAGCGATGACAGGACAGGACAGGCATGAAGGTCGTCAATACATCGTGCAGTGTTTGCTTTGTAGAGGGTCCTCCACCAAGCGGACCAGTACCGCAGTCAGTCCGGGAGACCTTACCGTGGCCTCGCAACACCACGCACCTTACGACGTGGGTGACCCTTCCAAGACTGAACTGACAAACATTTAGAGATGTCCATCTACCTTGATATCGAGCAGGCAATGAATACCTGGAATATCTAGAAACCATGATGCGGACTTGACGCATAGACGAAGCTACAGTGGGCATTGTCTATGGGTCGATCGCTCCCTTCTTCACAACGCTGCTTCGAGCCATGCAAAGACTGCTAGGCAAAGATCGCGACGTTTGCAATGAAAGAATGACGGATGAGGACAGCAAAAATTGCGACCAGTACGATCCCGAAGGATAATACAGAACGATCGACTCCACGCTGTGCAATGCAGGTCTCTCGTCCTACCAACGGATATTCTTGAGCGTCCGCGGATTAGTCAAGGTAAGTATGAAGAGAAAAGGGAAAGAGATTTCATCAAGATGGCGGGAAGGTGAAGGCCTTCTTATACTTGACCGCCGAAATGAGGCTGCGCTTTGGCCAACGGCTGCCTGGTCGCAGGTTGGCGGAGAGCTCCGGGTTCCGCCAATGAGGTTTGCGGAACCGTCGAAAAGGCGGGGCCACAGCTGGGAGGTGAGATTGCTGGCGGGGCAGTTGGACCCTGTCCTGATCGTGCCTTGCTTGGAAGTCGGGATGCCAAATGATTAAGTGATGACCACCAGGGCAGGCATGCCAGCATACAACGGCATGCCAGGTCCAATCTACAATTTGCTGTCTCTGGTACCTGATACCAATGGTTGAAAGTGTTCCTTGGCGACTGTGCAGACTCCGGTTTGAGAAGCTCAAAGGGTCTCGATGATTCGGCAGGTGGCTCGGGAGGTAATGGACAGCAAACCTTCCCCCCGCGAGTTGGATGATGACATTTGTGCAAGTCATATTCACCCAGCCTTATATACAATGGACGAATAGACACAGACTGGCCAACCATCGATCGCCAACATCAGCTCCAATAGGATCTATCTGGTATCGTGTTTTCTACAAGACCAATCCTCTCATGCTTGCATAAGTTAGGTAGACGTGTGCATTCTAGAGTCTGGTATATGGACCGTGTAATTGTGTCCTGTTTCCCAGTGCCAGCACATTGTCGGCTGAGGGATTATGCCTCTCTCTCATGGGGGCCCATGTTGAGTCATTTTGTCGATTCGACGAGGTTGCCAGAGCTGCCATCTGAGGCAATGCCGGCGCCGAGCACCAGGCCACATCATCACATGCTGCTCTAGTGGCCCAGCCAGAGCGACTTCGGATCCACAAAACCGGGCCAGTGACGGAGGAGTCACACAAACAAAAGCGGTTGGCTAACAATAAGATAACAAAGACCCGGAGACATCCATCGTCTGTTTCAACATCAACTACGTCGGCCCTCTCAACCTCGCAATCCCAAAGATATCTGTGTCCAATGCGCCCAATGTGCACAACCTCTTGTTGACCGTGACGCGAGGCCCTGGACGGCTTTGTGCGCAATGGGACCAGCTCGCGCCGTTTGGGCCAAGGCGAGTCTCGGGAGTCTCGGCTGCAATGTAGGTCACTACCGCAACCTCATCACCGCTCTCTCATCACGCCTGGTCCAGCCTCGGGCCTGGATCGCCCCTTTGCAACATCGCACTGTGGCCACCACGCAAACACTCGCAACAAGGCCCAGACCACATCAGCTTTCGCCCATCTTAGCATATCACCGCTGACGAGTCTGCAGCCGTTATGTGCCAAACCTGCGGTCGGGGCACTGCAGTCCGCAACCGGTCCTGCCAATGGCACTCGGCAATGGTCTTCTCTGCCCTCGGGAGGTGTGCCGAGCAGCAGCGGAAAGTCGTCCAGCCCTAGCATGCCCTATACATCTCTGTCAGAGACGAAAAAGCGAAAGGCATCCGTGGACCAGGTATTTACCCTCCCAGCTCCGCCGCTTAAGCTTCGCCCAATTTACCGCTGTACATAGGATTTCATCGTCTCCATCCTCGAGACCTCGGTGACGAAGCGAGATGCCAAGGGCTACATGAACAAGTTCGTCCCCTTGCTGAACCGCAAAGATGCTGCTGTCTTCAAGCAACGAGCGCCGCAGGCGCCGCCTACTGCGGCAGCCAATGATGCCGTCCTACGAAGCGAGCCTGGGCCCCCTCTATACGTGGCTCTTGTCAAGTTCCGGGCCCCCCAAAGCGTCGACGATGCAACCATGCTGGGCGTGGGCAAGACGCTGACACAGCTGAAGAAGCTCGGCCTCACAAGCATCGTCGTGGTGGACTGCGATCTGGGGACCGAGAGCGAGGCTTTCCAGCGGCAGCAGACCACAGCACAAGCTGCCCGCATTGCTGTAGCTGTCGACAGATATGACGACCATGGCTCAAGGATCATTGACTCGCCATTAGCTTTCGGGCATCCCTCTAGCAAGCTGGGCTCGCCATCGCCATACACCTCTCACGACCTTTTTGTTGGCAACAAGCACTGTATTTCCGACGCCCTCAAGCACGAGCGGATCCCCGTCATTCCGTCTTTTGCTTACACGCCCGAAAGTTCTTCCATCAAGCCAGTGAATGGCAATGATGCTATTCTGGCGTTGACTCGGAGTCTTTCCGGCCTGCAATTCGTCGATCGTACTGAGACCTCTGTCGAGTTGGACTCTGACCTTGCCACCGAAGTCTATCGGCTCATCGTCCTGGACCCGCTTGGAGGCGTACCGGCAAGCAATCGCGCTACTGGCAGACACCTTTTTCTCAACTTGGCTCATGAGTTTCGAGAAGTCGAGAAAGATTTGACGGGAAAGCAAAAGGACGAGATAGCCCAACGCGAGTGCGAAGTACATCTTGCGAACGCGCAGCTTGCCAAACACGCTTTAACTATGCTCCCGCCCACATCCTCAGCAGTCATCACAACGCCTCAGGAAGTGGCGCGGGAGAGGTCGCCGGACGCTCTGGACTGGGCTCTGGTCAGCACTCGGCGAGGCCAGAACCCGCTCATACATAACCTCCTGACGGACAAACCCGTCCAGTCATCGTCACTGCCGTCCGGGCGCTTCACGCCGGTCACCTCGACGATGGGAACACCACAGATTGGGTCCATGACGACGTTGGCAAAGAGAGGGATGCCTCTGACCATATTTCCAGATCCTCTGAAGACGCCGTGGAGGCCACCTCAGCCTGGCGAGCGCACGCTCAACCTGACGGACCCGTGCATCGATCTTGGGCGGCTGGTGTACTTGATTGAGGACTCGTTCGGCCGCAAACTGGACGTTGACCATTATCTGAAAAGAGTCCAGAACAAGCTCGCGGGGATCATTATTGCTGGAGAATACGAGGGTGGCGCGATCCTAACTTGGGAGTCTCCCCAGGATGGTGACGGCAGTGCAGTCACAGAACCCCAGAGACTAGTCCCATATCTCGACAAGTTTGCGGTCCTGCGCAAGGCGCAAGGCGCGGGAGGTGTGGCTGATATTGTGTTCAATGCGATGGTCAGAGACTGCTTTCCTGATGGTGTCTGCTGGCGGAGCCGCAAGGACAACCCTGTGAACAAGTGGTACTTTGAGCGTTCCAGGGGAACACTGAAGATCCCGGACATGAACTGGACCATGTTCTGGACGACCCCGGACCTGGGACTGCACGGGGACAGGTTTGCCGACTACGAGAGCGTGTGTCGCGGCATTGCACCTTCTTGGGCGGACAAAAAGCACATCATCGATTAAAATGAAAGGGAGTCGTCTGGGTTTGACAAAAAGTTAAAAAGCACGTCGAATACCTCAAACAGTACGAAGAGTTAATCCTTTCATGCCGTCCCAGGCATTGTGTAATAAAGAGTGAACCCCAGATTGGGGAGTGGACCTAGCAACTCTCCCGAGAGCCGACGCGCCGCATGGAAAGCTCTTATCGATATCGCTTATTGCACGGCGGCACAATTTATCCAGCTCCTGTGCGCGCAAGAACGTCATGAGCCGCCAAACAGCAACTCTGGACCCCACCAACATTGTGAAGAGGCGCATTGCGGAGGAGCAGTCGGCCGCTTTGCTATTGTGGTGAGGGACGAGGACGGCATATGAAAACAGTGGCAAGACAGTCTTTGCCAGGGCCTTTTTTGGAAGCGCCCAGAGACCACGGGTTCGCCCGAGACTTTCGCAGGAATGTGGTGGTTGCCTGAACTCTGAGGAATCTACGCTAAACTCCGCAACCACAAAATTGCCACAGCTCGAAAGAAGAGGCTGGATAATATCTGGAGGCGAGGAGTGAGTCAGACGCAGCAGCTGTGAACACAAGTAGGAACTTTACGTAGGTAGAATCAAGGAAAATCAAGCCGCATTTCCACACCCCCGAGTTCTGCACTCGAGCTATTATTATCTGCTCGATTTCTTTGGCCGACGCATATTGAGTGAGTGAGTGAGGGGACAGTAGTTTTCCAACTCGGCGCCACCCCACCTTTCCGACAATCCATCTTCGATTCCAGAAAGTCATCCCACTCCCAAAGGCCAGACTAAACTCCGCCCCCCAACAGGGTCGACAATCAAACGTGGGACTTTTTCCTCTCCGTTTTCTTTTTTCTCTCTTCCCACTCCTCTCGTCGTCACTCCAGGTCACGGGTTGACAGGACAAATACTCTACGACTTCCGGCCCTTTTTGCTCACCCCGACGTGCACACACCACTTTCCAGCGTGTGGTCCCCGGTGCTTAGTATCACGACCACGACGAAACGACACACAGCTTCCCTGATTGGAAGGTGACAAAAGACGATTCACCAAAAAACCCAACCAAATAAAGTAATCGCATACCAGAAACCGCCACGATGCCGCCCAAGAAGAAGGGGAACAAGAAAGCCGACGACGACTGGGAGGCCGAGCTCGGCGAGTCGATTGCGCCGGCCAACAACGCTGCGGGCGAGGATGCGGCTGCTGGTGCTGGTGCCGAGGGCGCCGAGGATGGCGACGATGCGCCGGCCGGCGGCCTGATGGCCATGATGCGCAAGAACCGCGAACGGAGGAAGAAGAAGGGCATCGTCGACGACTTTGTCGAGGGCGAGGACGCCCCCGGCGCGGAGGAGGAGGCCAGCCCCGCGCCCGCGGCGCCCGTCGAGGCCTCGATGGACGACGAGTTCGCCATGCCCGAGAAGAAGGGCAAGGGTGGAAAGCAGGGCGGCAACAACAAGCAAGGTGGCAACAAGCAGGGCGGTAACAAGGCCGCCGCCGCTGCTGCTGCTGACGACGACGACGCTGATGGTGGTCGCATGCTCACCAAGGCTGAGAAGGAAAAGCTCAAGAAAGAGAGGGAGAAGCAGAGGAAGAAGGAGCAGGTTCGTGAAGTCCCCTCTCGCTGCATGTGTCGTGTGGCACTTGACTGACATTTCATGTCCTTGTACAGGCTGCCAAGAAGAAGACTACCACCCCGGCACCCGCCGCAAAGGCGCCCGAGCCCGCCAAGGTCGAGGAGAAGAAGGAGGAGGCCCCAGCACCCGCCGCCGACGCTGGCGGCAAGAAGAAGAAGCTTCCCGCACATCTCGCCGCCATCCAGAAGCAACAAGAAGAGCTGCGCCGGCAAAGAGAAGCCATGGAGCAGGCTTCGGCCGAGGAGAAGGCCAGGCTCGAAGAACTAGAGCGCAAGGAAGCCGAGGAGGCCAAGCGGAAAGAAGAGGAGAAGGCCCGCAAGAAGCAGAAGGAGAAGGAGAAGATTGAGCAGCTCAAGAAAGAGGGCAAGTTCATGACCAAGGCGCAAAAGGAGGAGAAGGCCCGCAACGAGAGAAAGCTTCAGCAAATGCTGGCTGCCGGTATCAAGGTTGGCCCGGCTGGTGACGGCGAAGAGCAGAAGAAGAAGCCCACTTTTGAGAAGAAGCGTGGTGGCAAGTTGGACAAGAAGGTAAGTTGCAAAGTTCCGACCTCCCATTATTGTCCGTAGGGACGAGCCTGGACACTAACACGTTGTCCTTGACCCAGGCCGAGGAGGAGAAGGCTCTTGCCGAAGCTGCTGAGCGTGCGAGACTCCAGGCGGAAGCTGCTGCAAAGGAAGCTGAAGAGAAGGCCGCCAAAGAAGCCGCCGAGGCCGAGGCTGCCGCCAAGGCTGCTAAGGAGGCTGCCGCCGCCGACGAGATTGAGGACGATTGGGAGGCCGCTGCCGCGTCCGAAGAGGATGTCAAGGACAGCTGGGACGCTGACTCGGACGAGGAGAAAGACACCAAGACCAAGGACCTGCCGTCGCGGCCGAAGGCCAAGGAGACGGGTTCCAAGGGCGATGACTCCGATGAGGATTCTGACGATGACTCGGACGACGAGTCTGAAGAAGACGAGAAGATGACCGCCACCAGACTTGCCGAGGAGAAGCGCAAGAAGGAGGCCGCCGAGCGGAGAGAAAAGGCTCACCAGGCTGCTCTTGCCGCCAGATCTAAGGACAATCTGCGCTCGCCCATTTGCTGTATTCTTGGACACGTCGATACCGGAAAGACCAAGCTTCTGGACAAGATCCGTCAGACCAACGTCCAGGAAGGCGAAGCCGGTGGTATCACTCAGCAGATCGGTGCCACTTACTTCCCGGTCGACGCCATCAAGCAGAAGACCGCCGTGGTCAACCGCGACGGTTCTTTCGAGTACAAGGTGCCTGGTCTCCTCATCATTGACACGCCAGGTCACGAGTCCTTCTCCAACCTGCGGTCAAGAGGTTCCTCGCTTTGTAACATTGCCATCCTGGTCGTTGATATTATGCACGGTCTCGAGCCCCAGACTCTCGAGTCCATGAAGCTGCTCCGCGATCGCAAGACTCCCTTCATTGTCGCCCTCAACAAAATCGATCGTCTGTACGGCTGGAAGATGGTTGCCAACAACGGCTTCCAAGAGAGTCTGGCGCTTCAGAACAAGGGCGTCCAGAACGAGTTCCGCAACCGTCTCGAGCAGACCAAGCTGGCATTCGCCGAGCAGGGTTTCAACTCTGAGCTCTTCTATGAGAACAAGTCCATGTCCAAGAACGTCTCGCTCGTCCCCACCTCAGCTCACACTGGCGAGGGTATCCCCGATATGCTCAAGCTGATCCTGCAGCTCACCCAGGAGAGGATGGTTGGCTCTCTTATGTATCTCTCCGAGGTGCAGGCCACGGTCCTCGAAGTCAAGGCGATCGAAGGGTTCGGTATGACCATCGATGTCATCCTGTCCAACGGTATTCTGCGCGAAGGCGACCGCATTGTCGTGGCAGGCACAGAAGGCGCGATTGTGACTAATATTCGTGCCCTCCTCACTCCTGCTATAATGAAGGAGCTCCGTGTCAAGTCACAATACGTCCACAACAAAGAGGTCAAGGCCGCCATGGGTATCAAGATCAGCGCACCTGGTCTCGAGGGCGCCATTGCCGGTTCGCGTCTGCTTGTCGTCGGCCCTGACGACGATGAAGACGACCTCATCGACGAGGTTGAGGCTGATGTTGGCAAGTTGCTTGCCCGTGTCAACAAGTCTGGTCGCGGTGTCAGTGTCCAGGCTTCCACGCTGGGTTCACTCGAGGCCCTGCTGGATTTCCTGAAGGACATGAAGATCCCCGTCGCCAACATTGGTATCGGTCCCGTCTTCAAGCGCGATGTCATGCAGTGCGCTACCATGCTCGAGAAGTCGCCAGACCACGCCGTCATGCTGTGTTTCGATGTCAAGGTCGACAAGGACGCCCAAGCGTACGCTGACGAACAAGGCGTGAAAATCTTTATGGCGGATATCATATATCACCTGTTTGACAGCTTTACCAAGCACATGGCCGAGCAGCTTGAGAAGAAGAAGGAGCAGGCAAAAGACCTCGCAGTCTTCCCTGGTGTGCTGAAGCCCGTCGCGGTTTTCAACAAGACTGGGCCTATAGTTTTGGGGGTCGACTGTCTCGAGGGATCTGTTCGCGTTAATACGCCGATCGCCGCGGTTAAGACGAATGCTGAGGGCAAGAAGGAGATCATTGGCATCGGCAGAGTGTAAGTTGAGTTGTGACTTTTCGAGTGATCATCCGCAGCTGATCATCCTTTGCTTTGCAGGACTTCCATCGAGCGAGATCACAAGCAGCTTCCCATTTGCAAGAAAGGACAACCCTCTGTCGCTATTAAGATCGAGATGGGTCATAACCAGCCGACATATGGCCGCCAACTCGAGGAGAGCGATCTCCTCTACTCCCAGATCTCGCGTGCCTCCATCGATTGCCTCAAGGACTACTATCGCGCAGATGTATCGAATGAAGAATGGAATCTCATAATTAAGCTAAAGAGCGTCTTTGACATCTAGCGAGATTGAAGGGGTTGCGATTATGTTTCATTCGGTAACGGGGTCGACGCGATGGTGTGCAGGACAGACAATATTGTGTGTGGGGCCACCACAAGCGTATGATGATGATTAGTCATCAGTAGCCGATGAGAGTGGAATGAGAGTGGTTGTTGATGTGGTTTCCATCAAAAGCACAACTTGGGATGCAACATCAGGAGTAATTTGATATTTATAGGTTGATTCCTCGCATGATTTCTTGACTTCCCTATGATTGTCGATCGTCGTCCCGTGTTGTGATGTACGTAACAATACCAATGTTTCCAGCCTTGCTCATCTTCCTTGAAGCAGCATTCTAGTGATTGGAAACCACAGGTATTGATTATTGTTCTACAACATAGACAGGATCATGGAAGTAGACGTGATTCTGCTGTTCTGAAAGTGATTTCATGTCATGGTGGCAAGTCGACTCCCGCACCTCTGCACCTCTGCGCTCTTCCATACCGAACATTCTTGCCTGAGAAACTGCAAGACTATGCTTCGCCTGATTGGTTCTGGCCTTTGGAGAGATTTAAAGCCGAATTGTGATCTGGCGACGCAGGAGTGGTGCCTCGTGTGTGCGATCTATTGTACGTAACCTACCTCCTCGGCCATAGGAACTGCCAGTTTTTAAAGCATGTCTTAGTGTAATATTAACACAGACCGAGTAGAAGCGGAAGAAAAGACAACATTGTCTGCAAAGGCCAGGGTTGAAGAGTAGTTTCTGTTCCAAGCCGCCAGCTTCAAATAATATGTCGTATGCTTTCCCCTCCTCTCAGCAGCCGCAGCTACAAGCCAGGCTGCTCGAGCTGGAGAACAGGAGCTGGCACACTTGTACTTGTGAGAAACTCATCCAGGAGGAACTCATTTCACGAACCATATTGCATCGCCGCCACAGTCTATACCACAATCCCGCATAACTCTCCTACCTTCTCACGCTGCAGGTTGCAAGAAGGTGCGGTTACAGTACATGGCCGGGTTCTCTGCGCGCCAATCACATAGCAGCTTGAATGGAGCTACCCCTGCATTTGGGCATGCGTAGTGGCTGCTGGCTGGTGAAAGGCTTTAAATCTCCAGCTAAGGCTAGCGGGCGTTAGCTACGGCGGACGAAAGCTCCAACTGTTGCAAAACCCATTTTTTGCTATTACGCCCACCCCCTCCCACCTTTTAACAAACCAGATTAGCCGCAAATCACCGTTTTTCAATTATGAAGATATCCCCTTGTAATGGCTCGCTTGTGCACAAGCTAAGACCGGTCATTTATAAATTCATTCGCACAGAATTCAAATGGTTTCAATTCGTTTCGAATCGTTTTCAACATTACAGCAATGGCAACCGCACGATTCTGCCCCCAGACCGGGCGGCCTCATACCTCAATCAAGCTGGTAAACCCAACCTGGAGGTACTGCCCTGATTGTAATATTCCCCTCCCGAATCTACCGACTATTCTACCGGAATGCATCGATTTGACAGCCTCACCGCCTCGTTCAGTATTTCTCCAGTCCGGAACGGTCCCAAAAAGCCCCAATTCAACTCATATGCAGCCCACTACAGGCCTGACAGCCCCTGGTACCAGTCTCCATCAACCGACCCTAAGTAACTTCGCGCTCTCATCGAAGTTAGCTAAAAGCTATCGGGATCAAAGCATTACAGAGACAAAAGAGAAGAAACCGCAAATAACCTGCTCGATTGGAATCAAACTGTACTTTGCAGAGTACTACGAGGAGGTTATTTGCGGCGAACCCAGCCCGATATATACAATCCTCCACCAACACCGCATCTCTGGCCCGAAACGACTTGTTATCAATGAGAAGTGGGAGGACCATAGCGCTCTGATTCAGTTCCTCTTCGATACGCATAAGATTAGCGAAGGCCTTCGGCAGAAGCAGTGGAAATTTATCGCTCCACTACCAGCCTCAAACTGCTTGAAAGTAGTACACCTAGGCCTTGACGAGACAGCCTCAATCTCTATTGCGCAGATCAGGGACTATTCAGGCTCAGACCGGAAGGGAGATGACATATTCTATTTGAATCTCCTCTACTCAACTATTATCCCATCACCACAGAACCAGAAGCCAGGAGTCAAGAAGCAACGAGGTACAAAGAAGGCCAAACTAAATACTATTCCGGTCCAACCGGCCCCTTCTCTCTCTCCAGACCTCCCGGCCCTTTCAGACTACGACATTCTGAAACTTGATGAAGTCCCTTGGATAGGCGAGGACTTAGCCCAAGTCAAGGCAGAGGAGGACGAAAAGGTAGAGGTCAAGCAGGAATCAAGTCGGCCTGAAGGCCAACAGCTTGAAAGTAGCGAAATGCTACCAAAATATGACACAGAACAAGAGGAAGACAAACACCTTCAGGATATAGAGCCTCAAGCTAAGCAAGTTGAAGGGAAGTGGGCACACCTTGGTCCGCCCCTGACCTTACGTAGCCGCGTAGGGAAGGGTAGGAAGAGGTCCGCAACGGCTATTTCTGAGTCAGATCAGTCGGGAAATTAGCGATGTTTCTATTCACTCTCAAAGTCAATATCTTCTTCTTTAATCAAGTCTAAACCGGCCTGTTCCATATCGATCCAAGTATCTTGTAGACTAATATGGTGGCGCTGCATTAAGTCTTGTAAGTAGTCGAGATTCCCTATTGGCTGGGGGAGGAGAGAAATCGCTGGAGAACGGTTTGTTCTGATCCAAACCTGTAGCTCCTCCTGAAGGTACTGATACTGACGGATAAAGGGCTGGTTCACTAGTTCTGGTGGAATCTGGCTTGGAAGCCCGCCAATTCGACCAAGTACTTCCTGGCACACCGCCATTGTTGTACTAGGAAGATACTGGTCTGGGTCAAAGCCATCCAGATCTGCTAGCATCGAAAGCTTTTGATGGAGATCTAGGTCAAGTGGCAGCCGAAAGTCCTGGGCACCCGTTTGTTCCGGATGGAAAAAGAGACTCCACGGCCTTCCTGGAATAACATGGGTACGGGTTGGCTGTTTTCGTATCCGATGAGCATTCCAGGTCTGTACAAACTGAACAAACTCGGACCTGATGATTGGCATGTAGATATAGAGTAAAGCAACTCGATCTGCGAGTGATTCTGCATCAAAAAGGCCCTCTGCAGCAAGGAAACCAAAGTACTCCCGCCAGAAGATTGACCGCCCTTCACAGAGGCGGCCCCACCAACTCTCAATCTTAACATTTTGCGTGCTTTTCCCATAGATCCAGGTATGTCGGAACTGAATTGGTGTCCCTTCTGTTTGGGCTGTAAGTGGAAGGTTTGTTTGTCCAGGGAATGAGTTCGATTCGGGCTTGACACTATTGACCTGGCTTGTCTGAGGACTGTAATACGGCTGAACAGCTTGATGAAGGAGGAAGTGAGCACCAGCAATAAGGGTTGTTTCTCCGCCACGATCCGACCGGAATCGACGAGGAATAAAGCCCCATTGCTGGATAATCCGTAGGTATTGGACCAGAACAGACCGGCCCGTAGTCGCAGAGATTCCGCAGAAGAACCATGGGATATAGCGAGAATAAGCATCAATTGCTGCATATATCTCAAATCCATACGGCTGCAGCTTTAGATAGGCATCAATCGACCAGATATAATTCGATCCAGGGCTTGTCCAACCGCCTCTCCTTCGATGGAGCCGCTTTCGTCGTCCTTCAACTTCGTCGGGGTAGAATTGCGAAATGGTCTGGGAGATAGTATCGCGAGGAAGGTTGATTCGGTTCTGTCGGAGATGCGTTGAAAGCATTTCTCTTCCCATACGCCGGACCAAGTTTGACGTTGTTTGCTCCTGTATCAGGAACGATTGAAGCTGTTCCTGCTTTCTTTGGATCTGTTCGGGGGTAAAGCGGCGATATATATCGAGTTCCTTTCTAATTCTGACTACACCGTGCGCTGTGACGGTAAAGCCATCCGCCTGTAGTTGACGTAGGAGCTCATCATCGGAAAGACCAATAGTAAAGAAGTATTTCTCAATAGCTATTCGAAGCGCGTCGGTTATGATCGTTCTCTGCTGTTTTGGATGGATTCCCCATTGCTTAAGGCGGCGTCGAAGTGTAAATACCGAGGTCTGGATTGAATATGTAGCCTGGAGTACTTCTTGAATTGTCGGAAGAGGTACGCCGGACTGGTAGCGCTGTATAATAAAGTCTTTCTGACCCTCTAGTTGTAGCTCAGGACGAGCCATTTCAATAGGAAACAGATTGATTACGACGTGTTGAATACTTGTACGACAAAATCAATCACGCAGCTAGGGGTTAAGGGGGGAATTTTCTAACTTTTTCGAGCCCCACATATCATATCAAATCGAATTGTTTTGAATTGAATCGCACTGTATTGCTATTGATCTATGACTAATCATATGATACCGAGTTGGATCATATCAAATCGATCTGAAACCATTCGCAAGCTGTCGTTCCTGTGTATTACCGCGGGGAATCAATGCATGTACCCTTTACTCCATGCTAAATGCCTTGAAACAAGTCGAAACCAGCTGAATTGTCGAAATTGCCCGCTCTGAGACGTTACGTGTCGTATCGAATCGATTCGGGCCGATTCGAGCTGGATTAGTGCTTGCGCTTCTTGCCGGCAGGAGTACCGTCGGCGCGGGAATCCAATTCCTCCTGAATCGAATTGATCAGAGCCTCGAGAGTGCCAGCCTTGTAGTCTTCAAGGCTGTTCAGAATCGATTCGATTGGATCCGACTCGGTTGCCGCTGCCTTGCCTTTACCCTTGGTACCAGAGTCTAATTTATATAAGTAAAATGGTCGATGCTGGAACGAATGGAATCAGGTTGATTACTTACAGAACGAGCAGTGGTTGGCAGAACCAGAGTACTGGCAGTTGAAACAAGCTGCATTGAAGTCCGAATCCACCTTGATGCACATTCGAAACGGACCGGAAGCACTCGCACTGGCGCACTGGCGGCAGATGGTAGAATTCTCCGGGGCACAGCTGACGTAGGCTGCAGCGTCAGTGAGCTGATTGGATCGAGTCGGATCGATCTGGTTCAAGCCGTGAACAAGCTGAATGGGACGTGCAAGGACTGAATTCTGGACCAAAAGATTCTTTCCAAGCTTGGAGTTGCTCGCAAGAATCTTTTCCAAGGCGATTCGAGTCTGATCAAATTCCTTTTTGGTCATGTTCGGATTGGTTTTGTAGGCTTCATCCAGCTTCTGACCACCCAGAGTAAACGATCCGATTCCGATCGAATTGAGCTGATCTGCATTGAAAGGGTCGCCCTCCGGGGTACCGGTGAACCAGTAGCCAGTGGATCCGATACGAGCCGAACCGGTTCGAACCGAGTTGGTTCGGCCGGCAGGAGCTGGAGGCGTGGGCGACCGGGCAGGGGGGACGGGAGCCTTCTTTGCGCGAGCCATGTTGAATCGAATCGAATTGATTTGTACGGAATCGAGTGGTATAGGCTTGGATGTTTAACAAACAACTTCTGCGGACGAGATCTGCTTGAAACAAGTTGTATCAGTACGATATGAACGGAACATTTTGGAAAGGAAAAAGTTGAGCTCGGGAGGCAGGTGGGGCGGATGTGAGGTGGGAATGAGCTGTTCGCGACAGGAATGTGCAAGGTCGCGATAGCTTCAAAAGTCGTTCAAAATTGATGATTCTTGTATCATTGTGTTCAGAATTCAATTCTGAGTCGAATGCACCTAATTGCAGCTGCGCGCAACGTGGTTTGAAGGAATTGTGGCCGAAAAGAAATGGTGTGGTACTTACGCGTTGTTGTTTGTGTTATGCAGGCAGGTGCAGGTGCAGGTGCAGGTGGGACTGCTTAAGTGCATCACCAAAACCCTCAAATGCTTGAAACGAGTAGATTCCTATCTAAACGGTACAGATCCACTATCGTGACCGGCGTCATTCTATTAATTTCACACCTCCATTTGGGTTTTGCAACAGTTGGAGCTTTCGTCCGCCGTAGTTAGCACACCTGCACCACCACCACCGCGTGTGTGGTCGGCGCAGCTCAACCTCCAGCATCTGCCATCGTGAGATTGCCGGCCTGCCATTCTCGACATTCTCGCGCCACGCCATGTCTGCTGCTCTAGTCGAGTCTGGCCCCGGCCAGGAGCGCAACGTCTTCGACATCATCCAGCACGGCCACAAGGACATAGTGCAGGCCATCGCCTTCAATGCCTATGGCGACCGGTGCGCCACCGGCTCCGTGGACGGCAAGATCAGAGTATTCAATCGCCACAAGGACGGCACGTGGCGCCTGTGCGACCACTGGGGCGCGCACGGCGGAGAGATACTAGAGGTGTGTTGGACCTGTGTGCTCCGTATTCCACAATCACCATCCCAGGCGTATGCTGACCATTGATGAATCTCCTAGCTGCAATGGCTTCCTCCCACCATCTACCCGAACCTACTAGCTTCACTCGGCATCGAAGGCCGCTTCAAGCTCTGGGCCGAAGACCCCTCCGCCGCCCCTGGCCGCCGCTTCAGCTCGCGTGGCAGTAACGCGAAGGCGGCCGTTGAGCAGCGCTCTGGCAAGGCGCCCTACCGCTCCTTCTCGGTCAAATACAACGACGAGACGCGACACACCTACTTTGCTCTGCTCGCCGCCGACGGCCACCTGACGGTCAACGAGAGCGAGGAGCCCGAGATCCTGACCGACTCCGTCAAGGTCGACGACTTCCAGGCGTGCCCAAAGCCCAACAGAGGGGAGGAGACGTGCTTCAAGGTCACCTTTGACCCAAACCCGGAGGTCTGCTACAACGCCCTGCGCGCCGGTGTGCCTCCGGACGCGCTGAGCCTCGTCGTCGCAGGCATGACTACGGTTCGACTGTTCCGCACGCGCGACATCGTCACGAGCTCTTTCGGCGCGGCCGTCAAGGCGCGCGAGTTCTACCTCGCTGTCGAGATCGAGGCACACAAGGGCCTGGTTCGTGATGTAGCCTGGGCGCCGGGAAATTTCCGCGGATATGACATGATTGCGACTGCCTGCCAGGACGGCTTTGTGCGGGTATTCCGCATCGACACGCCGTTTGACAAGGACGACGGCAAGACATGGTCCGTGGCGGATGTCACGGGAGGCGCAAAGTCTGATGAGCATGCGGGCGGCGGCGCGAAGAGCTCGGCGAGTCGAAAACAGAACCAGGCGGCCTCGGGGATTAGGGCAGAACTGGACAAGTCCGGCAATCATGGGGAGCGGACAGCCACCGGCCAACCTGGACAGATCCACCATACTGTCAGGGAATTGTCCAAGCTTGATGCCCACAAGTCGCCAGTGTGGCGAGTCGACTTTGACGACGACGGCCAGATCCTGGGCAGCGTGGGTGACGAGGGGAAGCTGATGTGCTATCGTCAGACCCCAGCTGGCACGTGGGCAAAGAGCTCGGAACTCGGCATGATGAAAGCGCGGATGGCCACGCCTTAGTTTGGGCAGTCTGGCGGAGGCCTAGTTCAGGCTCAGAGATGGCCTCAAAGATAATGCTCTGAAATATCGAGCATGGCATATCTACGGCGCGGCAGACATATCCATTCACCTACTATTACAGAGGACACTAGTGCTATGGCTGTACCAAGACATTCCAAACTGCACAACCAGCACTTGGTGCTTGTGGTCGTGGTCGTCCACTTCAGCACTGCGCTTATCAGCCCAAGCACTACGCGCAGGTCTGCACTTCTTGGTCACGTCGCTCAACATCAGGCCCAGCACGACCTCGATGTAGCGGGGCAACTTGGGGTTGTCCCAGTTGTAAGCCATCAACGATGGCATGTAACTGCCACTCTAGGCGTTGCCATAGCCACACCAGACGATGTCTGGTACCGTATGGCCACCAGTCGGCCACTTCACTCTGGCCTTCTTGCTGAGCCTGGCGGACAAATCAGAACCTGGGTTGCTTTTTGGGCGGAGATCGAATCAATGTCGCTGTTGCCTACGCCAGCAAGGTCGTATTCGGGCAGAACTATTTCGAATAACTATGAGCGGCGGACGGTACCGCCGTAAGCGCTCCAGAGTCTCCACGACTCCTCGATCGACATTGTCACACTCTTGAGAGGCAGAGGGTTGTAGCCATTGAGCATACAGCCACCACATTCGTGGTTTGCCGCGAATACCGTGATGGTGTTCGAGTGTTTGTTGATCCACATTTCGACGAACTGCATTACTTTGTTGTTCATGATGATGTCTCGGATGTGGCCAGCATGCGGAGCTGGATGCTTACAGACCGTCTTGGGATTCTTGCCGTTCTTCAGTAGGGAGACGTTTTCATGAGTATGGTTTGCGAATGCTGGGCTAAGGCTGTCGGCAAGAATGTAGATGAGTTTATGGGCCTTAGAAGAACAGCCATGTTGCCTACGTGGTCTGGGCAACCAACCAGTCCGCCGACGATGGCGAGGGAGAAGCGCATATTTATGAAAACGGTCCTGCTGCGTCGAGGGGAAGGGAGACTGGGCTTCTGACGATTGTGGACAAGGACAGAGACACATATCAAACGAAAAAGAGACATCACGAGCTCTCTCTCATCCCTATACATGCTCGTATCACGCTCACCACTTTTCGCGCAGACGAACTAAACATGCTCAAGGATGATTTTGTGTCTGCATGCCAAGTCCCGTACTCGACGCGGTTGCTCTCACAGACGGCTGCGGAGATGTTGTGCCTCCTTACCAAACTCACTCCTTTTTCAAAGCCGGCCCTCCCCGTGCAATTTCTCTCTGTTCTCCTTAGACTCTCATCACCCCTTCTACCCCTTTGATAACTTGCAAGCAGCAACTTAGTTCTGTCAATCTTATGTCCTCGCCGCCTGACGTTGGTGGTCTCACAGATTTTCTCGGGCCTACGCTTCAGACGAGCCTATCGTAGTTTATGCAAAAAACACAAACGCTTCACCACACAGATGCATGTCAGTTCCCCAGTTTTGGACAACATGTTCAAAACATACCATATGAAGCACGTTCGCAGCTTTGTCACCCTCCGTGAGCAGTCAATGCCGCAGGTCAAAGGCTTCCGCTCAGTCCAATACTCCACACACTCCCTCAGAGGTGCAGCTTCTCCCTGGGGAGACATCCAAGATACCGTGGCTGCTCCAGATGGCCCGAGTCAGCATCTTATGCAGGCCGGCAGAAACTGTAGCGTGAGTGTTTCTAATGACCGCGTCCGATAACTGATGCTCTGTGTGTAGCGATCGTTGTTCAATCGCGAAGGGGACCATTGCTTCTCACTGGTCCATGCTCTGAAGACTACTGTCCACGCAGCCATTATTTAAGCCAGTAGGGCAGGGCAATGCAGTGAGTGAGCTACCCCAGGCGAAGCACCTTCTGCCTTAGCTCTGTGTCCATGCTTGAGTGCTGTAAATGGTTCTACCTAACTACATTGAACCCTCTCTCCCTCCTAACCCCCCCAACCATCCATAACGCCTTTGACTTTCTCGCATCGTCATCGGTACCAGCGCAACGGATGCCATCACAGGACAGTGGAACGCAGATCCTCTCAAGAGCATATTGACTCTCCTTGTGTTTTGAAATCTTCTCCTCCTTGCTAGCGATCTGCCAGTCTTGAGTTTGTAAGTGACAACTGTCTCACACCAACGCCACATCAATCTCACAACTGTACTGAACATATATATGGACTGACAAAGGACCCCAAAAGCCTTCAACCGTCCCCGACCTACCGATCCTTTTCTCCATCCCGTATCTCAAGTGCCGTCTAGACTTTCTTTGACCTCCACGGCAAGCCCGACGCAGTCAAGAAGTCCTGAGCACCCACCACCTCCTTTCCCCACTCATCGAGCGAGCAGACGCTCTACATCGCCACGACCCTCGTTCACACTAACAACATCGGCACGTCGTCGCCAAGTATCAGTGAGTACAGCCAAACTTCCTTCATCGCCTCCTAGGTCATGTCGTTCTCGTGCTTGACTCTTCCCCTCCTGCCTTGTCCCAATCTGATGTCCGACCTTCTGACATTCAAGATGTCACAGGTGTCCAAACATCAAAGTTCTCAGTCAGGATGAGTGAACAACCGACAGCTGAAACAGTGAGTTACCTTCCACATGTACCTCACGTCATATTATTTTCTTTCTTTACATATTCTTGGCGCTCTACTATTCTCCTGTTCTGTCTCGCACAGACTGCCCCCAATTTCAAGCACCTCGGATCCTCAGGGTCAAGTTTCGATTCAACTGACGTCATGAAATCCGGGTCCCTAGTCCGGATGGACGGACATGCCTGGCGACAAGGTAAGTGCCAATGGCCCTCGCAATATCGCTAGGTATATGCTCTAATTTCGACACATAGAGAGATGAGCAGACAGCTGTCGGCGCCGTTGACCTGCCCGGTGTAGACTACAAATTCAATCAGGTTAGTCATTCTTCCCCCAGCAGGGAGAACTGGCAACCAACAACGTTTGGATCCAAAGGCCGAAGCGGGAGAATGGGCAGCGGAGGCAACTCAGCACTGGTTACGATGACCCCAAGCATGCAAGTTAAGGTATCATCTGGCCGGTGAAAGTCGGGCACAATACTGATCATGCTGTTCGTATTCTCCAGAATTTTCACGGCCATGTCGAGTTCTCCGGGAGTTCGTTCAGAGGTGCACGACGAGAACCTCATCATAGAATGCCCATCCTGCTCCAGTACGCAGGAAAGTCATTCAGCTTCCCAAGCGACAGGGACATTTACGATGTTGGTATTTGTGGTCGAGAATCCATCACGTATATGCTGTCTTTCGTATATACTGCTGGACGGATCCCTCGTCTCCTCATCCATCTTCTGCACCACAACACCATGAGATCCAGAGGTCCTGTGGCCTTGGGCCATTTCGCGATTGCTGTTGACGCATCGCTCGAGGCTTCATGCCATTTCCTCGATGCCGAAGCGACCACGGATAAGCTCAAGACCTTCAATCCTAGAGTCACCGTCCAGGACAAGCGTGGCTGCACTACCCTCGACATCTCGACCAATTGCGTCAAGGATGCTCTCGATGGCTCTCATCTGAAGTTGACCAGCAGGGCAATCCGTCGCCAATTCGATGCTCTTCGTGAGGCCTTCAACACTCATGATCAATCCGAGAAGCATCGCATTTGCATCACAATGTCCAGTGATCAACGCGCTGCTGGCCCGGGACAGATGTCGCCAACGATGACATACTTCTTCCAAGCGTACAGTATCAAGAACTGCGACTGGCAGAGAGGCTGGTTGGCGAAGCGCCCCAAGGCACGAATCCTCAATCCCGGCACAGTCATTCGCCTTGACAACACGTCCGGCAACACCAAGGCATGTTACACTTGCAACAGCACTGACCACCTTGCTCGAGACTGTCCGTTGGTGGTTTGCAAGTACTGCTCTGACTTCGGTCACAAGGCGGCGACTTGTCCAGCCAAGATCCATTGCCTCCGATGCTTCCAATGCGGAGAGCTGGAGCACACCCGTCGCGGGTGTCCCATTCCTGTTGAATGGCTGGTGTGCACCGACTGCGGCGGACAGGGCCATGTTGCTGGCCTCTGTGCAAAGAACTTGAGAGGGGTGAAGCGGCCTACTGACGCCCTCATTCCTCACAGACTGACTCGCCGAGACTTTGCTGCACCGACGGCATCCAATGAGATCGAGCGCATGATGTTGGCGTACCGCGAGGCTGCAGAGACTGGCACTGAGGTCTCTTACGTGGCTAACGCGCCTCTTGATGGCTCCCCTGCTCTCGGAACTGGTGCTGGGACGGGTGTGGTAGGTGGTGGGAATAGGGATTGGGCTCCAGCGGGTGGTGCTGCAACTGGTCAGAACAATGGTATGCCCGCTTGGTGAAGATGGACTCGCAGGTTTTCAAATGGACTTAAGGAACATTAGAGGGTTTCCGCCTGGAACAGGATTGTGGACGAGTGGCAACAGGAACAAGAAGAGAGATAGATGTGCCGCTAGCCCAGAATTGATGCAGATCACGGAAACTCTTCAGTGACATTGATCTATGTGCATGCGCTTGCGAGCTGTAAGAGAGACGCAATCGTGGTTTCATCTTGGTCCGCATGACGGCGGTGCGAGTTATCTCAGGTACATCAAGTTTGGAAAACTACAAGGTATTGTATAGCCTGTAGGGCGCCTGTTCATCCGGGATGCTGCTGGATATGCTGGGCGGACCAGGACAGGCCCCGGATAATACCGCCATGCTGGTCTCTCTGGCCGTACTTTCTAATACCAATGTTCAGCCTCAAAGACAGGGAACATCTATGACCGCCAGCGATGCATTTTCTGTGCTGACGACTTTGCAATCTTGGACGACTGCCTTCCAGAATATGTCCAGGATTGAAAGGCTCAAAAAAGAGGGCGGCCCAGCACAACTTGGGCTGCAGTCGGGCACATCGCCTTCCATTGTACCACAAACCCACGGCTTCCCCCTTTTTCCCTTTTCCTTTTGCCTTTATACATATGCTGTGGGGTGAAAAGTCACATGGGGCATCCGCCAGCTTCACTGTCTTGTTCGGCAGAATTGTGTAAACTTCATGCTGAGTGGTAGTCTGGGTAAGAACCTGGCTTGTCGGCCATTGATTGGGCTGGGATTGCGGGGCTAGGGAAAAACACTAGCCCGTCCTGGGCATGTCAAACGGATATGATTGGTGCGCAAGTCTGTAGCTCGCCAAATGTGGCAGACATTACGACTTGCAAGAAGTTGTTGCCAACGCCGTCCTTTCTCTCGAGGGAGGTTCAGAGAGACCACTACGATCTCAATTGAAGTCTCAATTGAGAAGACTCACCAAAGGCGCAGCAGAGGCCAGTACTGGAGAGCCGAGAGATGAGGCCATGAGGTGGTGTATGCCAGCTCAATCCCTGCGCAACTGGTGCCTTTCAAACTCTTCAGCATCTGGCCTGACGAGAGTGACAGTTCAGAGGCTGTGCCTTTGTAGCTCCAAGTCGCTCAATTCATGCCAAGAGGTTTGTGGATGTGTTGGGTGCGTCCTTTCCCCGCGACCGAGCTACTGCTTCATTGCGCCTCGCCGCTGCCGTCGTGTTGACCATGTCCAGAACCTCTGCCCGAAAGGTCTCTGGCCCCAAAGCTATGTGACATGGTGGATGAAGCTGGTCGAGGCTCGCAGGTGGATGTCGTCGGGGAAGCGTGCTGCAGGCATTGGTGCGGCTATCGTGAGGGGAGGGGCATTTTGTCGTCGCAAGTCGGTCGTTGGTTGGGCGGGTCATTGTCCACCGTGGGAGAGGGAGGTTGGCCTTTGCGGATGGAGCCGTCTCGCAGGCTCAGTGCCCGGACCGCGAGGTGGCCTCGCAATAGCTGAGACGGTTCCTGTGGCGAGGCAGTCGTCAGCGGGACTGTGAGCCTTGATATAATCAATGCCCACAAGTGATTGCCCCTGGGAAAAGAAACCGGCCGGCTAATGGATAAAATGGTTATTCTTTTTGGGGGATGCGGGCAGCTTCCCCTCAGCCCCCACCCCAATGCCCAATGCCCCCAGCGGAGCTGCTCCGCTGGGCAGCTTTAGGCGCCCTGGGACATCACCCACAGCGCTTTCAGCGGGCGAGGATCGCCCAGACTTTACCCGACGGCGCCAGCGCCGTGGTACAACCTGCCAGATCGGGGCATGGGGTAGAGGGGGCCGAGTACCTGCCTCGTGCCGGTGCCGGTGCCTGTGCCGTGCCCCTCCTCCAGCTAGCGATGATGTCGTCGGCGCCCTGCGATCCACAACACGCGCCCGAGTCCACTGCTGTGGAGGGGCAGCCAGCCCCAGCACACTAGCATCAACAGAGTCGCTGGAGCACGAAGTGGAGGAGCTGGAGACCGAGGGGAAAGAAGCGGGAGGAAATGCCACGCCCCTCTCGGGGTCGCGTCGCATCGCCACTTTTCCCACGGCGCAATAAAACGTGCCGGGTTTCCCTCCTTCCAGCTGCGAGTGCTGCCCTCTCCTGGTTCCCTCGATCTCCTCACCTCTGCTCTTGCCAAATTTTTGTGATCAAACACAAGAACAATACTGCCAAAATGGTTCCTTCAATCAAGCTCTCCTCTGGCCACGTACGTCTACTGCCCTCCTGGTCCTCTACTTCGTCGAGTTGTGCTCCCGCTAACACCCAACAGGAAATGCCCGTCGTCGGCTTTGGCATCTGGAAGGTCCCCCGTGAAACCTGTGCTGAGCAAGTAAGTCTTTGCCCTCAGAAGATGCTTCCAAGGAAGCCGTCTATCCTCATGGCTGAGGTGGTGGACGAAGGCCTGAGGCTCTGGCGATGTTCTACTATCTGGACCCTTTTCTGCGAGCCCAACCAGGCTGACTCTCTGCTCTTCGCCAACAGGTCTACCAGGCCATCAAGCTGGGCTACCGCCACATTGACGGCGCGTGGGACTACACCAACAGCAAGGAGGCCGGCGAGGGTGTGCGCCGCGCCATCTCCGAGGGCATCATCAAGCGCGAGGACATCTTCATCACGTCCAAGCTGTGGAACAACTACCACAAGCGCGAGCACGCGCTCGAGCAGGCCCGCCTCGAGAACGAGGCCTGGGGCCTCGGCTACCTCGACCTCTTCCTCATCCACTTCCCCATCGCCCTCGAGTTCATCCCCTTTGAGGAGATCCGCTTCCCCTGCTTCTGGACCGACAAGGAGCAGACAAAGGTCACCCCCTTGGCCAAGGTGCCCCTCTCCGAGACCTGGGCCGCCCTCGAGGAGCTCGTCTCCCAGCCCGACGCCTTCATCCGCAGCATCGGCGTCTCCAACTTCCACACCCAGACCCTCTACGACCTGCTCAACTATGCCAAGATCCCGCCCGCGGTCCTCCAGATCGAGCACCACCCTTACCTCACCCAGCCCAACCTCGTCCACATGGCCCAGGAGAACGGCATCGCCGTGACGGGCTACTCGACCTTTGGGCCCCAGAGCTTCATCGAGCTCGGCAACGCCGCGGCCAAGGGCACCAAGCCCCTCTTCGAGGCCGACGTCGTGACCAAGATTGCCGCCAAGCATGGCAAGACGCCCAGCCAGGTCCTCCTGCGCTTCTGCACGCAGCGCGACATCATTGTCATCCCAAAGTCCAACAACGTCGAGCGCCTCAAGCAGAACCTCGAGTCTGTCGAGTTCGACCTCTCCAAGGAGGAGCTCGACGAGATTGCCAGCCTCAACCAGAACCTGCGCTTCAACGACCCTTCGACCCTCGGCCGCCCCATCCGCATCTTCACCTAAAGTGGTTTGGGTGTTTGAGGGGGTTCCTGTTGTGAGAGGTAAAACGGAGAAAAGGGGGAAGGGGTTTATCGAGTAGCTCTAGACAGGGCCGATGAATAAAAACACAAACAAAACGGTTCACGATGAGTGGAGAGACGGGGGCTTCTCGCCCATTATGTGAGATACTGGCGTCCTGTGTATTGCTCGCTGTGTGAGCCAAACCCACCATCTGCCGCCGAGAATGTTTTGATGCCGAAATGATGAGAAAGGGGCACCGCTTTGCCCCTGTGTCCTGGCTAGAAAGCACAGATCGTATTCGTACAAACTCGTCACATTTTCGCCGACAAAACATGCGTGCTTCTCCCCCTCTTGCGCCCTAGATGCCTTCAACCCTTCTTCCCCCAGCCCGGTATGAGCGAACCATCAACTAAGGTTTCTCACTTCCTTTCCGGTCCAGCACCACCACCACCACCGGCAGACGAGGAAGTAGAATGGTCAACAACCCTGATCCTCGGCGCCAGCGCCCGGAGCTCCTCCCGATCCCGCTCCGTCGGCTCCGCGATGCCCAGCTTCTCCCCCGCGGCGTCGGTAAACTGCAGGCCCACGAGGCCCCAGGTGAACAGGCCCGCGCCGACGAGCAGGCGTGTGCGGGGGCTGAGGTTCTTGAATGATCTATTTTTTTGATGAGAGAGGTCAGGGATGGGTTGTGACATGTTTGTTGGTGGGTGTGGTGGACATTTCACTTCGTTTTTGCGGCTTGGGGTGGGAAAAGAGAGAGGAGAGGAGAGGAGAGGAGAGGCAACGGGGGGCGGATCTTAATCTTGTATAGTGTGTTTGAGGAAGCGGTTCGGAGAAACACGCAAAGGAAAGCTCTTGAGTGGAAGGAGAGAAGACATGATGTTTCATGAGAACGACAAATCCCATGTATGAGAGGAAAACACAACGACAGTCAAATGTGAAGCTCGGGAAGACTCACTGAAACAGAGACATTGTCCTCCTCCTCCTCCTCGTTGTCACCCTCGTCTTGTACCTTTCTTGTATGATGGCTGAGAATAGGCTGCACTCCACGGGCTGATCCCGCGATGCTTTTCTTCCGGATCGGAAAGCCCCCAGTCTATCCCTCTCAAGAGATGTGTTGCGGTTGCTTGCAAGTGTTGATGGCCCCGAGGGAGAATTGTTGTAGGAGGTCAGTACTAAAAGGCATGTGACACTCATGGCTCAGGAATATCTCCACAAATTGCAACGCAACCCACTGCCGCACTTCTCCAAACTTGCCCCGCCCGCATAATCAAGTATTACTGGCTAGATGCATGCAAGTCGACAACGGTCCACGTACGTCCCAGAAGATGCCATCATGCACACATTCTTAACCTCGTCTATTGTACTTTTATTGTAGTTTATTCACGGCATATATTGCCATTATATATAAATCATCCACCGCTCACCCCGCAGCACAACTTTACCCCGTCGTCGCTTGCGGTGTCGCGCTGTCACCTGACCTCGCACTCGAATCGTCCACAGGCATGCTCACGCCGTTCCCACTTACGGCCTTCTTCTCCGTGCCAGTAGCGGCGGTTCCCCTGTCAACCTCGACGCCGGCAATGAACAAGGCACTAACCCCTTCAAGCCCAGCGACAAAGACACAGAGCATGCTGGCAATGATGAAGTGCGTGATCGTCGAGCCAATCTCGAGCCACGAGCCTTCGTCCTTGACCACCCAGAAAAAGTACAATGTCAGCACGTCACTCATGGCCATGGCGACCATGAAGAGCGCCGACGGCGCCACACCCAGGCGCATGTTGAGGATGCCCAGGTTGGCCGAGATCAGCGCGAACGGCACCATAATCTTGAACAGCATCAGCGCCGTCTGCGAGAACGGCTCAAAGATGGGGATGAGCCGCGTCACGCTCTCCAAGCTGAACCCCGAGACTGAAGCAATGTTGCCCGTGCTGAAAAATGCCGACTGCAAGAGGACAAAGAAGAAAAGGGCGATGCGGGCATCAGAAAGCGTGAGTGGCCTGAACTGAGACACGACCACGTCGGCTACTGCCGCCGCAGGTCCTGCCGCACTGTCGATGTCCTTCTGCTGTGCTTCTCTCGCAAATGCGTTGCTGTGGTGCTCAAGCCGCACCCAGGTGATCAAAGTCAGGGAGAAGACGACGTAAAAGAAGCCCTCATAGGAGATCGTCAAGATGACAAATGTTGGGGCGCAGGTGAGGAAGATGGCCAGGAGCCGGTGCAGGTAGTGTGTGTTGGGCTGCAGACGGTGTGCCAGCGGCATGAGGAACGATGTCACCAGGATGATCCAGCCAACAACCTGGTTGCCGCGTGGAAGGCCCTGTTTCGCAGCCAGCGACAAGGCGCTCGACCGTGTCACGATAATGGACAAGGCAATCAGGCCAGTCTGTACAAACTGATCAGCATAGCGCAGGCATTTCATTTCTGCTGGCAAATCTTACCTGTACACCAATCAGACCTCTTGAGATGTGGTTGTTGCGTGGGACATGGGCCTTAGGCTCAAGCGAGGGGTCGGTCAGGATCTTGTCTTCAAATATGAGGTAAACAAGGCCCACAAGGACCATGAGAGCGCCTCCGCCGACGCTGCACAGAATCAGTTGCTGTACTTCGCAAGTTTGTGGTTTATGCACTTACATCATAGGGACGTTCTCGACCTTCATTGGCGACAGGAGTGTGAAAGAGCTCATAAGCAAGCACGAGGCTATCCAAGTAGCGGCCAACGCGGCATGCTTTCTCAGGAACGACATTCCCAGGAATACTGGGAACAGCGCGCCCATCACATAGAGACCAGTCAGAATCTCGCGGTAGATGTAGCCAAAAGCCTAGGATACATAATTAGCGCAGGCGAATCCTGTAGTTAACCAAGGCACTTACCAGAGACTGGATGACCGCTATGTATGCGATGGTGTTGATCATAATAGACATGACGTTGCTGCTAGTCTTGACATGGGCGAACAAGACCCGGCAGCCCCTGACCAAGCTCTCCCTCCGAGCGTATACTGCTTCCCAGAAGAAGACAGGGAAAAAGGCATACGCGTAATAGGTAGGGGGTGACTGGGAGATCACAAACGAGGCGTAGAGGGCGACCAGGATGGACGAGAAGGCGAGCAGAGACCCAATCGAGCGCGATGTTTGTGCGGCGCCCTGAATAACATGCAGGTCTATAACCGTGGTGGCGGCGTAAGCAATCCAGCCAAGATACCCAATGGTGATGAGCGCGCGAAGGAACAGCCAGTCGTAGGTCTGCAGATATCGCATGCCTTGCAGGCCAATCTTCATCAGCACAGCAGTCTCCTCAATTGCTTCCTCAAAGTGTCCATCGTCGATGAGCTTCCTGATCGCAGCCAGCCGGGCGGACGCAGTGACACCTGCTGATTCGGAGAGGGGGCTATATTCGCGAAACCTGAGCTCCTTGGCCTTCTTGCCAGCCTCCTTGACTCTGTACATCTCGAGAATTTCTTGCGCGTTGACGAACGACGCTTCTGCCTTTTCTTTGATGTCCGCCGCCAAGAAGGAGAGCGGGAGCTCGCCCACGGAATTGGCGGGGTACTCGACACCGACGAGGTAGGCCATCAGCGCCGCAACGTCAGCTTGAGCGACATCATGCCGCTGGATATCATCCAAACCCCAATCAGAAGAATACTCGTCATGGCCGGGAGCAACAGTGGTCGGAAACACAGACGGCTTGGCGACACCAGAGCCCCAGGCGATGAGCGGAGTTCTCGTATTGTCAGGATGCCCATCACCGTGGCTGCCCAGATCATTCATCCCGTGGTCGGCAGTAAAGACAAAGGCGGTCCTGTCGTCATTATAAAAGTTCTGGATCGTCTCGACCACTTCTTTGACACCCTGGTCCACGACCTGGATATTATGCAGGTATTCCTTGGAGTACGGCCGGAAGGAATGGCCCGTCGTGTCGAGACCGAGGAGATGCAAGAAGAAGACGTTCTTGTCCTGTCGCAAGGCACTGTTCAGCGACTTGTTCGTCGCGGCGTCGGCAAACATATCCTTCACGTGGTCAAAGACCCAGTGGTCAAGGTGAAGGGCGTCCTGTGAAAAGTCCTCAAACTCTGGAGGGTAACAGTATGCGTCGATCTTGCCAGGCGTGGCTCCTTGCTCGAACATGGGCAGAATGTCGGGGCTGCCCCAGCTCCAGGTATGACGGCTGCGGTTGAAAACGCTGTCAAAGTTGACGGGGTTGAGCTTCCAGCCAGTGGCGACCGCAGAGACATCTTCGTATAAACCGGCGATGAGCGCAACGTGGCCCGGTCGAGACTCTGTGGGGACTCGGGTATGGGACACGCCGAACGTGCCATGCTGTTGTATCCTGCTGCGCAGGTAGGGTGCCAGTGGTCGCGGAACAAGATCCTCCTCTGTCTTTGGGTACGGGTCGGGGAAGGATTGAAAGGCCTTGTCGGCTCGTAGCCCGTCGCCTACAAGTCGTTTCTATGTTAGCTTTGTGCGTGTTACGCTGCCTTGTAGAACGCCTCCATGTATAACATGACAGTCCCAATCGCTACCAGACGTACCAACAAAGAGGACAAGCCTGTCGGCTGGGGCCTTTGCTCCTTCTGGCCTCTTGATGCTGAACAGATCCATGCCGCTCACTATGGGGCTGACGAAGTAAATGTCAAAGATCGAGTAGATGTAGACAAGGTGGAAGACGACGGCAATCGCCAAGAAGCGAAAGCGGCTGACCCGAGCCATGGCAGGCGATTCGACAGTCGGTGTCAAGACGATCCTGTGTCGATGTGTGTTCTCTCGGCGCTGGCAGAGCTGCTGGAAATATCGACAGTCGCAAAACGGTCCTGGGGGTGCGTTCCGCAGAGTGGAGGCTGGCCGGCTCCACTGACGTAGCGACGAAGCGTGTCCCGCGGATGCAACGGACCCGGCAGATAGACGAGAATGCCCGACTAGGAGGGGCGGGAGAACTTGGAAGGTCAAAGGAAGGTCGAAAGGAAAGAACGGCACCAATGTGCCATGGAAGCTGACGAGGTGGGTGACGATGCCATGGGAAGACAGCAACGGGCGGATGCGAAAAGGACAGCATGGAGCAATAAGAAGCAGTCGGCGGCTGTGGGGTGACGCGCTCACCAGGCCAGGGCAAGACACGAGAATTGGGGACCCCGATGGCGGGCGGTCCTCAAGGTACCTTGGCCGCCCCGTGAATTGAGCTTGGACCCGAGGTACTAGAGTAGCGTAAGGGACGTAACGAATAATTAATTAGAGCAAGCCCAAACGAAGACTCCTCGGGACGCCGGAGCAGCCGGCCCAAGACCACATGGGGCCGCTCATTGGAGACTGGCTGACTGACATGGGCTACTTTGACCCATGCATGGCAATTCACAATTACAACGTGCTGTACCTGGGGATTACGTGATGGTGGATGGGCGGCACTCAAGCGGCGGGTGCACACAACCACCTCGAAGCTCCCCAGAGAGAGGGGCGGCCACTTAAAGTCACAGACGCGTTTCCTCGTGCAGGCGCGACTCCAACAAGGCCCGCGGCGGCTGAGAACCACCCCAGACAGCTTGGAGACATCCGGGCCGGCACGTTCCAAGCATCAGCGTCCTGTCCACACTCCACCAAGTGATCCAGCAGCCGCCACTGCGCAATTGATTTCAAGCAAGTGGGAGTACCGCCTACTTATCCGTACGTACCTAAGCAGGGACCTCCCCGACTGGCAGCCTGCGTCGAGGCTGCTTCCCCGACGTCAGCGCGTGGAGAAAAAGCAACATCCCTCCATCCTCAGCAGGGCCGCCCGCCAGCCCGCATTCTCGACACCCCGTCCCCCAGCTTTCCCGCCTCGACTGGTTCACTCGTGTGGATTCCGTCTCGGCACGCAATCGTGCGCGGTGAAACCACGACAGACATGTATCACCAACGCACAGAGGCCCAATCATAGACGCATCCGCAAAAGCGCCGGCCTCAGATGATGAGCCCCCACAGCCCGATCCGTATCGTTTGCCATGGCACCTCCTCCGGCCAAGCGTCGCCGCCGGAATGTCCTGCCCTCGTCTTCAGATGACGAAGACACTGCGTCCCGGAACGGCCCCAACACACTCAGTCGATACCTAGTCGCCTCTCCCGAAAAGTCGTCCGTCAAGCCGGTCCAGGACGGCTCACCAACGCGGCCAGGCCTCGTCTCTCGGCCTCTGCGGACCTCGACAGCCGGCAATGCCGGGGGTAGCCCCAGCCGACGATCGAATGGCAAGAGAAGCGCTACAAATAGCCCTGCCAAGACGAGGAGCCGCGATGCCATCAGCACTGGCCGCCCAGACCCCACGAAACCGAGGAATGGCGACCTCAAGTCGCTCTTCTCAAAGCAGGCAGAACGTGCCCCAGCATTGTCGCATGCCCAGCTCGAAGACATAGTCAGCGACCCTATCTCGGATGGCGACGGCGACGGCGACATCTTCGTGGCAAGCACCGCCAGCCGAATTGGACAGAATGCAAAGAAGAGGCTCAAGGACGGTTCACAGCCCGTCTCCTCCTCTACTTCCCATGGTCAGCCGACAGGCAGTCAGATGTTCGTTCGCCCCGTGCGGCCAACTCAGGATGCAGTGCCAGATAATGAGCAGCGCCCGTGGTCTGAACGATTCGGTCCTGTCAGTCTTGAAGAGCTCGCTGTGCATAAGAAGAAGGTTGCCGATGTGAGGGCCTGGCTCGAGGGCGTGATTGCTGGTCGCCTACGGCAGAGACTGCTGGTGTTGAAAGGCGCCGCCGGTACAGGGAAAACCACGACCATGCGCCTGCTCGCCAAAGACATGAAATGTGAGCTTCTCGAGTGGCGGAATCCAACAGGTGCGCTTGCGTCTGGACCTGGCGTCCTCTCAGCGTCGGCACAATTTCAAGAGTTTCTCGGCCGAAGCGGCAAGTTCTCGCAACTCGACATCGGGACAGCTGATGATGACGAGCAGAGCGACTCCAAGGTCAAGTCGATGGCGCCGCCGCCGAACAGAAAGTCCAGTGACACTAAGAGGAAGATCATCCTGGTCGAGGAGTTTCCGAACACCTTCGCGCGGTCATCCACAGCCCTGACCTCATTCCGCAACGCGCTGCTGCAATACCTCATTGCAAACACGCCCTCACTGGCCGCCTTTGGACAGCAGACTTCCTCAGAGCCCATAACACCCGTCGTGCTTGTCATCTCGGAAACCCTGCTCACCACAACATCGGCATCAGCGGACAGTTTTACGGCACATCGCCTGCTTGGTCCCGAGATATCTCGACATCCGGGAACGTGCATCATCGAGTTCAATGCCATCGCCCCCACATTACTGGCTGCGGCGTTAGAGCTAGTCGTGCAGAAGGAGGCACGGAAGTCTGGGCGCCGGAAGACGCCTGGGCCCCTGGTTCTGAAGAGGCTAGGCGAGATTGGGGACATTCGAAGTGCAGTCTCCTCGCTAGAGTTTCTGTGTCTCAAAGGTGACAATGAAGCTGACTGGGGTTCCAAGGTTGCCTTCACCAAGCCCAAGAGAGGTGCGAAGAGCGGTGTTGCCCTGACCAAAGGCGAGGTGGACAGCCTGGAGCTCATCTCGCAGCGCGAGTCTAGTCTCGGCATTTTCCATGCGGTGGGCAAGATTGTGTACAACAAGAGAGAAGACCTATCCATGAGTTCGCAGACACCGTCAGGCCTGGCGGAGTCCCTGCCCAGCTACTTGTCGCACAACTCCCGTCCCAGGCGGTCCGAAGTCGCTGTTGACGAACTTATAGACGAGACCGGTACCGACATCCAGACCTTTGTGTCTGCCTTGCACGAGAACTATGCTCTCTCATGCGAGGCCACAAGTCCTTCCGATCCAAATTCAAGTCTGGATTACCTCAACAACTGCCTCGACTATCTCTCTGATAGCGATCTGTTGAGCCCCTCGTGGGACGTCTTCTTTGGTGGATCGGGCTATGGAGGAAGGGATTCCGCCAGCCACGCACTGCGACAGGATGAGATTGCATACCACGTGGCAACACGCGGGCTACTGTTCTCCTTGCCATACCCCGTGAAACGTGCCAAAGCCTCGGGCCGCCCAGGAGGCGACGCATTCAAGATGTTCTATCCGACCAGTATCAAACTGTGGAGGGGCAAGGAAGAGCTAGAGGGCCTCGTTGACCACTGGGCGACGAGTCTACTACGAGGCGATGAGAGCACTAGGAAGCTGACGGAAGGTGCCTCGGCATTCAAGAAGCCCGTCACAGGCGACAGCGGCGATTGGATCAGCCGGCAAGCATCTCAGCAGCGGCGCAACGGCACACAGCAGTCTACCAACCACGGCCAAGGCCAAGGCCAGTCTGCAGGCAGCCCATTGTTGTCTTTGGGCAGCTCTGCACGTCGGGAGATGCTGCTAGAGCGACTGCCTTATATGGCGCACATGGCCCGGAGGCGCAAGCTGACGTTAAGCAGTGCCCGGCTGCGCGAGCTTGAGAAAGTGGTGTCCTTCACGGGTATCGGCCCACCGGCGAACGAGGCAGACGAGGATGGAGCGGAACCCGCGCCAGCAGGAGCAGCATCATCGGAGTCGTGGGCTACAGACCGGCCTACCGAGGAGTCGTCGCCGCGCAAGAAGAGGACTGGGCTCGGCATCCGTCAGAAGCCGGATGACGCTGTCGAGAGCAGTCTGATGACAGTTCAGAAGCTCGTCCTGAGCGATGACGATATCGAGGATTAATATATATATATGTAGTCCTTGGTCGGCCAATGGTGCTGGGAAGCCGCCTAAAATCTGACACAAATCTTCACGGGGCGCAGGAGTTTGGTGGAGTACATCAATGAGATCTGGCAACTTTGACTTTTGTTTGTTCTCTTCCGGTGGGGAGGGTTTCATTTTTTGGCCACGGGCGGCGCGCTTTTCGGAGCGGGAGCGATTCACACAACGGCATTCCCTTTTTTTTTTTAGCGAACGTCGGGGTTCTATGCTCGGCACGGCGTCACCGGAATCTCAAAAGGGTTTCTGATAATCAGGGGCAAGCATATCCCATTACTGTAGAGTAGATGAAGGCATTTCGAACATAATCAAAAAACGACACGAAGTTGCCGTGAACTCAGAGCACGCACATTCCTGCGCCACCAGGCGGAACAGACGACCATATGCTGCTGACTTACTGCCACCGCTCTTGAGACAGCACGTGAACTAGGAGAGGCGCCGATGGTCTACCTCTCAATCCCCGCATGCACTTTTGGCTTTATACAGCACGCGATTAATCATGTTTAAAGATGCTCTTCCGGGCTTACAGCTATCCTTTGTGTGTCCTTGGATTATAGTACGATTCAGTCCATCACTCAAGAGAGTTCCTGTCCATAAAAGAGTGCAAGCTATCTCCCTCCGACGCTCCGCGCCCAGCACATTTACTGCTCGGCCATCTCCACTCCCCTCAAGCCATCAACCTTGAGCTCCTCGCCGGTGGCGCGCAGGTAGATGTCCTTGACATCATCAGTGGTGGTCTCAAAGTGCGAGGTGGCGTCGTAGCTCTTGGAGATGAAGATGTTGTCGGTCTTGCCGGAGTCGACGGGCTCGTAGAGAGGGATGGGAGCGCCCTGGAAAGTTCTTGTGTTAGTCTCCAAACGTCATGCTCGACCGCGAGGCACCTCCAGCTAATTGGTACTTACCATGAACTGCTCCTCAATCTTGCCGAGGCGGTCCAAGCCAGGCTGGAGCTCGAGGTGGTGGTTGGCCGAGGTCTCTGCAATTGTGGACACAATGGCGATGTAGTAGCCCTTAGGGCAGACGTTGTGGGCGGAGGAAACGCAGGCGATGTAGATATCTGAGAGCCCGTTAGTCACAATCGTGCCGAATGCCGGGTTGCAGCTTCTTCTGGTCCGACTCACCGTTCTTGCGTCCGACTTGGGACTGGGGAATGATCAGCTGGGCCGAGTCGCTGTCGTTGGTGCCGGCCAGAGGGTGCTTGAGCACACAGATGGCACGGAGCACGTGGCCAACGACCTTGACCTTGTCGGGGAAGTACGAAGGGTCACCGAGGATCATCTTGGCCTTGGTCTCAAACTTCATCTCCGGCTCAATACCAGACATGGTGGCCTTGATACCGGTCGCCTTGCCACCCTCGTAGATGATCTCATCAACTTGTGTGTTGAGCATGTAGGTACCACCGTAGATGGCTGAGAGACGGGCGAAACCCTGAGGCAGCTCGCCGAGGCCGTAGAGCGGGTAGATGTAAGGTGACTTGCCGTATCTGGCGACGGAGTTACCATACAGCTTGATACGCTCGATGGCCTCGGGGGCGCGGCCGGGGGCAGAGATGTAGCTGTCATCGAGGTACAGGGCCATGGCATGGCCAATGAAGTCCTTGGTGCCAGTCTCGAGTCCGAACTTGTCGTAGAACTCCTTCATGGTGGCCGTGCTGATGTCGAGACCTGAGGGGGGCAGTTAGCACTCTGGACGCGCTACAAGCTCTGGGAGAACACATCCGCAACCATATTCGGCGTCGCCCCGATGAACATACCCTTGTGTGTGGCGGGGTCGTTGATGTCGAAGGTGCCAACCCACTCGATGAAGCTCTTCATGCGGCGCTTCTCAAAAATGCCCATCAGGGGTGACCGCAGAGCCTCGGCGGCATCTGAGGGGACTTTGGCTACGGTGGCCTTGGAGGCGGCGCCCTGCTGGACGAAGCTGCCGGCGACTTGCTTGAACTCGAGGTAGCGGGTGACATCAGTCGAGACGAGGATGTTGGTCAGCTCGCCAGAGGACATGAGGAACTTGGGGACGAGATCGATGTTCCAGTCGTTCGCGCGGCCGTACTTCTTCCACGGCTCCTCGCCAGCGGCGTGGGTGCCATACTTCTTGAATAGCTGTCGATCATTGGTGGTCAGCGATCTGCAAGTGGTGTCGTTACGAAAAGCTTGGGAAGCTTGGGGAGCTTGGTTGAGTCGATGCGATAGGCTGACGTACAGTCTCGAGGTTTACCGACGAGGCCTCTCTGCAAGTCCGGGGATCATATTAGCATCTGTCTGCAGGACTCCAAGCGGAAATGGCCAAGACCACAGAGAGAGGGCTGGGTTGTTGGACAAAACGAAGCTATCAAGATCAGGGGTTGGTTATTCAAACTAAGACGTACCCTCCGTAGTGGTCATTGCGATCAATGTGCAGGACCTTCTTGCCCTTGACACTCAAAACACTGCGCTCATGTTCTTCAGTCAGTTGAAAGTCCCCGGATGCTGTGTCTCGTTGTCACGTCGGATAAAATCGAGCTGCCGTGGCAACTGAGTAGGGTGGCCAAATCGTACCCGGAGAGAATGCACTCGGTCAAGCCTATGGGATTGTTGGAGTCTCGTGGTCAGCCCATGCAATAGAGTAAGTGACGACAGTCGTTGGGCAAAGTGCTCCAGCTGGTCCGCACAGAGCTTGATGTACAGCCTCGCCGCCCATCGTGGACGCGTAGGCTGCGATGCAGAGCTGCTGAGCACTTGCATCGCCGACTTGCCACCCCACTACCTTGGCCGCGGGCAGTGCGGGGCGATAGGGGTCGTCTGCTCGAGGAGGCAAGGGCTTACCGGTGCCAATGACGATGACGTCGTACTCCTTGGCTATCTCGTCCATGTTGAGCGTGCCGTGTCTGTGTTTGCTTTGGGAGGTATAGTGTGGTTGTCACCAGGAAGAGGAGTGCAGTCCAAGATGTAGAGAAGGGGGGCCTCTTTGGGGCCGTCGTGGAGGCGGGAGCTTGGGAAAGTGACGGTGAGGAGAGGCCCCAGCTGCTGCTGCTCTCTGGTGCTACGCTGCACTAACGAGGGATCCGCTTAGGGGCTCTGCTTCCCCTCCCTGGAGGACCCCCATCTGCCTGCTCAGTGCTCGAGCCCGCTTGTGAGCCGCGGGCCTGTTCACCTGTCGGTGCAGAATGACCACCGAGCTCCAGCCAATCATTTCCGCCACCCAACCTGGACAAGACTCCCCTTGATGCGGATCTCAAGTCCCATTCTGCTGCCCTTCTGCGTGCTGCTGCCTTGGTTAAAATTATTGCTGGTCGAGTAGTGGATATCTTGTAGAAGCCACGGGTCATCCGACGATGTTGTTCATTTCACAGCAAGCAGGGGGACAGAGATGAGCAGAAGTCTGAACATCCGTTCGCCGACTCTCCCGTCAGCTGTGAATGTGCTACGCATCTTCTTGCCATGACGTGCACGCTGGCTGACACGCGCAGTGATGGGTGGCACAAAGTCATGAAAGCATCCAGTTGGTCATGTCATGTTGTACATTCATGTTTATACAGCGCCATCGCTTGATGAGGCACTCCTTCTGAGCCTACAATAACTCGTTCCTCTACACCAAAGCCCCCAGGCCTTTGTTTATACAACTGCAAAATTGGAGCTTGGCTTTGGCTCTCATCATCTAGCCGCTTCAGATTGCGGTTCATAGCCAGCATTTGGACGATGGCCAACGTGCCTGCTCCCCCCCCCCCCTACACCCGGGTCTCCTGCTTCGCCTCACCAGCCTGTGCGGGTATTGTTGACGGCTTAGCCGCCTTGACCTCGGCCTGCTCTTCCGCGACCTCAATAGCTGGCGGCTCCGGCTCCATGTAGTCTGTCGGGACATACGGGTTGGCGGCCGAGTTGAGGTCGATCTCCGGGTCGCTCTCGGCGAGCGCTCTCGCGTCTTCCCACAGGTAGTACCGCTCCGTGAGGGCGTGCTTGATGTGCTTCATCGTCTTCTTGACCTGTTCGGCGTTTCAAAAGTGAGGTACTCGTTAGCGTGGCTGGCATCACCCGTGGGAGCTGTCTTGTCCCCAATGATAAAATTACGGATGGAGGCGAGAGAAGTGCTACGTGACTAACCTGCACGTCCCGTTCCTCCATGTCATCTTTTCCAACGGTGTACTCGGCCTTCTCGTACTCGACGGCCATGGTCATGAGGCGGTTCCGCTCCTTGACGCACGTCCACCACAGCCGGTGCAGGTCCTCCCAGCTCTTGTGCCGCAGCTCCTCAACCGTCCACGCCCGGCCGTGCGCCGCGATCTCGTCAGGCTTGATGAGGCGCTGCTTGTTGGCGTAGAAGAAGTCCCAGAGCCCGTGATCCGGGTCCGTCTTGACCTTGGGCTTGAAGCCCTGGACCGGCAGCGGCAGCTCGTCTGGTTGTATCTGCATCCGGTGGCTGGGCTTCGAGCCGCCGTACACGCTGCTCAGGCCGCGCTTCTTGTTGTTGTCCCGCCGCGTCCGCCGCTCGTTGAGCTCGGGTGTTGTAGAGAAGCACTTGTGCGATCGTGGCTGCTGCTGGACGAGGCGGCCAGCAGTCGTCCTGCTCATGCCGAGGGCCGTCGCGGGGCCATGGCAGCTGCTGTGGGTGCTGCTGGCCGTGATGGCCCGGCCGAGCACGGGTCTCACTATCGATGGAGAGGCCATTGAGGCACTGTGGTATGCTTCAAGGGCGATAATTTGGGCTTGCTGGCGTTGCGAGGTCGGAAGTGTCGAGTGCCGTTCTGGTGCATCAGGCCCTTATGCGCAGCAGCATGTCGCGCGACTCTTGAAATTTTGGAGTGGTCGAAAGACGGTGGCACCTGATTGGTCACTTGTGCTGGAGAGTGGTACCCCATTGAGTGGTGGAGTCCACGACCTCCGACTATGAGGAACTCCATCACTTGCTCGCTCCTGCCCACCTTGAAAACCACATGAATCACTTGACGACAACTTGGATTGTGGACCGTCATGACCTGGTTCTCATGGTTTCGATATTTACGTAGCTGGGCCTATCGTTGCATTCATTAATCGAAACGTCCAAGAAAAGCACACCCTTTTCTGTTGTAATTGCCTCCTTTTCCAATCAAGATTATTGTCAATCCAGCTTGCATACTGTTATTTTTGGCAGACATGTACTGGTGATTGTTTTTTTACGAGCTTGAAATATTTCTAAAACTTGGTAATCGATCAAGAACCGCAAAGAAATGTTTGTGCCTGTCAAGCCTTCCTCTGACCATCCTAAGCTTCGGGCTACAAATGTTTCAATAATTATTTCAAGTGATCCGCTGAATCTCAGAGATGTTAACTGTGCGCGGCTAGTCACTTCTCTCATTGAATCATTGGCCTTCTCGAGCTTCTGCCGGCTGGTTGCGATCTGGTCGTGGCCCGAGAGGACCCATCTTGAGATATTGGTGATCGTCCTCCTTCCGGCAAACGACATGTCAGACATGGGTGTTTATCATATGTATCATTCCCACGTCTATCAACATCGCCGAGACCAAATGAAAAAAATGCCTATCGCAAGATACAACAGCACGATGCTCCCGCATGTACCCACACAGGGCGCGTGTGACGCTCCAGTTGACGGGCAGGCCGCATGAAATTGACACCAGTTCGGACCCCTCCGCGATCATGATGGCCAAAGTTGCTCAGGGAGCCCTGTTGGCTTGTGCAAGTTCACGTATATCAGGTGTAGACAGCGAATGCTCACAAGTATAAGTCAAATCGCATGAATTTTACGCGAGGTTGGAAATTTAGCATACCTGTGGCTGTGTAGACTCCAGGGTCGTCGAGAATGCGCATACTAGACCGTACAGATTACTGTCTCGTTGTTGATCAGAAATCTTGCGCAAACATTGCCATTAGTGGTGACGAAGGTCCTCACTTGGTTGAAAATCGCTAATTAAATGTTGCTCAAGCACATTGAACCCGTTCAAGAAGATTCGTTCCATGACGGCGCTATGCTCGTGTGCAGCCCTGTAAGCAAGCCGACCGACCTGTCTCTCATTGACCTTCAAGTTCAAAAAAGAACTTCAGAGTTCGAAGTGATCGTGGATATACTCTGGCTCTATATTTTCGTTGCGCGCTTGCCTTCCGAATAGGTTTGTATGCCAGCAATCGTTATCTACACGAGCATGTCGTGATCTCGACAGGAGCCAATATCGTTCATCAACACCATGGGTATCAACGACTCGGTGGTCGTCTTCAAAGCGCGGGCCCATAAGCATTCACCCAAGAACTGCAACTACATCAAACAGTAGGTGTCAATGTCCACTGCATGTCCTGAGCCTTCCAGCGAACTCGACCGACCCTGCACGATGGACCATAGTCGGCATGTTCTGGCACGGGCTCAATTGCCGCGCGCTCTGGCGACGAGGCAGTGGGCGTTGGCGGCGCTCACTTTCTTATTTTTCTCAAGCCCCGTTGCCGTGAATCAATTTGCCCAATTCGTAACACTGTCGATGGACACAGCTGCAGACAGAGGTGACCGTCACCAACGCGTTTGTTCGTCCTGCTCGGCCGCCGCCCTTGATGGTCTTCCCACGTAGGGAAAGCCGCCAATACCAACGTCTGTCAGAGTCGAGCATAATGAAGCAGATTAGATGGCGCCATTGCCTCCAATTGTGACACTGCTTCTCAAACCCCCTGGGCTCCAGCAGAGAAGATAATGTCGTGCTTGCTTGCTTGTCATATGCACATCGCGAGCTGAGCAGTCACGAATGCTATTACTTCCATGTTGGCAGCCCCATGTCAATTATCCGGCCATCTGGTCAGACCAGCCTGATCAGCCCTCGGAGGAGCAGCTTCTGCAACATCATCAATAAAGTCACACACTTTTTTTTTCTTCCACACGAGGCAGGCTTAGCACTTCATAGATACCGGTGAACGGGGAAGACTGCTACTATTGCTCTATCACGGCTGACTCTGTTGTCCGCCGACGACATATCTCCCAAGCCTTAGTTGCTGCTTGCAATCGCCATATCCACATCGGCTTGGCAATGCACATGTTCTGATATCAGGTTTCCGCGATCCACTCCGGTCCAGCCCAAGACACACGTTTTTTTATTTTGAGGCTCCGTGTGGAGGAGGAGCCGCCGCAGCGGGATGGGGAGAAATGGATCCCATCCAAGCACACAAAAAAAACGCCCGGCCTCGTGTGCTCCGCATGCTTTTGCCGCGGCAGCGGCCTCATAATACGCAAACTTGGTGTTCCCTTGGAGGGCCCCGTTCGGAGGGGGGGGGTCCGCGTGTGGTGGATGTGTGCGGGCGCCGCCAGAAACTGGAGCCCAGCCCAGCCCGCGCCGCCGGGCGGGCGGGCGGCGACCCTCTCTCTCCCTCTACCCATCTAGGAACCAAAAAGTATAAATCACCAAAACCCACCAAGGCCAGCCAGTCGCCTTGCTCCGGGACGGGCGTCTTGAAGGCCGCGGTACTCCAAATCCACCCAAAAAAGTGTCCCATCGTCTTGGGAAACTGCGGGTAGCATTACCCATATTCGCCCGCTGTCAAAACGCGGGCTGGCGGAGTGGAGAGAGAGATATGTCTCCTACATAGTATGCGTAGTCCAAAAAGTCGGGGGGTTTGTGTTCCAACATACATACATACATACATCACAGCCTGTCGGGGTAAATTATCCATAGGATCAAAAGCAAGTTAAAGTTTTAGTTTCCCTTTCCTATTTCAGTTTTGCTGCTGCCCTCCATCCATCCGACGACGAGGCCAAGGTGTCCCGGCGTAAAGGAGAGAATGCTGGACTGTCGCCTGCTTAAACATATTTCCAGCGCCCCCTCCCCCGGGATGGTGGAACGGCAGAGGCTTCGAGAAGCAGCAACAACAACTTCTGAGCAAAAAATGGTTGAATTTTTCCTTCCATCATTTCCTCAGAACGGACACGCCCCCCCCCTTCTTCTCTCGAGGGAGCACTTCGGCCACTCAAAGAACAGACTTTTTCTTCTCGCATGACTCGGCTCACCAAGCTACACCGCCCAGACAACCAACCCAAAAATAAAAGGGCACACCCAGACGCGCTTTCCGCTACGTAATGACACACGTGGGCTTGACTCGAGGGGGTTCGCTATTCCAGAAGAATCTGTTCGCTAGTCCCAGCCTCTTTTTGCTGCTCTGGTTGCAACCTGCAGGTGCTGACTAGACGCACCCCACGCTCACCGACGGAGCCCGCCACGTCGGCCGAAGCAGCCGTTCGGCTGTGTGTGATGGATGTGTGACCGTATGTAGTAATTAATAGTCGCCAGGGACGCCGGGCAAGTCCTCAGTCGTGCTGGGTCGACCCATGGTGTTTTTTGCTCCTGCTCCTGCCTCAGAGCGCCCGCGGCGGCGGTGCCGCCGCCCAGGTCCTCGTGCTTGGCACTCGGTGTCAGGTCGAGCACTCTGTCAATATTACCAAGCCTGGGGGCGCTAGGAGCTTAGTCTCGGACACACTGGCAATTTTGCAAAGCGGGCGTGTCCTAATCCAGGTCGCTCCGAGATCTCGGCCCAGCCACCGTGCGCGCAGCAACACAGCCATCGGGTTTCATGGGGCCCAGCAAGTCGTTATTATCGTGTGTGCGCCGCTCCGTGGGAGGAAGGGCAAGGGAAGAAAAGAGGCTGGGAGCTCGTCAGTCTCCACGCTGATGCCACGGAACTTTTCCAGGTCTCACCGTGCCGCCCCCTCCCCTCGTCGTCGTCGTCCTCCTCCCCCCCCAGGGGGGAAAGCACAGCAACCCACGGTTCAGCCTAATATTATGTCTTGCGTGTCGCATGCTCGAGCTGCGACGGAGAACGGCACCCAGGCGGCGCAAAATCTCGGAGCTCGTTTGAGGTTTCGAAATGTCTTCCGAAGCTTCCCGTGGGGTAATTAGACGTGCCCATTCTCGCAAAGACACACTGTATGGCCTACTATGCACCAAGGGCACCCGTGGCGCGCCAGGAGCAGCCGGGATGGGCTAGTTGGAGTGCTTTTCATGCAGGATGCCCTGCATAAGTCTTAGTGGCATTGAGAATGCCGTAATGTCATCATGAGAGACAAGGAGCCAGGGCATCGCATCTCGGCGGGCGCGCGCGCGTGCGCATGCGCGTGCCTGTGTGTTTTGAGGTGTCTGTCTGAGCCGGCATGAGGCCCACTCTTGACAGGCCGGGGGCGGGTGTCGCAGCGTGTGCGCGTGTGCCCCAGGAGCAACTTCTTTGTTGAAGCTGGTAAAATTATATCCCGTCGCCATCACGAGCACGCACTCCCAGGATGGTCGGGGGTGCGCTCGTTGCTGACTCCAAAACCTCTGACTGCGGTGGGGGAAGCCGGTGTCTGCATCTTGGGGGCAATCAGACGAAAACAAGTTTCGCATCTGTCCAGCCAGCAGTCCAACTTGGCACGTGCTGCGACATTGCGTGTAGCAGTCCTAAGACACGACCGGCGGCCAATGTCACGTCTTGGTTGCAATGGCTGGGAGGCTGCCAAAATGCGCCGTGGTTACAGAGCACCACGAGTTCCTCTGGCCACCCACTTGTTTAGGACGACGACTGGGCGGTGATCTCTCACCACAAACACGAGACGCCTGTATGTACTCCGTGGTGCCTGGTAAACCACAAGCGGCAACTCGCGACACTCTGATGTTTGGTCTTTGGCAGTTTGCCGACGGCACAAGCCAATGGGAGTTGCCTTACCCACGGGGGAGAAGAGAGGGGGCGCCACGGCCAGCCAGGTTGCCGAGCCTGCCGCATGGGAGCCAAGCCAGTCCGTCCATAGGCCTATCTTGTATCGAGAGATGACATGCCGTCATCAGCCAAGGTCGCGGGTGTGCCGACGGCACCAAATTCTCACCTCTCTGGCCCGAAGCGGCAACGAAGTCTGGAGGAAGGGAGAAGATGGTTTGCGCGGGGTCGGCCAGGCGCCCTCGTTGTGGACGAGTCAGGCCGCACCGCATTGCCAGGTGTCACGCCATCCCAGGTCAAG